GATGTTTCCCCCATCTCCCATCACAGCGTCTTTCGCGGGCGTCTGCTGGTCCTCTACTTCCGCTTTCCCTTTGGTCCTCGTCGTGTCTACTGTGTATCAGGTAGTAGAAGCAGATACTTCAATAATTTAAGCAGATTGCCCGGCGCCAGAGAAACTGCGGCTGCCTTGGCGAGGGCAGGGGAGAGTCGTGCGTCGCCGATCGATCGCACAAGGCGTCCGGCAGTTTGTAAGAAAGCCGGGCGCCACTACTGCAGAGTTCACTCCAACGAAGGTCGGCCCCTACACCGCCGGGCGCAAAAAGTTGCCGCATGACTATGAGTTTTGATTTTCCAGAAACAACACAACGAAAAAAGGTAGGGCGAAACGTGGCGCGCCTCAAACAAAGACCCGGCCCGTTGGTTGGCTTTGTCGTGGCGCCGGTGTCCCATGCATGCTCATACCCTTAGCCCCTCGCGAGTCGCCACCGAGATCAGGAGCGGAATCCCATGCAGCGGCGCCTGCACGACAGGCGCTACCCTCGGACAAAAGGCCCGTAACAACGCACGCACCACGCTACATGCGCCTTAAGGAGCGCAGCCACACGGCGCCATTGCGCGCGCACTATGCCCCATAAGGAAGGAACCAGACAACCGCGGCGCCCACCTCCTCAGGAATGGCCCGCCGTTGTCGTTGCTCTTGCTCCGCACTGGGAAAACAAGAAATCCTCGCCTCCGCGCGGAGGCGTGGCCCACGACTTGTTTCCGAGGCCAGTGCTGGATGCAACAACAAAAAAATTCTTCGGCGCGCGCCGTTCCGAAAATAAGAATTCGACCCCTCCGCGCGGAGGGGTCGATTTCTTATTTTCGGTTTCTTCTTCCGCCGCTGGCGGCCCAGAAAGAAACAGGCCCCTCCGCGCGGAGGGGGCGGTTTGTTTGATAGCCGGACCACTACCTTTTACCCAGAAAACAACGAAAGTCGGCGCTTTTGGTGCTTCCGGGTCCTAAAGAAACCGCCCCCTCCGGGCGGAGGGGCCGGCTTCTTTGTGGGCCGCTAGCGGCGCAAGAAGAAGCCGAAATTTCCTGTCCAACGAAGCACGACATTCTCACTCAACCCTCCACACGGAGGGCCCAACTTCTTGGCTTTGAGAATTGTTCGCTTTGCGCGACCTGCGCGCGGAACATTTGTTTTTGTTCGCTTTTAATGTTTTCGCGAAGTGGCGCCGCGGCTCGTGCAGTGGCTCCGCACGGTGGCCAGCTGTTTTTTTTATTCCCGGCCACCCTATGAGACGCGCAACACCCCTGCGCCGAAACCTTTGGCGCGCGCGAGTAAAAACGTCGCGGCGGGCTGCTTTGCTTCCGAGCGGCCGCGTGTGCCTCTACGAATGTGCCGTAAAGACTGAAAATGCGACGCCACATCGTAAAACAAGGACAAGGCAACGCAGGCGCACGAGGTGAGGCTGCATAGCGCAAAAATGAAGACTGAGCACCATCATGTTGAGTCTAAAAAATGCGCCTGCTCCAACAAAAATACTAGAAGCAGGCCAGAGGGCAACTGGGGCAGCAATACCGGGCGCACAGAAATTTTGTTGGCTGCAGGGGCCGACCGCCCTTCTCAGTCGCCCTCTCTATCCCTATCGGCCCAAGCAAGTGCGTAACTCCCGCGCAAGCGGATTCAGCGGTAAGCTTCTCCAGCATGCAGCCAGATGGCTGTCATGGGGAGTGCCACCTGGACCTGCTACCTTGACGGTCAAGGCTTGACCTTCGTCCTCGCAATGCCAAAAAAATAAAAAGCGGCAACTTTTGGATCTGCTTAAATTCGCGAAGTATCTGCTACAATTTCCTTCTGGTGAGTATTATATTATGATCCGCGTCTTTCTTTTTCTTCCCCCCATCACCTTCTACACCTCCTGCTTGCGGCGCGGACGAGGAGGAGGAGGGCGCAGCAGCAGCACCAGCGCCTGCTGAGGACGCTGCTGAAAACGACCCGAAGGGCGCATATCAAATGTAAAAATGTCTGGTGTTTTGTCTGGAAGCAAGACCATGGTACAGCACAGGGAAGAGAACGACTTTAACATTTTGAAGAAAGAAAAGAGAAGAGAACAACGTGGATATAATATGTAGAGAGAGACTAAAAGCATGTTATGACGTCCACCGGTGGTACTGAGTACTACTACTTATACTATCACTTGCGCAACATGCAAAATGGGTGCGATGAACTTCTGCCCACGTAAAAATGTCTGGGTCTGGAAGGTTGCAACTTGTGATGCTGTCTTTGGAAGGTAGAAAAATCTGTATTGCAGGACCAGCAAGAGGAGTTCAGTTTGTGCTACGCGGAGTGGGCATTTCTCATGCGGAATACGCATCAGATTCAGAAGGTCATCTAAAAATCTGTCATGCTCGGCCATGCATTACAGGCATCATGGGTTATGCAAAATATGCATGACAAACCTGGCAATCTTCCAGACCCAGACACTTTTACACTTGATAGCGCAACGGAAAAACCGATTTTCGGTACCACCAGTTGCGGTTTGTTACTGGTAGTACCTGTAGTTGAACTGCTAGCACTTGCGCCGCCTGCTGCTGTAGTTCCAGAACCTGGTTGCGACGAGGATGAAGATGCTGCTGCAGCTGCTCCCCCAGCACCTAGTGCCGGCAGTGCGGTGGAAACGCTACTGCTCTTGCTCACCGCACCGGGAACAACAGTTGATGTTCCACTTGAGGCTATTGCACTACTCGAAGATGATGTTGCAGCTGTGGCCCCGCTGGCTTTTGCAGAAACAGCCGCGGCTTTGGAGGTCGCGGTGTTTTTCTTCTTCGACAAAAACAAGTCCTCCTTCTCATAAATTCTTTCCTGGGGCAGCATACCGAACTTCTCCTTCAACTCCGCTAAATCGCAGTTATCAAACTTGGCGTATTTGCTCACGTCCGGCTGGTCGGACAAAACCCAGAACAAGCCGGCCTTCATATCCTATGTAAAAACGTACCCACCCCATAGTCAAGATGGGGAATCGGCTAGACAAATCCACAAGCTTTGGCTGTTTCGCATGACAAATCTGGACGCGTAGTGTAGTGCTGTTTGAGCTAGTTCAGCAGCACTACAGATCTAGTCTCTCATGCTAATTGGAGCATGACAAATTTCAAAACACCATTAGAAAATGCTTCTCATGGGGCTCCGCATGAGAAACATTTTAAGCATGCAGATTTGCATGACAACTATGGTGTGGGTACGTTTTTACTCAGGATACTTCAGCGCGTCGTTGCATTTCGTCAGGTTTGTGGAGAAGAACAGATCTATCGAGTGCAAATATATCTGGGTCTGGAAGAGTCGGGGTTTGTCATGCACATTTTGCATGACCCACGAGGTCAGTGATGCAGGTCCTAGCATCACAGATTTTTTGAGAGCTTCTTGATGCTTATCACGCATGAGAAATGCCCTCTCCGCGTGCCAAGAGCTGGACTCTTCTTGCTGCTCATGCAACACAGATATCTTTAGAATCCGTAGACGGCATTACAAGTTCCACTCTTCCAGACCCAGACATATTTGCAGTTCATAAGATGCGTAAACGTGCAATCGTTCGTCGACTTGAACACCGCGGTGAGTTTCCCGCCTTGCCCGCTGCTGTGGAAGGGCTCGAGGGTGGGAGTTAAAACATTCTTCAAATTGTAGTTCCCCTTCGACTTGTACGCCCCGCCGTCGTAGGACTGCAAGCGGAACTTCTCGTTCAGGAGCGCGGGGAAATTCCCCACCCCCTCCTTGCCGGTCGCTGGATGGTTCGCGGTCATGGTGATGTTCTTCTATGAAGAAGTAGTTGTAAGGATTTTTAAACCTTGCTTTTTTCCAGCACACGTGGTCCTTCTACTTCTTGTCAGGAAGATCCACCAGTCGTTGTGTATTTTGAAGAAAAACCAAAACGCGTAAAAAATGATGTCGCTTCCTGGGAGAAAATTCTTGCGCTCAAGAACGATCTTGTGTTCGCAGAAAAGTATGTTGGTGTGCGGTAGTTGATGTGCTGGCGCGGTTTACATTTATGCCGTGCTGCTGTCGCCGTGTTAAGCAAGACATTGTTCTGTAGCACTAGACCACTTACCGCATCAGGTCGTGTGAAACATTGATGAAACGCAAGTTCTCGTGATTTCAAAAAAAGCTACCACATCTAATTATTTGCTTGTCTCTGTTGCTATTTTAGTTGGTTGATATTGATTGAGCAGAAAAGGAAAAATTGCAAATAACGCAATGGTCCGTTATTCCGGAAGCTCGTCGCACGCACGAGCAAAAAGCGAAGAGCAAATCAAGAAAATGATCTTCGAACCGGTTTTGCCTTTGTCGAAAAAGCGAGTGCGAGCTCATCGAAAGTACGAGCGACGTTCACGTTTTCGTTTTCCATACATTTCATCAAAGTACAACCAGGACCAGCTCATTTTTTTTTTGTCCGTATACACTTTCTCTTTTTAACGCTTTCTTAGGTCTCGATCAAGGAGATGAAGGTGTTCGTGTTTATTGTACAAAGAGCGAGGCTCCTCCAGCGATGTAATTGCGCGGGACGAGAACAACGGAGCTTCATCTACACTACGCTCGATTTAAGAAAGTATGAGCATCTCGATTTGCTTCGTGGAATACGGCGTTCGCACAAGATAATAGTGGCAGATATTTTCATGCGATCAAAATTGTCAAAATTTTCTCGGGGCTGGAAAAGAGATCTCTGTGTCTGTATACAGCTGAAAATGCATTTCAAAACTTGCCGCACGGCCTACATAGTAAGCATGCTGCAAAAACAAACTACGTACAATATTCATGACCATGTTCGAGCTCGAAAAGCCCGTGCGGTTTTTACTCGAGCGATTGATCTTTTTGGAGATACAAATGCATGTGGGGAAAAATTATGTTTATGGGAAGCGGACATGATTAAATGGAGTGGGAACCTGAATTTGCGTTTTTTTCAGATGTCAGGTTGTCAGACACAAAAAGAGGAGGAGCTCGCCTCAAGCACGGTGAAGGCAATACTGCACTTCCACTTCATCTACCTAATCGATTTACAACTCGCTCGGGATCAGAACGTGAACGGGTCTACAACCGTTGGAGCGGAACACAAACGGAGGCCCGACGTAAAATGTTAGCCAGCCTTGACGATCAGAACATCAAAGCAAAACTGGCGGTAGTGAAATCCGTTCAGTCAGGCTCTGCTCTTTGTTGACGTCTCATCACAACAGCGGACCACTCCGCTATCTTCTCTCAGTCGTGTGCTTTGCGCACGTACTACCGTACACAACGCCATTCACAATTTTTTTAACTTCAATTCTTACATACTTACTCATTTTCTAGTGCGAGATCGGTTCCTCTGTGCTTTTGCAGCACCTGAAGCGCCACCATGTAAGAGAGTATTGGTCGTTGTATCAAGCGAACGCGTTGTAGTCGGGCCAGCTACTGGTCCTGCTTGTCTCTCCTCCCCGATAGCCTTTTCGTCGTCGCCCACGGTACCACCACCACTCTTCTTCAGCCGGTACCTTTCGTAGAATTTCTCCCGTTGCTTGTCGCTCAATTTCGCCAGGCGGCTCTGCTTTCGTTCCCTTTCCTCCTGTTCCTCCCTTCGGTCCTCCTGCCGCTGCAATAGAAATGCGCGCCGCGCGCGCAAAATCGCGAGCTCGGTGTCTACTTCGGCGGTGAGGGTCGCGACGGTAGTGATCGGTTTGAAATTTTTGGACGACGTATGCGTATCGTTTTCCTCAGTTGTTGAAGTCGTTGAAAAGTTCATCGTCCTCTTGCAGCTGTAGTTGGTTTCATGATCTAAACTACTCGTCGGCGCGTGATCAACAAACTGCAGTTTCTTCTCGTCGGGATAATTTTTGTGCCTATGCGAAGAAGGTGAGCTGCTGTTGTTGTTCATCTTCGTCTTCCCGAGCTCTTCGAGCAGAGTCGGGGAAGATGCGGACAGGACCAAAACAGGGGAAGGTTGCTTCAGAAGGTTCTCCTCACCGACTTTGTTCTGTTCCTTTTTCATCAACAAGCCAGCTGTACTAGAGGAAGGGGAAAACGAACCAGTAGTCTTCTCGGCGGGAACTTGCGCAGCAGCAGCGGATGCTCGGTCCGCTCCGTCTTCGTGCTCCTTGACACTCTCACTCCCCGCAAAACTAGCATCTGAGCAGGTGTCATTCTCAGAAGAAGAGTCCGTCCTGGACGAGGATGTTGAATTAAGACTTGATGCCAGACCTGCGCCACCAGGTCCTCCTTCTGCACCACGACCTCCGTCGTGCCCAAATCCGAACCCACCGTTACCCGCCTCATGATCGCGGACGCAGACGCCCCAGTCGAGAAGCAATTCCTGCTTCACGGAAAAGATCTCGCTCACCTTGATCCGCACCTCCTCGCGGACGCGTTCCAACTGCTGCACTTTGTGCTCCAAGTGTTCAATTTGCTTCTCCGTTTCGATCTGCAGCCCCTGCCGCTCCTGCTTCCAGAAGGCGGCCTGTTGTTGAAGAAGATTTTCCCGGTGGAAGATGTGGTTTTTTCGTAGCTCGGAAAGACTCTTCTCGGTTTCTATCTGCTCCAAACGGGCTTGCAACGCCATGCGCATCCGGGTGGCGTGGTCAGAAATGGTGGAGAGGAAGAGTGGACGGGAAGGTGAAGGTTCGTCGTGTTCGAGGAGAGACGGAGCAGATGCTGTAGACGCAGTGGCTCCCGTTATTTCTGGTTGTATTCGGTCCGGAGGGTGAAACTCACCAGAAGAAACCACCGAACCTGAAGGTCGCGTCAGGAAAGGATTTTCAGGCAAGGACAGAGAGAAAATAACAAATCCGCTTTATTTTTCAGAAGAAGCTAAATCATCTCACACTAAGAACGAAGCGAGGCGCAGCCGTTGATCCGGAAAAAGATTTTCTTATCCCGCTGAAGGTAGGTCGTATGGTCGTACGTGTTCTCGTTGCGAAGGAAGAAGCAGGAAGGATTCCACAAATAAAGCAGATGAGCGAAGAGAGTTCTATGCGCGAAGAGATGAGACTCTGCCGAAGACAAGGAGGAGCAAGAAATGGATAATTTTCGGTCGGTCAAGATGCCGTGGCGAGGTGGAGAATGGAACTGAGTCGAGGACTTCGACTTTCGTACGGGACGCGGATTCTCGAGCAGAGCTGGGAAAGATCAAAAACGATGAAAAATCGCTGGGCGACACTTCAAATGAAGTAGAACCGTACAACAACGCAAAGACCACGCTCTGTTATTTTGCTCATCTGCTTCTTTGCGATCTCGAAAAAGTTTATCAGACTGGGGCGGTCACATAGTTGTTCACATAACTAAACCTCTTGCTTGCGAAAGCTTAGTTCAGAAGGTGTCCCAAGTGATCCAATCATCATAATGAAACGCAAAGAATCAGAAGGAAAGAAAACACGCATGCTAAAGAGTAAAAACTGGAATACATATACATACATGAAATCAGACTGGGGCGGTCACGTAGTTGTTCACATAACTAAACCTCTTGCTTGCGAAAGCTTAGTTCAGAAGGTGTCCCAAGTGATCCAATCATCATGAGGAAACACAAAGAGCCAGCTGGTAGGAGCGCATGGGAGTACGAGTAGTAGAGAGGAAACCACAGCTGTAAGGAGAAACACCAGAAAATCAGACTGGGGCGGTCACGTAGTTGTTCACATAACTAAACCTCTTGCTTGCGAAAGCTTAGTTCAGAAGGTGTCCCAAGTGATCCAATCATCATGATGAAACACATACACAAAGAACCAGCTGCATATGCATAACAATGTAAGTACAACAAAAATAACCACAGCCGTAAGTAGAAACACTAATGAAATCAGACTGGGGCGGTCACGTAGTTGTTCACATTACTAAACCTTTTGCTTGCGAAAGCTTAGTTCAGAAGGTGTCCCAAGTGATCCAATCATCCTGACAAAGACAATCATGCAAGAAAGGCGCAAGAAACGGAAAGCTGCAAAAGCAAAAGAAAACTAGACAATATCAGACTGGGGCGGTCACGTAGTTGTTCACATTACTAAACTTCTTGTTCGCGAAAGCTGTTCAGAAGGTGTCCCAAGTGATCCAATCATCCTTTTCGTCGAGATGAACTGATGACTTCTGCAAAAATTTCAGATCTGTAGTGTTTCGCTGAGGATCATGATAGCCTGCGTAAGAAAGAGGATCGTCAACGTCATCATGTTCGGAGGTCATAAAACGCAAGCATGCGAGTGAGCGCATGCGCGTGGCAAAACCTCCGACCAATGTACTACATCAGTTGCTGTGCCAGAGCTAGGTCGAGACAGGTGCGTAAAGGTAATAATAGTGCACCCACTCCAAGAAGTTCTGGGGAAATCATGTGGAAAATACAGGACCTCGCAGGAAGCAGCAAGGGGCGGAAGGCGCATAGAAATAATAAGTCAACAATTATGTTCCACCTACAGAGAGACGCTTGAACGGAGCAGAGACCGTTCAAATAGGAAGCTCCGCATGGTGAAATTCGCTATACCACTGATAGGTCAAGTCACAGGCAAACGGAAAGCTCGCACAGTGCTTCAAGGATCTGTGGCTGGGTACAATTGAACCCATTCAGAAATTGCGATTGAAGGAGCGCAAGGGCGGAAACGGAAGGCGAAAGAAAGAAACATCAAATTTCTGTTCCAATTGCAGGGAATCAAAATGAGCGGAGAAAAGCGCTCAGATGAATGTAAAAGCCCCACAAATGAAGTTGCTATACCACTGATAGGTCAAGTCACAGGCAAAGGGAAAGCTCGCACAGTGCTTCAAGGATCTGTGGATAGTAGGGCGCGCGGGTGGAAACTACGGGATCAACTACTACATCATGATCATCATCATCATCTACAGAGACATCAGCATCACAACTTCTATCAAACAGTTTATACACGAACCCTGTACCGTTCTTTTCGATTTCGCAGGCGTCCGTGTGTTTTTTCACTGCAATCGCTGCGCCACCACCGCCCCCGCTGGTCTCCGCAGCGGCCCTTGTCCCGACAGCAGTTGCACACTGCATCGAAGGATCATTTTGATTATCTCCGTGTCCTTCCAGTGGGTAAACAGAACTTTCCTCTTGCAAAAACTGTCCAGCCTGCCAAGCTACCCAGTCTTTGTTCTCCCCGTGCGGATCTGCGGCTCGGGCATCACCAAGCTTCTCTCCCGTCGCTTCAACCAGTGTCCGTAGGTCGAGTTTGTGCTGGATCAGCAGGTTTGGCAGCCGGTGCGCGGAACGGAAGAGTCTTCTCTGACTGGAAGTTGTTGATGGCCGCTGTTTCTCTCGTCCTGCACGATAAAAATGATCATGAATCGGCTGATACAGCTCCACCAACCGCTGGCTTTTGTCAAACAAAACGTTTTCCGCGTCGAGCAACGTTCGACACAGCTTGATGTGGGCATGCACCGCCTTGTCCTCCGCCTCCGTTATCATGTTCACAACATTCTTGGAGTTGAAATGCGGCGCCAGGTGTGGTGCGGTTTGTAGAATATAGCGGAGTCGGTCCGCGTTGGTGTCTTGAAGGATGATGCTTTTTTTGGATTTATTTTTGTCCGCATTTGCTATTCCCGCAAATAGCGCAGTCCTCTGGGAACTGCGCCCGTTGATCTCTTCCACCAAATCGTAGGCAAGCGGCGGGTCCGGTGGCCGGATTTGTAGGAAGTGGGCAGCTTGCTTTGATGTGCTGCTGCACGCGGCGGAGCCGACGTTGTTCGCCGCAGTCACAACAACAGCATCCCGGAAGCACCGCTGCAGTTCTTCCTGGCCGCATCCCCACGCGTTGCGGTCTAAAACGAAAATGGAGCTGAACTTTGCTTCGGGATCAGTACGATCTAGCTCTGCAGTCTGAGAAGGTGGTCCTCGCCCTTGTCCGCCTTGACCTTGTACGTGTACTTGTTCATTTACAGTGGAGTTTTCATGCCGCGGCGCCACCCTTCCTACTAGACTTCCAAAACGACGGAGCAGATACCAGAGTGCGCGGCCCGAGCTCTTTCTGTTGGTGCCATGACTGCTAGTAGCGTGGTCGCCATTCAGAGCGGTGATATTCTGGTTGTTCCCCATACCGACCACAGGCGGTCCGGTTATTTTTCCCGCCCGATGCGACAAGCAAACACATGTCGGTGGTGGAGAAAACACTTGAACGCCAGATCGTAAAATCTGTTGGTAGCGCTGCAAATCCGCGGTGAGAGAATCTTGATCTTCCTCGCTCTCCACAATTCTTCTATCGGGGGAGGACACCAGATCAGACTGTTCATCTCTCCTAACCACAGACGCCCACAAGGTTTGGCGCGCGGTGTCGAAGATCAGGGCGAAGGTAGCGATGTCAATCTCCGAATCGTCGCCTGAGAGGACCGCAAGAAATTGATCAGATTTTACACTCGGTAAGAACAAATTCTACTATCAAGCTTGATCACTAAAAATTTTGAATTTGAAGTGGGCAACGAATCAGATTTTTCATTTCACGTCGAGTGCTGATCACTGTACTCCTACTTTCTGTTTCTATTTCCGCACCATCAGCTTTTACCCTACATGTTTAAACCACACTGAGCGCGAGCACTTCAGTCCAGGCTTAAAAATTGCCGCATGTTTTCTCATCACGTGCGAAAGGAAAGATGGAGTTTCGGATCGGTGGGTATTTCCAAGGATCATCGATCGCATAGACATATTTTACACGTGACCCAGCAGTATGAGGCCCTTTTGCTTTCTTATTGCAAAAGAAGATGATCAAGATCATGGAAGATTTGAATTTCAACACAGAAGAATACCAAATGCTTCCGCACCACTACGCGCACAAAACAGTTGCAACAGGTCGAGCACCCCTGCTGCTGCGTTGAACGGCACAGCGTTGTTGAGGTCGTCTACAGAGTTTGGGTAGCGGTTCTGCAACGCTCTTTGGATCTCGGAAACTTTCGCAATTTTCTTCCCCCGGCTAAATAAGCCAGACGCCTGAACGAAGCACAATACGTCGCCGGATGCGAAAAAAGATTGCAGAAACGCGGCATCTTCCGCAAGGAGGTTTTCGGTTGTTTTTGCAGGTGGTTGTGCTATTGCACTTGTTCCGCTTATTTCCGAACTTGATGTTCTACGATGCTGCAGCTCCAAGAAATCCGCAACAGCTCGCAGCTTTTGCTCGCCGCGAAAAAATTCCTGCGTGGCGAGATCTGGGAGGGCAGAGTGATCTAGTCGTTGTGGCACTGTTTGCGGCTCGTTAATTCGCGTCTTCTTGTCCTGATCGGCGAGGAGGATCTGAAGCGCAACATTTCCCAGCAAGTGCAGAAATCGAAGCACGTCCGCAATGCCTTCCGCGTGAATCAGGTCAATCTTGAATGGAGAAGAGGCCGTGGTTAATATTCGGTTTTTCTGCAAAGAGTCAGTCACCGTCCCGATGGATGTTGACGCGACCAACTGCAATCGCTCGACCACAACGCGCGTGGCCGCGCACAGGGAATCGCGCCCACACCGCGCAAACAGCGCCGCCGCGTTCTGTGCGAGTTCAAGCAGGTCGGCAGGGGAAGAATCATCTTCCGTTATCATTGTTATTTGCAGGCGTAAGTGCCAACGCTGGATTAAGAAGTCAACAAGATTGGATTTTGCCTGCGCACGACAAGAAAGCAAAAGGAGACGGATCCACGAATATGTAGAAAACAGTAGACGCGACCTCACTCGCACTCGCCCGAAAACAACTGAGCGCGAGCCGTGCTCCTGAACCCAAGGAGAGCGGTCCTGATTCGGACAGTTGCTCAACTTCAAATGAAGAAGCTAAAGACTCAAATAGTCATCCGTTGCCCCCTTTCTACAACACCTTCGACGGCGAATGCTGGTCTGCCCTGCAGCAAACTTTGCCGTTGCCCGCAAAACAAGTTGACGTTTCTTGTGCTCCTGATTCTGTATTCTCGACTACTTCTAGTTGTTGGGACAAGGTTCAGCAGGCAAAACACATTCGCAAGCGGTCCGATTCCAATAAATCAAATAATTTCTGGAGCGCTCATAATTACACGTACGCCTTGGTTTCGAAGAAGCCTTTTAGCACTTTCGTTTGCATGATGGCAAACCCGACGGTGCACAGCGCTTCCACCGCGGTCCACCAGAGACAGTGGGAGTTGAGATCCGCGACAATCTTCCGCTGGAATCCCTCCCGGGTGAGAGCAAAGTCCTGCTGCGCGCGCACGTGCTCCACCTTCAGCGCGAGCTCCGCCGTCAGCATGGCGGTTTTCTGTGCCCGCGTCGCGGCGGCGGGAAGGTCCGAATACACGTCGCCTTCGGTGATGTCGACGGATACGAACTGTTCCCCCGACGCTTTCAGACTCTCAAAGCAGACGGCGTAGGTTCTGATACAGTCGCATTCATGATTTTCATAAGCCTTCTCGTCCTACAGTAGCACTTACCTGCTCCTTGTCATGCAAATCGATTCCCCCGCAGGTTGGTGGTACTGGTTCTGGGCAATGATATTCGAGGATGCTAAGTACTATACACAATGTTGACGAACATAATTCTAACTATACTCGCCGATAAAAGCGTTCAGCTCGGTTTTCCAGGCCACCTCCGTCGACATTTGGATCGCCGAGGGCGAAAATTTGTCGTAATCCTCCTTCTTCTGCACGTAAAACCGGATTTCCGGAAGGTTGTCATTCGGCGCGTTCACCTCGTAATCAATCTGGAATTCCCGTCCTCCGTTCATGGACTCCACGAAAAAACACTCCTTGGTTCCCGGATCTTGCCGAAACAGCATCGATTCCACCGGTTCTGCAGTACTAAACATCGCCGCGACGCTCGCAGCAAGCCGCAGCGCGCTGCGACGGGCAGGGCGCGCCGGACGGGATAAAAGTTGCGAATTATTTTGATTGTTTGGTCCTGCTGCAGCACCTGCTGCTTGCGTCCCTCGCGCCCGTCGGGTGCATCTTTGTCCGAAAACTTGTCCTCGTACGACCTGACACGCTTCTTCCACCCGGCGCCGCTCCAACGCGAGGTCCAACTCCGAAGCTACACGCAAATTTTGCCGCGCTGGAGGTTCGAGTAATTGCAACTGTTGCACCGTGAGATGATCAACATCTCGTCGGGGGATTTGTTGGGAACGTCTCCTGTGCCCACGGTCAATGTTGCGCAGACCAACGGGGTCCTCGCCCTCTCGACGCAAGGCCGGTTGCAATACAACCGCCGGTCGTCGTTGCGGCGGTCCGAAGCGAGGATTGAAGTCAATATCTCTTGTTACATCACGCGGGACAGCGGGAGTCCCCTCGGTCCGGTTCCGCACGACCGGGTCAATTCCATGTCTCTGCCGCCGTAGCAGATGGTAGTAATCTTCCGCAGTCTCTCGGCGACCGCGACCTCCTGGAAGAATACCTTCATCCTCACGAAGCTCCGGTGTCAATTCTGGAGCGCGGTTTTCAGTGTCCCGGTTCCTCGTCCGCTGGTCCTGCGGCCCCCTTTGCCCCGCGCGCGCGCGCCGGCGGAACAGGTCTAGCGTCTCGTAGAATTCCCCATGTAACCGGTCGCGGTCTGCCGCCTCTGCGGCTGGAATCGGATGGAAATCACGATTGGTAATGGTCCTGGTCGTCCATTCGGGATCGGGATGGACGGTAGCAGGAAAAGTTGCATCAACGTTCCGAAGAAACTCACGGTCGTCGGCCATGGTAAAAACCTGCACCACAGAAACGCTCCTAGAAACTGAGCGTGAGCACGAAATGACCGAGAATAAAAGTGAGTTCCGGCGGCGTCGTGTGACTCAGAGAAATTAACGCACTAAGAAGCTAGACAAACTTATTTGTATTTCGGCACCATGATTTAGATTTTCCGGCAGACCGATATTCCATCATGCCGAAGCAGGCGCAAGCTGCGCGAAGAATACCAAAACCGAAAAGCGCTTTAGTTTGTACCAGGAAATTATGCACCAAAGAGAAAGAACCTTCCTGAACATCCACATATCGGGACATCAATCACCAGCCTCTACTCAAGGGCAGAACGTGGACGTCACCAGCTCTTCTTCAAAATCGAAGTAGTTTACATAGCCCCACATTTTTACAACAACCTCTTCTGTTCGCTTTCCAAAAGCAAGTTCCGCGGTTTAAAAAGTGCAGACAAGATTTCGTCTCTTGTTGGCCTCCAAAAAAAGACTTGTTCTCCTCTTCCAATACAGACACAACAACAGCACGATCGCATCAAGAAGTATCCTAAATTGCAGTGAGAGTTGTTTTACAGGTAAAACGTAACTGCTCCAGGATAACTTAGGCGGCCAGCAAGTTCTTGGCCTCTTCCGGCTCGGTGGCGTCGACGGCGACACCCTCGTCACCAGCATCGTTGGAGTCGTGGATCTCCATCAGCTTGACGATGTCCAACTTCGGCTTCTTGACGATCTTCACCTTCTGGATGTGCACCGGGTCCAGGGGATAGATGCGGTTGGTGGCGGTCTTGATGTCACCCTCAATCTTGTCGATCACGAGGTACTTGACCTGTTTTTTGGAAATTTGAAAGGGTGACTTCGATAGAAAATTTTGTCACGACACATCCCTCGTCGCACAGTCATTCATCATGGAAAACTTATGGCTCGAAACGTCGCTCGCAGAAGTCGCTCCGTACATGAAATGCAAAGCTCGCTCAGATGCAGAAGAAGTCTCTCTAACATGACCGCAAGATAAGGTGCACTTCTAAATCCTAAAACCCCAAAAGCCGAAAAAGAAGGAAGATAAAAAAGTGAATTCAAAAATCAGTATACCAGGTCCTTGAGCTGTCCCTGGGCAACGATCTGCTGCACGGTCTGGACCATCTTCTTACGGATGTTCTTGATCTGCGCGGACTGGGCGTAGGTGAAAACCTTAACCTGGTGCTCCTTGACATCCTTGGTGAAGGCAATCACGAAGATGCGAACGACGTAGCCTGTGGTTTAGGGTTTGATACCAAATTTCATTTTTTTTGAAGACGGGTCAATATTATTCAAAGCCACTTTCATATAGGTTCGCTCTGTGTCCGAAGACGCATGACGATGACACCGACTACTAAAATGAGTAGAAACGACGCACTCACTCCGCAATAGCGCACCATGCGCATCTAAATTTCTGCCCGTTGAAAATGCAGCCCTACTCACAAATCTAAATATAAAGTCTTTTACCATCCTGAGTCTTGCAGTCGGCAACGGCCTCGATCAAAGAGTGCTTCTTCTTGATCATCTGGCACATCTTATCCCTGGTCAGGCTGAGACCGTGGAAGTCGGTGAGGCAGTTCTTGCCCTGGATCTCCTGGACCTCCAGCTTGATCTTCTTGTGCCCGTCCTCGGACCCGTCCTGGACATCGGCCATGTTGAACTCGCACACGCGGCCCTTCAAGCCCTCGGTCTCAATCTTCGTACCCTGAGTCTTCGTGACACACGTACGGCCGACCTTGTTGGCCTTGGAGTTGAAGTAGGTCGGAGCCTTGATGTTGTACCAGACCTTTTTCTATCAAATGTAAAAATGTCTGGGTCTGGAAGATTGCCAGGCTTGTCATGCACATTTTGCATAACTCCTGATGTCTGTGATGCATGCCCTAGCATCACAGACTTTGTGAGAGCTTCCTGATGCCTATACCGCATGACAAATGCTCTTTCCGTGTAGCAAGACTTGGACTCTATTTGCTGCTCATGCAATACAGATTTTTTTAGAATCTAAAATCAGCATGACAAGTTGGATTCTTCCAGACCCAGACATTTTTACAGTTGATATTTTCAGGAAGGGATCGGCCTGCTTCTTCTTGTTGCCCTTCTTGCCGGCCTTGGCGAGACCCTTGTTCTTAGCGATAGCCATCTTGTGTTGTTTCGAGAGGTTTCTGTGAGGTGTTGTACTACTTCGCAATGAAGTTAAATACTCGTTTCCCTGAGAGTAGAGTTTTGGAAAATGTGGCGTTGATGAGAACCGGAGAGAGATTCAGACATAAATGTTGCGTGAAATAATAAAATAAGGTGGATCATGTTCGCTTTTGGGCCAAATTTTTCGTGTCGGAACTTCACTTGGATCTGATTTAGAACTCTTGGCCCTACATCGGCATCCATTTCATTCACACGAGCCAAATTTATGAACGCACGTTTCTCGCAGGCTACTGACCGATTTTGATCCAGATTTAAGTTCATGATCATCCTCGAGGAACTTTTGCATATGTTCAACCCACCTGTGCCTCACAACAACGTCGCTTCCTTGGATCTTCTGAGAATTGCGAATTCTAAACTACAACTCAGATCGCAATTTAGAATAGCAAAGACCACCAGGGATCACAGGCACAGTATTTGTGAGGTCATCAGATACAACAGCTGTTGATCCATCAAGTTTTCAAATCAATAGGACTCTTGGTAGCGTGGCTGCAAATGCCGCAGCGCGGCTGCAGAGCATTTAAAAATCACTCTTCTGCTACATCTTCACTTTCTCGACGTGCAAATTTTTTACATTCATCTGCTTTCGCGTGGCGTCCCTTACTCAAGATTTAGATTACAGTCTCACTGAGGTGAGAGAAGAAAAAGAGGCATACAAGAGAGCAGTAGTTACGTCATCGTTTTTGCAAAAGCGATGGAATTCGCAGTGCATGATGTTTGAATTTGAAACAGAACATGACAAAACCGAAACATGAGTGAAGAGATCGATATCAATGTGTGTACATTTAGATTTAGGGTGGTTACTCGACGACATCGCCAATTCGCATCCCGGAAACACGAGATGAAGCACGACGTCGATGCGCAGCACTACTCACTCCGCATTGGAATCTTCCGCCCCGGGGACGCCGCTGGTTTTGGCTCCGCTAAGGGCGCACTTTTTTGCTGGTACTGCCGCAGATATGAACTTTTCGGCCCGGGCAGCGCGTCCGACCGGGCATCCCGCGGCTCAAAACTGTTGTTTGGTGGCATACCGGAGGAAGGAAACGATCCAGATAAACTAGACGATGATCCTAAACCGGAACCGGATCCGGCAAAAAAAGCACCACTACTTCCCGAACAAACCGAAGACGGTCCAACCAACGCCGGAACGGACGCAGCAATCCGGCCTTCCTCGTCCGGCAACATCGGCTGTCGGATGTTGCTCGCCCCGAAATTTTTCACCCGAGAGCTGGCGCTCTTGTACTCTAAATCTTCGACAAGAGCTGAGATATTCTTCATGAGGGCGGCGCCGTGCGAAGTGGCAGGTGCGGTTTTCTCGTTTTGTGCAGCAGAATATTGTGCAGCCTGTGTTCCAGCTCCGACATCGTGCCGTGGAAGGAGATAATCTAAACCGGGTGGTGCGACTGCATTCATTTTGTCCACGTGCTTGTTGTCGGCAACAGAGGGCTGTTCTGCGGAAGGTGTGTGTGAAAGTGAATTTCCACCCGTTTCTAGTTCTAGTTCCGCTGCTCTCATTTTGCCCGCGCCAGAAAGTACGCTCGTACTGTGCGCGGCTAATCCTCTGGTGAGTGGTCGAGTAGTCATCATTTGGTGCAGGTTGACTTTTCGCTGTGTGGTCGTTAGTTGCGCAGACGTTGGAGGGGCGCTCCTAATCGGCAGCGGGCTCGGGACCGGAAGTTGATTCGGCTGGGTTGTAGCCGCTACTTCAGCTATTTCGCCGTCGGTCGAAGAAGACAAGCTGGGTCTGGCCAGCCCTTGGCTGGGACCAACATCTCCTTCTTTCCGCTGCACCAAATCGCTCTCGCGCTCCTTCTGTTTCTTCAAAATAATGAGCTTTGAAGCGTGCGCCAGCTCTTCGCGCGTCCTCGCAGCCGAACTAGCTTGTGATTGCGACGCGGCCACAACACCAATTTGGTGTCGATTCTGTGCCCGCTCAAACGCCCTGCGAAAGTCGTCGTCGTCAATTCTGTTGGATGCGGAAAGCTTGTCCGTGGTTCCGGGTGAGGGTCGTGGTGCAGGCTTGATCCAATAGTCACTGTTGTGCACGACGAAGCTTCTGTTTGCGCTTGTTGTAGATAAGGCCGGTCTTTCCATCGTTGGTGTCGCGGCTCGTCCTGTCACTCCCGGCCCCTGAAACGGACTGCAACTGGGGAATGGGCGGTGCTCTTCTGATGTCGCCTCGATTTCAGGTCTTGGTCCTGGGGAAGCGGAGACCGGAAGGGTTGGTGTTGGTACTACACTACTTTTTGCTTCCACCTGCGGCGAATCTACCACCGTCGCCGCACGAGAGTTTGCAACCGAGTGACTTACGGGCACGATGTCGGTCCAGCTGTTTGTTTGCTCCCTAGCAGTCCTCCCCTTGCCTTTTGCTTTTCTTCGGATTTCGATGCCCGTAGACGTGCTGACTTCTGGTGCTAGGACGGTTTTCTGGATCACGACGAGCTGTCGGTCTGGGTCTCCTCCGCTTATGTTGTCGTGCGAAAAGTTGGATCGTGGCGACATGGCAAACATCTCATCGGGTGAGGAAATTTCCTTAGGAGATGAAGCCGGTGACGATGTTGAGCTTGAGCTGCTTCTGTTCGCAAATGATCCCTCGTCCATCAATATGACCCCGCCGTGATCTTCAGCCGGCAATCCCCCTGTTTTGCGTCCGAAATCCAGGCGTCGTCTAACCACAAATGGATCTTCCCCCACAGGCGTCGAAGCTGCTACAGAGCTTTCATCTTGTGCGAAGCTGTCATTTCTGGCCCTTCTGCGGGACGCCGAGACAGAATCAAGCACCTTCTTCGTCGTCGTACTGTTTTCCCCATATCGGAAGATCAGTGCCGGTTTGTTGCTCCTCACACGGATTTTCGCTTCCCTGCCTGCCCGTTCTGGTTCAGAAGTCGTGTGCACGGCTGGAGACGGAGCAGCAGTCGGTTTATAATTTCCCCGGCTTCCCCGAGCCCGAGCCACGACCTGCTGTCTACTACTCGGCACTGGAAAAAGCGCTTTCTTTTCTGATGACTCCCGCTTGTTCGGAGATGCAGCTCTACTACTCGGTACAAATTTGCGCTGCAGTCGTGGTTTTTTCGGGTTTTTCCCGAGTCCCTCCGCGGCCGAGCCTTGTTTCCTCCCCGTTCTGCCGCCAATCGACACCACGAAACCCTCAAAGTCGCTCCAAGTTTGGCTTTGGCTGTAATCAGAAGTGGAAGAACTACCGGCGTCTCCGTCTCCGGTGCAAGAATACGACGGCGGCACAGGAGCAACAAGGCGACTATTGCTTTTCTCCATTCGCTCTTGTAAACCGCACGTATCATGCGCAGACCCTAGTTCCTCTTCTCGTTCGAAAAAGAACGGTGGCGAGTTGTAACTGGACCGGCTAAAACTCCGAGCGCAGCTTCTGGTAGCTGTAGGATGAACTACGTCGCTGGCAAAGGAGGCTGCACTCGACCTCCACCCGTGATTCTTGCCGTCGCGGTCTACTCCCAGCTGTTCCCGCAGTCGCTGGTTTTCCTCGAGGAGAAACGCATTCACCTGCTCCAGATCCACTTTGTTCCGCCGGAACGCGTTCGCGGGCGTGCTGCAGTAGCTGCTGGTCAATTTCTCCTCATATTCCTCCACTTCCGCCTCCATAACGTCTAAATTCAGCGAACAGGAGTTCTCGTTGGCTGCTGGTTGCAGGGTTTCGCGCTGGTGCTGTTCGTGTTGATGCTCCGGCGGCTCGAGTGGCGAGGTCCGCCAGTTGAGCGGTGGGGGGAGAAGGAGCATTTTTCGTAGTTTTTCGTCCTGTGACGAAGACGGACAACAGTGAAACGCAATGCTCACGTTCCTGGAGGCGCTAAGATGTACGAAAGCAACGTTGATGAGAAGCCAGCAACGCACGTTCCAGATTAGCGTCCTAGCGAGGCTACTATCGAAGGAGTGTAGCAGTAGAAACGAATTATACGCAAAAAAGCCAAGACCGAGCGCCAGCGTTCATCTCAATGTCGACGGACATGAGAAATCAATAACCAAAGGTCAGCGACGCGACGCAAGTCTCCTTTCCTCCATGTGCACAGAACTTGTTCTCTCTCGATCATCCACGATGGATGCTGCTTTCCTTCACGCTCTTTCTCTGCGAAATTCCGAAGCGAATGCGAATCAATGGAATCCAGTAGCGTAAAGAATCTACTGATGCGATTGGAACACAAGCTGGACCTTTTTGGACTACGATGGATACCAACACGACTGCGGCGCGCCTCTTGTACTTGTACCTCTTCCTATACCTGATCCGCCTGTCGTACTCAAGCTCAACTTTTGTTTCACGGCGATGCAATAAATAAAGTATGGTGTACGATGTATCAAGGACAGCAAGTAGTGAATCTGTTTGATGCCAACATGACTTCTATCCCTTTCCGCTCGACAATGTGTTGCACCAGCACTGATGCAGGTCCACAAAATTTTCGAAGGAAAAATCCACAAAATGCGAAGACAGCAACATGATCCCGGGCGCCGCGGACGACGTTGTGCGGTATAGACCGCGCTCCAGCGAGTCCGTCTCCCGCTTCTCTGCTTCTTCCGAGCTACACCGAGGTCCCGTTGGAGCCGCCCAAGCTAGCGATTGTTTGTCCTTTAACAGTTTATTCGCGCCGCCGGCATCAGCAACACACAGTTCTTTGATTTTTTCCAAAGCGTGGTCGGGGACGAGGCCCCGCGGATTTGAGGCAACAAGCTTCATCTGGTCTGTTTGCGATGCTTCGGGTTTGTTCTCCTCTGGAGTTGTGCTCTGGTGAAGCAAGAACACTGTCATGTTCTGGGGCTGAGCAGCACCAAGAGTGGTGGATATGACTGGCGTCGCGGTGCTCTGCGGGTAGGGCAGCTCCTCGTTTTGATGTTGTCCACTGACGGCTTGTTGAGACGTCGCTGGTCCACTTTCGCCTTCAACATTCGCTCGCGTCACTGCGTTGTTCGCCGTCACTGCGAGCAGTCCGATGTCCGTACCCGCACGGCTACGGGCAAGGTTCCGTGTTTTCGGGTTCGAACTCGACCGGGTCCGATTCAAGCACGGCACACACCACCCTCGCGACCGCGTCCTGTTTGCGCTGTTGGTCGTGATTTTGCTGCGGCCGGAAACCGGCTCCTCTGGGAGCACTGCGGAAAGGAGCTCAATGCTGCCGGGTCTTTGTTGCTCTGTAGCAGCAGGTCTTGTAGCAGCCGCACCAGCCGGCTCGGACTTTGTTCGCGCGAAAGTTGTACTCGAATTGGAATCTTGCGTCATCGGTGTGGCAGGGTGGAAAGGAACAGCCGGAGTCCCGGGTTCGTCGGAGGACAATGTTAATCCTGCGTTCTCCCCCTTTGATGTTCCCGGTTGGAAAAACACAAACGCAAGCCACTTTGCGTCCGGGCACCGGCGACATTCGGCGCGAAAGAGCGATTCTAATGTGACACGCAAAACCGCGGTCTTGACCTGCAGGGCAAATTTTTTCCGCCCGGCTGCAGTCGACAGTTCCACGGGTGGACGGGCAGCTACTGCGGAGGAGGTCGCAGGTGTTGTAGATGAACAAAGTGGCACGATTTCAACATTAGAAGCAGGCTTCGAGACCGCACTCAAATCGACTTCCCGTACAGCTGCGGAGGTGGGTGGTTTGCTGGCAAAGTGAAGACTCGTTCCTTCCGTACCAGCAGCATTCATCTGCGTAGAGGAAAACGTGTCGTCCTTTGCGTCTTGTTCACCACAACTATCCGTAGTACCCAGCAAGTATTCCACGACGCGTTCGCGCGCCGCAGCCACGGGACCTAGCACACAGAGGCACAGGTTCGAGGCGGCCACCACCCGCATTGTGACCATCCCGAAGTGCGACAACGCCGCCTCCGCGTAGGTCTGGAAGACAAACAGCTGCAGGCACAGTTGCACCGGGTCCAGTGGAGTGCCGCCTTGGAGCCCGAAGTTCGGGGAAAACTTCTTGTGGAAACGTAAAAATCCGCTACTGCGGTCGAACGCGAGGACGCCGGCGATCATGGTTGGATGGTACGCCGGGAGGGAAAGGGAAAGACGCACGTAAGTGAGAAGCAGCTGCAGGAGAGCTAGCTCCAGCTACATCTTTGGATTCGTTTGGCTTTTTTCTACTGCCTGAAGTTTATTTCTACAAGGCTTTCGTCTTGTCACTCATGCTCGCTCTCGCCGCTCACTAGCACGTCTGTTTCTAATGCCGTCTGCCTGAAAAGAAATCCAGGAGGAGCAACTTCCAGAAGGTTTTGCGAACACGAGTGACGATGATGCTGATGGCGAGTGCGGTTTATCTCGACGTTCTTGCTGCTCCAACATTGCTACATCAGTTGTCATCGGCGCCACAGTTTAAGTTTTCTACAAAGGATGAAAACAACACAACCACGCGTCTCGAAGCAAGGAGCAAACATAGTGCGTAAACCAGCAGTATTCTACAGCGGAAGCAGCTCGGGATCGTCGTGTGTTATTTCAGTTTCAAGATATCATCAATCTCGTTTGCTCATCTTATTCATCGCTGCGCCAGCCCGAACTCGTCGTCGCTCTCGGCGTCGCTTATCGACTCCTGACCGATCTGTGTGAGGTCCCAGTCGTCCGGCTTGCAGGACAGGAGCCACGGGTTGTCTGCGAGGATGAGCCGCGCGACGGCCTTGTAGGTGCTCCGGGGAATTTCCATGGTGTTGGGCGGGAAGTTAGGGCCGATAAGCATCTCCTCGTGGTCACGGTCGTTCGGTCCCAGAATATGATCTAGTATACCCTTTCCCGAGAGCAAAGTTGTCGTTATTAAGAAATCTTCTGTGTTTTCGTCCTCGTCGTGCCCCGCGTCTGCGAACCGTCGCAACCAACCAGGCGTCTCGTGGTTCCCCGAAAAAATATACCCGCAAATCTTGGCGGGCATTTCTCGCGTCCGGTGGTTGTCACCGCCAAGCTTCGCAAGCACATGCAACATGCACAGCAGGCCGAAAGTTGTGTGATTTCCGTTCTGCACAGTAAAGACTTCTGAAAAATCCCTCCCGTGTGACTCAACCATAATCCAGAAAGCGTCCCGCACCTCAGCACTGTCCTTGTACAACGGGGACTCGGAAAAACAGCCAAGCCGCTCTGCAGAACACTGCTCGCCCTGTCTGCGGCGGTGTACGGATCTGGCGTAGTCGGAAATATCATGCGCACTCCACGCATGTGCGTAGTCCGGGCACTCCAGCGCCTCCAGAAGGTGGTCGGTAAACTGCCCACCACTGTGGGGCGCCCAGTCGTTCTCCGGGTGCGCCGTTCTGGCTTTAAACCACGCGACGTAGTCCGGCGCAAGGGCGGCGCAGTTTTTAATCTCGACGGAACTCAGCGCGATCCGCGTTGTGATTTCGCACACGCCTGTAGTGCTATCGTCACGGTCCCGATCCTCGCCACGCGAAAACTTTGCCGCGAGTGACGCCGTTGTCGGGTCGACGAGTAGCGGTATTTGGAAGCAGTGCGAAACGCCCTCCCGGTCTTGGTAATCGGTTTCCGCTTCCCGCGTGCGACTCCACCGGAGCCAGTACCGGACGGATTCGTTCCACAGCAAATGCGCCACCAAAGGGAGATGTCTGTGGAACTGCGTCTCCTGTCGCAGAACCTCGAAGATTCCAGATCCGCCCTGGCTTGTAATCTCCATCTCACACCGCAGCCAATAGTCGATTACCTGTCATGATGAGTAACCGTGCCTTCGCCTTCCATGATGCTCTCCCCGCGAAGAATTGTATAATATAGTGCTAATTTTTATTTTTTGTACTGGTGAAGGAGAAGATACTTTTTTAAGATCTTGAGTTCCCAAATGCAAGTATGCGCTCTGAAACATGAATCACAAACACAAACACACCACGAGCAGAGAAAAAGATACCGCTCTCCGCAGCTCTTTGCTCCAGAGTCGGGACTGATCGACGAAGGTCTGGACGTTGTCCAGCGCCGACGACAGAAATGTAGTGACGTCAGCTGAGATGGTTTTGTCGAGCGTCACACCACCTTGGCCGTGGTTCCCTCCTTGAATGCGGAAGCGGTAGCGGGCGTAGCAGAGTAACAGCAACAGAATCCCAAACGCGGATCGCTTCCAGGCAGCCTGTATTGCGAGGCGGTCTGCGGCACTCAAGTGCAAATCCGATCGGGGCGGGGCTGTTGTAGCTGCGCTGTCTTGCTCTCCGGCTGGTGGTTTCTCTATTTTCAATAGGGCCGCGTAGTAAAAAAGCACCACGAAAAAAGTCGACATCTCTCTGCATCTGCTCCACCGCATGGCGTGCCCAAAGACCATCGGATCATCGACGAGCGCCTGTAGTGTGCGCCAATGGCCGGCACCTACGTGCGTGCGAACCCGCGGACGACCTTCCGGCGCGATTTCTGGGTCGTCTTCGTCGAAGGCTAGGTCTCCTTGTCGCTCCCGGCACATCCATAGCCAGGCCAGCATATGCATCCGGCTTTCATAGATCGGCCCGTCGAAGCAGGAAAGCCCATATCGCGCGAAGAAGTTTAAGCATACCGCGCTGCCACCAACGTCGAGATGCAGGTAGGTGCAGCCCCCACAAAATCCGCGCCATTCCCCGGAGGTTTGCTTCTGCCCGAAATACGCCATGACCGCGTGCGTGCGTCCGTGTGCGGAGCTCCGGTCCTCGCGATAATGCTCGAACCGCGCCGAGCCCGGTTTTTCTACCGGCACTGCGGCGGGAAGTGCCAAGTTCTTCCATGGCCTTACCGGGTAGGTCAGCACGTAATCAAGCACTGGTCCCCGGACGACCGCGGACACGCTTTGCAGCCGCGCCAACGAGCGGCAATCCAAGAAGTCGAGAAAGAAATCTTTTCCGAACCCGCCCACGAGATGGAGCAAGAACAGGTGGCTGTGGGTCACGCTGGTTTGCGGGTCCGCCGCCACAACGTTCACGACATCTCGGCCCTGGCGGCTGGTTTTTCGCAGCGCCTCAATCGACTTCAAATCTAGGCCGTCAAAGATTCGACCCGCAACTTCGGCGGGAAGAGAATCGAAAGACGGCATGTTGATAAAGATTGATGTGCGAGTACTACGTTGTTGGCATGACGATGACCAATCAAAACATTTACATTTTTACATTCACCTTAAGCTTTTTTTTCTGGAACCACGCAGCTTTTTTTGATGCAACCGAAGCAACCCAAGAGCCAGGAGAACATTGAACATCAGCAAAAATAGGGCGCAGATCAAAGATCTCGAGGTCAAGATCATATTTTGTCTTGCTACTGCTTTCGGCAATGGAGATCCTAGCAAGAAGCATGTCTTGATGGATATCGATGGATCGTGGCTGCAAGCACCTGCAACTCGAACGAACGTAAACAAAGAGCTTGTCTCGAACAGTTTCTGATGATGAGGGGACAAAAGCGGTTTCGTGCAACAAGTGCCTGAGCACCTAGCATCTGCTATGGGGTGGATCGTGCTGCTGCACTGTAAACACGTGATCGGGGAATAGGTATAGGAAAATAATCTGCCAACAACAACATCCACTTCCAGATCTTGACTAGTACCATTTTGCATTATCAGCGTCGCAGTTCCAAGCTTATTCATCTCTATCAGAGCCGCTTAGAGCTGCATCATAATCGAATTCCGAGTCTGATGAATCGCCTCCCACAACTATAGCCCCCCTCCTCTTTACCTTCGGCGCACGGGAAATTATGAAAGCCAAAGTCTCATGCGCGCATCTGCTATTGGAATTGGTTCGTGAGCTGCAGCACGGATTTTGAATGCAAACGTGGTAACCACAGACCAATTTCAGCTGTATCGGAAGCTTGCGAAGGCGATGTTCGCCTTCAATCACGTGCGTCGTAGCTGCATGTATTTTCCTCGTCGAAGAGCATTTCGATTCCTCTTCGTACCACGCACAATTTCAATTCGCTTTCGCGTACATGCTTACTACATAACGCAATAGCAGCCGCACATTTTTAGCGTCCAACTTCATAACTCCCAGAAGCCAGGGATTCTCCGCTAGTCGCTTTCGGCAAAGTTCTTTCGCTTGATGGGAAGTCAGCACACCGCGGGGAATGGAATTTGTGTCTTCTTCCGTTTCTTCCGGCTCGAACAGGTGACCTTGCTTCCCATGGAGCGCTGCCGTTATCCAGTTCAGGTCCACTTCGTTTTGGCCGTCCAGGGTCGCAACTCTTCGCTTACACGGTTCTTTCAGCCAACGAGGAAGTGTGGAATCGTCGCGCCCCAGCTCCTCCTTGTCGTACGGAAACATGTACCCACAAATCGTGGCCGCCCACCCTTTTCCAAGCACCGGCGCAAGCTCCACCAAAAGGTCCAGTAACGGCAAAAGAATTAAAGCAGAACAGCCCCAGCGCACGTCTTCGTTTTCCGCAAAAGCTGCCAAGCCAGGTCTGCAGGCTTCCAGAAACTTGGCTACAGACTGCTGCACGCGCGGCGACTCCAAGAAAACCGCACTTTTGAAGAAGTTCCTTGCGTCCTCTTCTGTTTGCTCGTAGTACTTCCGGACTCGGAGGGAGAATTTCTTCATGTAGCTAAAATTGTTTACTCGTCGCAGACGCAGGGGTTCGTTACGCATCATGAATAGGTTTTCAGGGTCATTTTCCGTACGCGCCGCTTTCGCCCGGCAATGAAACCAATGGGCGTAATCTGTTGCTAGCACTGCCTCGTTGGTAATTTTCAGCACGTACTCCACCGGCGCGTCTGAGCTACACGCATCGCCCTCGTCGCTTCCATCTTCATCGTCACCAGAGACCTCCATGCTGGCCTCATTGTCGCTCTCGTAATTGTAGCTCAGGTCGCTGCCCTCATCCCTCAAATCGTAAGCAAGACTGGCGGTGGAGGGATCTAGCACATTGAGGAACTGGAAGCACAACTGTGCATCGCTGGTCATGCCGCCCCGCGCGCTTCTCCGTAGCAACCACCGAAGGGTCTGGTTCCACAGGGTGCTTGCGAGTAGGGGCAGTATGCGCGTCAACTGCTCCTGTCGCCTAAGAATCTGAAAAAGCCCTTCCGAACCAAACTCAATCTCTGCCTGTAACCAGTGGTCCAATAACTGTGGTGTAGGATAAAGTTCGTCATCATCGCTTGATAAAATCAAAGGAAACCAAGCTCCGTGTAGTACACGAACAAGGGGGATGAAATAATAGGACGAATGAAAAAGAATTGCTTTTTGTAGTCTTCCGTGCGATGAAAATGAAAAAGAACATCGATGAATTTACTGTCCGTCGCTGCCTTTTGCTCCAAGTCGGTGCTTCCGTTTGCAAAACGCGTTGGTCTGGGGTTGTAGTCCAAAAGAAGCCGTCTGCACAAAAACTTGTAACTGGTTTCCCCTTTTCTAGTGCGTCCAGAAGAAAATCCCCAACTTCAGTCAGGACAACGTCATCAACCTCGCTTTCCGGTAGCCGCCCATTCTCCACACGATAGAAGTAGCGCGCAAAGTCAATGACGAGCATCAGAAGGGCAAAGCCAGACTGTCTCCAGCTCTGCTGAATGGCGAGCCGGTCTTTGGCCTGAAGGTTGGCGTCCGTCGCGAGGTCGCTGAAGCTGCTGGGCTTGCTGGTGGATTCGTCTGGTGTCTTGGTCTTGCCGTCGTCGTCCTCATTGACCTTTTCGCCTCCATCCCCACTTGAAGCTTCTTGCTCCTTCATTGTGACATCGTGTTCCTCCTGCTCCTGTAGGAGGTGCTTGCTGTGTTGATCTGGGTCTGCTGTATTATGTACTTCTTCGCCTCGTTCGTCCGAACCCGAAGGAGCCGCGGTCTCCTGTGCCTGCTTCGATTTGAGCAACGCACAGTAGTGAAACAGCACTACAAAAAAGCACGACAAAGGCGCCGGTTGCGGGTAGTCATTGTAGTTCCAAGACAGCTTCATCGCGCATGCACAATAAAACGGATTCTGGATCACGCGCAGCAGACTTATTCTGTGAGGTTCTCTGCGGTCAAGCGAAAAAGGATAAATATTATTCCGCAGGTTTATCCATTTTTCGGCCGCACTCCAGTCGTTTTTGACTGCGAAGCGGTCGTTTCCCTCTTTGAACGACATCAACCTGCAAACCGCTTCTTGGCGACAGTCCAACCCGGCTCGCAACAAGTAGAAGCGGCACCATGGCGCGCCGGCGCGATCGAGGTCGGCTACAGTCCTGCACCGGGTGTTTCTGAAGAGTTCTACCCGTCGAACGCTCGCGTCTTCGTGCTCAGGTTTGGATGAATGCGGCATGCTGAGCAGGTGAAGAACCGGACGCGTGCGGCGCAGGCTGAGAGAGTCCTCGTCTGCGATCTTCCTGCGCTCCTCCCTCGCCTCAACGGGCGGCAGCGGCGGCGACAGCGGGACCACGCGGTCGGAGATTAGATACGCATCGACGGACGTTTTGAACATGATCGAAACTTCCCGCAGTCGCGCCAGACTGGTGACGTCCAACCAACCCAAAAAATCCAGGTCGGCTCCAAACCCGTCCAAGAGATTCAACACGAAGAGAGCCGGGCATTTGACACTGGTGCTGCTCTCCACGCTCCCATCGAAAATTTGACGGCAAGCACCGCTGGTCTTGCTGAACCGGTCTGCGCTGCGCAAGTCCAGAAAATGCACTACTTGCAGCCCAACATTGCTTGGCAAGGCGGCGAATGGATCAACTTTCTCGCCGGTTTTCGTGGTGGGTACAACTGTGGACTTCGAAGTGGAAGCACTAGGTGGAGATGGCATTTTGTTCCTAGCTGTAATTGAATTGCTACGAAGAACCAAGAAAGAAAAGCAAAGTAAAGTACTTAAATTCAAAAAGAAGGGCCTCCTACTCAACTCCTTTTCCTTTCATTCGAGCATAATTTTTATTCTGTCTGCTCTACAAACCTGTACTGAGGTTATAATTTCGACAAGTTAATGGATTGATTTTGTCTTGTAGCGAAAGGCACCGCAACATTGTGCTTTTTTTTCAAATCCAGATGCATAACCAAAAAGCGCTACCACGTATTTTCTGCTCGTGCAGCCTCCGAGGCACAGACACAGATTGATTTGCGAGACTAATAAGTGCGCGGATCGATCAGACAAAGTAAAGCTGCGTCCGAGACCAACATAGCAATGAAAATCGCGGACGCTTCATCAGCTTCAAAGTGCTTTCTAAGAAACAGCAACTGGAAAAAGAAAAACTTGACAACTCTGGAAAAAGAAAAACTTGTCATTCTGTTCACGATCGCATATGAATGATCAGCTCTGAAGATCAGGATAGCAGGTGTCGCAGATCAACAATGTCTACCTCGACCTGCCACTGCAGGGTTCTCGAGAACAGCTCAACGCACAGATGTGAAAAAATGATCGCTTTCGCTGCAGCAGAGGGAACAAACGATGCCTTGTTTACATTTTCCAATGATACGTCTGATGCTTTGCACCAGGAGAAAAGTCAGAGACTATCAATTCCATTTCGTCAACTGGCACCCCCATGGTCAACCAAAGGCTTTTCTCCTCCATTTCCCACAGCTCTACTCCTCCTGCTCTTCAAAAACTGTACGCTGTCCGGTGCCCACCGAAACCCCGCCCGAGAACCACCGCCGTGCTCCAGAAAGATAAACAGGACGACGCGCAGAAGAACGAAAAACGCCACGTATCGGATCCGTAGCTCGGTGGTCTCCTCCTGCTTCTCGTCGTCGTACAATCGCTGGTGGTCCTGCAGTTCGGTTGCAACGCCATCTGCTTGCTCGAAAACAACATCAGGATTCGTGTTCCAGAAATCACCCGCCGCCATTCTACTTGATATACCTCGAGCACCTCTACCAGAACCAGTTCTTGTTGACGTCGACGATAATTTCGTCTTGCCCGCACTTACGGGCGGACCACGACCACTTCTCGTCTCGGTACGATCGTGATAGCTGCTCGTTTCGCTCGGTTCTTCGCGGTAGTCGCTGAAAATCGCTCGGGGGGAGAAGCCCAGGTCCCGGGCGAGTTCTTCTCTGGTCATTGCCATTTCGTCCTCTTCCAAGTCGAATTCGGTGGCGACGTCCGAACCGCTTGCTCCGTGGAAGGTTGCGTGGGTTTCCTCTTGCAGCTGTTCCTTTGCGCCTGCGTGTGGTCCAACATGAACTTGGACTTCATCTATTTGTTCATCCTCGTCGAAGATTGTCGCTGGGGTTGCGTCTTGATAGCTGCCCTTTTTCTTCGCAACGGTGCGACTAGCGCTAACGGAGGATCCATCCCCGCCACGAAAGTGCGGCTTCTGCGCGGAAAGTGGCAGCTTACTCCCCAGTTGCAGACGGGGAACAAGAGTGGCTGGGGGCTTGCTGTTGCTGCCGTGTTTCCCGACATAGTAGTTTTTCGTGGCGCTCGAAGCCGAAATTGTCGTCGCATTAGAGGTTGAAGACGAGGAGGACGAAGCCGAACCGGCAGAACTACTATTCCTCGTGCTGGCAACAGACGAAGTAAGGTGATCTCCCTGACTGCTCCCGAAAACGTGATCTAGCTTCTCCGGTCCGGTCGGGATCTCACCTCCAGCGCCGGAGTTGCTTTGCTTGGAACTACGCATCATGGGGTCGGTCATCTTGGATTATCAGCTTTTTGTCTAATATTCACATTTGGTTTCTTGCCAAAGCGTACAAAGCCAAAGAGGCCAGCGATTTACGTCTAGTAAGCTTCGTGCATTCTACTCGTTCCTGGGACAGACTTCTCTCAGCATACGTCGTAGCCGTGCGCCAGCGGTCGGGAGAACAAGATCACCGCCGCGGGTGCAGATGAGAGGGCTCTGCTTTGCCTTTGGCATTTTCATTCTCCTGCCTGTCTACGCAAAACGTAGACGAGATTAAGGGTAATGAAGCGGCAGTAACTTCCAACCACACCGTTGACGCTGAAAACAATGACGAACAACCAACAAAACAAAACATCTGCTAGAACATTAACAGGAGAGCCTCTCCGTGGTCACTCTTGAGCTTCAGCCCTCACAAAGATACTCATGGCTACAGTGGAACAGAAAAACTCAGCAAGATCATGAATGTATCAGGAAGAGCTGAAGCCTATGTAAGTACAGCAAGAAACCTCATCGTCGCTATGAATCTCATGCAAGGTAGATGTAGAATCCTACAGCCTGCAATACATTGTCGCATTTCATTTTTCAGAACCTTTTTATTTTTCATGTACATGCCATGTCGCTACTTCAAGTTCGAAAGATATTCGCGGGTTATGTTGCAGAAATCATCAGAGAAGTCGACAAGCTTTTCCTTTTATGAGAAGGACCATAATCGCAAATAAGCTGGAAAAACTATAGTACTTCAGCTCGTAATTACAACTACTTATTCCTCCCCTTCGTACTTCGACGCAATCCCAGTCATTCCTTTCGTGAGCACCGCTGGCGCGGCTGGTGTGTCGACATAGCCCTGCCATGCGCGCCGGGAATTTTCGAACAAGAGCGCATCCTGCGCCTCGTTACCGGTGGTCAACATCTTTTGATGATAGTTTCGTTTTCTCCGACGTAATGCTGTGTCCTCCTGTTTTTTTCTTCCACTTTGCGGCAAGGTCGAGTTCCACTTTGGAGGTTTTCTAGTGTTTGCTGGCGATCCGGGGGGCCGATTCTCATCTGTACTATCGTAGTTCGTCTTCAAATTCTGATGATCGTTTACCACCGTGCTTGTTGTTCTGGGGTCATTGCCTGTGACAGCTGACATGTCTTCTCGCTCCATCTCCGGAAAGTCCTCGGTCTCTTCCTCGTACTCGGACGCTGAACCGTCGTTGTCGCTACCAAAAACACCCGTATTCGCGGGGCCACCACTCGCGCCCGATTCTTTAAAAACCCGATCCAATTCCGCCCCCAACTCGCTGGGGTCCGTCACATACCCCAACTCGCCCTCCCAAGATCGCAGGTCGAGCGCGATCTGGGCCTCGTAGGGGGTGACGAAGGGCTTCGGAAATTCCTGCTGTTTCGCCAGGATCTGGCCGCACCGCTCCGGACACGCAAGGACGATCCAGCAATCGACCTCTTCTAAGTTGCACAGCTTCGCCACATCCAGTTTTCCGATAGAAACCCGGTAGGTGGCTTTTTGCGCGAGGTGCAAGTGGTGCTCTAAATGTAGAACCAATGTCTGTAAGAATGGGCGATCCGCGGTGGCGAACAGTAACCCAACACGCCGGGCGTTCCGGATCGCCTGCACTCCGACGTTGTAGCGTTTTTGCATCAAATTGGTAGAAAAAACTTGCTCAACTGTTGCTTGCTGCTTGTTGTCCACAGCCTGCAGAAGTTTCACGTGGTGCACGCAGCCGAAGCGCATAACCAACGCGTCCAGCTGGCTTTGGCTGTTCCCCACGTAGACGTAGTGGAAATAATTAGAGCCCCGCTTAATCGACGCCTGTAGTCGAAGATCTGGATGCGATTGGGCTTCTTTCTCAGAAGTTGAAAATCCTCTCTCAACAACGACCTGGTTCCGTTGCAACACGCGTCCGCAGACGAGCGGGGAATTATCCGGGATAAACCAGCGGGACCATAGTGGGGTCAAACCGGTGGCGTGCGCTTGCAACGCCCTCGTGTAGACAGCAGGTGACCACATGGAAGATGAATCAGTCGCACAAGAAATCGAAGAACCGGTGTAGCTCGCCTGCCTGTCGCTACCGTCGTGCGGACCACAGCCGCAAGTTGACGCTCCGAAAGTTGCTTCACCACCTGATACTGCTCGATGAGAAGCAAAAGCAGCATTTTCTTTTTCATCACACTGGCCCTTGTACTGGTACAAGCCATGGTGCGTCCTACTTGTCCCCCTACTGCCTTTCGCCAACACAAACCGCCAACTTCGGACTTCCTCAGGGAGGGAGAAGACCACATCGGGTTGGAGTGCCTTGCACAGGTCCTCTTCCTCAAACCCAGCGTCATAGACGAGCACGAGTTTCGATTTGCGATAGCTGGTGTGAAGTTCATCTGGACCTTCACGAGCATCTGGGGCATCCGCGTCGTCTGCGTCTACTGCAGCTCCTCCTTCAACACTATCCCTCAGTGTGTCTCGCAGTTCCCTCAGTCTTTCCAGCAAAGCAGGTTCGGTCCGTCGGTTCAGCTTCAGCCCCGTTGTTCTTGGGACAAATAATGTCGGAATGCTCTGGGGTAGGCTCAGACATGTTTTCCCAAAGTGCACAATTCGATCACAGTTGTAATGCTTCGCGCTGACCTCGTCGACGCAGCAGGCGCCGTAGTCACTGTCGCCCAGGATGCAGAGCTGGAAATCATGCTCGGTGACTTTGCTGTTTATTTGTCGTGAACAAGAGGGTTTTTGCTCATGCTCCGGGGTGGAACGGGAACGGCTCGACGAAGACGCTGTTCTTGTGGATGGAGCTCCTGGTGCTCTTGCGCTGGACGTGCTGAGACGATCTCTACTCTGCCTCTCTTGTGCATGTTCATCATCTTCTGCCTGGCAATTCAGAATGTAGTCCATCAAAACTCGGTGCACGGTGACTGAGCCTTTTCTCGTCGGGAACTGAAGCCCAATGCGCCACCGTCGCTGCGGACGACCCGCGTGTTGAGAAGTGTCTCGCAAGGTACAGATCTCCTTGCAGATGGCATCGGCGACCGCCGAGAGGTCGAAACTCTCTGCCGTTTGGACTTCATCGTGAGCAGAGGGGCGGAACAGCTGCGACATGTTGTGGGACGAATTCGAACGGATTTGTGTGGCTATCGCAGAAACGAAAATAATCTAACGCGTCAATGAATGTGAATGTCTTTCTAGATAAGAAATCGCGGCGCGTTTATGCGTTACAGTCAGAGAAAAAGCCTTGGCCATCTTGTCTCCACGGATGAAGACCACCATAGAAAAAATATCCACTATTTCCACCTCTTAGTTCAACGATCCACCTGTCTGCAATCCTTTTGCGGTGAAGAGACCAATCCAGCAAGAGATTCGAATTGTTCATCGGGGGAACTATGCAATCATTTCGTATCCACTTGCATTTCATTTTCAGCCTCTTCGTTGAATCACCTGATCGTTGCGGCCACGACGTGCTCGTGCATTTGTTCTTTGTGTCACTTGTTATATATTTCAGAGCGCGGCTCACTTGTGTGTTGTGGCGTAGCTGTCGTGAATCTTGATCCTGAGAAGACGCGCGGCCACGATGACCGTTGCGGCATTTCGACTTTTCGGGATGAACATGATCGTACAATTTTCATCAGCAATGGGGATGAGCCTTTTCTAAAACTTGCGTATTCTACGTCAACCCTGAATAGTTCAATAGCGTCTCCCCGCGCTTAACAAGGTTCAGATCGTGCCTATGTCCATCTCAGAAATAACAAGAACTTCAAGAACTTCTTTGATACGTACTTCACAATCGCAATGCGCCGGAATGGTCACATTTGTCTTCACCATTCAGCTACACCTACACAAAAAGCACTCTACAATTCCGCATGGTGCGCCGCGAGGTGTTCGCGCGACAGGATCTTCGGGATTTGTAAATCCGGAAAACGGTACCCCAGCGCGAGCAAATCCCGGATCCACGCCTGGGCCAGTTTTAAATCGGTAACTTCGATGAAACCTCGCTCGTACAACTCCGACCACAGCTGCTCTATCCGTTCCACGAGCGTCGGCGCGGCGCTCGTCCACTGGGACAGGAATTTCATATCCTGTGCAAAAGTATCGCACTCGCACTAATTGCTAATATGCATGACAAATCCTCTTCCTAAGGTAAAACAGCATTACAAATTCCACTTCTCTTCTTGCCAAAATTTGCAATGCAATTTATACTAGTACGATACTTTTGCAATGCATATTTCACTAGCGCGGCGGATTTGAGGTAGAGATCCGATTCGGATTGGAAATCCTTCAGGTAATCGTGGAAGACCCGGTCGTGGACGACATGGGCGGGCATGAACGCGACGTGCTGTTTTTTTTTACGGGATTTGTATTGCATGCGGACGACTAAGAGTCGTTGTCGTTGATACTTCGGGCAGCCAGCATGACAAATCAATGTTCTTGAGGATGAAATTGTCTCTCATTTGATAGATACCTCGTCGATATCCCAGAGCAATTTCTGCGCGATGTAGCTCCGCCAAATATCGGACACGCGACCGTTCACCGTGATATGCATTGCAAAAGTATCGTGCTCGTACTCGTAGTAATCGCAATCATGCATGACAAATCTCCATTCCAAGGTAAAACCGCATGACAAATTGCATATCCATCTGTCATGAATTTGTAATGCAGTTCACACTAGTGCGATATTTTTGCAATGCATACGTCACCGGTAACAGCAACGCCCAGAACGCGGGTTGCAGATTTACCACACACTGCGCGTTGTAGGGTGTGAACTTGCCCTTCGGGACGACGATCCCCTTATTTTTCTCCTCGAACCGGCACGGGAGTTTTCCCGTCAGCCGGTATATGGCATCCACATCCGGGTCCTCGTCCGCGAGGAACTGTTGGACGGCAGGGGGTTTGTTTCTTGTAGCTGTACTACCGGCGGCACGAGTAGCTTGCGGACCAGGAGAAGAGCTACTTGTCGAGCTCATGGATGAATTATACGGGATCAGAATCGAATCGTGCACGTCGTTGATGTGGTCCAGCGGGTATCCGCGCGGCCAAATCCTTAAACCGCAGCTCGGCTGGAAGTCCAAGTACGTGTTTACGACCCTCCCCGCGGCACCGCCGGTCTTTTGGAAGGTTTCAATCACGTTGGTGTAGTACTCCTCCGCGGAATTCCCCCGGCGAGACGCGGGGTCCGGCGTGTACGTCATCAACGGGACGTACTCTTTGGCGCCCAAAGTACTAGAGGAGGATTCTGTAGTTGGTGTTTGTGATGTTGCAACAGTCGAAGCCCCTGCCGAAGATGAAGATCCCCAGATGGGTATGTCTAGTTCCTTTATCCTGTTATCATCGTCCGTGTCGTAGATCACTTGCGCACCGTGCTCGATCGCGTACAGGAAACCGATGTTTTTCCGCCCGAAGTGGCGCCATGGGAGGATGTCGATAATGTGGTAGTGCAATCGCTTCTGCTGCTCCACGGTGAGATAAACAACCCCTTCCACGTCGTCGTAATCTTTTGGCCCGTTCTGGTCCGCAACAACGACGAAGCACCAGCCCTTCTTCGTCATCTCGCCCAGCTTTCGCACCGCGTCGGAGGGCGGGAAAATGCTCGTGACCACGATCCATTTGGCGCAATTCTTGTGTTCGCGCTCGTGCCGCAGGTCGGATTGCCGGACGCCCTGAAAATTCAAAGGCACGTTGCTCGTCCGGATTCGGTCGCCGGAAAACCTTTTCCCGGAAACGCCCTTAAGATCGATAACATGAATACTGGTGGAGCTCGTCGCGCCGGAGTGCTGTGTGTCGCTCGCGCCGGTGGGCGGATGAACTGGGACGGCAGTGGCGGAGAGGGAAAAGAAAATCGGACTGGGAAATAAGGCCGCGCGGAGCAGTGCTCCTGCCAAATGCGACAGCAGGAGCCTCGTTGCCGAGTTGAAAGATCTCCTGGGAGCACCAGCTCCGCTCCGGCGCATGATCACGTGATCTCGATAGAGAAAAAGTCAAAACGGAACCGCTTCGGGAACAATAATTTGAAGTGTCTCACTTGCAAAAACGTCGTTCCGGAGCGAACAAAAAAAAGTCGTGCGACAAACGAACACAATGCTGCTTCCTTCAAAAAGTCGTGTCAAAGCGAAGCAATATAACATATGGCTTTTCGATATCACCGTTGCTGTGAGCAGCTTTTTGCGAAAAATGGCCGCGCAACAATATGAAATTCTATTCTTTTCTTAGAAATATTTTCATCGACAGACGAAGCGCACGCTTCATCGGTGAAAACGACCGTTTCTTTCAGAAGCGAGTATACTTACACAACGACGCTTGAGAGATGAAAGCTCTGGGAAAATTCTGACTGTAGTATCCAAGCATCTTCAAACTGCTATAGATACAGAGAATATATTCTCAGTGCCTATTCCCCGCCCCCAGAGGCCTGGTTTCGTGCGCGTCTTCATCTCCCGTCCCGGTGTCGAAATCTAATGGCATCCCGAGCTCGTCGCCCTCTATGCCCAGCTCCTCCTCCTGCCGCCGCCTCTCTTCCTGCTCTAGCCTCCTCGCGTTCGCGCGATCCGCCGGAAAAGTGAGGTACATCACCGACCAGATCAGTAAGCACAAGGTCCAGCAGATCACGCCTAATCCTGTCAATGCGGAGGATAATGCTGCCGCGTTCTTCTTTTCCTGCTGGTTGTACGCGCTCGTCTCCGCGGCAGTCGCACTGTGGCCGGATGCAAGAATATGCATTGCAAATATGTCTGGGTCTGGAAGGACGCGAATTTGTGACGCGCATTAATTTCACAACACACACAAATCTCTCATGCATAGGCAGCAAAAGGTGCCAACTTCCTGTCACCAAAAAGGAGGATTTGTCATGCGGATTGGGAATTGCGAAAAGTTCTCAAAATCTGTGATGCTAGAGCATCCATGACAGACCTTCTGTGTCATGCAAAAACAGCATGACAGAAATCTGCATTCTGCCAGACCCAGACATATTTGCATTTGATAGAGGACGTCTTTCGACAAACGGTAGCCAAACGCCTCCGACACAAACCCAACAACCGGCGCACCTATCAAATGTAAAAATGTCTGGGTCTGGAAGAGTCATGCTGTTTCTGCATGACACGGAAGGTCTGGCATGGAAGCTCTAGCATCACAGGTTTCGAGAAGCTTCCGCAATGCCGAACCCGCATGACAAATCCCCCATTTTGGTGACAGAAAGTGGGCAGCTTTTGCTACCCATGCATGAGAGATTTTTGCGTGTTCTGAAATGCGCATCACAGGTTACATCCTTCCAGACCCAGACATTTTTGCACTTGATAGCACCGAACAAAGCACCAAACGTGCCCTCGATGAGCACCCACAAGCCCATATCAAAACGAAAAATCCCCCCTCCCGATATCAAAATGAAAATTTCTGATGCTGATTTGCGTACACAAATCCGACCTGTCTTGCAGTAAGGCACTGCGGCCAGATCCGCAGCCTAGGTTGGAGCGCTCAGGTCTAGTTGTTCAGCATTGCAAACGGCTACCCTGCTCTAGGACCAACAGCACGCCAAATCGCTTCCACAATTGGGCGGATGCCTCTGCACTTGTCTTCCTACAAGACAAACCTGATCTGTGGTCACAAATCAGCAACACAAATTTTCGGAAACATACCTTTTCGATATGGGGAGGGGGGATTTTTCCTCCCAATAACCCACGATCTGCGCCCGGTCGGCGGAGGAGGACACCAATTCCGTGCAGATCGGCCGGTTGGCGGCGAAACTGCACCACGTGGCGAGCAGGTAGAAGGAAAAGCCACACAGGCAGGCCATGAACACAGAACTGCCGTCCACCAGCGTGCTGCTCAGCATCGCGCACCAGCAGGGAATCCCTAATAATACCGACAACTGCGCAACCATGACGCGCCCCCGGTCAGAGGAAACATTCCGGGCAAAAAAATCGCCCATGGTGCCGCCCAACAGGCAACCCAGGATCCCGCCGGAATTAATCACGGCCGCGATGGTCGCCGCTTCCGTGTTGGAGAACCCGAGGGTCAGCCAGTACATGTTCAGAAACGACATCGCCTGCCAGGGCGTTCCGCCAACCACCCCCTGCGCAACTAAAACCATGAAGGAGGGTATCTGCAAAATTCGTTTCGCGGCCCGGATCGCCTGCTCGCCGAAACTGATGGGTTCCCCGGTGACACTGTCCACCATCTGCGTTTGCTTCCCGTACGAGTCGGGTAGTTGCGTGTAAAGCAGGATGATTAGCAAGAAGGTGGCGAAACCAACCAGGTAGAAGCACTGCGCCCAGTTTTCCCCCATCGCCAGGACGTAGTACGTGACAATCACTTTTGCAACCGAGTGCAACGCGCCGACCCAGCCAAAAGCCTGGCCCCGCTGGTCTTCGTCCACAATGTCGGCGAGCACCGCTTGGGAAACCGGCATCACCCCGCTCAGCGCCGCGCCGTTCAGGATACGCAGGCAGGCTTGCATCGCTGTTTTGTTGTTTTTTTTTTCAGCTGGGTCCCCTTCCTCAGAAAACTATAGCTGCCAAGATCGAAGGACTACACTGAAAGAACGACCACCTCGTCCAAACTTCTACACTAAAATATTAATCATGTGAACAAGAACAGATGTTGATCTTCATTACTACATAGATACCGAGCGTGTGTCCCATCGGCGTTAAGAAAGTGGTGATCATCCAGACCCAGCAGGCGAGTGACAACAGCGTCCGACACCCGTACTTCGGCAACGCCGCGCCCCAAATAGGTAAGGTCAAGGAAAAGCTCGCGGCCTGACAGAGACCCAAGATCCCCAAATCGCTCGGGCGAAACCCGAAATCTCGCTCGAACGCCTTCATGCAGGAGGCAATGAGAGACATGTCGGCGGAGTCCACCATGTTCACCAGCATGATCAGGATTTTCGGGTCGATAACCGGCTTCCACTTCTGCAAGTCCCGCGAGGACATCAAAGCGGCGGACTGTACTATCGCACTTCCCTTGGAGGAGAGTTGCGTAACGCTTGTTTCTTTGCTTGATGTTGTCCCACCGCGAGCATTAGCCCCGCGAGCGCCATACACGACGTCGGGGCTCCGCGCCGCACCGGAAAATACCTTCTTGCTAGCGGTTGACGCGGCAGTTGAAGAGGTGGAATTCGAAGCGGTGTCCGCGGAGGAAACGCCGTCATTTAGCCCTCCTCCCGTCGGTGTTATGTGTCCTATTTCCTTAGAGTGATGATCGCTTATTTCGTAGCCGCTCGCTTGGGTATACCGCCCCTTCACACCGCCGGACTTCGTCACAGGCGGGGCGCGGAGGTAGCGCTCCATATTGTGTTGAAATCGAGTGCGGATGCGGCGCTTGCTTTTTCAAACTCCGCACTGTGGATCTAGCACTGTTGACTTTTACTGCCAACTGCCGGCCGCGGCGTTCCCGAGTCATGCATAATCGCCATGACGTACTTAAGTACGCACGTGAAGAGCAAAAGAAACTAGGTGGACGAGCTCGACTGTACGTGTTCTACTTTCTTCTCGGGAAAACGAGAAATGAAGGGGACTATCTACTGGGGAAAAAGAGGAAGGGGTATCGTGGAGAACAAACAACGGAGATCTTGTTGGCTCATATGAGGTTCAAAAACAAGAACAGAAGCCTGTGATTTAACGAGAAAAGCAGAAGAACAAGCATGTGAGAGGACAAACGAGAGATTTTCAAGAGGCGAAGCTGCACTCCCCCTCGGCATTGATACGAAATGCACTGAAAATTACGGCGAAGAACGAAGCAGTCGAAGACCAAGAGCGCCTGCTGCCTACTAAACCGATGCTAGCATTTAGGATTTGCACACCGAAAAGCGAAGAAAACGGACCATGAAATAAACGATTCAAAACAGATGAAATGTAATTTTTCTAAAACACGTTGAAGTTCTTTCATTTTCTCTCTCAAAACATCATGCCCTAGATAACAAAACAAGTTAAGCGCATTGACAACTTGGCTGCTGAACAACACCATTGCACGGATTATAGCACCAAAAATTATAGCAATCAGCTGCCTTGTTCGTTGTCGATGACCTCTCTCGTCGTCGTCACATGTAGTCCTAGATATGCTTCAATATTTGAAGCCCTCAACCCCACTAAGAGGTGTAGAAGGCGGACAACCACATCAGAAGAACCAACGCGACGAGAATCGAGAAAGACTTCTGAAACAAGCGACAAACTTCGTTAGTTGTAATAATAATGAAGATGAAATTATAATTAATTTACTGCATCAAAACAAAGATTCACAAGGTTCATACGAAAAGAGTCAGTGCCGATGTCGGTGATGTCGTGGTCTACTGCTATTAAACCTGCTCTCCTGATTATATTGAACAATCTTAATACGGAACAACAAATCGCCATTGATTTTTACGGATTTTTACGTAACTTTTCAGAAACTAGAAAGGTATTGTACGTTGACGCTCATCTTCACCTAGGTGTTGAAAATGAAGAAGCACTACGTGGTCGCTCAATCTTGAATGATGCGAATGATGATGAAAAAGACGTACGTGGCTCTGAATTGTAAGGAGGAGAGATGAGCACTGGTGAAGTAGATGACGTTGGGTCGGCGCCGGGCTGCTAGTTGTACTACGTCGCAGCAATTCAGGAAGTTTATTTTCAAGCAGTTCAAGAACTTTTTCAGTGCGGTTCCAGTTGTTCATCTTGTTACCGTGCAAACTCATTTATGCTTGCAAAAAGGAGGTACTGGACGCAGAGGTGGATCGGGCGGCGGGTACTATCCACTGCAAAAGTATCGTATTCGTACTAATCATGCAGGACAAATCTACTTTTTTGTAAAGTTAACTTTCATTTCCCCTTCTGGCGAAATTTGTGACATCAAAGAAGATGCGATCACTGATAGTTGTATTGGATACATAGCTTTTGCAATGCATAAGCACCATAAACGGCTTCGTGCAGCATTTTTCCGCGAGGGTCTTGTCATTCAACATCCAATCCGGGTTGTTCTCGTTGATCAGGACCTTCGTGTCGGAGTAGTGCATGTATTGTAAGCCTTCGCCGGCCCGTTCACACAGTGATTCCGCCCACTGGTCATGGCTCATCCCCAAATCCTCCGGTGTCTTCGATTCCTTCATGTGCAGAGACAGCTCCTTGCACGTCGTTTTCGGTCCGCATCCAGAATCATACTTACAATCCCAGCAACCAGGATATGACAGTGGTCTCAAAGGTTACTACACTGTAGTCAACAACTGTTAATGCATCACAATTTGTCGTGCAAAAAAACCTATTAAGGTCGCGCCCGGAGGGCGATATTGGTAACCAAAAGCGTGCGAACCACCCCAGTCAGTGCGAAGGCTACCGCGCATCCGAAGGGGCTACCGCTACAGTGCGAAGGCTACCGCTACAGTGCGAAGGGCCGCGGTCCAACACTGCAGCCCGCTTCGGGCCGCGCTCTCATCCTCTAACCAGGAAGCAAGGGCGCGCAAAAGAATGCGTTTTTCAACGAGCATCGCCCCGTCGTGCATAACGTTATGCACGAGGGCACGCTGGCCCGGAAAAATACGCAAATTACAAAAGTAACGCAGTTCTGTTCATTTCCGGCTGCCCTTTCGGGCCACCCAGATCGGGCTTTTCCAAGCGGGGCAAGGGTTCCAATTTGCGACCTCAGAGAGGTCGAAAACCGTGCCCGTGTGACACACCTCCACAGGCTTGACAGTTGTTTTTTTCTCGTCCAATCCCGGTGGCACGGGCCTGCGGAAAATTTTGCGAACCCCTTTTGAGCGGCAATTTCTAAGCGGTTTTTGCTTTTTCAGAAAAAGTTGTCATTTTCAATTTCCAAGCGTTTTCCGGGGACTGGAGAAAATCGGTAAATTTTCTCGCCCGCTTGCATGCTGCGAAAAATTGCATTTTTTCAACGTTTTTTTTCAATTTTAAAGCGGCTGGAGCTGCCCGGACGCGACGCATTTTCCGCTATAAAACGCATCACACCATCGGCCCCAGCCGAAAGTGCCATTCTCTTTTTTCAGATTCAGACTGGGCGGAGCTGCAAAAATGCTCTTTTTTACCCCTTCCCCGCTTGGCAATTGCTGTTTTGGCTGCTTTCCGGAAAATTCCCAGCAATTCTGCCCGATCCGCTTTCTGAAGGCAAAACACACTTCGTAATGCCCGATTTTTCCAGTGATTGCATACCCCCGAGTTCCTCCCATATGGTAACGGCAAAGCCTTCGCGCTGCGTTTGCGATGGATGAGCATCTCGCAAAGAGCGCTTTGCGCGCGGGCAAGCCCGCGCGCAAAGCGCTCTTGCGAGCGCTTGCGCACGCTTTGGTTACCAGATCAGCCTCCGCACAATCAAGACGCCAGTTGGCATGACAAAAAAATTATTGAAGCGCCATTAAACGGCATGGGAACAAGTAAATCTGTGCCAAATTTATGCGGGACACGACGCATCAGGCTCCCTCCCTGCACGACTTTTGCTAGTTTTGCATCGCAATTCATGTAACAACAGTTGAGAGTGTAGTACTTAACGAGTTTGAGAGCGCCTTACAGGACAGGAATTGCCACCCATAGAATCACGACCCTTCTTATTTGGATCAAAAAGAACGAGACGAGGTGCCTTGTTCGAGTTGGTGCTGTGGTCCACCGCTTCTTCTATCGGAGTGCACAAAAATTTCCTCCCTTTGTACTTCCCCTCAGCCTTCGTCATGCACATAAATATCGAATTGTCACACTTTTTCTCGCTGTTCTTGGCTCTGCTCGCTTGAAAGGAGCAGGGCGATCCGGAAAATAATTCCGAAATAACAGAATAAGTGCCTCTTGTCGCGATCTTTTGTCGCACGACGGAGCACATCAGGAGCTCCTGCATCTTTACCATTACTGGCACTTTTGTTTTTGCTGTGAAAGGAACCATCAGTAACATGCAACTGGGGGCACGACGTGGGGATGAAGTTGTGTACTCTACTTTTCATACCGATGCCACCCACCCTGAAAACAGAAGCGGACCACGATCCCAGCAACAACCCGCGCGCAGCTGCCTTTCGTCGCAGCATGATGCTGATACTTGCGGCGTTTTCGGCAAAAGATTTGCCGTCTTCGTGCTGGCTGAGCCAGGCAGTACAGTGAAGGGACTTGTTATCAGCAAAATTTCAATTTTTTCTTTGGAAATACAATGACGACGAGAATAAGGAGCACGACCAGCTTACCGTTAACTATAGTTGTAGACTATCCAGACACATCTTGTTCATCTGTAAGTTCTTGCGACTACTTTGAAAAGATGCAGTTTCTTTTTTCAATTTCTTGGGTCTACTTCCCATCTATTTATATCACTCAGGGGTATCAAAATTATGACTTTTGAAAGAGAATATTACAAGTTAAAGTTTCATCAAAAAGCAATCGGGCGAGAAGGGTCCTTTTGTGTGTTTTGATGTGTGTATTTATGGGATGCTTTGTTGATGTGTGTTTTGATGTTTTGCTAGAGCTACATAAACGCGGCGGCTCCACATATTTACATGGTCGTTTTCCAGCTCGTATAGACGATCACAGGCCGGTCCCGATTTATTCATCTTTATCACGACTTATGAGGCGTAACCGAATCCAGGTGCAGCACTTGAACGAAATACTCACACACAACCGAAGAACAAAAAACAAAAAAAACAAACCGAAAATTCCAACCAGGTGGTAAGAATATGCTCATACAGCGAAACCGAATGCTGGATGACAGCACAAACGTTTTACTTTGCAGTTCTATGTTCTGACACCACTTAACGACGTTTGTAGTCTTTTGATATTCTAGTTCGCAGCGCGGCGATATGAGGTCGTTTTTCGGAAAACATCTTTTGGAGGGTGTGGATGGTGGAACTACAGGTGCTGCACTTCAGGGGCAGGAGGTAACGCTCCATCTTCACAGGCGGGGCGCGGAGGTAACGCTCCATCTTGTGAATTCAAGTGCGTTTGCGTTTCCGAAGTCCACGCTGTGGAACTACTAGCAGTGTTGACTTTTACTGCCAACTGACGGCCGCGGCGACGTGCCCAAGTGCATATTAATCGCAAAGACGTACTTACTCACGTGAAGCAAGGGCAAAACAGCTAGGTGGACGAGCTCGACTGTACGTGTTCTGCTTATCGGGGAAACGAATGAAGAGAAATCTCTAGTAGTACTGGGGGAAAGCTAAGACGAAGAGACATGATGGGATGGGGGGAGACAAAGATCTTGACTGTAAAGAACTTGAAAAACAAGAACAGAACCGTTTTTTGGATTGGAATTCTGATCGCTGATCGCTGATCGGGGGCTTGGCGTGTCGCAACTTTAAGAGTGCAGCCGACTTTTTCATGAACTAGAGCTCGACCACGCATACTATTCTATATTCTGATACAAGTCCGATTCGTTCGGTAGTATCCGCTCCACCGAAGTGGGTTCACTCAGTCTTTAGCCCAAAACGTGGCATTGAGAATGATGGTAGTGAGAAATCAAAGACTAGACAACATAACATAAAAACTAGACCCGGCTATACGAAAAAACAAATAAGATGGCGACTCAGACTGACCGTGCGGTTTAACGGAAAAGAGTGGAAGCATATGAGAGAATGAGAAACCAACGAGACAGACATATTGCGTTTTCAAGAGGTGGAGCACTCCCCCTCGGATGATTACTCCTTTGAAACGAAATGCATTGAAAAAGCGGATAGAGAACGAAGCAGCGAAAGAAATCGATCCTGCCTCTACTTGAAGCGATGCTACCATCATCAACTAGGAGTTGCAAACCGACAAGCGAAGCAAGCGGACCATTGAAACGATTCAAAACTACAGATAGGGATAGGATGACCTTTTACCACAACATCTTTAATTTTTCCTCTCAACAATAAAACACGCCGATATTCAACGCCGAAAGACGTGATTCGATTTAAGTACTCGAAAGACTTTTCCGGATTTCTTTTCCTCAAATTTGTCTCACTATGCTCTTTCATCGGAGAACTACGAAAAAGCATCATCACAGGGTGTCACGACAAAGTTCATCTTTGAGGTTTGTTCATTTTCACGGATAAGGACGGAGCAGGTCGCACTCCTCTCCAGCAGACCACGGGTTACACCACGATTTGGTAGTTTGGACAAGTGTACAAGAGGGTAAAAATAGCAGCGTCGTCATCTAGTGCTCATACTAGTAGTTCTACAGGTTATTACTTTCAGCACACCAGTGCAGTGTTCTTGTGTACAATTGATTGAGAAGTCCAGTACTGGTTTCAACAAAGTTCAAGTGTTTATCGTCTGTCATGTCTGCTGCGGACCGAGGACCGTTTGCGAGAAACTTGAACTGAATAGCGGAATTCCATACTCGAATAGAAGCAACACTCAAGACGAAAATCCCAATTGATTCTCGACGGGAGAACGTGCGCTAGAAAAATGAGTGGCGGGTTGTACTTCTCTACTATACCTCTTATCTGTTCCTCTCTATGTTTGCTCTAGCCGCGGAAATAATGGTGGTGCTGACGCCGTTCATTTTCTTCTACTGCAAGCATACTTATTCAAACCGCTGCACCAGTTTTAAAGTTCCAAACCTCCAGGATCAATTCGAATTACCACGGACTGGCTCTTTTTGTTTGTTATTGCTTATGTCCGATGTTGAGCTTCTTCGCTTAGGTGCAATAGGTTCCGGTTCTTGCGGCTCCCGCAACGACGACTGACTCTGACTTACAACATTAATTTCGCGAATTCATTTGTCAAATTTAGCATTTTCATCAAATTGTAAAGGCATGACACTGGTTGTAGATTGCAGCACAAGTTGATACATAGTGTAAAATCAAAGCCCACAGGGTGTCGTCACGCCGATCACGACAAGGAAGCTAGCACACGCAACTTCACGCAGAAATAGTTTTTACCATAGGAATTTCATAGTGTCAGGTTTCAAAAGTGTGTGTCCACATAGTCACAGATTACTCAGGTTTCTGGTGTGACTGTTTCAGCACTTCATTTTCGTGCTGCACGAAAGCTGCTCCTCTGTCGCGCAATGAACGAACTTCACGAGCGCGGACAGCACTTGGAACTACAACTTTTTCTCTGCATCCGCTTATACTCGAGTCGATTAACTTCTTGGATTTGGATTTCAATTTCTGGTATTAACGCAATTTTTAAGTGAAAGTGTGTGTGAAAGTGATATTAACTGAAGTGAAGAATTTAAGTGAGTGTTTAATTTCGGATGAAGTACAGTCATTCGTACTTGTCGCTGAAGCATATTTTTCCCATCAGCGGACTGCGTTTTACCTACCTTCCGCCCGGCGGCGGTGGTGGTTTGTCGGTGGTTGCCGCGGGGTCGGGTCCCTCACCACTATTTTGCTCGTCTTGTTCCGCAAAATGTTCGTCGAGATTGTTCACTGTCTTTCCGCGGCCCATGAAACCCTTCAACGCGTCCAGGCTACTCCTGCGGACGCCGCTGTTATTCGATTATATTCCGTTTTTCCTGTAATTAGGAGCTACTTCTAAAAATTTGTGTGTATATTTTCTATCGTGGGTTTTGTTTATTTGCCGTCTACACAAACAACTTGAAAAAACACCATACCATGTTGCTAGGCTTGATGAAAGAAAAGCAAAAGTAAAAAGTACTCGGCCCCCTCGCCTTCCTTCTTGCCCCCCTCTTCTCCGTCCTCCATGGCGCCTCTTCTCTGTGCAATGTGCCTGCCCGCCGCAGCCACGGCGCCGAGGATGCTCACGGGCTTGCCACTGGTCGCACGGTATCAAATGCAAAAATGTCTGGGTCTGGAAGAGTCATGCTGCTTTTGCATGACACAGAAGGCCTGCCATGGAAGCTCTAGCATCACAGGTTTCGAGAAGCTTCCGCAATGCCGAATCCGCATGACAAATGCCCCATCCTGGTGACAGAAAGTGGCCAGCTTTTGCTGCCTGTGCATGAGAGATTTTTCTGGGTTGTAAAATGCGCATCACAAGTTTGCATTCTTCCAGACCATGACATTTTTGCATTTGATACGCGGGCCTCCGCCTCCTCCTCCTCGTGTCGCTTTGGCTTCTTGCTGGCATCGTGCCGGAAATACTGCTTCTCCAGGTCGTAAAGCCTGATTTTGTTTAACAAGTTAACATTTTCATTTTTCAGTCTTGGTGATGTTTGCAAAACGAATACCTGAGCATCTCGTCCATGACACACTGTTATACTGAATGCGACTGGAATCGGTTCGTACCAAGATGCATGACAAACTCTCGACCAAAAATTTCTAGGTATATAAACTTTTACCTGTTGTAAATCTTCTTCAAGGTTCGGTTTTGTTCTTCCATAGCGTCCTGCATGTCGTCCAAGTTGCTGTTGTATGTCGACACGTGTACCGCGAGTTTTATCATTTCTTTCGACTTCGCCGTACCCTGGAGTTTCAGACAGCCTTTTCGGAACTCGTCTATCGTGATCTCGCCGCTGCTATCAAATGCAAAAATGTCTGGGTCTGGAAGATTCCGCGTTTTGTTTTGCAGTTTTTCCAAGCTCCGCCAAGTCTGCAATGCAGGGCATAGCATCACAGGTTCTGCAGCCCCTTGGTGATGCCTATTCTGCATGAGAAATGCTCTCTCAGCATGGCCAGAAATGGACAGCTTTTGCACGCCATGCAATACAGATTTTTGTAGGATGCGCAACACGCATCACAAGTTCGCAGCCTTCCGGACCCAGACACTTTTGCATTTGATAGCTGCCGTCGGCGTCGAGGAGGTCAAAGAGCATGCGGAGGTCCTCTGGCGGGACGTCGATTAATTCTAACTTTTGCTTCACCTGAGATGGATTTTGATATTGCATTTCATGCAAGTCGCTGTTATCTCAGAGTGCTTTGTACTATTGCAACTACACTCACATTTCTTTTTCTTTCGGGCCTCGAGATTACCGACATGTGAGTTTCGACCCTGAAAGGCATATGCATATAGAAACATCAACACGATGAACCACCCGTACTATACCGTCTTCTTGCTAAGCGCCTCGTCGAATTCTTCTCTTGATAGCTCGCCACTCCCGTCCGTGTCTGCGGCTTCGAATATTGCCGTTATGGAGTTGATCACCAGTTGCTGGTGTCGCAGCACGATCTTCTGCATGTTCTCCGTGTTTTTACTGGCGGCGTAGATGGCGTTCTCGCAAATCACCCCGAGCACGATGTTCATCAGACCGAAGGAGATCAGGAAGATGAAAACCAGGAAAAAGATCGTGTAGGCCGGGTATTCCTTGATAATTGGTCTCGCCACTTTGCTACCCCAGGAATCCCCCGTCGTCACTTGGAACAGAGTGTACATCGACTTTGGGACCGATCCCCAGTAATCCTCCTTGCTCCAAGTACCGAGGTACCGCAGCGCCGGGTCCGTGTTCTGGCCGATCAAAATCGTGAAGATGATGCCGATCACGTACCTAGGGGATGGGGGTATGTTTATTGAGACATCAATTTCATGTAACCACAACAGCCCCAACACCTTTTGAAGATGAAAGAGCTCTTTTATGGTTCTGACGAGTACTGCAAGAAGATCCGAATCGAAAGCAACCACGATCGAGCGAGAAACATCAAACAAAAAAATTAATACAGGATGATGAGCAGCAGACAGGCGACCCAGACGAGCGTTTTACAGGCTTCCACCATACCGTTCACCAAAAGGTACAGCTCTTTGAACTGACGCAGCAGCTTGACCAGCCTGACTAATCGGAAGGCACGCAAGACACGGAGCACGGAGAAAATCTTCAGACCACCTCCGCCCCCGCCGACGATGGCCATCACCCAGGTGTCCAGAATAGCCATCATGATCAGGAAAAAATCAAACCTGTCGTGGTAAATGAAGAAAGCTTGACACACACAAGACGTTCCTGGGATGACTTTCGTTCATGACAACTGTGCGGGTCCTCTTGCGTCACGAATCATAAATTTGGGTGCTCGTGCACGTGCTAAAAGTAAAACACTCGTGCTTATGAATCGGAAAGAAAAAAACGTGTTAAAAAATACTTGTTCCAGTCGTCTGCCCAGTAGCCTGGCCATGAGAAGGCAATGATTTTCAGAATCATTTCTCCCAAGAAGATGATGAGAAACACGTACTCGAAAACGTTCCATATCACGTACTCCGACGGTTCGCAATTTGTGGTGGACTGTTTATTTTCTTGCAGTAGGTTTGTCATGCACTAGTTCTAGTACGTATGACATCACAAATTAATAAAAGCCCTGACACAACTCTAGCTGAAGCTTGTTTGCGAACAAATTCAAATCGAACGAATCCTGCAATATGGCAATTCTGTGCCTAAAAATCACAGTATACGTGGCAACTGAGATCGGTTTCCAATCCGATCACCACCGCGTTGATTGCGTATCCTGTGCAAAAGTATCGTACTCGTAGTAATTGCTATCATGCATGACAAATGTCCCTTTTTAGGTAAATCAGCATTACAAATTCCATTTTTCTTCTTGAAAAAATTTGTGATGCAATTTATAGTAGTACGATACTTTTGCAATGCATATTGCGATCGTCACGTTGATAAAGATGGTGAACCCCCGGCTGCGCACAATCTCACCGTCCGTCACCCATATCAACTGCAAAAGTGTCTGCGTCTGGAAGAGTGCCAGACTTGTCATGCAGGTTTTCCATGACCCATAAGGTCTGGTATGTAGGAGATAGCATGACAGATTCTGTGAGATGAGTTCTATCATGCCTATCCTACATGAGAAACTGCCTCTCGATTAGGTCAAAAGTGGACAGCTTTTGGTATTCATGCAACACAGATTTTTAAATGATTCAGATGTAGCATGACAAGTTGCTTTGTTCCAGACCCAGACATTTTTGCATTCGATAACCCAGTAACGGAACCCGGTGTGCACGGACGCGACGGTGGCAGTCTCGGTACTCGCATCGGAGTAATCATCCTGGTTCTCCTCCTCCTCTTCTTCTGGCTCTTCGTCTATCCTGTGTAAAAACGTCACCACCCCAGAGTTGTAATGCTGATTTCCAATGACAGGAACATTTGTGATGCGCATACCCATGGTAGACATTTCCAATCGTGTTCTAAAACTTGTAATGCTGTAAACAGGATAAGCAGATGGATTTGTAATGCGGCTGTCCACGCTAATCTGCACTACAGTACGGACTGACATTTGTCATGCGTGACCACCAAAACTTCTAGGTTTGTGTTGCGAAATCCCCATCTTGACTCTGGGGTGGGGACGTTTTTACTCAGAATATCGTCCTCCTCATCCTCTGGCTTCGTGCTCGCCAGCGTAGTCGTCTGCGACTGCTTGCTGCCGGCCCGCATCTCGCTCTATGTTTATTTGCGCTGGCGGTTTCTTTCTTGCTTTGGGAAAGAAGTAGGGTTTCGTCTGACCGTAGATGTTGTCCCCTTACAGCGAAGAGTTCTCTTCCCGCGTACGTTAAAATTTCACCCGTGGCGACCCCAGGAGGAGACTGGCTGTCGCATTCTTTTGGAGTCACAGGCACGATGAATGGTGCGAATCTGTACCAAATGCCGCGTGTCAATTCAACGCTACTAGTACTAGTTTGTGCTGAAGATCTTCACTTCGTAACGTGCAATCAAATACGAATTCAGATGAGTCAGGCGATTTTATTTGTGAATTCACTGTGTATTTATTTCTCTGTCCTTTATTGTGCGGCCACCTCTGCACCCTGGTGCGATTTTTAGTCGTGTGCAACTGCGAAATTCGAAAGAAGTTTTCTGCACATGCGCAAAACGATAAACCAATCACATACTATGAGCTCTCGTCACGGGATGTTGTACGACGTCAATTTCTCCCCTCAACAGCGACAAATCAGGATGAAATTCTCGCAACTACGTCTCTACTCCCCGTCTCTCTCCTTCCCCGTCTCTCTCTCTCTCAATGTCATTCGCTCTAACTTCTCTCACACTCAATCTGCGCATCCTCATCGATCCCTCAGTTTTTCGTTCTTTCATCCTCGAGGTTTTACAAAAAGAAGCATCTATGTATGAATATCGAATGGGTACTCGGTCTTCCGCGCGGAATGCTGTACATGCAGCATCTTCAAGCAAGTGCAAAAGACTGACTTCTTGTTCTTGTTCATCATCATATTGAAAGAAATTTATACAAATTTGTCTTTGTACAGGGTGGTATCGAACTACAGGCTTCAAAGACTACTCTACCTCTAGTAAAAGAATGAATGGAGGGATACAATAGGGAAGGCGGGTTCTTACTCTTTACTGTACATACACAGCGAAAACCGAGCGTGAACAAGTGATCGCATCAAGAACGGGAACGCCTGGATACATTAGAAAGATTACAAGCAAATAAAAATCATCTGAAAGGTTAAAAAGATATGTGAGGCACAAGCATTTCTCTAAGCTTCTACGAAACGGAAACCCGACCCTGCATATCACAACGGTATCTCCAGCGCAGCGGCTGCCGCTTGTTCCGCACGGTCTTTCTCTTTGGAGGTTTCGGTTTCTTCGTTCTTCTCTTCCTTCTTCTCAGCATCTTCGTCCGCAGATGACGAAGCTCCTGCAGCTTCGTCGCCTTTCTCCTCCTTACCCGCAGCTGCTTCTTCCACCACCTTGTTCAACAGCGACCCCTTGTCTACACCTTTCGCCACCTCTGCCGAAGTACTATCAGCGGTGTTTTTCTTCTTGTCCACAATCCCCTCGCCACCTTCCCCGAGCTTTTCTCTTGTCCCGGCAGGCGACGTGTTCTCCATGTTTTTCTGATCCAGCTGGACTTGCTCGGTGCTATCCACCTTTGGTTGTGCGTTCTCCGCTGCGTGCGCGAGCTGCCTGGCACGCTCCTGGGGTTCCGTCGACGTCCACCGGTCCACGATGTCGCGACTCACAAAAGCCGCAATGGAATGAAACAGCTGCTTCATCGCGGAAATCTGGTTCGTTGCCCGGTACTTCTGGTCCACCTGCTTCTTTTTGTCGTTCCACTCCTTCGCGGCAGAAAGAAGTTGGTGCTCCGCGTCATCCGCCGTGGAGAGGCCGTTCAGAGACTCGTTGACTTCCTCTGTTTTGTAGAGTGGTGATTGGGATAATTCTAATTGTTTTTTTGTAATGAAAACGATGTTGAGAAATGAGCATCGATTAAAAGTGCAAATCAAAACGATTTTGAGGCACAACTCAAATCCTCAATAAAGTAAAGCCAACTATAATTTTTAAGTACTTACCAAGAAACTTGTGGTAGTGCTCTTGCTCCCCGGCGCCGTACTCGTGTGCCAAGTACTTCAGTCGGCGTCGTTGCTCCGACGCGGATGAGGAGGGCTTCAGGTTCTCCATATTTCGCACCGGCTCGTGCATGTAGGCCCGGCGATTCATGTCGCGCTCGATCGTATCACTGGAAATTTTTGGCACCTGCTCCTGTTCCTCCGTCTTTTTCTCCCGGCGCAGGTACAACGCCGACGAAAATATTACATGTTCGCCGGGCGAGAACAAGACGAGCGTTAAAAACAGCGGGAGGAAGCGGCCGGCGAAGAACATGTCGTTGTGACGAGGGTGAACAAGTTAGAGTTACTTTATGACTACATTAGGATCTATTTCTTCAACATAAAGTAGTCGGACGTTGTTTTTGCCTCAAGGTAGGTTGTCCTGGTCCCTCTCCAGGATTTGCAAAAAATCGAAACCGTCGCTTGAGAAGTAGACATCAGAAAGCAGCGAGAACGATGCTAATCACCTGTCGTGAGCAAGCTACTAAAGAGCTATGCTACTCCTTGACAGGACTCTCCCAAAATCACTCAAATAAGCCACGCTTTTGCATGGCGCCAGGACTTCTCACCTAGAATTTCCAATTCATCAACGATGCTGATACGAGGATCTCAATGAACGAACGCATTCAGCTTCGACGCCATCCTCTGCACGACGCTCACGAACGGACGGTCGCTCAGCGAAACACCACACCAATTGGCACCCCGCACGAGGCCGCCGCGTGGCTCGGCAAGACCAAGAAGCAGGTCTCGTCGCGCCACTTCGGTTATTAAAAAGTTTTTTCACCACTGCGAAAGAAGGAGAGAGACCCGGATTCATTTCATGGCTACAGCAGAGTCAACTGATCTGGCGATTGGACGGCCCAACACATATTGTCTTCCGATAGGAGTTAAAAATCATATACTTTGACTTTCTTTGTTGCAGAGAAAAAGATCTTCAGACATCATAAATAGCTCGATTTATTTTTTCGTCCCACAGTAAAAATACGACCTATTTAAATTCGCATAGTAGCTTCAGTCATTGCAGCAGCTTTTACGTCCTAGGAATAAAGGTGCTTTACACACCTTTGCTCTCGCAGCCCCATGCCTGTGCTCACCTTCGAGTCAGCTGTACAGTGACCTGTTCTTATTTCTAAAACCGAAGTTCTACACGAATTTTGGCCATATTATCTTCTGCGGATACAAGAGTATTGCTTTTCGTGTGACGTCGTCCTCGTCGATATTTTTCGTGTTCCATCGAGCAATATCTTTGCATCAATCATACCTTACCAGTAGTCACGTGACTGCGAAGGCAACATTTCTGTGTGTCTCACATGTCACGAACTTAGTGGTGGCGCGACCGCGAGGTATAATCTTCGAACATAGAAAGAAACTGACACTACAGACTAGTACGAAACAAACTTTCGAAACGGAAACTATCATACGAAACTAGCATCATAAGTTAGGTCGCTCTTGTACGTTTCATGAGGTTGTGTGGCATCGAAACAAATTATACTCTATTTTCATAGACTACTGCTCTTCCTGCATTGTACACTTTCATTAACGTTTTTCTATCGGTCTACTAATAATTCCGCTCGCCCTTGCAATCCTCCGAGTTGTGCTGGTGAGCTCATATTTTCTGTAGCGATCCCGAACTAACTATCAGGTTATGTAGAAGAAAGCTCTGATTTATTGAACTGTCGAAAATTCATTCGACAAGCGATGTAACGGAGAGTCTTTTCCTACACTGTATTTTTTAGCGGTGGCTGCAACTACCTATGTCTACGAAAAGGCGCTGACTAACTGGATCACCAGGTTGTAGCTTGTTCACACCACCGGATGGTGCTGTGAGCTGCACCTTCAGGTCACTCATAGTTTCAATATCGCCTCTTCCAAATAAGGTATCGGCTGCACCGGTGCTAATAGCTCGTCTCGCTATTTGTGTATAAGAAGTATTAAGAAAAAAAAATTGGGGAAGTTCACGGACAAAACTTTTTTTCGCTTCCTCCTGAAGCAGAAGGAAACTTTCTTGGCAACTCTCTTTATCGGCATGATTAGCTCATTGCTGCGAAGCAGATTCCTTAATCATCAATCTCCTCCTCCTTATGCACATAAAAACGGAACGACAAAATATTATGCACATAAAGCGATCTCTACCCAAAGTGCTGACTTCGCAAATTCCAAAGGCGTAGATAGTGGTGTAGTGTAGGTGTAAAACTAAAAGGTAGAAGAAAGTTCTCGGCAAATAAAGGTTAAGTGTGGATAGTAAAAACAGGCTTGCAGTTCTAATTTCGTCGGCGGAGTAGTAGTGTCTAAGTGAAGAAAGGGAGCTGCGGAGAGGTAGTAAACTGTGGTCATTAAATTTTGTTGGCGCCGTCCGTAGTCGCCTCACCACCTTCGACGAATAAAAAATGCATACAGAGCATAGCTCTTTATTTCTCTAGATGTGAAGTGCATTTTTTAATCATTCAGAAGTGGGGTCGTGTTTTTTCTAATTTCTGTATTATCATAGGCAGGGTGACTCTGTTTGTTTTACTGGTGCTATATTTCGCGGCTCCCAGGAGTCAGCAGGCTTACTTTCCCCGGTGTGATGTGGCAGCTCCTATACTCTTCATCTTTTTGACTCCTGGTACCGACGGCGACGAGAGTTATTTACTGGTTTTAGTTTTTCATTACTAATTTCTTGTCTACCTTCTATAATTTTTCGACCACGACTATGAGTGTCAAGTGTCGATTTAAAAAGACCTGTTTTTTTTCGAGTTCTTGTACTGAGTTGTAGCACGATTTGTATTCTAAAAGATATTTTGCTGTAAACTGCTAAAATTTATCCAGTGATAAGACGTGTAATACGTGATGCGAAAAAGAAAACTTGTAAAATTTCTCAAGGTTTTGAACTGTAACTTTATCCTAAAACTGTTTTATAATTTGCTAGAATTCTTGTCACTAAAAACTTCTGGATTGTTTACTTCAAGCGTGAAGTAGTCTTGTCTGATCTTTACTTTCAAAATACTGTGTTTTCCTTCTCAACTCATCGTATCGCGTCGCATAAGCACGCTCGACACGGTTCGATAAGTTGAGTTAGCAACTATCCCCCATAATATGCGAATCGGACGACAACGAAGAAAAAGTTCTATCCACGACTCCTCAGAACTGACGACAAGCGGTCTCTTATCGTTATCTCAGTCATTCAGAAATAACAGCACGAGCGCGTGCGCGAGCTGGAGCTCTACTTATGGAAGTTGTGTGCAGACCTTCAAAACAGTCAAAACTTTGCACCGCCGCTGCAGGAACGTCACAAGCAACTACTTGCCACGACCGCTTCTGTGCAATGCACGCAGGAGCTGTGACGACGCAGAGGAGGTTGAAGATTATAATACCTGTGGTCATGATATGGGTTTTAGTTTTTGATGTTTTTTTGATTGGGATCGTCATTGATTTGAAGAAGCTACAAGTGATTCTGTCATATGTCCTCTTCGGGAACTACCGTTTCTTACATCAGAGGATCATTCATTCATAGTAAATCATGCGATGCGAAAATGCAAGAAAAAACAGGGTTGTAGTAAGTACCTCCGTCGCACAGGTCGTCGAATCGCGGTGCCGGTGCACGCACAGAGCAGCTAGAGCGGGTACAAACGGTCTGCAACTGCATCTTCAATGGAGCTCAACATTTCGATGACTTGCAGCGAAAGCGGAACAACTACGAACATTTATCTACAAGTCGTGATTAAAAGTAGTACTACTGAATAGAATTGTGATCGAGGCTCTGACTCCGTGTGAAGATTGTGAAGATACACACATCATCAGCACCTCTGTTCATCTTCCCAGTTCCACTATCACTTGTTGTTGTTACTTGTAGGTGTACTTGCTCTTGTTCCAACAGGTCTGCATTGTCGCCGCGTTCGCTGGTTGTGCGAGTTGCCCGCTGTACTGCCCAGAAGTAGTGGGAGCATTCCCAGAACCCCGGTTGTAGCCGCCCGTCGCACCAGCACTCGTGGTGCCGCTGTGGCCCCGGGGTTGCTTCCGGGGGGGCAGGTCCGAGTGCTGCTGCATCGAATGATCTAGCATGGAGTTGTTGTGCTGCGCCGGCTGACCACCCGCCGCCCAAGTGGAAGCGGTAGTGGTCCCCGTAGCACTGCCGCACGAAGGAAGGTGTTGTCCGCTAGTCGTACTACTGCCCGCGATCGAGAACAGCGAATTAGTTGTACTTGTATGATCGTGCTGCTGTTTCATGGTGACATTCACACTGCCACAGCCATTGCCCGCAGACTGAGAGGAGGAGTTCGACGTCGTCAAATCGATGCTCATGTGCTGCGGTCCGTTGTTGTTTGCTCCTGTAGTTGTTCCGGAAGTTGTAGAAGTGGATAGCTGTTGCAAAGAGTTGTAAAAGCTGTTATTCCCCCGATTGTGCAACGTGGTACTGCAACTGGAGCCGCCCGACGAGAGCATTGTGGCGTCCACCTGGTGCGTGCTGCTATTGTGGAACGATGAATTGCTGCCCCCCGCGGAAGAGATCGCTGTTGTGTTCGTAGATAAAGAGTTGTTGTGCTGTTGGTGTTGTTGTCCTGGCTTGGTCGTGCACGAACCACCTCCGTTCAGCATGCTTCCGAAAGCAGAGTTTTGGTGTACTAGTTGTCCTTGTCCCGCCGACGCCGTCGCACTGTGGTGTCGCTGGTTGATCTCGCCCACCGTTGCGCGTATGCGGTGCGTCGAGCTTTCGGAAGGGTTAAACAGCGAACCAGTTGCGCCGTTCGAAGCTCCTGTGGTCGTTGTTCCGCCACCACCGAGAGACGTTCTGGCTTGTAATCCGCCAGTGTCATTGTGATTGTGTTGCTGGTGAATATTAAACTGAGATTGCTGATTGTTCCCCATGTTGTTATGCTGATGCTGCTGTTGGCCCCCGCTGGAGGTTCCCCCGATATCCGACATCTGCTGCGACGACGATTGCGAGGTTTGGGTACTAAATTGGTCTCGAAGACTGGTACCATTGCACTGCGAGGTACTGGACGAAATGGACATAGAATCTCGGTGTTGGCTAAACTGGTCCTGCTGCTGGTGCATCACAATGTGGTACGAGTCGTTACGGGGAGCAGTAGTTGCTGTGCCGGCACTTGTTCCGAGGTGCTGCTGCTGTCCAACGACATCCATTTCCATCGACTGCTGTACCACTTCCATTGCCTGGTGCTGGTTGTTCATACTCACACTGCAGGAGCCACCGGCACCGCCCAGAACCGTGGTGGTCGCATCACTGAACGACCCACGGAGATGTTGCTGCTGATTCTGTTCCGTCGCGTGTTGGCCACTGTGACCACCGTGTTGTTGCTGAGAGGACGAGTTCATGGTTGTGTTACTGCAGGGTGTGGGGATGCTTGCCACCGGCGGAGGCGCAGGAGCCGTAGTTCCTGCTTCCGACATGATTGCGTCCTGTTGCTGCGATGTTGCGGCGGAACAGTTGTGGTTACTAGACTGCTGCTGCTGCTGCGCCACCAAGTGCTGCGCCCCACTGACATGCGGATTGATGGGGCAAACCCCCGGCGGAGTGCCCTGCGGGATCGTAACACAACCGCTATGACCGCCCAGAGCACCAGATGTGGAAGCTTGTCCGTGAGCTCCTGCAGCTCCAGTTGCACTGCTGCCCCCGTTCACGACGCCCCGGTGCAAAATCGTGTGACTACGGAAACCATCGCGGAGCTGCGAGACCAGCGCGCGCAAGTCCGCCGTCGAAATTGCGTGCTCCGAGATTTGCGCCGTAGCGGGCGACTGGGACCCCGGGGCTTCCTGCATCAGTCTTCGCTTCTCCTCGAGCCGCTTGGAGGGGGCGAAGGAGTCAAACGTCTGCATTTTCTGCAGAATCGCGTGCACGTAGTCCTGATTCTTGTGGGACAGAAACCAAATGGCGAGCGCGATGCTCGTCATCTTGTTGCCGTAGAGGAGCTCCGGGTGGTACAGAATCACATCCACCGCATACGACTTTTTCGACCGGATCTATGGAGTTGTTCAGTGAAAGAGAACTTTCGTTTTGCTCATTCTCATGCGTAAATTTCAATTTGATATTGATACATAGTCTTGTATGAATTTCAATCTACAATCACCATGCATCCCCATCGCAAAACCACGGACTAACACAAAAAAGCAGGGAGATTCTCTACTTCGCTGTTTCTATATAGAAAGTAAAATCCCAAAGGGAAGTTTGGATATACCTGGCACTGTGTGTCGAAGTAGTCCAAGAAGTCGATCAAGCAGGGTACGGACAGCCGGAACCGCAGGTATTTGATGATGGGCCACTCCAAACTCTGGATGAAGGCTTTCGCCGACGCGCAGCTGAACGCGTAGCGAATTTCCGGCACCGGGGCGGTGGTCACGTAATTCCCGACGTTGTCGATCCCTCCATACTGCTCCGCGGATACGCTGGACGCAGAATTGTAGTCCGGGCCACCGACGCCGGAAGAACTGGTGTTCATTTCGTAACTGTTTCCAGCAGAATTCGACCGGTTGGCGGAAGACGCGTTGTTGTTCGCATTGTTGTTCCCACTGCTGCTATTCGTATTCCCACCTGCTGCTCCCCCGCTACCGCTGTTGCTGTTGTTACTCGGAAACAAATACGGCACGGCCGCTTGAATCAGCGAGTCGTAGTGCTTGCTGTAGTGCTTCCGGAAGTCCAGCTTCATCACCAGACTGGTGCACGCAAGGCCTAACGCCCGGTGCGTCATGGTCTGCGACCAGTTCGAGTTGAAGACCGGGTTGGCCACGTGCTGCGGCGTCAGCTCGCCGCCCTCGCCGATCGGATTTGGCAAGTCCTGGACAATGAACTGGGAGCCGAGCTGGGTCGCGATATCCTGGTGCAGATCTTCCAGGACGGTGGGAATCTGCCTGCCGTAGAGCTCCGATTGCTGCTGGTGCACCGCGGATAAGATGTTCGAAGGGTTCAGCGGAGACGGTGTGCCTGGTAAGTGTCGTATTTATTTTTTGTGGGTAGAAGAAGGTGAAGGACCTTCCTTTGAATGAGAACTTGAACTCTTCGATGCAAAAATCGTACATACTTCAGAAAACATCATCATGCAGCTTGAGAAAGCCACTTTATCAACAAATCCTCGTACCTTGCGCCTGGTCCGGCGTTTTCGGCGAGCTGGCCACTGTGGACACGCTTGCGGACATGGGCGACGGGCAGATCACCTTCCCGGCTTTGTTCACGAACCCCCCGGCATTGTGTCCTCCTTGCAGCGAAGAGGATCCGTTGTTCTGCAGCAATGTACTGTGGCCGAGACCGCTGCTGTTCAGTACGGTGTGCTCCAGAAAGCGGTCGAACATCTGGGTAGTCTTATCAAATGCAAATATGTCTGGGTCTGGATGAGTGCAACTTTGTCTTTGTCATGCACGTTTTGCATGAGCCATAATTTCTGTGATATATGCTTTAGCATGACAGATTTTTAGCGGGCTTCCTGATGCCTATTCCGCATGACAAATGCCCTCCCCGTGGAGCACAAACTGGGCTCCTCTTGCTGGTCGCGCAATACAGATTTTTTCAGAATCCAAAGGTAGCATCACAAGTTCCAACTTTCCAGACCCAGACATATTTGCAATGCATAAGTCTTGAAAAAGACCGAGGACGGAATTTCCGACGTTTCCAGTATCATCTTCAACCACTGGAACAGCTCTTGCCGCTCCGATGGGTTCCACAAACCTGTTTAATATTTGCGATGTCGGACCGAACGTTATTTTTCGCTCGAAAATTTCCTTTACTCATCTGAGATGATGACGAATCAATGCGAATAACAATAACTATTACCAAATATAGCCGCCGGGGCGGAGGTAGTGAGGTCGTGGGCGTTTTCTTGCCGGCCACCCATCACCTTGGCCGCGACTTTGCTTTTTCTGGGCCCGCCATACCGCCGTGAGTAACGTTAGGCCGCACGGTATGGCGGCCGCTTGATAAACATCGCAAATTTTGGCAAATTCCCGAAATTCCTTACCGAAGGCCAGCCCCCATGCTATGGGGCCGATCCGGGTGCCACGGAGGGCGCCCAAAAAGCGAAGAAAAATCGGGCCCATAGCATGCGGATTGGCTTTGCGCGTCTGGGAGGCTTTTTCTTTTTCGCGTTTTTATTACTAACGCCGGCGCTTTTTGCAAAGCTTCCCAGGCTCTGAAACCGGCGAAAAGGCGGCCGCTTTCGCGGCCGCCCAAAATGCTCCGAAATCGCGGCCGTGCCATGCTGTTTCGCTGTTCTAATTTTGGGCGCGTTTTTTGCGCGCCCCTTTTTGGGCGCCCCAAATCGCCAGAAACTAAGGCGGTGGGCGCCTCAGAAGGGCGCCCCTTTTGCCGGCTCCCCTGCGTCGTTTTATTCAGTGCGAATCGATAGAATCCGCTCGGGCTTTTTTGCCGCAAACGCCCCGGCCGCTTGATAATTGCAAATTTTTTATGTGCAAAAACACTTCCGGCCGCTTGCAAACTGCCGGTCGTTTTTCACGGGAGCTGTCAAAAAAACTCCCTGGTTAGAACCGTTCGGTGACCTCACTACATACAAAGTAGACAAGTACAAAAAAAACATCCATATTAGTACCCATCAAGAAAGCGTCGACGTGGATCGGATTGTGGCAGCTGAGTTCGTGCAGCGCTGCGAGCAGCGGCTCGAACATCTTCATCTCCACCGGAAATGTGTTGCGCGGCATGATGCCCGGATGAAATTTCTCTTGCATACAGAAGTCGTAGTGGGATATCAGTTTGTTTCGCTTTTTGAAGTTTTTTTTTAACTTGACTTTATCTTTACTTTAATACTTTTTATACTCAGGTTTTTTACTTGTTAAAAATTCATCCCCTCTTTTGGCACACAAAGTAGTCCTCCCTACGCAGTGTTTATTTCATTGCGGTTTGGTTGATGATGATGTTCTGGCAGACACAGAGGAAGCGTCGAACCTTAGATTTTTCTTCTTCAAAAAATGTTGAGGTGCGAAGAACTCAATGTGAACATACGAAACACTCGCGACTTTTGTGCGTTTTCAAGTGACCCCTCTCATCTCCTACTTCTACTCCTCGTGCTTCGCTCAACTGGTTTATTCGAGAAACAAACGACGTACGTCTAGCATTTCTTTCGAGATCAGGGACACGCACAGATGGACTCATACTCTGAAACTCGCTAGATTGATACGAAATTTGTCAACAAGCGAAGCTCTTGTTCCGCCTCTTGGCAATTATGAATTGATTCAGAGCGACTACCGACTTGGCCAAAAAAAAAAAAGAATTGCAGCACGCTTCTTCGACGACAGTTCGCAGCAACAACCGGTGTAGAATTTTGCGCTGGCCTGAAAAAAGCTCAAACAACGGTTGAAAGCCTACGCCCAGTGCGTGTGCCGAAAATAATTTGCCTTGCATTTCTTTAACAGGATGAAACAGAACCTCTTTACGTTTTCGCACTGAAGAACGTGCTGTGGTGCACAGCCCCAGCCGCATCTCCTACTTGTACTTGTGGACTAAAGTAAGTAAAATAAAGAAAGCTGTTGCTGCAGCAGGATTCGTGCAAATGTGCCTGTCCGCAGCGGCTTCTTTCCCTTGTTTGTTCCCCGGAGCAACGAACAAAGAAATAAATCATCGCAATTCATTGAGCATGACACCATACACGCCTCAAAAACTCACTTCCTTCATTCCTTTTCCACGCCGACCCCATTCACTCTCCGATACTCCTGCGCGTTCGCTAACGCCGCCGCGCTCTGCTCCAGACTCCGCTGCGCGTCGCTGTGTACTTGCTGCGCGGTTGTGAGGATTTCTTGCAATTGTTGCTGCAGGGCGTCCGCGTACCGTTTCGCGTGGGTGGTGAAAATCACCTCCGTTTCCAGTTGTTCCTCCAGATCTTTCCGCGCATTGGCCGCGACCTGCGCCTCCGTTCGCGGCAGCGGCTCGTCCCGCGGGTTCTCGTGCATCTTCGCCTCTTCGTCGTGCTGCTTGATCGCCTCCTGGCAGTCGCACATCAGGTCGCGTTTACGTTTTTTATGGATGTGTCGGGATCGAAATCGACAAAATCGAAAAACTTGTGATGCATAAAATGTAGAGCACTGAAGGCCTGTATTGGTGAGCAGGCATATGAGGGCGATTGTAAGCCTGTTTAGGGGTATGCAATGTGCTGCCAGAGTAGCATGACAGGAGCAGCCCAGCCTTCTTTCCCCAAACAGCATGACAGACTGGATTTCGGTGCTCCAGAAATTTGTCGCGCACCACTTGAAAACTGAGGCTCCGACTGACATTGATTTTGTGCATCACAAATTTTTCAATTTTGTCAATTTCGATTCTGACACTCCCATATTTTTTTCCGATCGTGTAGTCCATCGGGTTTGGAATTTTCCCCGCGATGGCGGCCGCTCCGGATTTAATCGCGCCGAAAAGGAAAGACGTGGGGGTGGATGTGTTGGTCGCAGCTGAGTATTTGTTGATCCTGTTTCTCGAGTTTTTCCAGACTGGACGGGAGCTGTTCATGTTGTGAGATTCTTGGTTTTCGGTTTCGAGAAAATCTTCTTGGCTCTGCAGGTGCAAATTCGAGTGGGAGTCGTGGAAAAAACTGCAATTTCTTCCTGGGTGGCTGCCTCGCGATGTAATCTTCCCCGGGGGCCCTTCCAGATGTGTTAGTTTACTGGAAAAAGAAGTTCTGGTTGCAGCGACCGAAGGACATGCATCCGCGCGTTCCCTATCATGGAAGAACCGCCAGGAGGTCGCAGCTGCGTGGCTGTTGGTCTCGTCACCGTCCACATTTCCAGTGGAAAAGAAGGAAGAAAGCATCGTCCCAGGATGTTGAAGAACATCATCAAATAAAACTACCCGGGCGGCCATCTTTCTAATACCAATCTATTAAGGTCGCGCCCGGAGGGCGATATTGGTAACCAAAAGCGTGCGCGAACATCGATCTAGCCAGCGCGAAGGCCCGCCAGCCTTGTTCAAGCTGACCCCTGGCCCTGACCTGTTCGGGTCATCGGGGGCTTCCGGATTTCTATTCAAAGCTTATCGCAGGAGCCTGCGGGCCGCCGCGGGCTCCACCACTTCCCCGCGGCCCTAAAGGGCCGCGGACAACTACTGTCGCCCGCGGCGGCCCGCAGGCTCCTGCGATAAGCATTGAAGGCGAAATCCGGCTACTTCGCAGCGGGACATCCTTTCGATGCCTCTTCAAAAAAACGAGTCTGTTCTGGAGGCCACTATACCGCCCCACATAACGTTACGCACGGGGGCACGCTGGCCAGGTAAAATACACAAATTTCAAAAAGTGATGCAATTTTCTTCATTTCCTGCTGCCCTTTTGGGCCACCCAGATCGGGCATTTCCAAGCGGGAGGAGATCTCATTTCGCGACCCTCAGAGAGGATGAAAACCGTGCCCGTGTGACACACCTCCGCAGGCTTGATAGCTGTTTTTTTTCGTCCAATCTCGACGGTGTGGGCCGTGTGACAATTTGAAAAGCCGTCTTGGAGCGGCAATTTCCAAGCGGCTTTTGCTTTTTCAGCAAAAATTGTCATTTTCAATTTTCAAGCGGCTTCCGGGGACTGGACAAAATCGGTAAATTTTGTCGGCCGCTTGCATGCTGCGAAAAATTGCATTTTTTCAACGCTTTTTTTCAATTTTCAAGCGGCTGGAGCTGCCCGGAGGTGACGCATTTTCCGCTATAAAACGCATCACACCACCGGCCCTTGCCGAAAGTGCCACAATCTTTTTTCAGATTCAGACCGGGCGGAGCTGCAAAAATGCTCTTTTTTACCCTTTTCCCACTTAGTAATTGCTGTTTTGGCTGCTTTCCGGAAAATTCCCACCAATTCTGCCCGATCCGCTTTCTGAAGGCAAAACACGCTTGGTAATGCCCGATTTTTCCAGTGATTGCATACCCCCGAGTCCCTCCCATATGGCAACGGCAAAGCCTTCGCGCTGCGTTTGCGATGGATGAGCATCTCGCAAAGAGCGCTTTGCGCGCGGGCAAGCCCGCGCGCAAAGCGCTCTTGCGAGCGCTTGCGCACGCTTTGGTTACCAGATCAAGCCGCTTTCTCGATTGTCGAGTCTCCGCAGCTCAGGAAGGGCTCCCGTACTACCGGGTGGGTCTCCAAAAATTCCGCGTGGAGTTTGCTTTTGTCCGCGTAGTGCCGCACCCGCTGCAGGTCTTGCACCAATTGCGACACCTGATTTTGCAACTTCACGATCCCCGCCGCCGCGCTGCTCTGGTAGGCCGCCGCAGTCTCTAGTTGCTTTTCCAGAAGCGGAGAATCGTCCGATAATTCTGTCGTAGGTGATGCGGACGCGAAAGAAGTCGTGAAAACTTTCGATGTTGTCGGACGAGTAGAGGAAAAACCACCAGTGGATGATGTTGGCAGACAAATTTGTTGTAATTGCGATATCAGGTGATCGGCTGACAGTAGAAATGCAGACCCAGACGTCATGGTCCTCTTTGGTCTGCTACTGCTTTCCTGTGCTGGCGTGGGTGCTTAATTTAAGTAGTGCGAAGAAGATGTCGAAGATCATCGAAGTCGAATCGAAGCAACAGGACTCCGAAAACATAAACGATTGAGCAGGGTGGATACACGAGCGAACTTCCTCGTCACAATAAACTCCACAGCAACGCTGTCGATGTTCGTCGATTCGCTGCAATTCTCAGAATGTCTGCGAGGAGTAGATGACAAAGCCTACGAGGATTCAATTACGGTACGATCCTTAAATGCCCCACACATCACGAAAACGTCGAACGCACGGCTTCATTTCTTCGGTTGATGGTACGCTCCTGCGACCACCGATTTTTTCGCCTTGTTGATCGAATCATTCTGACTTGCTGTGGTTCCCGTGACTCTACCTTCCTTTGCGAAATGTAGTACTTAGTTATATCATCGTATCTGCTATCGACGAAGTAGTCGGTCTTTGACACTTTTTCCCTCATTCGCTGCTTTTTTCACCGCCTTCTGTTCCTCGTACGCCGTGTCCGCGTTTTCCCGTGCTATTCTGCGAATCTGGATGGCCCGCATGGCCTGTTCCGCGTCCTCGTAGCTTTTCTCCATCACCTCATCGTTGCATTGCAGGGTTTCCAAGTCCGTACTCACCATGGGATTTTTGTAGGCCGCCTCCGCCTGCGTTTTTGCTTTTCCCGTGTAGATGCGGAGCATGTTGAGGGAAGAGTCGGCTTTCGAGGCAAGCTCGTTCAAATACTTCGCCCCGCGCATCATATTGTCATTGTACACGACCTGCTGCTGAAGTTGCCGGGGGAGTAGCAGCTGCTGCGTGAACTCCTCGAGTCGCATAGTTTTCGTTTGTGTTCGGTCGTGTTCGTGTACTCGCTCTTTTACTTTTGCTAAGCAGAGGCTCGGTTTGCATACGCATCAAAAGTTCTTCCATAATAAATTGCTCATTTATTTCATTCTTCCGAAACAGAAAATGTGAAAGTATAGTAAGTATTCGCTCAGATTTGCCTAATGTCGACACAGCTCTAATTGCTTCTGTGTTCTGGTGCTCGGAGCGGTCGCATGCTTGTTACTCTCATCAAGCGCGCAGACAAGTTGTTGTCAATATCATCTTCTCTCCCTGATGCATACTACGATGGTAGCAAAGTAAGTCCGCGCTCCACTCGGATTGACAAGAAGTGTCTCTCCGCAGCTGTCGATCTCAACAAAACGCAGGGCTGGCGACACGACTTCGCCACGACTTTTTTGTGGGCCACCCACAGGGCGAAAAACTTGCTTTATCGAACAAAACCTGCTACATGGACTTCGATGTCCAAACAATCAAGAATCCACCACGGGAACAACTTTAAGCACCTTTTTATTTTGAGTAGATAGTCAATCGAGCTCGCAGTTCTAACTTTCTAAAACAAAAGCATTATTGTCCGTAGGTTGAAACAGTAAAAGAGCCAAAAGACCTCGGCTCGTAGACCGAGGCTTTTGTCTCTGAAAATGATGTTTGCAAGAAGTTCGCGCATATTTTTCAGGATTCATTTTGTACGAAAGTGTGTATTCGATTTGGCGATCGTACGCGTAATAGACATCGGCTCCTTGAAGTGTGGTGAAGTTCTCGAGTTATAAGGCAGAAGCAGGTAATTGGTGGCGACGACACGTTCTGGCTTTTCTTCATCTGCTGCTTGAGTTCATGCTGAAGGTGCGAACGACATATGGCTCGGCACATAGCTGTCGTTCTAAAGTAAGTAGTGCCTGGATCGTCTATCATCTGCTGTCAATAACACCACCTGTTAGTTTCGCTGGTGGTCCGTTACCTTTGCAAGAAGAGAAACTTGCATCATATCTGTCTCCCGCCCTTCTACAGAGGCTGCGCGTAGCCGCATTGAGAAAACGAGGACTAGCGTGGTTTCAGCTTATCCTGAAGAAGCAGAAATGACATTTATGAACCTGCAGTATGTACCAGACCATCTTCGCAACGGATATTAAGTACCTACTCCTTCATCGCGCGCAACGTCAGAGATAAAGCCCACTATCAAGTGTGCCCTATCAGATAGTTGTCACTTGCAGCGATAATTTGTGTGTGAAATAGTCAGCATAATTGGAAGAAAGACAATACAGTGAAAAAAGTAGAAGCAGAGACAAAGAAGCCGAATCTTATCGTAAAAACACTGAAGATCAATAAGCCGAGTTTCTAGCTTTCGTTCCTGAACAAGCACGGCACGCGGTCTCGCCTAGGCATAAGCTAGGACAACAGCACCCCGTGCACCAGCTTGAAACGAAATTGAAAAACGCAAATTACAGTCAGCAAGCGGCACGAGGTCAAAGAGGGGACGAAATAAGATCTGCAGAATAAATAGAAGCACTTTCAAGAACCAACACCACAACAACGAAATTTCACTTTCTAAAAAAAAGAAAATCACTAGTAGATAGATCCGATTTCAGATCATCGATGCAGAATTAGCGAGGAAAAGGAAAAATACTTTATAGAAAAGTTGTGACGAAACGCATAAAACTTCAGAATAATTTACCTCCAAATACTGCTAAAAGTCATCTGGCAAGAAGAGCATAAGGCAATTTTTTTGCGATGAAGTAGTAGATTTTTTTTTTGAAAATGGTAGAATTAGCGATAAATATTTGACCTCCTACTTTCGATCATGCTAGTACTCCGAGGCCGACTCGAAAAAGGGTTTACGGTTTACGCTAAAAATGAATCATCACTATTCGCATAATATCTATTTTGTCGACAATTATTTATCTTCAGTAAATAGGACAACTGAGTTCGATGCTGAAAAGAAAAGAAGTACGTAAGATACATAGCTACAGGTTGACAGTATTACGCAACAGATACAGATAGTAAAACCAATTGCAACTAGACCCTAAAGTAGACAATAGTCGCACCGAAGGCTGAAAAAAACAATGTGAAACGTTCCCCAGGTTTTTTGGGCGATGAAAAACAAAGTCGATGCTAGAGAGTAGTTATTCTTATTCCTAAAGTTCCCACCTGTATGTCGTTTTGTCAACACAACGACTGATTGCATCAAGAAGCCGAACCGGCAATAGAGAAGGCAGAAAACAAGAACTCGAAAAAGTATTGTATAAATTTCATACGAAAATTGTAAACTTCTAATGTGATAATTTTCTTCCAAACAATTATACTACAATCGAATAATGATATCCTGCATTCGGAGGAGGAAGGAAGCACCGAGCAGCCCAGCCCCAGCGAAAGTACGGCAGATGTGAAATAAACCGATTTATTTCCAGATCAAGAACTTGAACTTCTACTGTTGTGTCTTATCTCATATTTTTTGACCTTTGTGACTTTTCTCGCGTTTAGTTTCGTATCTTCAAGATTCTTCTGATTAGTTTCGATTTAGTAGAAACGCGTATCAAGAACAAGCGGAAACAAAAGAAGCAAGAAAGCAGGTACTAAACCATTCCATACGACGACGACGAGCACCACATGAAGCAACATCCGTCAAACAGCAACACGCGGCGCGACAACATTGTGCGACGGAAACGACGACGGGGTTACCTGGAGAAGAAATGTTTCTTTACATCGTTTGTCTTTGTTCCCATTGTTGTTCTAACATGGGAACATGGGTCTGATGCTACCAAAACTTTCAAGTTCATTTACAAAACCTCCCGGTCAAGTGGGCACGAACGTAAGTAGTCAGTTGTTTGCTTGAAGAAGCACGCTTGGCTCTAACGTAACTGCCCGGACAAGTAGAACAGAGCCATGCAAATAAATAGGCACTGCGGCAGACGCAGCCTACGTATCTTTTTCCGATGCTTCATTTTCCTTCACTTTGAGTTTGATTCCTTGCTGCTGAGGCATATAGACATATTCTACAACATGAAATCGTACAACTGCAACTTCTCATGCGTCGTGTATGTCTCGAAGTCGAGCTTCTTTCTAGCGCTTTCTAGGCATGAAAAGCGAAAAAGCTTCTGCTTGCATAAAACAAAGTTCCTTTCATTTCCATTCGTTGTACCTATCACAGGTTCATTTTCAGTGCGCGCGCGATGATAACCCCGAAGTAAAAGGACGGTGAGGCCTCAGTTTCCATCGAACGAAAAGTCAAAGTGGATCAATCATGATCCGCAAGTAGTAATGCAAATCCAAATAATGCTTCAAATTCGCATAGTTACCTTGTCAAAATTGCCTCCCGTGCTGGAAATCCTTCCTTTATGCAGGCGCGCAAAAGAAGAGGCTCATCAACTCACTGTAGACTTAGTGGTTCTGGGATTTTTGAGCAGATACGGATGTTGCTACAACTGCGCCAGCAAAATGCGGTTAGTCGTATTCCTCTCGATACTTCTAGACTACGTTCGGAATAGTATACAATTCGAACCGCATCTTATCTTGACAAAGCGATACTAGGATCTGGTTTCTCCCATAGAAAAGTTTCATGAGGCAGTTGATGATCTACTTCTTGCGCGTCTCTAGTGCCATACGTCGCTTGGCCCGCTGATGTTGATCTTGGCAGATGGTCTGTACCACATTCCTCGCCGAAGAGAAAGGTTTCGCCGGAGGAACAACTGCCGCCACTGTGCACCGAAGATCGGACGAGAGAAGTCTCCCACTCTACTTCTGGGTAGCAGTGGTCCTCGCTGCTCTTCAGACCGGTTTTCATTGTCGTGTAGGAACAAGCGGAACTTGGTTGCAAGTCTTGTTCGGTGTTGCCGAACACTGTGGACGTGCAGGAGTCCGGCTTCTTCGTTCTGCCACCCGCCTGTGGTCCAGCACCCGCTCCCGCACCGCTCCACAAGTCTGCTTGTTGCCAATGACCGCTGCCGCTCCTGCGGGCTTCCGACACCGTGCTGCTGATCGTGCGTCGGAGACTGCAGCCCATCCCCCCGCCCCCGCCTTCGGAAGACGTCTCCGAGACCGGGTGCAGGGCGTAATCGCCTCCTGCATTTCGTAGTTGCTGCGTCTTGGTGCCGCTGCTCCAGCTCTTGCTATACTGCACGCCACTGTCAAATTGCTCGTCGTGGATAAAAGACGACGACCCGGAAGTAGTTGCACCACATGTTCCACTACCGAAAGCACCGCTGTTGTTAAACAGGTTCGACGTCCGGTGATGTTGGTGTTGTGCAAGTACAGTCATATGATCGTGGTGCTCGCGAGATGAACCGCCGAAGAGGTTGTGCGGCATAGTATGCTGATGCCTTAATACGCCTCCGCTGGTGCTGTCGTTGTCTACCGAGCGCACTTCGGAGGCGGTGGAACAGCTGCTGCTCGAAGCGCGGCCGGAGGCGGTCGAGGCGGTGGTTGTCCCGCAGCTGAAAGTCGTTGCACGGCCCCCGGGGGGTTTCGAAGCGGAATTGCTCTTCAGAGACGTCGCGGAGGAAAATAGTAACTTCCGGGTGCTCATATTACCTCCACTACTGCCCACACAGGACGGCGGCGTGCTACTGCGGTTGTCTGCGGTCTTGAAGCTCTTGTCCTCGTCAAAGAGATCATCGTCCATCGCTTCGGCATGATGAACATTGGATGCAGCGGAAGAAAAGAGCAAGTCCTCGGAGGTGTTGTGCAGTGTACTGTTTTCTGCTTTGCTTGACGATGTTGTACAACTACTAGAAGAAGCTGCCACCAGATTTTTCATTTGCTGCTGCGTGTACAGATGCTCCCGTACTTCGTCGCGCTTGGCCATGGCGGCCAGCACTCGGGGCGTGCACAGGTTCGCGCGAATGTGGTCCAGGTTCGCCGCGTCGCGGGATTGCAACCCGCCTCGCAGTCGGTCCTCCACGGAGGAGAGCAGTCGGACGCCCTCGCCTCCCGCACTCGCGTGGTTACTATTTGCGCCGGTGGTCGCCGCGCGACACAGCCGCCCCGTCGGCTGGTCGAACGCGGCGTCGGCTGGTCGCTGCGCGGAGGAGCCAGGAGAAGACTGAGCAGGAGCAGCGCTTGATATGGTTCTCGTTCCCACCGGGCTGGTTCTGTCATTTGTTCCACCTGCAGCTCCTGTGGTCGCGCTGTTGGTCATCATGGTGGTCGACCCCGGTACAACTAACGCTGTTTGTCGGGCACCTCCTAAAAGTTCTTGTCGCTCGCAGTCCATCAAATCCTCGGCTGCGTAGAGGACATTTTCCTCCTCATCTCCGCTCGTGGTCTTCTCCAGGATGAAGTCGTTGATCACCTGCTCTTGTCGTCGCATGTCCAGCGAGCTCGAATCCAAATCCTCGGCAAATTGGCTGTCGCGGACGGTGGACTCGATGCGCGAGGCAAACTTGCGCTTGTCCACGTAGTTCTTCTTGCCCTGCTGCTGGCGCCGCTTGGACAGCAGTAACGCCTGCTGGGTGGAAGAGGACATCGTCGAATTGGTCTTGTCAAAGTTCGCCGGTGCGAACGCTGCAGCGCCGTTGGGAGCGAAAATAGATCTGATTGTGTGGTCGTGTATCACTAGAAGATCAAAATAGGAACCCGAAATATGCTAAATCCTAAAACTCTAACTGCGTCGCCCGCGGACCAAGGTCGAGGCGTGGAGAGAGGATGATCCCGGATCGTAGAGGTGTCGTATGTAAGAATAAGTACAAGTGTGAAATAAAATGATACATAGTATATTCAGGTATTTAAAAACTTGCATACCTTGACGGCGCAAAGACAGCTCGATGATCGGTGGTATGATCCGCTCGGTGAAACATGACGCTGTTTCCCCGGCTGCTGCTGGTGCGACTGCTGGTGCTGGACGCGCCTCCGACCCCGCGCGCCATCTGGGCGCTGCGCGCCCCCCGGTAGAAGCTGGCGCGGGTCCGCGGGCTGCTCTGGTCCATATCCAAAGTCATGGCCGAGGTCTCGTCGTCCGACAACGCGTCCTTGCTGCCGTCTGCCGTTGTGCTGTTGTCGTCCGCGTGCAGGAGGTGGGACGCGGTGTAGTTCTGGTGGTGCTTCCGCAGGTGCAGCGACTGGTCCACGACGAAGTCCCGGTACAGTAAGTCCTGCTTGTTAACAGCTGCGTGCTGCGCAACACCAGCAGCTCCGGTCGTTGTTCGTGCTCCTGTTGTTGATGTTGCTGTGTCATCAAACATGCTGGTGTTCTTGGTCCTGGTCGTGCAAGTAGAACCAGCGGCGAAGCTATCGGGAGCAGTGCTGCTGTTGTTCACTGGTGTGGAGGAAACATACGGACAGTCGTCTTCACCAGTTGCGCCGGTTGTAGTTCCCATCCACATCACTTGCGCTGGCACGTCTGATCGCTCAGGCTCCACAACCGGAGCCGGCTGTTGTACTATAAGTTTCTGCGGATCTACTGTCGCCGAGGAAACATTCTGTTGCCGAAGGACATTCTGTTGCTCTGGTCTGCTAGATAGCAGTATGCTGTCATGACCGGTGGAAAGTTCCGCATTTTGGTTGGTCGTCGCTGCAGTCCTGGTGACCACGTCCTGCGACGGTTGTAGTTATCAAATGCAAAAATGTCTGGGTCTGGAAGAGCCATGCTGTTTTTGCATGACACAGAAGGTCTGGCATGGAAGCTCTAGCATCACAGGTTTCGAGAACCTTCCGCAATGCCGAATCCGCATGACAAGCCCCTATTTTGCAGACAAAAAGTGGGAGCCTTTGCTACGTATGCATGCGAGACTTTTCTGTGTTCTGAAATACGCATTACAAGTTACAATCTTCCAGACCCAGACATATTTGCAATGCATAGTAGTTCATCATGCACGATCTCCACGTTCTTGCACATCCCGTCCCCGCGCTGTCCTGTTCGTTGCGCTTGACCGGTAACTACATGTTCTGCTGCAGCTGCAGTCGGAATTTTCATAGGAACTGGTACTAAAACGCTAGTAGCACTGTTCGGCTCCATCTGGAGTTCCACCTCCATTGGATCGTGGGCAGTAGATGAGTCTTGGTCTTCCACTCGTCGACTAAACTGCTTCTCCTCGTGCAAGCGCTGTTCTTGGTGCAGCTCGTGCGACATTGGTGCAGCCGCGATGGTACTAGTCGCGCTCCCAGAGGTCGTCGGCTTGCGCACCGGACTCATGTGGCAGCCGTTGCTCGTGGACAGCACGTCCTCGCGGCTGACGCGGGGGAATCGCTCCAGACTGCAGTCCTCCACGGATGAAGTTGTTAGCCGGGGAACCAAGTTTTCGAAGCACTCCTTATCTGCATCGGCAATAGCACTGCTGTGCTGGCTATCACTACTAGCGTCGTCAATACCACGACTACAATTCGAATTTAATAGTATTCTGTAGTGGTGATCCACATTGGAGTTCAGGAGCCTACTGCTAGTAGCATTATTCTTGGACCACAGCCGGAGCAATTTACAACTAAATTCGCTCCACACAGAAGTGGTCGAGGATTTATTCTTGTTTGCAGCTATTTGCGCTTTCGTGGCCGTGGCGCTTTTTGTTTTACTGTCGTTGTCAACATAAACCCCTGCTCTTGCGCATTCTTGCATATTACCCGCGGTAGTGGTCTTGCTCTTGGGGTAGGGGTAGCTCAACATTTTCACAGGGGTACTGTTTATTTTCCTCGACCGTCTCGAAGCTTTCGGGTGGACAAAGGGCGAAATGTTGTCGGAGCTACTTCTCCTGCTCTGCGTTGGCGACACAGAGTAGACGGAAGCAACATGTTCTCCTCGTGCAGAAGTTTTACAACTTTTGCCACCAGTTTGTTCACCGCTGCGTGCACTTGCTTCTCTTCGAGTCGTGAGGCTATGTGTGCGCAATCTAGTACGCGAGAACGAGCCTGCGCCTCCTTGCTTGTTTCCTAGCTCATCTGCGGAGCACGTTCTGTGTCTTTTGGAGCGCCGCGTGCTAGGAGGTGTATCTGCCTCCACGCACGATACTTTCCTGGTGGTGGTGCCCTGGCGGGCCTCGTCTTGTTCCCTATCGGCTTCGTCGGAAGAGCAAGACCAGGAAGAAGTGCCGGACACCGCGCCAGCACTTCCTGTACTGGACCCCCTCCGGAGGTGGTAGTCTGCGGGCAGAAATGGAAACGAAGCCTTGTCGGCGGACCCAGTCGACGAACTAGAAGAGCTGCCCGCGTCCCGACTAAGGAGTGTCCTTTCAGGTTCTTGGCTACTAGTATCGCTTGAGGTTCTTTCGCTCCTCACATCTTGCTCAGGGGCCAAGAAACCCACTTGCTCGAAGCTACTATTTATCTTACCCGTACACGCACTACTTCTACTAGAAGCGGTGTCGCCCGCTGCACCGGCCGGCGCCGTCGAGGTCTTTTTATCATTCTGCTCCCCCTTACCAGAGTTGTTGTCATTCTTTCGCAACAACCACGACGGTAGAATTTTACTGCCCACTACACCTGCTTTAGAAGTACTATTGCTAGTCATTGTCTTTTTCATTTCAGCAGTCTGTGCTATGCGATGCTGCAGGTGCTTCGAGTACGACAGTACTCTCTTGCGTACGTGGTCGCTGTCGCTTCCGTTGCAGCATAAAAGCGGTCCGGCTGCGTCGAGTTCCGCGTCGAGCTCCGCGAAGTCCTCTCGCTCGCGTTCCACAGCGGTCGCTGTGCTCGACGTGGTTGCGGGCGTGTGCTGTAGTGCCGCCGCTCTGGTACAAGAACTTGAAGAAGCTGCAGTATTAACATCTAAAGTACAGCTGCTTGTTGTCGACGCGGCCGTGGTCGTGGGCCCCGCACCGCTTATAATTACTCCGCTTCCTAAAGGGGGTGTTGTCGTGGTTATCCCACCAACGAGGGCCGCTCCAGCAGAACAAGTCGCGGAAGTTGTTGTACTAGTGCAGGAACTTCTCTTTGAAGTCTGGTAAAGCTGCTGTTGCTGACCCGGCTGCATCAAGGACTGTTGTTGATTCCCGGACGAGGACAATACAGCTCGCTCAGCAGGCGCTGGATATCCTCTGCCGATCGCGTTGGTGTTCTTGCCACAAGTCGTGGCTGTAGTCAACATCTCGTAGTTGTCCTCAAGAATGCCGCCGGCCTGCGCGGCGGACGCAGTCGTCCCAGTTGCTCCTACACAGGAGAACTTCTCGCTACACGAGGAAGTGGGTGGGTACGTGACGGAGGAACAAGAGCTGCTGCTCTCCTTGTCCACATCGTGTTCTTCGTCCACCGCACTCAAATAGTCCTTCGTGATGCACCGGGGCAGGTTGGTGATGAAGTCCGGCACGGGCGCGAGGTCCAGCTCGCGGCAGATCTCGATGGCGAAGTGCTGGCAGTTCTTGGACCAGAGCTCATAGTCGCTGGCCAACCACCGCGACCGGACCTTGGTCAGCAGCCGCCAGAACTCCTTGGCGGAAAAGGGACTCTTATCAAATGCAAAAATCCCTGGATGTCTGGAAGGATGCGAACTTGTGATGCTGCAGCTGGATTCTACAAAAATCTGTATTGCATGAACAGCAAATAAGGCCCAGCCTTTTCCATTGCGAGAGGGCATTTCTCATGCGGTATAGGCATCAGAAAGCCCTCACAAAATCTGTGATGCTAGGGCATGCATCACAGACATCAGGACTCATGCAAAATGTGCATGACGAACCTTGCATCCTTCCCGACCCAGACATTTTTGCATTTCATAACTCTCACCCATGTAAAAGCTTTGCCGGTACACGTGGCCCCCACCCTCCATCGGGACGGTGTGGACAATACCTAGAGAGTTTTAGTTTTTCAAATACTATAGGCATCCTTTCAATTTCGTAAACAATTTTTCAAGGGATACTTGCGCAGAATTATCCAGCACAGCAAACTCAGCGATATTATACGAAAATGTGCAGCAGCTACAGCTTACAAGTCAATTATATGCCATGCGACGATAGAACTACTCGCTCGTCGTGATATAATTTCGCCATATTGATACCTGTTTGCAGAGGGTGATTCCCACAAACCTTGCAGTAGAACCATTCCTCGCGAAAGACTTCGACGCCCACATGGAAAAGCCCTGCGTTCGCGACACTCATGGAAAGCCGGTTTAGTCGCGCTGTCACCGGATCAAGGTCATATACGTGTAGAAAAACGGCGCGCTCGCCGTAAATCTTGCGACAAGTCTCCATCTCGTATTTGTTCGGCACCTAAAAATTTTTACGCCGCATTAGATTTTTGGCATGGCGATGTAATGAATCTTGCTGCATTTATTTCCATGAAGAGGTGTACGACGTATCAAAATTTACTCAACCACACTTACCAAGCCAGGGTCGTGTGACGAGTTCTATGGAAAAATAAGTACTTAGCACGACGCTGTAGTACATGTAGTGGTTATAGAAAAAATTATAGGTCCTCGTGTCACAACGACCACAAGCTATACCTCAATTGGTGACCCAAGCTTGATCCCTCGCAGCGGCTGCACGGTCGGAAAGTGCGATGGGTTTGTCTTTCTTGCATTTGCGAGGTGAGCTGCACCGCGTGGTGACGACAGTGTGGAAGAAGTGCAAGAACTACCCTGATGGAGATTCGGAGTCGTTGCTCCCGGTCCCGATTTGTTCCTCTTTCCCGCAGCTGACTCCGAGGATGTAGTTGTTGCACCACCAGGGGGGGCCATCCCTGCGGTCGTCCTCCTGGCCGATGCCGCTACGGCAGCAGCCTTTGGTGCGCTGTTGGCGTCGCAGAACATGCTGGTAACGTACTGGGGCATGTCCACGTCGGCAGAAATATTATTGATGGAGCAAGAAGAAGCCCCGCTGCTGTGGTCCGCGGGCGGTCGTGTAGCAGGAGAAATCGATTCTCCTGCTTGTGCAACTCCAAGAACTTCTGCTCTGTGTAGGAGCCTGGTGTCGTTTACTTTTTTACGACCGGCTTGCAATCTAATATTTGGTGCACCTTCACTACTTGATGGAGCTGGCGTGGTCGATGATTCCACTCCTCTCATGCTGGCTGATCGCGGTCCCGCTGCGTGGTCGTCGAGATCATGCGAAAGGATAGAAGCATTTTCGGGTGGCAATATTATCCTGCTGGAGTTGCTGGCGCCCACAGCTGCAACATGGGACGATGTAGATGTTGGCGTCGCGCTGGTCATCTTAAACTTCGATATCGACGATTGATTCAACATCGCAGTTGAGCCACTGCTCGAAGCAGCGCGGCCTTGCTGTTGCCTTCTCGGTATCATACAGGTCTTCGCACCATTCGGTAGTTGTGCACCACCGGACGCGGCTGTAGTTGAAGATGCGCAGGACGATTCAGACCGTTGTGCGTGTGCCCCCCGTCGACCAGTGCTGCTCCCGGTCGTTCGGGGGGGCGTGCTTTGTGGGTGCTGCATCGACGACGCACAGCCTTCTTATTCGATTCGGAGTTTGAGTGGAAGAAGTAGTTGTAGAAGAAAGAGAGAAATTTTCATACTGTAACCGTAACGAACAACCTCAACATAACATAAGCATAGATACTACAACCTACTATCTTCGACTACGAACGACCTTGTAGTCGTGTGAAATTGTTTTTGATGGCACAACCTCAACTCCAAAGTGGATGCTGAGCTTTCTTTTCCTGCAGTAATCAGTCTTCTCTCAACTAACACAGGGCACTTCAACGTATCTACTCAAACAGTAAAAACTAATAGTCACTGCGCAGCACCACACGCATTTCTAAAAGTGAAATCTACTACTCTCTGAGTCTGTGTCTGTATTTATCTGATGTCCACTTGTTGCCTACAACTGATCAATATTTCGATTTGCGCCAACCAGCGCTGCTGCTACTGCTGTAAATCCTGTACTAGTTGTGCGGCTCGTTAAACAAGACCATACTTTTACAATGAAATCAAAAAGGTTCGAATGAGAACGCTGCAAGCGCAACGGCAACTGTCTGAAAGAAAATAATAAAGCTTTAGATTTGGTATTGCTTTGTGTGTGGGTCGTGTAGCTGTTATGCTTGTGACTGCTTGTAGCTATTGCAAACGGCGCTGACGAGGCAACCGTCCTTATTCGTCTTTAAGGTTTTTATCGCAAATTTAGTGTTGCGAATAAATTGGAGAGCATTGAAACGGTACCTGTGTCCTTTAAAACCCCAAGGGCCGCGTCCAAGTTTCACTAGCTGAGACCAACACACTTAGCCGAAAAAGTTGTTAATACGTGGTGTGGCACTATTAAGTCGAGTCAGGAGGAAAAAATGTCTTGATTTTGCAACTGCCTCTTCGAGAAGGAAAACTGCTTTTCCTTCCCGAAAACAAATAAAAAATGTTGCGAAGCCACAACAAATATTGGCTTATTTCAACGTCATCCACCAACCGCTAAGACGCGGGGTCTTGCACTTGCTAGTTGTCTAGCGAAATTTCAATCTATGAAAGCAATGGAGACGGAAATCATACCAACGATGGCAACCAGCTTGCGGATGCTTTGAAGGTTCTGCATTTTTTGCTTGGTCGAGAAAGGTTGCGGTTCAGTCTGCAAGAACTGGCAGACAGAATACAAGTGGAAAAAGCTGTTGGGGCGTAATGATAGTACTCGGCAAAAGAAAAAATATTTCGACTGTAAGTGTAATCAGAAATGCTAAGTGCACTGTGTGGCACTTTCGAACCTCGTTGCCAATGCAACTACGTAGCCGGGCTTTGGTAGTGCTGCTGGTAATCGTTAAGAAGTCACTGCGTTTTTCATCTACCTTGAAGTTGAAACATAGGGGCTGGATACGAATATCTTTGTTTTAAGTATTTCTAAGTGGGAATTCGTCGAATCTTCTTGGCACCGCTCACAATCAAAAGGCCAGGCTGTGCAGAAGCGTAAAAATTAAAATGCTTCCTGTGTCTCTGTCTGTCTAAGGCTAAAAAAAAGTGCTACGATATTGCGTACACGAGACACCTAAATGGCGCTTCGTTGATTTTTCACGAAGTCGCACAGACACAGAAGCTGCAGCTGCGCAAGAACAAAAGACAGTCTAAGGAAGTTACTTCAAATACTATAAAATCCAACACACAATTATCGCTCGTCTATGTTAATGTGTAATATGTGTTAACACGCTAGAATCTTCAAGATACTTACATCGACTCTATGTACCCACTGCATACGAAGGAATCGTAGACACTAATTGCAGCGCGCTGCTTTGTCTCGATTCTGGTGGTCGTCATCTAAGTTTAAGTTTTTCTTTTTTGTAATATTAACAATAATATCTTTATTTGCCGCTGTGTATTTGGTTCGCGTTCGGGTGAAACATCAGCTTTTTTAATTACTAAGTGCCTTTATCGGAATCAATTCCTCTTGCAGTAGACATAGTCTACGGTACTAGCGCTGCTCTACTTTTAGTACGCGTCGTCGAGTGCGTTTGACGAAACTCTAGCTGGGTGTATAAAGATCGTCACCGTCCGCAACCGCAACTAACTATTTGCCGGTCCTTCTCATAAATAAAGACTTTGACTTGACCATCGCAAAACTCGGTCGGATTCGTATGCCACTAGAGTGAGATCTCGGTTGCACTGATAGTCGTAACACGTACACGCCGCCAAAAATTGTGCCAATGATTGTCATGTTGACTCATCTTACAATTGCTTCTCTCGCTTTGATCTTTCGGTGGTCTCAGTGCAGATAAAACGCAATATCTCCCGGAATGGGATAAGCACTCGTCCTGCTGTCTGTTGCTTGTTCTTTCATCTCTTCTTCTATGCACCCGCCATACATCAAGTTGCTAGAGTGTAGGGATCGTCCTTCGAGTAAGTAAGTATGCTCTTCTTTGAACATCGAAAGAATCTTTAAACAAAGCCTTACGATCACATGGGCTGTCCCAATCGTAAGGCTAAATCCTCGTGATTGATTTGCTGCACCACGACTCACGGCAGCGCAGGGCCGGGAAAAATCGATCTTCGATAGAAATCATCTGACGCCATTCCATTTATTCACGCAAAAAAGTTCGTCTTGCACCGAACGGAGTTTTCCGTTTGGTCCCGTACGCAAAAAAGTATAAAAGTTCATCTGAATTCTCAAACAAAATAAAGCACCAAGCCCCAGGAGCGCTAGCGCACCAGGGCCGCGCCTCCAGGGCTCTATCTACGCCTCCGCTTAGCTGCCCATCGCCACCCCAGTTGGTCCCTCCATGGCGTTTCGAAGGTAACTGTAGTTCCAGTTAATTGGAATTGTAGATTCGTAATGGTAATGTCAATTGGACAAGAATAGCATGGTTTAAATGTTGCACTTGCAGCGGAAATTGGCATTGGAATTGCACTCAAGATTCGTCATAAAGACCATGCTTTCTCTTGCTCCTGGGTTCTTGGTACCTACGAATGCGAGATGAAAAAAACAACACAAGAACGGTCTACAACTTACTGGATCTGTTTTCTCGCGTTGCCCGAGGCTTGCCGTGCGACGGCAACTTCCGCCAGGGCGACTTTTGCGGCTTGCGCCGCCGACTCTGCGGCGAGTGCAGCTTCCCGTGCGCTCTGTGCGGCCGAGTTTAGAAGGTCATCCCCGACAAAGCTGGTCGTGGTTTTTGCTCGCGGTGCAAAAGCTGGCCCGAGCACCTGGTCATGGACGCTCGAAGAGCCGATGCCGAAAGCACTCTGCGCCGAGCCCATAATGCTCCTGATTCACATGAAAAGCTGAAACAGGATCAACAAAGCAGCAGAATCAGTCATACGTACCACCTTAACCCTTCAGCTACTTGCATGAACGAGACCCAGGACCTTAGCAAACATCAAAACATCAACGCATCACCATCTGGAAGAGCACTGCAATCTCTCCACTCGTTAGAACGACAACGACGCAAGCAGCAGCGAAAAGCAGACTTAAACGAGGGAATCACTCCTTCGCTTTGATTTTTCACTCTCTTATTTTCTCTCGCAACACAGAATCTCTAGAACATCGACTCTGTCCCGTTTAATCCTACGTCGAGGCATTTGCCGATTCACCGACTGGGATTGGCCTGTGGCCCTTCCTTGCCATCTATTTCGTATCTTCGTTATATTTGTTGTGCGACTTCTTCATCTACCAAGACGCTTTTCATCGTGGGTGTGCCCTTTGTCATCGTTATTCAGCAGATGACCGTCGACCATGTTGTTGGATCTATACCAAAATCGGCACTATCGGGGGAGACCAACTCCAACCGCAGGATTCTGATTCAATGCTCGTCACTCTCATCACTGCAATAAGTGAGGTCGAAGTCGCACTCGCAGTCAATCCTCATTGTCGCAGGACCCTCTCATCCCACCCCATCCACGATTTTGACGCATGGGTATGGGAGCTCCTATCCAACAACATGCTCTTCAAACAAAAACCCCATGTTTCTCCGTTCCGCGGTCTGCAGCGGGGATACGAACTGACCGGTCTCCGGGTCAGACACGCACTTTTTTGGGTCCGCGTGCCATTGCAACAGGCTGCTGACCCAGTATTTCCTGCTGATGGTGTCTTCGTCTTCCGGGTAAAAATGCTCCTCTTGTTGGAGGTCCTCGTCGCATTTACTACCTGCATCTGCGCCATCGCGAAGATCTTCCATAATTGCAGCAGCACGTCGGTTCATCTCTTGGTTAGAAGAAGCACTACCGCCGTTATTCGACGACATCCGTGTGGAGGTGATGATGCTGTTGTAGCTGTCTAGGAAGTAGTAGGTCATGCAGGAAGAAGAAAGGATCTCGGCGTCGGTCCTTCTCCGTCCCCGGATCGCCTGCAACAGCAGCGCTTCCCTCTGGCCCCAGTGTGACACCGCGGTTTTCAGCAGTTGCGTCACGTCCTGCTTAATGCTCTTGTCCAACCGCTCCAAATCTTCCACCTTCAACTGCAAAAACATCCTCAGCAAAACAATTCGCGAACGGTGCAGGAATCGATCGGTTGGAGTTGATGTGGAAGGAGGTGGAACTTCTCGTTCTACTGCTGTACGAGGACCCGTGGGTAGAAGTCCTGAAACAGAAGGAGTACTAGGCCCTGGAGGTCTATAATTTCCTCTTCTGTGTACTTGTTCCCTTCCAGCTGAAAAATCGTCTCTCCATCTAGTAGTTGAATTCGCACCACTCCTAATCGCGGCTTGCCGGCCTGTTTGTCGCAAGAATCGCTCGTGTTGCTGCGCAAGGCGGTCGATGATGCTTGCATTCGGAGGGAAAACCGACTTTTTTTTCGTTCCTCCGGTTGTCGCGTCGCTCGTACTCCCGCTCCCCTCTTGTTTCCCTCTGGAAGCCCGACTGTCCCCCAGGCCGCAGAGGCCAGAACCGCTTGTTTGCCGCTTCTTTGTCGTGTTTATCGATGGTTGTTCTCTACCTTGCGAGGTGGAAGGCGGTAATGTTCTTGCACCTGGAGGAACAAAAGAGGACGAGGAGGAGGAAGATCCGGAAGTGCCGACTGAGATTCCCGACGTTTTTGGCAAACAGCTGGAGCCGGGTTTTGAGGATGTAGCAATGTCGTTCGCACCATTCTCTTGATCTTGTAGCTGCTGTTTGTCAACATTTTCCTTGTTTTCGTTTTCGTCCACAATGAAGAGATGGAAAGGCACAAGCTCCTCGTCGTTCGCAATCATCTCAGGAGAAGACACCACTCTCCATCTTTCTTCTTCCACCGTCAATAACTGCACCGCGTGCTCTAGTATGTTCGCGACTTTGCACAGCTGTGATTTCGTTGATTGGAACGTCAGCGCGGCGTGTTTCCGGCCCCAATTTCGTGGCTTCGACAGAGAAGTAGCTGTTGCATCCCCGTCTGCGATCTGGTCCGACTGCTGTTTGTGATTTTTTCTTTTTGGCGTTCTATCTACATTACCCGGCCGTCGTCTCCTCGAAGAAGAAGTCTGCGCAGCCCTACTCAAAGAAGATGATGAACTGCTGTTTTTGTTCCTGTTCGCATGGCTATTCCCGAGACTTTTTCCTTCCGCTTTCAGCACGTGCTGGCTGATGTGTGCCCGCGGGGAGCACGCTTCCATAGGGTCAATATTACCGAAGAGATTAGAACTACTACCGCTTGCTGTCGTTCCCGTTGCGCTCGCGCCGTCCTGCTCTTCCGGTGGCAATAGTAGATCTTCTTCTTGTTCGCCCGAAAACACTTTCGGACAGTTTTCATTCGAGGCGAGAAGGGATACAAAGGCGTTGATCTCGGCGAGAAATTGCTCCGCTTCCTCAATCGACAGTGCGTGTAAGTCGTTCTCCAGCTCTTGCGCAGCTTGTGCCGTGGCTCTTGCATCATCTACATCTGCTACACCTCCGCCGGAACTCAGAATGGTACCTAGCGACACCACTCCAGGCGTAGTGGAGGTTGCAAAGTCCTTTCTCCCCGACAAAGAACTCAAGGTAGAGGTGCGCTGAGATCCTCCTCCAAAAATCGTCGTTTTCCTCCTTTTCTTCCCCACCGACCCCGCTTGGTGTTGGTGCTCCACCAGAACCATAACGTCGCTCAGCGTCAAGACGTTGTTCTGTAGTTTCGGCGATTGGATGCTGATCTGGCACAAAACCTCGCAACAAAACTTCAAGTAGGCGTGCATCGCGTCGAGGATTAATCCACTGATAATCGTCAAAGACGTGGAGCTCAGCTTGCTGCGTGCGGGCGCAGCTGCAGTAGTTGTACCAGAGGCAGAGGACGAGGGAACTCCACTTTGAATAGGGGGGTTCAACGTGGACGAGCCGCGACTACTCTTATTATTTTCTCGCGGTGTTGAATTGTGTTCGTTCCTCGGAGAGCACGAAGATGTTGTAGTTGTCGCCGTGGTTGTTACTGCCGCCCCGGTGCTGCCCGTCTTGGTGAGGAAATCTTCCGGCGTTTTTGACTTTTGCAGGTAGTAGCACAGCTTTCGGTATTCCGCCCGGTCGATGCTCGCGAGGTCGACGAATTGCAGCAGTTCGGTCAGTTCGCGCCCACGGTAGAGCAGTTGAAGCGCAATGAAGGGGCGAAGGTGATAGAAACACGCCGAACCAGAAGGCTTAGATGCGCAGGCGGCGCTGGTCGTGCTGGTACTAGCAGCAGTGGGTGGTGCAGATGAAGTAGACGAGGTGGACATTACCGCTTTGTTTTCGCTTCGAAATCGATTTGAGGCACCGTTCTGAGTTGTTCCGCTTGATGTACTCTTGCTGTGTTCTTGAAGGTTCCCGTTCTCTTCTTCTTGACCCTGGTGCTCTTTGTTTGATGCACCTGCTGCAAGAACTACCGGACTACTAGAACTGCTATTTTTACCCCCCCGTAGAAGTTGGCCGTTCCTGTAGTCGTTGTTCCTTTTCATCTCCCGACTGCTCTCGCCGCCGAGTAACGACACCAGCAGTTTCAGTCTCTGAAAGCCGTCTGGCACGGCGTGCACGCTCTGGTGCAGTTCCAGCAACAGCAGATTTGCGATCACGTAGGCGCAACAGATGGAAACCTCGTCCGGCAAGGCGAACGTGCGGCTGACGATGGTATCGTACTCGAGCAGGGGTCCATAGAAGTTCCTGTTTCCGTGCGCCGAGTAGAAGTTGTTCGTGGTGAGCTGATATCCTGGCATATGCAGAATCGGCTCGTTCGTCGCCGGTTCGGGAGCAGAAGGGGGTGGAGGTGGTGCTGTTGTGGTAGTAGAATGAGAAGCAGAAGTTCCGCCAGTTTTAACTTCCGGAAGAATATCAACATCCGTCTTATTAACCTCCACCGGCGATGCGGACGGGTGGGTCGTTGTTGACACTCGAGCTGCAAGAGGAGTCTCACCTTGTTGTCCAAAGCTATGCACCTTGACACCAGACGAGCACTCGCTTCTTCTTTTGGCGGAAGAGCTGCGCGCCAGGCGCTCCGCGAGGGGCACCGGGTCGGGAGTTGTGCCAGCGATGGTAGGTTTCTCCTCGGTGTCTTCAGGTGCGCCCCTCTCACCGTTTGCAACCTTCGCTTGTTCGGCATGATCTCCGGGCGGCGAATCTTGCAGCCCCTGCTTTTCAGCGCTACTAAGTGTATCTGCGTTCACTCCCAGCGGCACAGCCGATGTGAATACTACATCTGCGTCTAGCTTCCCCGTATCCAGGTCAAACTTTAACTGCTCAAGCCTTCCTCCTCCTGCCCCGCTCGGCGAATCCAAAATCTCCGCGAGCTGGAAGCTGCAGCGAGCGCTCGGGCGAGCACTATTGTTAAACGGCTCTTCGTTCTCTTGGTCGTGTGGAGAGGTAGTATTCGAGGAAAACACCGCCGGAGAGGACACTATGCAGGGCACAAGAGCTACCCCTGAAGGAGCTTCAGGCTGATCCCTTAGATCATCATGACCTCCGTCGTCTAGTAACCTCGGTGGAACAATGTCATCCTCGTCGTCTTCGTCGCTGGAGATGTTTTCCCGGCAGGTTATCGGCGAAAAATCAGCGGAATCTTCGTCCTCGTCCTCCTCCTCCGAGGAAGACACCAAGGGCATCGTAGTTTCTTCCACCGCGGTGCTGTAGTTGTCGAATGAAGCACTGTGTAGTTGTTGGGCTGCGGTCGCAATTGAAGGAGCAGTAGCAGGAAGAACACCTACTGGCTTCTTCTCCTGCTCGTCTGCTGGTGGGGCAATGGACTCAGGATCTCCGTCAGGAGGTGTGTCGGCTGCGGTCGCTGATAAAACGAGAGATGTTGCCGCAGGAGCTTGTGTGGGTTCCTGCTCTTGATTGCGTTTGGCAACAACTTTTGTTTCGGCTTTTCCTTGCTCCTGCGCCCCCTCAGAAAGCGAAGCGGTACCAGCGTGCTCCGCTGGTTCTGGTACTTTGCGTTCATCAGACGTAGCCTCCGCGGTGTCACTAAGTGCATTTTGGTGGACTGGATCTTGACCTCCGCGATTCCCCAGCCCAGGGCCGTCAGTTTTATTTGCTGCCAGTGAGATCACGTCCGGGTCCACCGTGAGTGCTCCTGCATCTTCAGAATGCGGATGAGGAGCCGGCTCTGCAGTGCCAGAGCTGGAACAAGTCTTCACGACCTCTCCAGCAGTTTCTGAGATGGTGGCACTGGCCCCCATCACCGGAGCGTTCTTACTGGCGTTCGATCCTTCAGAAAGAGGAGCTTTTTCTTCTTTACTTTCCCCGCCGCACGAGCCACCGCTGCCGGCACAAGCAGGTTGCGACTGCTGCCGGCTCGGCAACAACTGTTTCGAGAAGGTTTGTAGGTGCAGAAAACCGTTTGAAAACAGCGTCGTGTCTTGCTTGCCTGAAGCTCCGGTGCGCTTGCTTTTGCGAACCACAACTCGATACCCGTTCGCGCCGGCGGTCGCTGCGCTCTTCCCTCGGATACCGCTCGTGTGTAACGTTCTGCTGCGTGGATTGCTTGTCTTTGTTGACAAAACCGCCTCTGTAACTGAAGTAGGAGCTGCTTCCTGTTTGCTCATTGGGCCGCTCGTTGTTGCGCCATGATCACTGGATTTATCTGCTGTTGATGTCGCAGCTGCACCTTTGCTCTCTTCCGTGGCTAATGTTGGCGAGGCAAAATCCGCATGAGTAGAACCACTTTCCACCGGATTATTATTCCCGGCTGCGACCTGCTGATGCAGCTCCTGGTTCCACAGCAGGATCCGCTCCAAATCTTCCAGTTTTTTGTTCTTGTTCGCCACCGTCTTGTGCAGCTTTTCCGTGGACAACTGCCACAAGTCCCAGCAGTCCTGAAATTCCGACTGCCAATAGTCGAACTGCTTCTCGATCTGGTCCTTTATCCGTTGCAGCGTCTGCCGACACACGACCGGGGTGGACGATGTTCCTGAGCCTGCGGTGGTGCTTGTAGTGCTGCCAGTGGTCTCTTTACTGGCAGTGGTTTCCCTTTGTTCATCAACTACACTTTCATCTGCCGCTCCGATCTCTTTCCTTACGGCTGTAGTTTTATTTGCGTCGACAGCACGAGTTTCAACATCTTCTTCTGTTGTTGTCGCGGCGCTGGCAACGACTTCAAGCCAGGACTGCACCTCGATATTCGCCAACCGGAATTCTTCACGCAACTCACTGACAAAGTGCGCCACCCAGGCGTCCCGCAGACAGATCAGGGAAAGCAACCCGCTGCGAGGCCACACGACGCCTACTTGGTAGTTGGCCACCCGAAAATGAATCGCTTCCTCAGCTTCCTGCAGTTTCTGGTGCATGACGGATCGCGTCTCCGCGACCACGGTATCCACTTCTAGGTCGTCATCTGTTTAATGACATAATGAAGAAGAACGTCAAATAAATTGCGGTACGTATAGCAAATTTTCCCACCAACCGACCAGCTCCCAAATGCTTTGCGTATACAAAAACAAAGGTATGCGTGCCGCTAGCTCGGAATGAAATCGCACAGTGTTTTTGCGTGCAGCTGGTACAGATGCAAAAACAATCAAAAGCTATTGAACCAAAAGTAAAACAATAGCTTTTCTGTACGCTTATTTATGCCCTTATATATACCTTGAATCTTGGTGATCGCTCCGAGCAACACCTCCAGCACATCCAGCTTCCGCTGCAATTGCAGGACATCGCGGTACAGCACATCCACGCCGGTCAGGAGCCGGTGCTGAAACAACGCCTCACGCTCGTATTCGTGCACGGCTAAGAACAGCTCCGAGGGGCGGACAGTAGCACCGATGTTGCCAGGTCGTGTTATCCCGCTGGAGATCCCTCCTTGATCAGCGGAACTAGAACTGCCACGGCCTGAAGTTTTGTTTCGACGTGCATTTTTACTGCTCGGGGAGTTGCCCATAGTAATTTAGTCCAAATGAAAGTCTGTGCAAAGCAAAAGCGCAAGCACTGGTGGCTCTAGGGAATATAGAATTAACGCATTGTGCGTAAGCGACAGAAAGATCGACAATCGACGATTTTGGCTTTCTGAGTACTCAGAACGGGTGGCAGAAGTTCTCCGTTCGTGTGTATGTGATGTGCGCCACTGCTGGGTAACAATGTAGACACCACCTAAGTACTAGCCGTACAAGAAGCAGGCAAAGACGAGTACGAGTCGTGCATCTACTGCATCGCGTAAAGTAGAGATACGAATGCAAAAAAAAGCACGACCACCAAGATCCAAACAAAGGAGCATCAACCAAGCTGACCGAAAAGCAAGCAAAAGTACCCACAACTGACCACACGAGGAATACACGGAGAAGTCAACATCAAAGGCGTAAGGAATAACAGTGAAACATCAATGAGAAGTAGAACAGTACCCTTCGCTCGTTTGTCCGGAGTGCTTTCCGCATCCGAAGGAAGGTAGATGCTGGAGGTCCGTTTTAACCTGTAGAAGTCGTGATTCAGTATTGTAGTTCAGATTGAAGATATTGTTATTGGAATAAATGCTCTAAAACTTGTCGTTTGAACTTCAACAGCATCCACTTGCTTCTAGTGGCTCGCGCTAGTGTAGCTAAGTACATTTTAATTTTTTCAAACAGCCACAGCGATTTCAAAAGAACTACAACGTTCTATTGCCCTAAAATGTAACTGCTATTCCTCATCGCGTACGAAGGATAAGGACGGTAAGGGCAGCATCGAAAACACCGGCCCGCTGCTGTCTTTCTCGGGACTGAAAAAGTTGACACTTGTTGTGGCTCCTGGGAGGTTTCTGTTTCTTCTATTCTGAATTCTTCTATTACTTGTTTCCCGTAAGACATTTTGAAGCAAAAAATCATTAGCTTCGTCGTATAAGTGCCTGTCTTCTTCGTCCAAGGTCGTGGTCCTATCGAGTGGTGGCGGGTCCGGCGACGGATTCTCCACCTCCTCAGCCTCATCGTCTTCTTCGCACGGAAACGCGCTCCCTTGCCAACGCGCCCCGCCTGGCGGCCTTGCTGGTAGCGTTGTAGTACTAGCAGGGGTAGAAGAGGCTTCGACGGTTGCAGATTTGTTTTCGACAGCTTGTTCAGGGCGCTGCGACGAGGACGAGGTTGCGCTCGAAGACGACGAAAAAACACCGCTGCCAACAGAAGTGCTGCCGCTTGAAAGAACCTGGATGGTTTTGGGTGCAGAACAAGGAGCTGGCTCTTTCTTTGCGGGTGATGTAGGACCGTCTGCAGCAGGAGCAGGCCTCGACGACGACGACGAGCATGACCTCTTATGATCGGTCAACGCTTCGATGGCGCCCTCCAAGGCGGGGACCATCGGCGTTTCTGCAGTTTTGCTTGTCGCACCAGAGTCGCTTAATACGCTTGCCTTTCCATCCTGATCCTCCTTTGAAACAAAAATTTCCTCCAATAGAGTTGGTGACGGCGGTAGTTTTTGCGCGGTGACTGTCGTTGCTGAGTCAGACTCCTTCTTGTTCACTTCAGGAGAAGATGACCCTGTAGCAGGTGCGCGTGGCACTGTCCGGTCTAGCGCCTCCGGAAAGTCATCTTCAGCGTCCTGCTCAGAGGAGGGATTTTTGGGTGCATTTTCCTCTGAAGATGTGCAGGAGCCGGGGGCGTGATGATGATCTACCACGACTTCATCTTGACGCCCGCTTGAAGACCTCGCGAGACCACGTGTCCTCGTGCCTGGTCGGGTCAATACTTCTACGCTGTCCACGGCAAGAACGCTACTTCGCTCGGACTTGCTGCGACCTCGTTGTCTTTGCTGCTCGCCTTCCGCAGCAGCGCCCTCTGTCTGCTCTTCTCCGACATTTTCAACGGTTGTCACGTGCGACGACACCGAGTGCCGACGGAATAGTACAGACCCGCGAGGACCCCTGCTGCTCGATGAGGAACCTAGAACACCAGCTCCTTCCACGTCTATCGCGTCCTCGAAGCAGCTCCGTCGCCCGTGCGGTGTAGCGATGCAGCTGCGGAAGGCCGAACTGGGGCTGATGATTTGGATCTCGTCCGAGTCCACATCCACAGCCGGCAAGCCGTCACTCAACGTCCGAAAAGACGTGCGCGCACTCAGGGAACGGGAGTTCGCCGTGCTGCTTTTCTGATACACCGGCGCATCATAGGTGTCACGGGAGTTGGAAAGTGCGTCGGGAACCAGAACTTCTCTGCTGGGCGTCGGCAGTATAATCGCACCGGTAATATTGCGGCCGCCGGATGAAAGGAGCCCCTTATCGAGCTCTCTGGCCAAGGTCTCCGCCAATTCGCGTTCCTGGATGAGTTGTGACTCCTCGGGCGTCCTTGCGAGATCGACGATTGCTCGTGGTACTTCTGGTGCATCCCCGAGATGATGGTTGTCAGTTTCCTGCGATACTGTTGTAGTTCCTGCTCCAGTTTTTGCACCTGCAGCTTCAGAATTTTTCCCTTGGAGAACGCCGGCGGCAGACGAAACGGTTTTTGTAGCCGCTCCAGCGTCCTCATGCAGAACTTCGATGTCTGGCATGAACGATGATTCCTCAGATTCGCCACGGTACCTCCGTGGCCGATGCTCGTTCATCCCCGAAGCACGTAGACTGGACACGGACCCGCGCACGGGTCGACTCGCGTCGGCACCCATGATTTCGAATTGAACTGCGAGTCAGAAAGACGGTGACGAAGAGGTTTTGTTCACAAAGTTCTGACCACGAGAGATTGGGAAGGAGATACGAGTACCTCAAGAAAAGATCGTTCTCAAAATTGTACGCAAGCGCGGCGCGTAAGCATTGGCATTACGGTAGCAGTCATACTGCATGATTAGGGATGAAACAAGCAATCCGACCGACGTCGAAGATGTTGACCATGAATTGATCACTGATGTGTCGCAAAGCAAAAGGAAACATGGCAGAAACAAATGTAGTGCTCAAAATCTAGTCTAAAAAACGAAGCAGAATCAGCACGAAGGCGAACAACACATCAGTGACGTGATGGTGATGATCACGAATGTTATAATTACGAAACGGAAACCATGAATGAGACTACGAAACTTTTTCCACAAAGATAGGATCCGTCTTCAAAAAGTCAACTAGTAGGAGATAGCTACCGCTAATTGCTTGTTGTTTGTTATTGTTACAGAGTAGAACGATTGATTTCGGTTGTCTTTCTACGCTGCTGCTCTTATGCTTATCGCGACGGCTGCTCTAGAGATCTTCTGCCCAAGACCACGACACGCAGTCGGAACAGAGTGGAACCGGCGATCACTTTCTTCCTCAAAGAATCGAAACAGGATGCTCGCTTTCGTGCATCTCTTCGTATAGTAGGTGCGTAAGCGACACAAACGTAAAAACGATTTCTCCATCCGAGCTTCATTGTTGCATCTTCCTGCGCATTCTGACAGTGAAGATTCGACAGCGACACATAGTACTAACTCGGCGTTCCAGGAGTGCTCCCGACCCCTTGCGCCGGTGCTTCATCATCAGCATGACCGTCGGCATGTGTGCGGCGACGTCCTTGATACTTCAATACTTATCTTTCCTGTCTTGTCTCTCATGAGGCAGGTGGAAGAGGACCATACCATCAGGTTCCGTGATGGTAATGTCCTGTTCCGTGTAGAAGTCCTAATGGTAGCGGCGAGGAAGCCAGATCTGGTGGCAGAGCTGGATTTAAAGGCGGCGACTTCTGCTGCTAGAGCTAGTGCAATAACTAGACATCCATCTTCAGCAAGAGTCTGTTCCAACTTCTTCACCCCCTCGTCCTGGCTAGTTGCGCCACGTCCGCTAAAAATGTTTTGCTGCTGTGCAGGCAGCTGCCACCCAGCACGATGCTGCACCTCTGCTCCTTGGCCAGATCTGCGAGGTCCCGCGCCTCCTCCAGCGTGCAGCCACCGACCACGAAGACCAAGATGTTTGTATCAAACGGAAAAAATCCCCCCTCCCCATATCGAAATGGAAATCTGTGATGCAGGATTTGAGGTACCAAATCGACTTGTCATGCTAGAAGGCCAAGAGCCGCAGTCGTGGTCTCGTTTGCAGGCAATTTGTCATGCTGTTTCCCACTCTCAGCTGCCTCCTATCATGCTGAAGATGCAAGGCTCCCCCACGCCACCCAGCACTACAGTCCGCATCTTTTCCCGTGTAGCATGACACAGCTGATTTGTGACAACAAATCTGCATCACAGATTTCCGTTTTGATATGGGCAGGGGGGATTTTTCCTTTTGATAGTTTGGTGCGCGGTCCTTCGAAGACGCGAACATCCCGGGCGTGAAGGGAAACTCGGACTCCCGCAGCTTTCCCTTGATCAGCTGGTCTACCACGGATTTCAAGACGGACGTGTGCTGCGTGTACACGTTCTCAATGCCCTTGAAGCTCAAGCCCTTCGCCAACCGGGTCAGCCCCGCGTTCAGCCACGTCTTGTTGCCGAAAAGGTCCCCGCCGCGCACGTTCGCGCCGGCGTACCTGGATTTTTTGCACAAGACGTGCGGTCGTGTCTAGTGAAATATTAAGCCTTGTTCCTTCTTTTGTTTTTGGAATGCGAGCAGCATAGCACTGCAGCTCCTGCATATTGACATTCAACAAGAAAAAGAAGCGGAGTAGACCACAACACGAAAAATTACTTGAGCAAGCAGTCCACAAGCTGGATCTGTTCCGGGTCGATTTTGCTTCTACGCAGCTCTTCCTTTAACGAATCAATGGCTCCCCGCTCGTTCTCGTAGCGCAGGGCGAAGAGTAAGACCAAGCGGAGCCGCTCCATGTTGTTCAAATCCGGCGACTTCAAGTTTTGCATCACCTGATCAAAGTGCGTGTTCCGGGCCTCAGTGCAAGCCAAATCCTGCTCGATTTGTGAAACTTGAAGGAGGCCACCTGCAGTTTTGGTTGGGAAAACGAAAATTATGAAATGGCTTTTACTTATTTGATGTGCGTCAATCCACAGGCAAAATGCTTCACCGACGGCGACCGCGACGCAAAACATTGTCACAGTTTGTCACAGTTACGTCTAGGTCTACCGAGAATCAATATAGGAGCCCTAAACTTGCTAAATCCTAAAACCCTAACTGCCTAGCCAAGAAAAATTCTAGGCAGAAGGGCGGTCTCATTTTATTATAGATACAGTTCTGCACAATTCTGCTGAGCTCGTGCACGACGGCGACGTGTTTTGAGACGTTTCCAGACAAACGCTTGAATTCCGGGTAGTTGTCGACAAAATTCTGCATGTCCTCAATCGTTTCGATGTTCTGGCTGTTCTGCGTCTGCTGCTGGAACGTGGCCAAATAGCGCTTGATATCTGAGACGAGTTTTCAACGCGATCTTCGACGATTGGAGGAGCTAATATCGCTATGTCGCTTCCATTAGAATATATGAAGAAAATATTTTCAGCACGACTCATTCTGTTCTGCTTGCGTCATCTCGCCCGACCGTGACCGTGTTGACCACGACCACCATTGATTCGGAGCACCAAATAATGCAAAACCAATCTAAAAACGGGCATCTATACTCGCTCCCAAGTCGCCGAAGTTCGAGTACATGTTTTCCTCGAAAAAGGGGTCGTCTTTGGTTGATATGGTCACTTCCTTCTGTTCGGCGGAAATCCCGGGGGCCTTCCGTAAGTCCACGCGGTTGTTTTCCGAGGTGAGTAGCTCGTTGATCATCGCGTGATAGGTCCACTGGTTCAGCAACGGGGTTACAGGGTCGTCCCGCCGGTCCGCAATCAACACCGTCCTCGGTGGAGCGCCGGTATGCTGGGAGGGGCTGGAGCCTGGATGGAGGAAAGGAAATTATAAATAAGTAAAGCGATATTCACACAGACACAGGCCGTCGCCGTAGTCGACGTTGTACGCTTCATGCATGACAGAATGCGTTTCCAATAGGCGGCCCGCCTACATAAAAAACACAAAACAAAGAGCACGAAACCATACCGAACAGCGCCGACTCGTCCCGTATTCTCTGCGTCAGTTCCTGTGCAAGTTTTTGCGTTATGACCGATCCGTGGGCGTAGCGTATTACGGGCTTGGAGCCGTCGATGCTTTGCAGGGAGAGCAGGCTGCTCAAAATCCCCTCGACATGTCGCTGAAAGATCGATTCCTCGTACGCCGTCCAATGCACCGGGTTTCGCACCGCCATCCAAATATTGCTCGCTTGATTCAGGGAAAAAAGCGAGTCGGTGACTGCATACACGTCGCTGAAAATTTCTTGCACCTGGGTTAGATTTTTTCATGTGATGCTCCAGTTCATTTCCTCGGCACAGCAGAGAGAACATCTTCCTTTTCAACTCGGAGGTTGTACAGGTAGAAACTCATCAACATTGCGTATGGGTATGCCGTATCTCGATCTTCATAACCGCAACAAATCCCTCGAACAACTACCGTCGTGCTGCGATAAAAAAATACCTGCTGCACCAACTCCTTTTCGTCGCAGCACGCCAACTGCTCGAGTCGGTGGTGCGGAACGGAATTGGTGAAAAACAGGTGGTATGAAATGCAAAAGCATCGTACCAGTATGAATTGCAACACAAATTGGCTCAGCATTACAAATTGAATTTGTAATGCGGATTTGCCTTAGGAACTGGATTTGTAATGCATAAATGCAATTACTACGAGTACGATACTTTTGCAGAGGATAGGTGGTAGCTCTTGTACCGCTGCAGCTTCAGCTGCTTGGTCAAGTATGGCGTTCTCAAACGTTACACTCCCAACTGTTACATGAATTTGTCATGCAAAAGTACCTTGAGCCGGCAGATGATCGAGCTGCTTCGCATGACAAATTTCGGAAGGGCTAGACAGCATCATAATCTGCGCCAAGCTTGTAATGCAAAAGGCGCAATCTTTCTCCTTTCACTTTTGCCAGTCTTGCATTACAAATTCATGTAACAGTTCAGAATGTAACATTTGAGAACTCCATATCAAGAGCATGAAGTTTTTGTCCGTCGGGCGGATGAAGAAGACCGCGGTCAAGTGCCGCCCGGCCGACTCCCCGCTGGCGGACTCCGTTTCTATCTTTTCGACAAGGAAGACCTCCTTTTCGAGGATTTGGGACTATCAAATGTAAAAATGTCTGCGTCTGGAAGAGGAGAAGTTTGTCGTGCACATCTTCCATGATCCATGACGTCTCTGTTGTATGCCATAGCATCACAGATTTTTTGAGCGCCAATCGATGCGCATCCTGCATGGCAAATGTCTTCTCCGCGTAGCCAAATTTGACTCTTCTTGCTGCTCAACATGCTGCAATACAGATTTTTATAGCATCCAAATGCAGCATCACAAGTTTGGCTCTTCCAGACCCAGACATATTTGCAATCCATAGGGACTGGGAGTAGACCATGCTCATGATGCCCGTCGTCTCCTGGTCCAGGACGAGTACCTTCATGCCCGGGACACGGTCCAGCATGTTCTCGATGTAGCGCTGCATCGCAAGCAAAAGCTGCTTCGACGACTTGTTCTTCATCGACATTGATGCGCCGCCCGAGGAGGAGCTGCTGGACGCCATTTTTGCAGCAAATGATGCACGTAGTGCTGGGAAACAAGGAGCACGGCTGCAAGAATCACTCTTCCTTTCAATGCGCTGGGCGTCAGCCCCGTGCGGTGCGTGGAGGTAGGAGGAAGGGGGTGATCAGACTGTGTTTCTTGCACCTTTCGCAGCCCGCTACTGCGAAACTACGCAGCTGATGCTCTGGAGACTCTCCACAGACGGAAGTGCTTTCCAAGAAGTTCTTTTCAACGTGCAGTGATGCGCATCTTTCTCTTTGGTCGCATCTTCGACCAAATCATGGCTGACAGTCCAGATGCTACTATTGTACTTATACTACTTTTCTCTGCTCCAACTTGTGAATAGGTCGTGATTGCTCGCAGCGTGACTACGACGCACATCAGGGAGGGAATAGAGCTGCGCACGTTCAACTACGACAGATCCCGATCTTCCTTCGCTTCGTTCGGAGTTCACTTCGACCTTGGGAAAGCATCTTTCTTGGTTTGACCTCTCGTGGTGCCTTCATGAACAAGATCAAACAACGAACCTTCAGAATTGCGGAATCATCAAAGACCTTCTTGAAGGGGACAAGGAACAGCACCAAGCAGGGAGTGATGCTATTGAAGACGAGGCTGGAATTGGAAGATTGTTGAACACCGCAGAAAACTAAAACTCGAGACGAGAGCACGAGCAACGGCAGCGCCAGCGGCTCGGAGAGTGTGCGCACTGCTCAACTCGCCGACACAATTCAACACACATAACCGTGTTGAGGTTGATCTTGTTGGCGCCACACAGCCTGAACTTTAAAATTCAATCATGCAGTCACCGCTGCCACTATGTTTCCACCCTCGCTCGCTGAAGCACCTGCCAGCCGATCTCGGTACCGTCTTCCGCTGCTCTGGAGAAAGCCGCACGCGTTCGTGCCAACCGATCCGCATCTAGAATGTTCCCCAGATTCCACCCTGTTTCAACCGGATCCATAAGTACCAATGAGGGCCGACCGGAGTATTCCTTTTGCATTTTGCAACCAGGTAGGGTAGTAGCGCCACCGTCGCTGTAGGTCTGTTCGTGAGTGAAAGAAATTTTCTCCCCGCGGTTCCAGTCGTGTTCGTGCGCGAAGTAGTGGAAGAAGCCGTGAAAGAGACGAGGAGAGAACCCGATGGTTATTCTAGGGACGAGCAGGTGTTTATTTGCTGCGAAGTTTTCGTTGGTCTGATTGAAGAGCACAGCCCGGATGTAGTGCACGACCAGAAGAGAAAAAGCGTAGCCACCCAGCATTCCGTGCGTCTGTCCAAAGATTTTCTCCTGCTTGGCCCACTGCTTGACCAGAACGGCAAGGAGACCAGCTGATGTGGTCTCTTCACTGTTCTTGTTTCCAAAGTGCTTCCGCAGAAACGCGGTTTTTTCCAACGCGTGTGTGTTGTCGACAGTCAAGTCAACAGTACTTACGAATTCCTCCGCGAAATCGCATTTATCCTCTGCTTGCGGGACCAAAACCTGGAAACTCGCAACCGGCACTCTACCTCCCAGCCGAGCGTCTACATGGAGAATTCGCGAATTCTGTCGAAGAGCAGTGACACACTTCAACAACACTCGTTGCTGCTGGTCGCGTGTGTGGTGGAGGTGGCGGAGCTTCGCTTTTTCACCTTGCAGCTGGTCCGGGTACAACTGTGCAAGGGCGGTGAAGTTTTCACGCGTAGGAGCTGAGTGTGCTTCAACACTGGATGCGTTACTCTTACTTTCGTCTGCTTGCACGACCTCCTGCTTCTGGTTCTTTGCACGTACTAATGTCACATCCAAGTCCGCCCCGCGACCTGCAGTTCCGCAGTACAGGGAGCCGTAGGGGACCAGTTTCCAATTCGGCGCGAGAAGTGCAGCGTCTGCCAACGCACCTTCCAACACTTGCAGAGCCTTGCCCGTTTTTTCCCAGTCCTCCAGTCGTGCAGCAAGCGTGTTTTGCACTCGGTTGAGGAAGGGAAGGTCTGTGGTGTGTATGTCGTAGTGATAGCGGCTGTGCATTACGGACGCGTTCTTTTCCAGTTCGCCGCTGGCGTTGCCGTCGCTATTTCGTACCTGGGGATCATGAGGTTCTCGAACGAAACTAGTAGTACTGTGCAGATGATTTTGATTCCCCCACCAACCCACCGACGCTTTTGTTGATTCCATCATACCCGACTCTAGTCTCTCGGAAACCTGTGCTAGCAATTCAGCCGTGATGGTCGCTGGGCGGGCAGAGGCGAAGGGACTGGCGCTGACTGTGGCTTGCGTGCTGCTCTGCAGGACTGCATCAGCCAAGTCTTCTTTATTCTGACGTCGGAACCATGACTCATCCATTCCTCCACCGTTCGCGCTGCCAACTTCTCGCAGAAAGTAGCGCGAAATCCACTTGAGCCCGCGCTCCGGCTCCTCTGCAAGTTCACAAATACGCACGGCGGTGTTCAGCGTCACCGCGGTCTTTTTGATATTTTTCGCGTCTGACTCTGACATTTCAACGAGAAACTTCTCAGCGGTGGTGAGAAGGTGCTGCCTGTGCTTGAGATTTGATGCTGTGTCGGAGGACAGAAGACCATGACATGAAGATGGTGCTCCCGAGTAATTCGCACCATCAGCTGTAATATTCTCGTCAAGACAGTGCCCGTCCTGATCCAATGTGCAGCCATCTTGTTCGAGCACACCGACCATGTGGTACATGGTTCTGCAAACGCAACTCAATGCGATGTTGTAGGAAATTGCGTCTTTCTCCACCGGAATCTTATTCCAAATTTCCATCATCCCCTCTAAATCAGGTCTCTTCTCGAACACTCGCAGGATGGCGGAGTAGGCGACGATATCTAGGCGGCCCGCAGTAGAAGATCTCGTTGGGAGGTGGACAACTGCTTCACCTTTACTACGAGCTTTCAAAAACCTTTCTGTAGTTGTTTTCTCGTAGGACAGAAGCTGGGAAACGAACTGCTGCGTGATCCCGTCTGGTGCGTTTCCACGTTCCAGGGCACTCAGAAAAGCGGACAGCAAGTACTGGCAGCTTTCGTGATGGGATGTGGACGTTTTCACATCGTAGTCCATCGAGGTTTGAGAATCTGGCTCTGGAGCTGTCAATGCACAACTTCTCGTGTCGGCAGTTATTTTGCACGGCGGATTATAGCTCTCAGCCTGCCATTGGTAGAACAGCCGCGCTGCAGATTGCCAGTCTATCAAATGTAAAAATGTCTGGGTCTGGAAGATCCTGAGACTTGTCAATGTCATGCGCGTTTTGCATGAGCCATGATGTCTGTGATGCATGCCCTGGCATCACAGATTTTTTGTGGGCTTCCTCATGCGTATTCCGCATGACAAATGCCCTCTCCGCGTAGGAAAAATTAGATTCCTTTTGCTGCTCATGCAACACAAATTTTTTTAGACATCCAAATGCAGCATCACAAGTTGCATTTTTCCTGACCCAGACATTTTTATATTTGATACAGTCTCCAACTAAACCAAACGCTCGGAGTAAAGCGACCTTCACGCCGATGCCTGGCTGCTGCAACTTCAACTTTTCGATTCCGATTTGGAAAATTTTCTCCGCTCTCTTCCCGTCCCAGAGCCGCGCCAGCTCCGTCACCAGCAGCTCCCACTCCTCTTGCCTGGCGCGAAACGTGAACTTGTTCTTTGGTCCAGCAGAGACAGACCGCGGTGCATGAGGGGGTTCTTTAATACTAGCCCCCACAGCGAGCTCCAGCACCTCCGCGGCCGCAACCCAGTCCTTGGTCCTCACTGCCAACGAGAACACGCATGCAGCCTCCCGGCCGGACGCGTGCTGGGCGTTTTTCTGCAGCAAGGCGAGGCCGTCGCCGACGTTTCCGCGGAGCAAAGCCCGGCCCAGCTGGGCAATAGTTTTCTGCTTTGCGGCCAACATGTTGGCGAAGCACCGCAGTGAGTGCGATTGGGAACAGCGCGCCGAAGTAGACGGGACTCCCTTCTAGGCCGCGGTGACGTTGATGAGGTTGATCTAGCACGACTTGCTCCAAGTAAATCATTCTTCCTCTTCTTGCTCATCCTCTTGGTGGAATTCGAATCCCGTGATCACTTCTTTCACGCGCTCCAACACGCTCTTCGCATCGCCGCTTTCATCTGCCACCGTCAACGCTAGACCCGCGGTAGATTTCAGTCTGTCCACCACAGCCAGCGTAGCACCTCCACTAGGGACCGCGGTCCGCACTTTCTCCAAAGCCTCGCGCAACTTTGCCGCGTCGTCGCCGTTTGTCAAGACGTTATGCGGATTCTTTTTTCTTCCCGCGCCAAGCGTGATGACGCGCTTTTCGGCGGCTGGCTTCCACCGGGCCGGGTTGATTTGCAGTACGGCTGCGATTTCCGAAATGCCTTTGAGCTTCTTTCCCGCGTCTCGGGAATTGCGCTCCATACCTCCCGCACCAGCGTGGAGTAGTTCTGCGTAAACGATGACGTGCGGTCCGAGTAGACCGAACTCAAGGATGTACTCTTCTACGTATACCATGCAGACCCGCCGTGGCGTCAATGGTCTATGATCCTAATGCCACAGAATGGCATTGATGAGAAAAAGAAAACTTGCGTCAACAACATAAACGTATGTGGTAACTGGAACAAATGTGCACTTTTACTTCCTGCTACTCGCGGGACATAATGCAACAAGGAGAAATGGATGCCGAGGATTTCACCCTGTTCCAAAGAGAGCTTGTATCTTCATCTTTGGTTGCACACATTTGTGAATCTCCAGAGTCTTTTGAGAAGATCGAAGTTGGGCCATGCGAAGCCTGCGAGTGTAAGTCGACGGCAAATTACGTGCTGGAAAGAGAAATGTCAACAGTCTGCATACATCACTAGCCTAAGCGCACTAGAAGACAGGTACAAGAGCAAGAACATGCTCGGTTTGACTTTGTTCACTTTCAACTGCGATTTTCAATGCGTATCTCGAAGAAGGACAAACGAAGCGATACTTCATGGGCGCAACGACACCGACTCAAAGACAATGGATCGTGGCAAGTGATGACGATGATGTTATCCAGTACCCAGCAGAACACCAAAACAATCCGCACCAAAACATGCAGACGCTCCTGACTTGTTGGCGGTGTAGCTCCAATCTAGCAGCTTGGCCCTGACGGAAAAGCAGTCCAAAAGCAAACAAGTGTAAGAGAGAACCCATCAGGCCGCTTGACTTGTTCCTGCGCAGTCTCGTCCATGCGCCCCGCCAGCCTATGGGCGCGCCGGCATCAATGGGCAGGCTGCCGGGAGGATTGGCGCGCGGTCCGCGGACCAAGCTAGCAACAACGACAGGAGCTAGCGCGCCACGCCACAAGGGCAAACAATATCTACGCACGCGCTGGCGCTCCGGCCACCCAAGTCAAAACAAAGATGTGGCCGGCGGGCGGCGCAACCAAGAGAGGCAGCCAGGCGCACGGAGCGCCGGCCCGCCGGCCCCGACAAAGGGCCAGCGCATCGCATGCGCGCAACGAATTGACCGGGGGCCCGGGCGGCGGGGGGCTCGCTGCGTCGCGGCAAGCGACCGGGGCGGCACGGCCGGGGGGCCACAGAGAGACCGCGCGCGCTTCGCGCGGCCGGAACCTAGAAACTGACGCGCCCTGCCCCGGTCAGTCTTGGATCTATTGCGGTCCTGACTTGTGGGGCGCCGCGTCCTCGAGACCTTCCTCCGCGTCAATGCCTTCCCTTGGTCGAGCGCGTATTGCCGCCGCGCCCCGCGGCCGCCTGCGCCAATGCGCGGGCGCAACAACGCACGGGAGCCAGCTTACCGGCCCCACAACTAGGCAGGGCCCCCCACCCAGGAAAGCGGGCAAGCAAGCGCCGCCGCGCAGGGCTGCAGGCCCAAGCCCCGAAGCCATAACAACCCCCATTGTCTCGCCTCGCTCCCAATTCCTTGATGCAGTTTCGCAAACCCCCCAAGCGCTATCACCATCAACCAGCTTCGTCCCCCTCTCCTCCTGCGTAGACGCGGCCAGCCTGCAAACCGAAGCAGGCCACTCCGGTCGGAAACACACAAGGGGCCAGCGCAGCGGGAATTATTTCGCGCAAAACGCTCGCGATAAATCACTTCGGACAAAACGCGCGGGCGCGGTGAAACTTGGCCTCCCCAATAAGCAGGGTGGAACTTTTCTGGTGCGTGTGGTTCGCGTTTCTCCATCCTGGCCGCCGGGGCCTTCGTTCTCGGGCGCCGGCGCAGAAGGGCGCCCAGGGGCCGGCCGGCACGGGGTGACATGATCCCAAGGCGGCCTGCACGGACGGCGCGGCGCTCCAGCCACGACGCTGCCAACTTCGCATCGGAATCCCGAGCCCGAGGCTAGAGGAAAATAAAAGGAAAGGGAAAATAGACACGCTCGCTCTCGGTTGGTGTATGATCTCATCATGGGAGTACATACTCCTCCCAACTCTTTTTGGAAGGCATAGTTCTCGTCTTTCCTCACACTCATATTCCCAGTTGGACAAAGGCCCAATAAAGGGAACAGCCCTTCTACACTTTGACCATTGCAAAACTGGAAGCACAAGCTTCCGTATTATTTCGAATACGGTTATGCGCTCGAATGTTTCATAAGTTAGTTACCTGTCCTTTCTTTCATTCAAGAGTACGCCGCATGTTCTTAGTGATATCCTGTCATCTTGGACGCCGCGGGGGAAAATTCTGACGCTACGAAATACAGGAGGCGCACGCCCACTCATTGACGTTTCGATAATATGCATTCGTCATTATTCTCATTCTTCTTCGCTTGGTCATGAAATAAGTAGTACCATCACCATGATCTTAGGTTCGTTTTGGTTAAGCATAATTTCGCATGATATGGTTGTGTTGATGTTGAAATCATTCCCGACCCAAAAAAATTACGAATACAGCATAAAAAACGGCACTAAACCTAGAGGTGCTGGCAGCAATCCAATAGTATTAGTACGGGAAAATGAAAATGTTTGGAGGCTAGATCAACTACCTGGAGTTGCCAGCAGGGATAGGAACTAACTAATAAAACTGTTTGTAGGCTAAAACAGAGCGGATGGTTGTACGTGTGTATGTCTGTTTGTCTTTGCCGTACAAATTCATAATCATAAAACCCGATGCGCAGAAGACAAAACGAGAAGTAGAGACAAAGAACGGCCAGTTTCTAATACCTCTTTTTCTTCTACTCAGTGAGTGGTTTACGCCTCTCTTGATTGAAGCTGCGTTGAATCAGGACGTGCGTGTGATTTTGATTTACAAACGAACTTATCCAGCAAGTAACCAAACACAAACTCTCGCTGCTTATCCAAAATAAAAATGAAAGACCTTTCGTTAAAAATTAGATTTCTTACGCTTGCTTGATCTCGACGAAGGAAGAGTAAAATTCTCCCTTCATCATCTCCTACGGAATCTGTTCCAACACCAACTTCAGGTTCTCCAAACTGCTGTTCGCGACCCGCAACCGCTTCGGGTTGCACCCCGGCGGACACTCCTTCTCAATGTCCGCAAGCAACCGTTTGACCGCGTTGAGCGACGAGAAGTAGTCCTTTTCCGCGATTTTGAGTTGCTCGGAGATCCGCGACGCGCAGTCCCCGATGAACTGCACCGGACCGGGGTTTTCGTACATTTCCTCGGCCGCGCACTGCCCCGCGATCTTGGACCACGCCTTGCAGGCCTCGGCGGACAGGTCCACCCGGGCCGGCTGGATTTTCGGCAAGGTTTTCTCGTTCGTGGAGTTCACATAGGACGCCGCGGCCACCGTTGTCGTCGACAAAGGAACGCTTAATAACGCGCTCAGCGGCACACCGCCCGCGTGCCACTCGGCCACCGGCTTGGACAGGGAAGAGAGCGTGGCGAGGTAGCCCGTCTTCTTCGCGAGGATTAAACTCGCGGAGGCGCAACCGAGGGCATATCCGTAGTTGCTGTCAAAATCCGAGGGCATGGTGCACCGGGATTGGTACCCGAGGAACTGGCACACGGGGGAGAAGGATCCCTTGTAGGAGGCCCGGGACTTCAGCTCCAGCTTCACCATGTCGGCGAGCATCCGGTCGGTTTCGATCAAAGCGAGATTCACCTTGCTGTTCCCCCGGAGCTTGGCGTCCAACATGCCGTGCACCACGTAATCCGGGAGTTGCTGGAGCAGCGCCCGGGAAAATGGCGTTAGTAACTGCGCAACCTTGTCGACGTCGGGGGTGGACGACGCCTTGGCTTTTTTTTCCGTGATGGTTTCGCCCACGACAACCACTCCGTTGTCCTCGGCGGAGGAGCTGATGCGCTCGAAATCGCCGTCGGAGGAAGAGGCGGAAGAGGAATCGCCGAACTGCTGCGTCGTGCGGGAGCACAGCCCTAAACGCCCGAAGTGCAACTTGTCCAGCTCGCTGATCAACACGCGCAACTCCATCACGTTGAAGAGCAGCCCGTCGGGAATCAACACGGTCTATTGAGAGCAAAAATCCCCCCTCCCCATATCAAAACGGAAATCTGTGATGCAGATTTGTTGTCACAAATCAGCTTTGTCATGCTACACGGGAAAAGATGCGGACTGTAGTGCTGGGTGGCGTGGGGGAGCCTTGCATCTTCAGCATGATAGGAGGCAGCTGCGAGTGGGAAACAGCATGACAAAGTGCCTGCAAACGAGACCACGACTGCGGCTCTTGGCCTTCTAGCATGACAAGTCGGTTTGGTACCTCAAATCCTGCATCACAGATTTCCATTTCGATATGGGGAGGGGGGATTTTTCCGTTGGATACGGTCCCGAAATTCTTCTTCCCGTTCTGCCACCGATTCTCCACCACGTCCGCGTATCAAATGTAAAAATGTCTGGGTCTGGAAACTTGTGATGCTGGGCGGCGTATTATGAGGAGGCCACAAGTGCTAGCTCAGCATGACAAGTTCCCGACCTTCTCGCTGTTGCCTATTCTGCATGACAAACTGCGCTTCTGCATCACAGAAAAACGGAGCTCTTGGGTAATGTGCATGACAGATTTAAGAGTCATGCCAGACAAGCATGACAAACATGAATTCTTCCAGACCCAGACATTTTTACAATTGATACCGCGATCTGGGACACGATCTCCTTCAGCGAAAAGCCCTCTTGCAGCACCTGCTCGCCGAGCACCAAGTGGTTCGGCTTCGTTTGCAACCCTACCTCCAGCGTGACGTGGCTCGAGTGGGTCGGGCCCTCCATCGACCGCAGAAAGTACCAATACTTGCGCGCCGAGCTCCCGTCGATCGCCGTGTTACCCACTAAACGCGCGGTGGCTTTGGTCACCGAGTCGAACCCCAGGGGCTGCTCGCAGAACGCGTTGGAAAGCTCGCCCCCCATGGACGCCGGGACGGCGACGACGGAGATGTTGCTCGCGTACAAATTTTCCGCGAGGTAGCAGGCGTCCGTCGCGGTCGTGCAGCCGCCGACCAAAACCAACCCCGTCAACTGCAGCTCCTTGCACACGGCCTTGATTTTGTCCAGTTCGTTAAACCGGTCCTCGGAGCGACCGAGCAGCTCGAAACCGCCGGTTTTTTTGTAGTTCGCGAGCACGTCGGCGGTGAGCTTCAGGTAGGATTTCGTGTAGAACCCGGCCGTCCCGCCGACGAAGCCCAACACCTCCACCTTCTTCTTGGCCGGACTGGCCGCTTCCAACTTTTGCAGGCACTCGGCCAGCCCGACGACCACGTCGGCCGCGCCCGGGGTTTGCCGCCCGCAGTAGATGATGCCGACCTTGCAGTCGGTCGTGGTACTGGTTTCCCCCGCGCCGAGATGCACCAAACCGCTCACCGCGGAAATCGACGGGACGTACTTTGCGCACGGAATGCTGCACTTCTTGTCCTCCGCTGCAACGACCGCGGGCTTGCCGCCGTCCGCGAACACTTTCGGGACCGCGTACGGCTGGGTGCTGCGCCAGGCTTGCAATTCCGACCTCGGCCGGTTTCCGAACTGCAGGAACTTGTCGCCCTGCGTCGGGAAGTCAATCTTGTACGAGGTCAGCGCCGCGTCCTGCACGGGGAATTTGTAGCCGCCGCCGAGCTCCAGGGCGAGCGTGATCGGAATCTCCTGCGAGTGCGGGCAGTCGCGCGAGAATTGTAGCGGGCCTGAATGGGAATTGGTGGATTTGAACAAGTACCTCCAGCAAAGGTGGTCACATCATTCATTTTCTTGATGCATTTGGAAAGAGCACAGAAAAAAATTTACAGTCGCCTCGTCGGTGTCCAAAAACGTAATAAGAATAACGCATCTTTTCATACCTGGAATCCGGTAGCAGTCGGCGAGCGCCAGCTTTTCCCGCAGCGAGGTCCAGATTTTGTACGGCGCCCCGGACATGTCCACGAGCGCCTTTTCAATCACCGCCTTGTCTTTCCCCTTCCTCCGCTCGATCACGCAGAGCGCCGTGACCGGCACTCCCCCGCACTCCCACTCCGCGATGGGCGCCAACAGGTTTTTCACCGACGCAATCATGCCCGTTTCGTTGTTTGCCAGCAGCGAGCTCGCGGTGGACCCCAGGGCGTAGCAGTAGGACGCGTCGAAGAAGCTCGGCAGGCCGGCGCGGCCCTCGTAGCCAAAGGAGTGGAACTGCGGGTTGAAAATCATGTGTGCTATCCACTGCAAAAGAATCGCACTTGTATGACTTGCTGTCGTGCATGACAAATGTGCTTTTCTACCCGAAGGAATCTGCATGAAAAGTCTCAGTTTTCTTCTTGTTGAGAAAATTTGCCATACTATTTACACACAGTACGATACTTTTGCAATGCATATGTGCCAGCTTTTCCCCAAATTTCTCCTCGAGTTCCTTCCGGACCGTGGCAGCAAGCAGTTTCTCGGTCTCGATCTTCGCCACCTGTACGTTCCCGTGGGGATCGCGGTCTAGCAGCAGCTGCCCACGGATGAATTCGGGGAGGTAGAGAAAGGCCTCCTTGTTCTGGGGCTCGAGGTGAGGCACGACCGAGGCTTCGGTCGCCTCGATCCCGTCCTTCGCCAAGATTTCGTTGATGTCCTTGATCAGCGCCTCGAATTCTGGAATGAACTCGATCAGTCCCTCTGGGAGAAGAATCACGCCGTAGTGCTTGCCCTGCTCCTTGTGGCGCTTGCAGATAACGTCGACGATTTGGGTCGTCAGTTCCTTGAGCGTTTGCTTTTTCTCCGCCACCTCTTCCCCGATGAGGCAGACGTTCGCACAAGTCTGCAGCGCGACCTCCAGGGCGATGTTGCTGGCGCTGCGGCCCATCAAACGGACGAAATGGTAGTACCTCATCAAGTACAAGTAGATAGAAGATTTTGATTTTCAATTTTGTTTGTAGCAGTTTTTCAAGGGAGTCAAAGTAGGCTTGAGGGGAAACTGAACCAACTATCGAAAGAACATGCTACGAAAAAAAAATTCGTACTTCTGTGCGGACAGCGAGTCCACCGCAACGTTCCCGACAAGCTCCGCGTAGGTTCGGCACGCCGTGTCGAATCCAAACGACACGGGAATGTAGGGCGGCACCTTCAGGTCCCCGTCGATCGTCTTCGGACAACCGACGACTTTCGTCTTCACATTTTTGGAGCGAAAGTACTCCGCGAGCACCGCACCGTTGGTGTTGCTGTCATCGCCGCCGATCACCACCAGGCCGTCGAGGTTCAGCTCCAGGCTATGCATTGCAAAAATATCGTACTAGTAGAAATAGCATTACAAATTTGTCCACAAGGAAAAATGGAATTTGAACTGCTGAATGGGCTAAAGAACCAGATTCGTCATGCATGACTGCAATTACTACGAGTACGATACTTTTGCACTGCATACAGGCAGCATTTGAGCGAGTTCTCGAATTGCTCCGGGGTCTCGATCTTGTGCCGGCCGCTGCCCAGCATGTCGAAGCCCCCCGTGTTGCGGAAGCCGTCGATGATCTCGTCGTTCAGCTGCACGTATTGGCTGGCAAAGATCCCGTGCGGCCCGTCCAGGAAACCAAAAACGACGGAGTCGGGATGGATCCTGGTATGATACATTAGTTTATGTTTTGCACTTGTTGATGACTTAGGACAACAAGTGACGCGTTTTTTTATTGCGATACGCAAAAGAGAAAGTCGTCAATACGAGAAGCTCCTTGTCAAAAATCCTACCTTTTCGCCTGGTCGTAGATGCCGACCACAATGTTGTGGCCCCCTGGTGCTTGTCCACCGGACAAGACGGCACCGATGCGCAGCGGCGCAGATCCCGCTAACGTTCCACCGGGGACAAACTGCACCGCTTTGCTCTGGCAGGTGGTTGGGAACAGAGCCTTGATGCGGTCGTCAATCTCGAAGTTGGATTTCTCATCGATTTGCCGCTTCGGATTTCTCAACACGTCCGGCAGATAATAGGAGCAGTCGGCGGAAAGCCGCTCGCGTTGCAGTTGCGAGTAGGCCTGCCGGGAACGGTCGTACGGTTGCGAACTCATTTTTGTAATGGTGTTCTGTCGTGTTTGACGGAATTATTTGGAGGTGTTCGTTAGATTTTTGCTCACGCAGAGCAGCAGGAGGTCAGGGTATGACCGCCCACGGGTTTTCTACACAACGAGGAGTACTGGTGTTCCTGATTTTTTTTCTGCCGGGAAAAGAAGATTTGAATCTCATCCCGGTCGTGCATCAGTTACAGTGGAGTTACCTAGGTATAATTAAAGATCAAGTCCAGCAACAAGACAAAAAGACTTTTTTGTACACGTTGAATAAAACGAAACACGCAGGAAAAAAAACCGACTCGCGCGTTCACTTTCTGCTCCCGCAGATGTATTTTTTGTATGCTTCGAAACAATACCAAACAATATCTTCAAAAAAAGTCTCACTGCCCTTCTGCAGAACACATACACAGTGACCATGGAAAAAAAACATCTCGGACTAAACCAACCTCGAGTAGAAGATGCAAGTCGACAAACGATTTCATGGCGCTTAATATAATGCTATGTCGCTGCACTTCACTACTCTGATTGAGTACTAGACTCAGCTAATGTACTCATCTCGCACGGGCAATGGCATAGTTGTAAGCACTGGCGGGTGCACCGTGGGATACGCTGAACTACCTGCGCCACCTCTCGACGCTGCAACCCCCACTTCCCCCGCACTACTACTACTTCCCCCTCCAAAGCCCGGAGGTCCGGGACCGCGGTCCAAGGCCCACTGCACGGCGTCCATAGCCCGCTGTTCTGCGTGGGTTCTACTGATAGACCCCGTTGCATTTTCGCCGTCCGGACACCGCCATATTTTCAAGCACCGGTCCTTGCCACTCGTGAGAAGAAAATCCGTGTTCGGAATGACCTCGATTCGCGTGACCGGTGTGCCGCAGCCGTAGTGGCCAAACGCCTGCTGCGCCTGCTGGTCCATAACACTCATCTGCTCGGCGGTAGAAGGACCACTTGAACTGCTCGTGGTCCGGCTATTTTGCAAGTGCGCAACCGCGGCTCCCGAGGTGTTGTTGTATATGGCGTTCGTGCTTTGCCGTAATTGTTCTGTGAAACTCGTTTTATTCCCTTTCACCTCGTCGAAATGCGCGGGAAAGGCCGACAACTGGTGGCTCGACTCTAAATCGTAGCTGGCAACAGTACCGTCGTCAAAACCGACGAGCAGTTCCCGTGTGCTTTCCCGCAAGGTGATGCACCGTACGACGCTGCTGTCCGCCTGCGACGCGTCGCGGTTCTTGCTCTGGTAGCCAACCTGTCGGCACTCCGGAAACAGCCACACTTGAATCCCGTCGCGGAGCGCCACGAAGAGCCGCAGGTTCGGATCGACATCAGGCGACTTCTGCGGCCTCGCCAGGGCTGTGTTTGACGTTGTCGCACTATCATGCTGGACGCCAAGCGGAAGGTCCTGCAGTTTCTGTCCCGGCTGGAATTCCTGGTGGTCGAGAGAAGTTGTACTAGTTGGGTTGTTTGCATTGGTGTACAAGCTTCCCGTTTCTCGTTCATCAAGCTGCACGGGGTACAGCAACAGGTCCCGCACGGCGACTGGCGAGTGCCAGAGTGACTCGATCGCCAAGCCATTGCTTTCCCGCACGTGGTCGGCAACGAGGGTGCGGTGCAGCTGCAAACTGGTACTCCCAACTCCGGTGAAAATCACAACGCTGCCCAAATTCGTGCCCACAAAGAGGTAGCGCCCGTGAACCTAGTAGTTGTCGTGTAGCTTTTGTATGACCTTTACTTCAATATCAATTTCCGTCGTATCTCCATCGATATCAGTGGCATATGCCTCTCGTCGCACTTAGGAAGTACCTCTTGTTGCGAAGTAGCAACGGCTTTGCAGATCTTTATGCCTCAGCCTCTTCACTCATTCATATTCGAGTCGCATTTTTTATTGGGATGAAGTACATCATCTACGTACAACTTGTAGTTGTACCTTCATCACGGTCGCGTAGTACTGCACTGTCGCGGAGCTTCCCACCTCGGACAGCGGCAACAGAAGCTCCGCGAGTATGCGCGACTGGCTGCAGGAATACACCGAGATCTTCCCGTCGACGGTCCCAGTGTAAACCATCATCGCACACCGGGAGCTCCCAGAACTCCCGCCCGCGGCAGACGAACCACCGCTGTTCAACATCTCCAGTTCCGGGGCACAGCCAATGGCCGAAATTGGTGCCGCGTGCACAAACCTCGGCAGCAGCGCCGTGTCTCGCCGTTCCTTCGCTTCGAGAACGAGGCTCGCGACCCCGACCGTGCCGTCTTTCAACCCGACGAAGGAAAAGTTGTCCCGGGCGCAAAAGCACTGAATCTGGGACTGAAAATGCACGCGCCACTGCTGGTCAAAGTGATACTCCTTCGACCCCTTGTAGCAGGTGAGCGCCGACATCGGCCGGTCGTCCGAATGGTGCAGCGACACCCGCCACGACGGCGGATTCTTCATGGAAGTAGAGGAGGAAGAAACTCCTGCGACGGGGGACGCTTGTGACGTTGGCGGGAGTAGTTGCTGCTGTTGAAAATCCACGTCTGGTCCCGACTGTTGCTGATGCGGACCGGGTTGATCCGCGGCCGTGTTGAGCCAGCTTGGGGAAGCCGTTTGCCAATACATCGGATTGTTCACGGAGGAGTTCTGTGGATTGCTGTGCTGCCGCTGCACGCTCCCTCCGCCAGTGGCTTGGGACGAGACCTCGCCCCAGAACCGCGCAACCCCCTCCTTCATCACGCGCCAGCCTCCCTCCGCGGCGACGGAGAGCTTCGACTGCATGCTGTAGTCGTTCGTCGCAAGAATCAACAGTGACTGCGACGTGTCCAGGTGGAAGTCTTTGACCCCGAAAAACGCATCTTTCACAGTGGAGGTGAGGGCCGGAACAGATTCTTGGTACAGCAGTCCACCAACGGAGGTCGAGGTTGACGACGAACTAGGGGACGGTCCTAGGGTTGATGATGTCGTTGCACCGGCGTAGGCTTGTGCTCTACTCGGGACGCCAAACACATCCGGGACATGCACGTGGAAATCAAACAGCTGCCAGAGCTCGACGCACGTGCGCAAAATGTCGAGTCGGTTGCGACAGATCACCAGAAAAAACTCGTTTAGCTGCCGCACACGGGTGTTCAGGTGCTGCGCTTCCACGGAGCGAACCAGCGTTTTGCGTGGAAAAAGGTCGGATGGAATGTTGTTGTACCTAAAGAGTGGCCATTTTAGCGACAATAATGAACACGTCCTTGGGAGGAAGATGAGACGTTGAACCGTGCTAACTAGGCACATAAAAAAAGTACGCAGTTCTAGTACATCAAATGCACATCTCTAGTAGGTGTAAAAATCTTTACCTGCTTTGCAGTAACTCCAACAGCATGGAAAAGTGGGAAAATCGTAGTTTTTTGGTCCATTTGAGTCCTTCCGCCTCCACTGCGACTTCGTAAACGACGTACTGGGTGACCCGGTTCTGCAGGTTCGTTAGCATGGACGAAAGTTTGGCAGCAAATGGTTGAGCGTAGGAGCTTCCAGTAGCTCCAAAATTGTTTCCTCCATGATCCTGCTGCCCGATAACTTCGTAGCCGATCACCTGAATGGCTATCTGCCCGAGCTGCTGGCAAGCAGGTCCGGAAGCAAGCTTCATGTTTGCCTGTAAAGTACAAGAAAACCAAACTAAAGGTAAAGTAGGCACATCTGGGAGCCACGAAAACTGTGTGATAAATGTAAGTTACTTCGTTAAGGTGTTCTGACTCAATGATTTTGTAGCCTCATACGGTGTTTCTTTGGAACGCACGAGTGCGAATCGCGTCGCGCCCTAGGCAAAGACATGAATCAAGACGTAGATGTAGCTAGTAGTATTGTAGTGATCTTATGACTTTCTTATATGAACATCAAGAACAGGAGAGGACTCAGGTGGCGCGACATGTCAACTACAGTCAGACTGACGACAACAAAACATTGATCGCTGTCCAAACCAAAGATCGTTGTCCGAGGCACGGTAGCACAGACGCTTTCATCCGCATGCTCTTGTTTTCATCCGAATGCCAGATCTTTTTGACTCCGCAAGAACCATGAAGATCACGACTACATAAACGCAACCGGACGCCTGCCAAACAAAAGAACCTGAGTTCCGTGATCTGCTGCTGCTCCGAGTGAGTCACTGCGAGCCACAAAAAATAGAGGCACCAGCCGCGGTTCAAAATTACAGCAAATGGATGAGCGCGAACAGACAAAACGCCCCTAGCGGATGGTCGTTAGTACGTCACAAGGCGCTTTTTAGTTTAGAGGAGACACCACAGCGATTCTCTGTCGCGATTTTGCAAAACCTACTTGGAATTACAACACGGCTGCCCGACGGCTGCTGCCATACACCAGCCGCGCCGCGCCAGGCACGCGCCTGCCCCGCCCAAGATGGGCTAACGCACAACAGCGCGCGATCGAAGATTAGATCCACGGCAGCTAATGCCCCCGGGGCCCAGCAACGCTGATTTGTCGCACGGCGGGCCCAACGAACAAGCCGGCGCGCATGTCTTGGCACAGGCGGCGCCAATGTTTTTTGGCAGGGGGGGCACTGACCACGGTGCGGCGGTGCCGTCCCCCTGGCTAAGCGCCAGCCCGAGGGCGACGGCAGTCCCACAGCCAGGGGCGGAAGGCTGTAGCGCGCGGCCTGGCTGGGAAGCGACGCCGCGCATCTTCGCAAAGACACACGGAACGAAGCAAAATAAAAAGAAATGGCCCAGCCACCCGGCGGGCGATCGAAGCTGCGAGCGTGGTCGAGCTCGATCCGTTCCGGGTTCGCGTCGCGCGCTTAGTACATCGGAGAAGCACCCCCCGAGGCAAGCCTCGGGCCTCGGTCGGGCGTCCCTCGCGCGGCTGCTGGCGCTCCTTTCGCCCGCTGCGGATAGCCACGCGCCGGCGCGTCGTCGCAGGTGGCCCACGTGTCCCCACGCAGATCTCCTACAAGCGGCGGCCCGGCGCGCGGTTTCTTCCCACGCACCAGAGGCAGAACCAAAGCAGCGGCCTCTCCCCTCGGCTTACGACGCCCATTTTTGCATGCGTGCTGGATAGTCACTATAGCCAACCTGACTAGAATGACTAGATAAAAGCATAGTCTGTTTCACGCATCTACTACACAGCGCGGTCGCATTGCTCTTTCTGCATGGTCGCCAGTGCGTCTCAACGTATCTCTCAACAGGCCCTAGACGAAAAACCTCTCACTGGCTCGTGACCACGACGTCGTAAGGCAAAAAGCATCGTACTCATAGACTCGTCGTTTTTACCCCTGGCACGGCACCCGATCACTCTGAGTGGGGTCCTCATGGAGGCGAAGGCTACTTTACATCTCATCATGTAACACCCAAATCCTGGCTATAGATTTGTTGTGCGAAAAGCCCCTGCTCCGTTTCAACACGCTGCGCTGACCGCTTTTGCGATTTCACATTGGTGTGACAAAAAATTATGTCAACCACGGCCGGGCATCATACTCAATTAACGAAGAGATTTTGATGCGGGACAGACCGCGCAAGCTTCTGGAGAACAATGACCCGCACGGCCGCAGGGCCGACGGACTTTTGCTAAAGAAAACGTCGGGCTGCTCCTGCTGCTCTCTCCTCAGTCAGGTGCCATTACAGTTATATTTCTTAAACACCCAAAAGCGGCAAATGCATCGCGCAGTGCGCTAACAACAGCAGCCCGCTGCCTGCGTACACCGGCTGGGCTGCGCCGGGCATAAACCTGCTTCGCCCAAGCAAGGGCCCACGGACTCGCAAGGCGGTGCGCGAAAATGATTAGAAGAGCCGCGGCAGCCCATGCCGATGCCCACGGGGCCCGCAACTGATTTGCCAGCCGCAGGGTGGGCAGGCCCAAGAGTCGGCCGGCACCCACGCCCTGGCGCAGGCGGCGCCCATGTTTCATTCGCCCTCGGTCGGGCCATCGGCTACGAGGCGCCAGCCCCTTCGCGGGTGCGCCAATACGCCGAGAACGCCGCCGCCCTTCGCGGGTCGTGCTTGCCATCTTCGAGTGCGCTGCATGAAAATCCAGGAGCTTCGGCCTTTAGTTTGCGCGCCCTTTGCCGCCTCGGGCAGGCGCAATTCCTCGGGCGGCCGACATGCCCCGCGAAGGCATCGCGGGGTGGTAGGGCCTGCCGGCTTTCCTGCGTGCGTTTGTTGGCCCGCCAGAAACAGCAACGCGACCCGGCAAACAGGCCGACAAAGGATAGGAGGCGACACGCAGCGCGCGGCCTTGGCGGTGGCCATGGTTGGGCGAAAACGATAACCCGAAGGAACAGCGAACCACCCCGGCCGAAGGAGGTCGCCTGAACAGCTTCTGGAATCCGCCCGCGGGCCCAGTCCGTCCCGCCCAAAGCTTTGGCGCGGACGCCCCCGCGGCTGCTTCAGCTTCGCCTACGGCACACATCTTTGCTGCACCAACTCAAACTCGCTATACCCATACACTGCGTCTCGCTATTGACGTGTAGGACTACGAGTAGGTGTAGAAATGCATGTCCTTCCTTGTCGTCTGCAAATAAGATTCGTTCTACATCTCTATCTCCCTCTCTGTCAAACTCCAACAAGCGCTCTCATACTACTTACATCCGCAGCACGACATCTGCGCGTCGCAACAATAAAGCACTTGCCTTCATCTCTGAGAAAACGACCACATGAGCAACACTTGTTGCTAATATTACCAGTTGGCTTCTCATGGTCCACAGTAGTGCGCTCTACTTTGAATATCACCAACATGGATCACCCGAGCTCGACTCCGACGCCCACATCTGGCACCACTTTTCTTCCGCGCGAGAAAAGGCTCAACGTTATTCGGTGAGCCATCGGCACCAGCGGGCGGAGACAGACGCTTCTCATGTCCGGCCACCGTTGCTCACGTAGCCTCTGACCACCCATGGGGCTAGCAGCTTTGCCGCACACGGCAACCAGGTGGGCCTGCGCGCATGCCAGGCTCTCATGGGGCGCGGGCGCCGCCGCCTCTTATTAAAAAAGGAATGGCGCGCGGGCGCTCCTTAGGGTGAGCGAGAGAAACCAAAACGAACATGGCCCCGCGGGCACTTGCACCGCAGGCAGAAAGAATCCGGGCGCGCCACTATCTAATTCGGCCCCAAGGGCCAGCCGGCGCGCGGAAATCGGTGCAGGCCAGGGGCACTCGCGCGGCACGCGCTTCCACCAGGGGCCCCTGCGCGCCGGCCTGCCCGAAGAGAGGCCGGCGGGCGCCGCTCCGCCAGAGGCCCGGCCAACGGGCGGGGACCCCAGCCCGCGGGCAAGGATACGGCGCGGCCCGAGGGGCGCGCCTAGGGCTGGGCCGGCGGGCGCGCCAGGGCCCGGGCCGGGCGAGGAGGGCGAAAGCTGCGCGCGGGCGATTTTTTTGTAGTCGAATCGCGCCGCGCCACTCGGTGGGGCGGGCAATCGCTGAAGACGTGGGCGTCGACCGCGGGCAGAAAGACTTTGCGGAATTTCTTGACCGTCAAGGAGCCGACGCCGTCAAACGCGGGCGCGGCACAAATGGGAAACCCCGACGCATTTGAATTCGCGATCTTCTTGAACCCCAGGAGCAGGCGGCCTGTGCTCGGTGCGCCCCTGCTGCCGTCCTGCGCCACCCCTTTGGCCGTCACGCTGGCGCCGCTCGACGAGGACGACGTCGACAAAGACATCCGCGCGGCGATTGTTCGCAGACCGGTTTTGCTAGTCTTAATTCAAATACGAATAGTTCTTCCAATGCCGCCCCTGCACTTATTGATATTGCCAAGCGAGGTGGCCCAGCTGGGATAATTACCCTTTGCTACTGTTTTTTTCAGCTCAACTACCTACCAATCCAACCTCGAGCTGCTCGTGATACTGCGATTCAGTTTCTCTGCTTTTATTCTTGTTCTGTCTGTCACCTCCTCTGGCTTGCTCACTCAATCCACCCACCCTAATTATGCTTGACTGCAGAAGAAACTGAAACTATGTGCAACAAGTGGAAGTCGGTGGAGTCGTTGTTGATTTTAACTGGCGTCGAATCTCTCCGCCAATCACATATCAACTTCAGAAAGAGGCCTGCATCTCTCATCTGGGAAGTACTTAATTGACTATAACAAAGAGGTCGCCTCTGTCGCTCATCAAAACCGCACTACCGTAAGCACACGAATTTTTTTACACACAACCTGAATGATGCTGGAGGTCGGTTGCACTTCCTTTCAGGATCCTGTCAGGAAATAGTACATAGGAATAGAAGAAAACAACAGTCGGCGCACCCTGGCTTGCAGAATCAGCTGTGGATGATTCTGATTGTTCATGGTGCCATTTTTCGTGATGTTTGCCAATCAAAATCAAATAGTGTGAGAATGTGAAAGAAATGTTTTATCTCTTCGGTCCTTCGTAAGTATCCTGAACTTACTCCCGAGGAAGATGACCAAATCCATTGCACAAAGCGCAGATCGTTCCGATTATCATCAATCGAACAGCACACCAGCAGCACGAACGGCGCTTTTCTTCATCTGCAAGAACTGCGAAATGACCACGGTCCGCCCATCCAGCCCCTTACCTTCCGAGCGTGTCTCCCGTGCGACGCAGGAAGTTGTCGTCGTGGTTTCCCTTGCGGCCCTCGTTGCGGAGTTTCTTCAGGGACACGCCACCACCGTGATCCGGTTCACCGTCTTGCTCCAAAAACTCGGCGGTCAACCCCAGGTCCCGGTCCTTCGCGGCGGGCCGCTTCCGCGAGCTCGCGGCGCCCGCGTTCGCGATGGCCTTGCGCTTCCGCTCCTCCTCCTGGTCCAGCTTGTAGATGCGCTGGTTCTCCGCCACCTGCTGCGCAGTCACCGTCGTGATCTTGCGGTCCGGCATAACCTGGGGATAGTGTAGAGGATGATAAGGTTGTATGAACAAAATTTTTATTATTCGCATTCTCAAAGTCAAACCTTCTGGTAGAAACATGGAGTGTGTAGTTGAAGAGGTTTTACGATCCCATTCCCATAAGTAGAGCGACACACCACACATAACAAGTACCTTCTTGATTTGCGCAGCCATCAATTTGTCGTGGGTGTTGGACTTGATATCCAGTGGCACCGCGGTTGCGTAGTGCATCAGCGGTGTGTGGTGCGCGAAAACGTAGTGCTCCTGCTCGCTGAACCTGGAATTTCATTTTGTGTGGCAACTACAATTGGAAAAACAAATCAAGTGCGCGAAACAATTTTGAAAAAAAAAAATCCGCGGCATTCGGTGGTGGACGACCGTGCGAAAAAAGATTGATGTCAATACAGATGGTGCCGACGTATCTTCTCCGCTTTTTCCTGAATCTTGAAATATTCCTCGCCGATGTTCAGAAATTTGTCGCCATTTTCGAATTCCACAATCCGTGCGTTGGACTCGTACCTGATATTTTGAATGCGAAACTTGTTTATGCATACCAAGTACGAATCATGATCACGATGATCATGCACCGCACTGGAAGCAGGTAAAAAGAACCCTCCATGAGTGACAGTTCTCCCAGAACAATGAAGAACGCACGACTTGCAAAAATTCAACTTTTAGTGCTGCAAAACAGCAATATCTCGAAGTTGCACATCAAATAAAAGTGCAGGCGCAAATTGCAAAAAATGTTTCAATATTACTCTGGAATCCCTTTGCTGTTGGTCATCCACTTGCCGGTGGCGTCGCGCTTGAACTTCCAGCGGAACGTGTTTTCTGGGTTTTTCAGCTTGACCCCGTTCCGGTCGCTTTCTTGCCACAGATGTTCCAGCGTGCGCAGGGAGTCTCGCTCGTCGAAGGCTTGCTTCTCCCAGGAGATAATGTTTGGCACGTTGAATACGCAAAGCTGTGGATAATTTAATATTTTCGGGGCATTTTTTTTTTCAACCAAGCAAATGCAAACATTTTCCTCAACGCATGCGGCAGGCATATTCCTCCATCGTACTGGGAGGGTGGGCGGTTACGAGCATGAAATGTAGTAGTAGCACGTGAAAACTAAGAACTCGAAGTGAAAAACGTACGTATGTGTAAATCGCTGCACTAGTATCCCTGTTTCTTTCCAAAAACTACCCGTAATTGTCTATATACCGGATTTCCCTTCAGTTTTTCTCGTCGGAGGAGCTGTACGCCCTCCGCCGCCACGTCCTCTTCTTCGTCGGAGATCACGCCGAACAAATCCTCCTCCTCCTCCAGCAGCTGCTGTGCCGCCGTTTTTGCCGTGCTGTCCGCACCTCCGGTGTCGCCAAGCTTCAGAAAATCATCTCCGCCGAGCATATCCACGCCCGCGGTGAGATCAAAATCGTCCAGCTGTCATGGTTTTCTTTTGCAGATGCAACTGCTTCATACAGAAAAAACGTAAAAAAGGCCAACATACTTGTACATGCGGCATTCCAGTAGTAGTACGAATGGCTAGAACAAAGGCGACAAGACATGAGCACGTAAATCTAAATGAGTATTAATTGCAGCTTATGCAACACAAAAATTTTTCAAAAAGTACGTCATCATCCATAAACAAGTTGTCAAGTTCCTGGTCTGGGTCGAGAACCGCGGGCTCCGCTGGTGCTGCAGAAGGTTCTGCAATCTTTTCGCCGTCACCAAACAAATCGTCGCCATCATCGTCCTGGAGAGTGAAAGAGATCAAGAAACGTTGGCGTTGCATGTTTTATTTCCCATTTTCGTTTTTACTTGATGTATTAATTGAAGAGGCAACATGACTGAGTTTCTCATTTCAAACGACACATTCATCAGAGTCTGTCATGCTCATGCACATGCACATCATCGCGAAGCTTTGGTCAACATTAGAAAAGAAAAAATCCAAATCTTTTTCTACCGCGCTCGACTGTAGACCCGCCGCAGCAGGCTCGCTTCCGCTCTGCTGTTCCAGCTGCTGCTGTTGCTGAAGCTGCGACTCGACTTGCGTGGCGCCCACGAAGGAGTCTGCAGTTCCAAGGATCTCGGCCTGCGAGGAGGAAATAACAGGGGACTTCGGGTGTGCTGCTGGTGATTGGCTAGTACCCCGCGCACTGTGTCGTGCCGGTGAGTTGTCTGTTCGTGGTCCTTCTGCAGGTTTGTTCACGGGGGACTGCGGGCGGCTGCGTATTGGCGACTGTCGCTGGGACGCATCGAGGTACCGATCCAGATCCTGCGTGTTGTCCGGGACGGCATGGCTCGCTTGCGTGTTTAGTATGGGCGCGAGCGGCACGCCGGCGTGGTCCACTTGGGTGGCGTCGAAGTTTTCCGGTGCGAGCCCCAGCACGTCCTGTGTGGCCCCAGCGAGTCCTGGGGCTGCGCCGCTGCTGCTCGCCGCACCGGGGGTGGGCCGCGGTGGCGAGGAAGAGGGCTGGGAGCCGCCAATCTGCTCCTGCGGACCGCTATTTTGCTGCCCGCCGTCCATGTTGTTTCGTTTCGGTAACTAGCTGATGGTTGTTCCTTCAGTTCGTGATACGGATGAGGATATTTTCACGCGTCTCTACGGCAATCAGATGTTGATTGTGATTCGGTGCTGTCGTATGTATCTTGACCTCAAAGGGCGCGATGAACTCGTGGTAGATATAAATACGAAAAAAAGTGGTACAGGCGAGAGATGATGAGACGATACTGAAACAGAAGGAAATCGTACAACTTGTGTCGCTCTTCGATCTCAGCTACAAAGACTACGTGATGTTGACATCAAGTGGCAAAAACTACAGCAATACTACACTTCTCAGCATCTACTTCCCCAGTTCGACTATAAAGTACAAAGCCAAACAATGAGAATAATGATTCAAGTCGCTGTTCCTTCGGGGGAGTGATTATTCAGAGCCTTTCTCAAGATTTTAGAAAAGCGGCTCCTTGTCATCATGTTCACTGCAGCTCCTAAGGGAGGCACGCACGGTCGGTCATGTCCTGGTGCGCGAAGATGACATTTATTCTACTGTGGAGGGAGATCTAGGTCAGACACCAATGATTGCGCACCTGCTACTTCACGTCATGATTTCGAACAGTAATTTTTTTTCTCTGATCCGCACCACAGCGGCATAGCCTTTCGTACTATCAAGCACGTCAAAAACACCAACACCCGGGTCTCTGTCTCTCACAACGACGAGCACAAACAAAAGGAATAGCATTTACTCGGAAGCAAGAGCAAACGGAAGTCTGCCACCTGTATTTCTTTTCTGAATGCAGATCGATCTTTTATACGATCTCTTTTTTCACGCACGACTTCGACAAAAAGGAACCCAAGCTCATTAGTAAATGGTATTTCGATTTTTCTTTTATCAATTCTTCACGAGGACTACACGAATGTTCCAAAGCTTTAGCTTTTCGTTTTCCTCTCATCAGCATCCAATACATAGCAGGATCTACTATTTTGATCCATCTGAACACAACTTCTGTGATAAAAACTACCATATTGAAGACCTGGATCTCATACGTCGGTAGGTTCGGCTTTCACATCTCCATCGGTGGATTGAAATTGATCTATGAATGATTGATTCTTGGAAAACGAACCAGAACCAGTGAAACTGAAACATGTTTCAGTCTCCGTTGGGAACAATATGAGCTCCAGTGTGGCCGCGACGCCCAGCAAGATGCTGAATGTGACAACAAGTGCTCCAGCTTCATACTCTTCGTTCTTTACTCGAATTCTCATCACTACAAGCTCAACTTGTACTTTTGTCTACGGCTTCCTTATCTTTACAAGGTTCCTGCACCTACGGACACAGTTCTACACGGGCACATGTACACGCTTCGACTGGCTCTTATTTCTTTCGTGGCAGGAGCATGCGCATCCGTGAGAAATAAATTCGAATTCGTGATCTGCTCGTGCGATTTTGACACAAATGCTGCACATGATTCCGCCATCCATGCTGCAACTCGGCGAAGTAAATTCAACTCCCAAAATTACATAACCGCGCCAACATTTCATTTTCGAATTCGATGCAAAACGTTGCTGCTTGTAAACTTGACAAGCAACAATAGAAAAGAGTACCTACTTGCAGCTTTAGAGACGCTTTACTTCCGATTGACATGACATGAGGCAAAACGCTATATTGGATATAAGACACACACAGTGCTGAAGATCTTTTCTTTGATCCTCAAGTAAAATACACGCCGAAGAAGTCCTTAGGGTCTGATTCATCATCGATAATGGCAATGGGGGGGTGTCTCGTGTCGCTAGATGAAAAAAAAAAGCAGAAATCAACCTTGTGCTCGTTGTCGCGACAATTTATGTCCGACAGGCGACCACAACAACAAGGCAGAGTTCCATAATGAACTTGGGAGTCAAGCTGGTTTGGGTACAACTAAAGGCGAATAAGTATCCGGCCCCTCGGGACGAGGGGACTTTTGATGTGGTCAATCGACGATGATCATTCAATTAATTGATGTGTAGGTACAGAAATTTCTACGTTGACCACGAACTGAGTAAACAAAAACATAGCTTGTTGAATTCAAACTCACGCTGAAAATGTTACAGGCAATCGCTAAATGTGCTCCTGATTTTAAAAAACCACACCGTGCTGGTGGTAGTCAACATATCATTATTTTCACTTCTCCCTTCCCGCAAGGGCACGTGTTCGTCCGGGCTCAGTGTGGGCGTATACTTAGTATGTTCCGGAGCAGTAGAAGCGCCCTGGTTGTGCCATGTAGCTCCATGGTCATGCCGAGCAGTTTATAGCCCACGACACCTTTTGGTACGGTACCGCTAGCGCTCCTTTTCCGGCTCTGGTGCCTCGTCGCGCACTTCCACTTCATCTGCGTCAAAGGACCCGGATGAACATTATTTGGTACTTACGTCTCGGCCGTCTTTTTTTCCTCCTCCTCCTCCTCCTGCAACATCAATGCGAGTTGCTGCTCCCTCTCCTTCCGCTGCCTGCGCAGCGACAGGTGGGCGCCGAGCATGACGAGTGAGAAGGGGAAGGACAATAGGGTGAGGAAGAACGCGAACTGAAAAAACTCGCGCAAGCAGTAGGGCCCCACGCAGGTTCCGTTCACCTTCCCGTTTTCGTTGAAGAATTGCGTGTACGGCCCGTGCACCGGGTCGCTTTGCCGCTGGAGAAGCTGCTCCACATCGTTCGGGTAGTCCTGCCGCACATTGGCGATCGACCACACGATGGACGTATCCTCGCTGGCGTAGGGGAGAAGGTTTATCAAAAGGAAATATCCCCCCTCCCCGTATCGCAACGAGCTTTCTGATGCTGGATTTGCGTACACAAATCAGGTCTGTCTTGCTGGAGAGGCCTGCAGGCATATGCTAAGCCTGAGTCGAGAGGTTTGGACGTAGGCGACTAGCATGACAGACGTGGGCTCTGTAAGCCCAACAGCATCACAAACCGCCTGCATAATCCGGCGGACTCTCTGGCTTTGTCTTCTTGCAAGACAAACACGATTTGTGACCTGAAATCAGCAACACAAATTTTCGGAAACATACCTTTTCAATATGGGGAGGGGGGATTTTGCCTCACAATAAGGTTCCACACGAAGTTGCCCGTCACGAGCGCCAGCACGGCGGTGCCATATTAAGCGTAAAAATGTCTGGGTCTGGAAGAATGCAACTTGTCATGCTGATTTTGAATTCAAAAAAAATCTGTATTGCATGGGCAGCAAAGAGAGTCCAAGTTTAGCTACACGGAAAGAGCATTTCTCATGCGGTATAGGCATCAGGAAGCCCTCACAAAATCTGTGATGCTAGGGCATGCATCACAGACATCAGAAGTCATGCAAAGTGTGCATGACAAACCTGGCAATCTTCCAGACCCAGACACTTTTGCAATTCATATGCCAAACAAAAGCCCCATGTTCGCCGGACGGACCACCGTCTTCAAGTAGATCGGCATCATGGCAAACTGGGCGCCGAACGCGAGCCCAACGATAATGGTGGTGCTGATCATACCCGCGAGGCTGCTAGGGAAGCCTGTTGGTGCGATCGTGGTTATGTATAAACAAGTGTAGCATAGACAGTTAATTTTTTTTTCAAGGTTATGAACGGCAGCAGAACAACGTGTAGAATCTTCAGTACCAGCCGGCTTTTGCCGTTTACTACAAATTCAAATTCAAGTAGAAACACAAACAATAAATGAACATCATGTATAGTACCTCCCACAAACCCCTGCCAGAAAAACACGGCTAGGTACACGACCAGCGCCACGGGGAAATAGATCGCGAGTGCGGTGCACTTTCCCACACTTTCGGCCGCGAAGCCCGCCAGAAAGCGGCCGATCCCGTTTGAGGCAATGAAGATCGTCGTGGGCAGCGCGAGATCGAACGCTTTTTCGGTGAAGGCGTCCTGGCTGCCGGCGGCCACGCCCTCGGTTCTTTCCCACTTCCGCAAGCCCCCAGTAGAGTGGATTTTGGGTTCGATGTACAGCACGTTCTCGTCCGAGGAGAAATTGTTTAAACCTATCTCCACCGAACGAAGGGCAACCGTGTCCGCGTCGTTGAAATACCGTACCTGCGCGATCAGCACGTCCCGGTCCGCCGCGTAGCTGTCAAACCTGGCCACGAGGGGAAGCAGCTTCGTGTTCGTGCCGTCCGCGAAAGGGACCGGGTTGTCCGGGGTGTGGTCTTCCGGGACCTGCAGAAAAGCACAAAAAATAATGATAAAAGGAAACTTCTTCAAAAGCGTCGCGTGCAGCATGAAAGATGTTGAAACACGACGGTGACTGGTGCTCGCGACGGAGAAGGAAAATGAATAGAAAGATCGACGATGACGTAATTCGGCAATAGAACGAATCTTCGTTTCTGCCAGCGTAACAGAAATGTTCCATACATCACATGCCCGGGAAGTAGAAAGCTTTCAACAATTGTAAGTACTAATTCAATCTTTTACTTTATACCACTTTCCATTCCCAGAGAAACAGGTCCGAGAATTTGGCGTCCACCAAGTCCGGGCTTACCGGGTAACGATACTGGTACTGCGCATTACTACGGAGGAGGGAAAACAGCGGTTTTTCGGCTCGCCTCGACAGAGACAGCAGGTCGGCCTTTGTCAGCAACCCGTTGTCGGCGCGCACCGCGGGTTCGTACATGTATTTTACCTGCTTATTGTAGCACATGCCCCACGCGGTCCCGAAAAACATCACGAACGCCAGGCACACCGTGCCCAGCAGCATGTGCCCCTTCGGAAACTTCTCGCTGTCATCATCTTCCACGGTGGTCTTGGTTTTCTTCTTGCTAGCACTGACATCATTTTTGTCCTCCTGGTTCGACGAGGCGACGGCCGTCTTTGGGTTTAGAATTTGTTCCTCTTTATTCTTTACAGCTGCATCATGAAGATCGCTGAAAGAGCTAGTTCTGAGATTCTTGTCCAGCGTATCGTAGAGAAACATCCCCCCTCCCCATATTGAAAACGTATCCGTCTGAAAATTTGTGATGCGCATTTGTGACCTCAAATCCTGTCTGTCTTGCAAGAAGGCACTTTCAGAGAGCGCCCCGCATTTTGCAGGCGGTTTGTGATGCTGTTGGGCTTAGAGCATTCACGTTTGTCATGCTAGGCGCCTACGTCAAAACCTCTCGTCTGAGGCTTGACACATGCCTGCAGTCCTCTACTGCAAGACAAATCTGATCTGTGTACGGAAATCCAGCATCAGAAACTTCGTTTCGATATGGGGAGGGGGGATTTTTCCTTTTGATAAAGCGAGAAGTTTGGCGGCGCCGGGTTCTCGTCGTCATATATTACAGTGAAAAGTGCCCCCCACTCCCAAAGTTGCAAAAATTTGTGATGCGAAGTTTCCAAATGAAAACTTTTTACCATGCATGAAAGGAGTATGAATCTTTCTGATGCTGATTCTAGTCGTGTTTCGCATCGCTTGCATGACAAGCACCGCTCTACCTGGGATCTTTTGCAATACAAATTTTTGCTATTCACGATCGGAAATCTGTGATGCTGATTGATACATGCAAGAGGACAAATGTTTCATTTGGAAAGGTTTGCAATACAAATGCTTTCAAGTTCGGGGGTGGGGGCATTTTTCATTGTAATATCATACTCGTCTTCTTCGGTCGCGGCGAGTTCCACTTCGGCCTTGTCTTGTTCCTCCAACCGCTTCTGCCGTTCGTACAGCGTCCAGTAGCTGAAGGCGGCGCCGAGGCCGAGCAGCCCGATGAACACCCCGGAAACGAAGAACCAGGTGGCCGCCGGGTTGGCCACGCCCGGAATGGCCTTGTACCCCTTGTAAAACAGGTTGAACGTGATCCCGCTGAAGGCGTCCAGCATCATGAACAGGCCCGCGATGGTATCCTGAGTAAAAACGTACCCACACCAGAGTCAGGATGAGGATTTTGCAGCACAAACCTGGGAGTTTTGTGAGTCACGCATGACAAGTTGCGCTATGCAGTGTAGTGCAGGTTAGCAAGTGCAGCCGCGTCACAGATTCGTCTGCTCATCCTGTTCACAGCATCACAAATTCCAAAACACGACTGGAAATGGGTCTCATGGGGATGCGCATTACAAGTCTTCCTGTGTTTGCAGATCTGCATTACAACTCTGGTGTGGGTACGTTTTTACTCAGGATAGATGGTGGAGTAGGTCTCCGAGGGCAGCGCCCGCATCATCACGCACAGGGTCCCGAGGCAAATGCAATTTATCAAATGTAAAAATGTCTGGGTCTGGAAGATTCTGAGACTTGTCATGCATGTTTTGCCTGGGCCATGATGTCTGTGATGCATGCCCTAGCATCACATTTTTTGCGCGGGCTTCGCGATGCCTATTCCGCATGACAAATGCCCCCTCCGCGTATCAAAAATTACACTCCCTTTGCTGCTCATGCAATACAGATTTTTTTGGAATCCAAATTTAGCATCACAAGTTGCATTCTTCCAGACCCAGACATTTTTACATTTGATACCCTTCGACCCGTTGCCATACAAGAAAGCGGCGACATACAGGATGGCTGGCGACTGATAGTGACAAGAATGAATTTTCATAAGTACTTACAGGATGTAGTTGTTTGAGTCTCTTCTTATTTCCGTCAGAGCATGACCAACATCCGCCAACACTGAACAGGAATTAACATAGTCCTCAGAACGAGGAAAGCATAAACGTCGTGCGCCAGAAAGATAAAGAGCGAGGTCGCATAAAAAAATCGAAAACAGAAGGCACGGCGTAGACACCCGATGATTCATCATGTACATTTTTATTTAGTACTTTGAGAGGCCGCCTAGTTGTAGAATGAATAAGTAAGTACTTAGATACCTGCATCAAGAGGCCGGAGCCGACGCCGGCCATTCCTAGCACGAGGTAGAGGGAGCAGATCGCCGTGGTAAGGCTGGGACCGAGCACGTCTACCAGCCATCCAGGGAGCACGCCGAACCCCATCCCGAGAAAGGTATCAAATGCAAAAATGTCCGGGTCTGGAAACTTGTGATGCAAGTCAGTCAATAACAAATGCCCTTCCTGTAATGCGCCGCCAAGCATGACAAGTCACTTCGTGCTTCTGTGCGGCGTATTCCGCATGAGAAACTGCGTTCTTGCATGACAGGCGAGAGAGGCTGTTTGTGGCCACGCAATACAGATTTAAGGGCCATGCCAGATCAGCATGACAAAACTCGCAATCTTCCAGACCCAGATGACATTTTTGCATTTGATAAAAGGAGATCAGGTACAGCATCTCGATGGCGCTCCGCGTCGATTTCCCCTCGTCGCCGGGCGTAGTGAAGCTCTTCATCTCCTCCTCCAGGGCCGGCAGCACGTACATCGTGGACAGCCACATAGAGACCAGCCCTCCCATCAGCACCATCACCCACAATGGGCTTCTTTTCGCCGTCGTGTCATTGAGATTTTGCATGTTCATCTCCGATGATCCGCCCGCCGCAAATGGAGCTGCTTCATCCCGTGAAGTAGTAGAGCCGCATGCTGCTCTCGTGGCACCAGGTAATTGGGCGAAACAAACGGCGTTTTTGTGTGTGGCTGTACTTGATGAACAAGCCACGGTTTGTTTCCTCTGGAAGTAGAACTCGTCCTGCGTGCGTTTCTTGTTTAATAAAACACCACCAGACACGACGACAGCTGGTGTATCCTCTTGTTGGGAGGAGCTACCCCTTAGATGTCCGCCTGCTCCCATTGCGCCGGCTGCAGCATGATGTCCTCTGCTGCGTTGGTCCAGCAAAGCCTCGTAAACGGCATCTTCGCTGGCTCCATCTTCATCCTCATCTTCCCTTACACCTACGACGCCCAGGTGTTTCCTCCGGCCGAAATACTTGGGCAGAACTATTATAAAACTTTTGTTTGCGGGCCGCGCGCGACACGCTGGCGCCCTTCTTTTGGTTGCCCCATGCCCTGTCGCTGTCCCACCGCGCTTCCCGTTGCCCGGGTGGCGCGCTAGGTAAGAGGCTGCGCCCCCGGCGCGTTGCTGGGCGCGGCCCTTTCCAACATCAAGAAAAAAACACAGCGAGGGCGAAAGGGCGCGCGGAGTTTCGTCGCCATTTGTTGCTGTAATAGAGGACTGCGCGGCGCGTTAAAGCAGTGCGCCCACTTGGGGCGTGGCATAGGCAGAAGGAAAAACGCTGCCAGATTGTAATGCGGCACGCATGCCGCGCCGGCGGCACAACGGCGCCCCGTGTGTCACATGCCCCCACCTTTGCGGCGCCGCGAGCTGCTTCCGCTTCGGAGGCGGCGCTAGGAAAGATGCGGCCAGATACCCAGGCGGCACGCGCGCAGCGCCGGTGGTGCTGCGGCCCCCCATGTGCCACATGCGCCGCGCCGCCTTCCAACTTCGCGGCGCCGCGAATTTGGTGCCCAGAATACCATGCGGCACGCGCGCAGCCCCGGGGGCATGGCAGCACACAAATGGCCAAAATTGGCCTTCTTTGTCTCTTTTGGACCCGGCCGACTGGCCGAATCCCGACGGTATGGCCCAACTTCCCGTGCCAAAGTCTGAGGTCCGGCCGCCTCGCCAAAGTCAGACACGAGACTCTCAAAAGACTTCGAAAAGACTTTGAAAAGACTTTGGAAAAGACTTCGAAAAGACTTTGAAAAGACTTTGAAAAGCGCTCCCGTTTTTGCATGGCCAAAATTGGCCATACCATCGGGCGAAGCTTTCAAAAAGCGCGCACTTCTGGGCGCTTTTCCCAAAGTCTTTCCAAAGTTTTTTCAAAGTCTTTTCAAAGTCTTTTGAGCAGGAAAACTCGCGACTTTTCTGGCCGCAGGCAGAATCGGGCCAGGGAATTGACTGCGTTTTTAACACGTTCCCCGAGCGTATTCGGGCACTTTGGCCGTCCCGAACACCGCGCCATTTGGGCGAACCAACTCCCACCGTGCCCCCGGTGCGAGGCGCGTGCCGCATGGTATTCTCTACGCAATTTTTCCGTTTCATTCATACACGGCTTCCAGACGCAGCCACTTACAAACGGATCCCGCGATGCCGGTCGCCCATAATGGGCGGCCGGACCCGGGGCCGGCCCCGTTTCGCGCCGTAACTGTGGCGCTTGATATTGCGAAAAGCCGCCAAGCGTAGCTGCAACAAATTTCGCCAGACCACTGCCGCAGCCGTGCCATTTTTTTCGCCGAGTTACTACCGGGCGACGCCTTTCTTTTTTTGGAAGGGGGCAGGGGGACTTTGCACGAAATGCTCCCCACCAGATGTGTGCGATTTCTGTCGCGCCCATGAAGCGCAGAGCAGTCCTTTTGCTATGAGGCCAAAGAGCAAAAAAAGAAAACCCAGACACAGCCTCGTAAGGATGTGAAAATGGCATCGTAAGGATGACCCAAACTCGTAAACGGCATCTTCGCTGGCTCCATTTTCATCCTCATCTTCCCATGCGGTGATTTCTCTTGCTTGTTCTGCACGACCATGATACAGAGGCGTCGACGCCCCCGCCGCGCCGGCCAAAAGTAAACACGAAGACTCTTCTGCGTCGGCGGGAACTGCAGCTTGGTCCTCACCGCTGTACGTTCTTTTCTTGGTGTCCGGACGACCAACAGCCGGTCTTCGGTCCCGCTTTGACGACGGCATGCTTTTCGAAATATTCAAGAATAGGAGGAGGAGGAGGATACGGTTAAAATTATCTTCTGGTCAAATAATTATATAATATACACAGTCGGCATAACTAGCGAGACAACATGAACATTATCATAAAGCAAAAAGTAAAACAAGTCACAACAGTGTCCACATTTCATGGTTCTTGACTGATGAATAAAATGAGGGTGAAATTTCTGGACGCATCATCTGCTCTGTTCTGGCTACTAGAAAAGAAGAAGTCGTATGGCTTAAAGTGAATATACTTACTATAATGCGGGATCTTCGACTTTTTTGAGCTGTGAAAATTCGTCTTGAAGATCCCGAGATCGGTCATCAAAATCGCTACAGCTGTACCGCAGCTGTAGTTTCTCAAAAACAAAGATTACGGTTTTATTGTCGTGGCTTGTTGTGGTGCTTTTGTCTGCTGCTCACCACGGAACGAGGCCCTACATATTAAGAGTCGCATTGTAGTGATCTGTTATCCCACCAGAAAGCGCCAACCCGCAGGAATTCTTGGTCAGCCTCTGCCTCGTCCGAGGGCAGCGGTTATTTGCCAAGCTTTGATTTTCTTGCACCCAGCCGAAGGCACACACGACCACAGGCTGGCTGACTAGAAGTACTACACGAGGAGCTTCATGATCATGGATCACAAATCGTATATTAACAATATTGGGAAAGGAAATATATTCTCCATTGCATGCAAGGGATAGCAAGCAAAGCAGATGATCTTCTCTTCCTATTTTATTCCGCACCGAAAGTGGTGGATGCTGCTGCCACCACAGCTACAGGTCACCTCCACGACACGAAAGATACGCATAAACGTCGGCGCCCTGGCGAGGGACAACGATCGTGATGCGCACTCCTTCTACTTGTGCGATCAGCGATATCGCGATCTGTATCTGACACGTCTTCCAGAGCAAAAAAGCTCTGGCCGGCCTGGGAGAGAAGGAAAAACAACGCTCTGCCTGGTCTTCCGCAAGTCAAGAACAAGTGGCTCCGCAAAAATGGAAAGTTGAGAAGCAGACTCATAGATACATCACTTTATTGTTATTCATTTCTTCGGTTGCTGCATTTTTCACGTTTTCATTTGTCAGTCTGCTTGCATACTAGCTTTTCAAATTGGATTTGCACCAAAACGAGTGGCACAATGTGAATACTTTATTTACCCAAAATAAATGTAAGACTCTTACATATATTTTGGGTCCAATTGTCTAATTGTTGGGGGTCCAATTGTTGCACAGCCTCTTAAAGAGGCTGTGCAACAATTGGACTAAGAGGCTGTGCAACAATTGGACCCCCTTTCGCCAAGGCGAAAGGGGGGGGGGGTAGGTTGGTCTAATTCCGGACGACGGGAGCTGGCACCCCGCCGCAAGGGTGGAGGGGCCCCCCGGCGGTCTCGCCTCACGACAATCGAACGCCCGGCGGCCCTTCTTCGTGTGGTGCCTTCGCATGGGGCAGTCAGTTGGCTGGTCGGCAGTAGGCGCACAGGCGTACGCAACGAGGCCGAAGCCATTTGCGTGCTATCTATGGGCGCGCTCCACCGCACCCGGCGCGCCGTAACATGTGGCGACGGGCGGGACCAGGAGGGCGGGCGCCCGCGCTGTTTTTTTTTTCGCATTCCGCGCAGGGAGTCGCATCGGGGTGATTGCGGGCCCCCCATGTGTTCACCCCGGGCTCCCCGTGCTGCTTGGGGGGGCTTGACAAGTCGGCGGGCACGCCGGGCGTGCCCGAAGTTTTTTTGCCCTGTGCTGTAAGGCTCGGGCCCTGGCGGAGGGAGGGCGAGGCATGCGCGCTCCCTCAGGTCCGGCGAATACAGAAGTAGGCACGCAGTATGATGCAAATGTCGCGGCAACGGGCGCGCGCAGCGCGCCCCGCAAAATTTGCCACATTATGCGCGCGCGGTAACAAATAAAACGAACAGGATAAGCCTGCTCGGGCTATTGGCAGGGGGCGCGCGCAGCGCGAATTTTTTTCTATTCCCGCAGCACGAACACAGGGCGCAACTCAAGGCCCTCTCGCAGCGGGCACGCGCGCCGCGCCGCAATTTTTGTTACTGCGCACGGCCCCCGGCGAAAGGGGGGGGGGGGTGGTCTCCAGCGGGCCGCTACCCCCCCTTTCGCCATGGCGAAAGGGGGTCCAATTGTTGCGCAACCTCTAACTCCAGCTCTCATACATTGAAGTGCCCCGCTATTTTCACGCGAAGTCGGTGGGAGCTCGAGCTGCACATGGTCCCAATAAACTTCGTTCTTGGAAGCAACCACTTATCCACTGCAAATATAATGTCTGGGTCTGGGAGGTTGCGAGATTTGTGTTTGTCATGCGAGTCTGGCATGACTCTGAGCTCTGTGTTGCGTAGCCGCGCAGAGTGCCTCTTGCCGCTCATGCAAAAACGCAAACTCAGAACCACGGAAAAACTTCTCATGCTTCGCAGCGGATTACAGCGTGCGCACACACTATATCCTTCGTAGCGTCACAAGTTTCCAGACCCAGACATATATGCAATCCATACCAGCACTCTTTCAAAACAAAAGCGGAACCCCCGACCCTGAGATAAGCGACAAACAACGCTATTGGGCCGGAAGAGAAAAAAAAAAGCTCAAGATATTGCAGAAAACATAAACAAAAGCTCTATCTGTATCTTGCTTCCCAACAGTACTATTAATTAATCATTCTTTTTTGCAAAAAAGCAAAAGAAACAAGTGGTGGTGTGTTGGTGCTTGGGTAATTTGTATTTCCAATCTGCTTCTTTGCCATTGCCGCTATTTCATGTTCCGCTAAATTGGCACAATCGTGGTTCTTGGCAGTGGAAATAATCTTCGTAAGTATAATAGCGAGCGCAACTTAAGAAACTACACAAATCCCATCAAGCCTAGAGTCCTTGCACTGCTCGTCAAGCCTTCCAGTCTTGTTGTCGTTCTCGCGAGAGCAGCCGAAGCGTGATATGGATGACACCACCGAGGACCAAATCGGCCCTGCATCCGTCAGCACAGCAACGAACAGCACGCGAGTTTTTTAATGATCCAACTATGTATTTGGAATAATTCGACGACTACAGTACTGTTTGGCTTTGGCTAGACAAAGTGCAGCTGACGTTCACATCTGATGATAGTGAGCCAGAAAGTAGAACAAGAACTTGAGTCGAAAGCTTCAGTAGCGAAGCAAGTTCGACGTCTCGTCCATTTTCTGGCACTACTTGGCGTTCAAAATCGTACCAGTTGCTGAAGGAGTGGTCGACGCAGGATAAATTTTTAATGCTTGCCGAGCATCAAAAAAAGGTTGCAATGATAAATTTTCTTCTCGAAAAAAGTTCCATATTGTCTGAAAATGGACAAAAACAAGAAATTGAAATGCATTTACGTATTTTTGCGATCATGAAAGGTGTAGGCGAATCGTTTCTACTACAATCGAAAAAAAAAAAGAAAAACACTGGTGCGGTATCCGTTGATTCTTCAAAATAAATATATCTGAAACAAACTACGTTGCCGAAAACGTCTGCTCCTGCGCGAGTGTCTCGAGGATCCTGCGATCCAATGACAGCACTCACGCAACGACCGCCCCTCTGTAGAAGGTGTTCTGCATTTCACTTGTATTCTCATTCATCATTATCTCCTTATCATTGTTTTCCTCTTTCGGTTTCGATATACTTCCATAAGTGCGTACATTCTAGTCGACATCGGCAAATCACGCGACGACGACGAGCGCTAGGAAAATAAAATGGCCACTAGGAAATAAAGGTCTCGATCGGTACAGGCCAGCCCAAGCGATAGAAACACGTAGAGAGTACTACATACAGCATAGTATCAACATGCTCTTCTCGGATGAAAGAACCGCTGCCATTTTTATCCAGATGAGACAACTACAACACTAGAACCGTGGTGACTAACCGGACTCATATCTAATAAATTGAGGCACAAAAAAGGAGAACTATTACAAGGCTACTGCACGTAGCCCGGCCCGACGGTACTGGCTGATAATCTTCCAGGACGCGGCCCCAGCTTGGCCAATAATTTTGGAAGAAAACGCCATTTTCAACCAGACGGGGGGTGGCATAGAACAGCAACAGGGTGGGGGAACGGAAAGATAATGAAAAAATAAAAAAATAAAATGAAAACCCCTACGGTGTAGATTGAAGAAAAAAGCTAAAGCACTGCTATACGAGAAAACATTTTCAGAGAAATTGAATTGCATCATACATTTACTATTTCCTGATCCTGGCAAGAGGCGGGTTGATCTTCGTGGTGGGCGTCCTCGTCAAGGAAGGCTTCGATCGGCGTCGTGGAGGTCCAGGTCGCGAGCCTGTTGTTAAATGGATAGATGATGATGCCTACGAGTAATTCCTCTCCTGAGATGAAAGCATTGCTGCGCTCCTACTTGGTCGTGAAGGACAAGAGAAATAAGTGGTCGATGCTTCTCGGAGCTACGGACTGGGCTCTCCTTCTTAAATGTTGATGTTCTTGTTGTTGAAAAATTAATAAACACTGGTTTTGTACTATCTAGCAGTACCGTTCTTCCCCGTCCGTACTCGAACCTGCCCGGCCGGCGTCTGTACTCATTTCATCTTGGTCGAGGACCTCGTCCAACGGTGGCGCGGCACGTGCCACCCTTCTTTCATATGCAGTGCAAACGTATCGCACTCGTATAAATCAATGCATATCCTCAGCATGAGAAATTAATAGACTTGTATTGCGGATTTCCCGTTAAGAAAAAAATTTGTAATGCATGATTGCAATACTACAGTACAATACTTTTGCACAGGATATTTCATCCAGAGGAACCATTTCTCTCCGCCTGCCGTTCGCTTCGGTTGCCTGGTCCGGGACAGGGAGGTTGGCCCCGTGCAAGACATTGGCTGCCACGGGAGGCCGGTCGACACCTTGCTCCTCGCCAGTGTTCTGCTGCTGTTCTTCGTCGGCGTCGGGGCTCTTCTTCTGGAATATCCAAGGGAAATGTTTTTAAAACTGTGGCCGCGGGCACTCATAATGCAAACGAAAACATAAGCATGATGAGATGAATCCCAAATATTTGCAGAGGACTCCTGCAGAATAAGAGCCTTGTGGTCGTGCGTAAAAACTGAGTAGTAGCGCGCGATGGAAATATTGAAGCGGGCGCGGCAGTAGGAAAGTTTTTGACGTGCCCAATGTCCTGGCCCTGGGTGTACTACTAGTCCACGAAAATTATGGAAGCGCACTAGCATACTCCACGCATATTTTCATAAGTGTGGCTGTGGGTGTTCATGTTCATCTTCACTCTGCATGATGTCGATCTGCATAGTTGCATACTTATTACAGTTCAGTTGCATCATCAAAGTTCCACGCTACAAAGTTTTATTTTCTTGGGATAACATTTTTATCGTGCGGATCAATATGCACGCGGCGCAACTCGTCTAGCAGCTTGGCCTGGATGCGTTCCCATTCCTCGCACTCGTCGGCGTCACCCGGGTAAGGCAACGTTTGTGGTGCTGTGACTTCGAAAATCCAGGGAGGCGGTGGCTTCTCGTGTTTGAACCCCGACTATGAGAGTGCAGCACAAGAACTCCCCCTGAGTCACCCTCATTTGAACAAGGCAAGAACAACAATAGACAGAAGGTCAGAATAAATGTAGCTTCCGCATGACGAATATGCGTGCGGTTTATAAGTACTGTTTGAATAATTCCCAAGTCTGTCATGCAAGGTAGCGATGAGAGGCAGTGCCTGGAAGTGGAACTGCGTTTTTGCATGACAAATGAGGGGAGGGGGAGTTGTGAACCACTCTCATACCTTCGCGAGACTGCGGTCCACTCGTTTGCGGTTCTTCCACATCTCCCCCCTTTTGTATGGCGTTCTCAACTGTTACATTCTCAAGTCGTGTTACATGAATTTGTCATGCAAAATTGCCATCAGCCTCCACTTGATCAAGGTGCTTAGCATGACAAATTTTCGAAAGGCTAAACAGCATCATAATCTGTGATGCGAAAGCTGCCACGTTGCCACTTTCACTTTTGCTTTTCTTGCATTGCAAGTGCATGTAACAGTTGAGAATGTAACGTTTGAGAACGCCATATTTTGGCTGCCCACAGTATGCAAGAAAAAAACATTGTTGGCGTAACTAAGTGATGCGCAACATGCAAGATGATAATCATTTGTCATGCTGTACATATGCCTTGCCATTCTGAGGTCGTCCACGACTGAGCCGCATTATTTATATTTTCACGCATCATCTGCGCATGACAGGTTTTTGTTCTCATCATGCCAGACAGATTTGCATTTGTAATGCTGCTTGTGCTGTAAAAATACCTAAAAATGCCTCCAAAAATATAAGTTACACGCACAAAAATCTTCTTGGATACACAAGTCCGTCATCCTACTGGAGAGGTTGCCCAACAGAAACGGGCGCAGAGAACCGCGCAGGGGGCACAGTGGCGTTCTTTATCCCTTGAAAAAACTGTTTCACTGTGATGATTTTGCAAGATCTGCATCACAAGTTTGTTACAAATGACAAAGAAATCTTGGCATGCGTGCTTCCTGAGGGAAAACACAGCTAAAAAAAAAATCCAATGTCTTGCATGTGTAGTAACACAAACACATTTGCATTCCGTTCTATGGATCACAAGTTTACAGTGAAACAGTTTTTTCTTGCGATATTCTTTCCTCCCGCCATAACACCGCAGTGGACTGCTGGTGCAGAAAAGCGCCCTCCTCGTCGGACAACACCGTTTCAGATACGTTATGGCGTTCTCAAGCGTTACATTCTCAACTGTTACATGATTCGTCATGCAAAATGAGCATCAACATCCACAAGGTGGAGCTACTTCGCATGACAAGTTTTGGAAGGGCTAAAGAGAGCCTAAATCTGTGCGGGATTTGTAATGCTCAAGGCGCAACCTTCCTGCTTTGACTTTTGCCATTCTTGCATCACAAATTCATGTATACAGTTGAGAATGCAACAGTTGAGAACACCATATCCGTCGTTCAGCTGTTCGACGTACCAGGTCTATCCTGTGCAAAAGCATCGTACTCGTAGTAATTGCATTTATGCATTACAAATCTCCTTCTCGAGGTAGATCAGCATTACAAATTAAATTTGTAATGCTAAAGTCAATTTGTAATGCAGCTTATACTAGTACGATACTTTTGCACAAGATAAGGTCGTGCCAGCAGCTACTGCCCCGCCTGGAGCAGCAACTGCTGCCCCGTCTTTCCGCTGCACGACTTCTTCTTCCACGTCGGGCTTGCCGCCCTGCATCGAAACCAAAATCGGCTCCGCCAGATCGCGGCTGTGGAGCACGAAGGGGGAACTGTCCTCCGCGATGCCCGTATCCTGAGTAAAAATAAGAAGGCCAAGCACACCCCAGACGTGTCATGCAGCTGCATCATCAAACTGGAATGTCTATAAAAGTTTCTCATGCGCCAGCACACCAGCTCCACATATTGTTCATAAGGGGCACTTTCTAATGCTGCCTGGCAGGTTGTCTTAGTCTTTGTCATGCTACAATCTGGATAGGATGATCGATTTGTAATGCGCCTGCACAACTACTTAAACACCATGACACTACGATCCCAGACTTGTCAACATGCGCAACAGCGAAACCTTGTTGATTTGTTTACTGCTAAATCCCCCTCTTGACTCTGGGGAGGTCGTGCTGTGGGCCCCGTTTTTCCAAAGGATAGACCGGTGTGCAGCTGGAATACACCGGCGCGAGCGACGCGAGGCGAGTGGCTCTCGTGCGGCGGCACTGCAGAACCACCCGCGGGGCCGGACTGCAGCTCCGGGGTTGTTCTCGCTCCAAATTGACATCATCGAGGCCGTGCGGAATGAAAAGTTGTTCCGCGGCAGGCCGGAGCTCTTCGACGTCGCCATGGGGCCGCGAAGAGACGGAGGCAATATTGTTGACTTGCTGGCTCACCTCCTGGTCGCCAGCGCTACTAGAGCTCGTCGAGCTCCTCGACTCGTTGTCGACGTCATGATTGCTCGAGCATTGTGACTCCGGCGTTGCCTCCGAAGGGTACGGGTCGCTGCGCGGCGCCAAATCTTCAGGATCCGGACAGACAACTGCCTCAACGTGATCAACCCAGCACCGCAGTCTCGCGTCCTTGACCTGAACCCCGTGATACAGCCAATCATGCGGGGAAAAAAACGCGACCCATATCAAAAGGAAACATCCCCCCGCCCCATACCGAAATGAAAATCCGCGATGCGGAATTTCTGTACACAAATCGGCTTTGTCGTGCAGTAGAGGACTGCAGGCAGATAAAGAGCCTGGGTAGGGGCGTTTTGGTGTAGGCGCCTGGCAAGGCAGTCGCATCCTCTGTAGGCCACACAGCATGACAAATTCCCTGCAGAACGCGGCGGGGTTTTTTCGATTTGCCTTCTTGCAATACAGAGTCGATTTGTGGTCACAAATCAGCATCACAAATTTTCAGAATTGTCCCGGGTTGGTATGGGAAGGGGGGACTTTTCCTCACAATAACCCAGTCGTCGTCAACATGATGCACCTCCGCCGCCCCTCCCGTAATTTCCTCTATCCTGAGTAAAAATGTCCCCACCCCAGAGTTGTCATGCATATTTGCGATTACAGGAAGATTTGTAATGCGCATCTCCTTCAGGGGCGTTTCCGATCGTGTTTTGGAATTTGTAATGCTGTAAACAGGATAAGCAGATGAATTTGTGATGCGGTCGTCGTTGCTAACATGCACTACACTACGGACTGCAACTTGTCATGCATGGCTCCCAAAACTTCTGGATTTGTGTTGCTCAGTTCCCATCTTGACTCTGGTGTGGGGACGTTTTTACATATGATATCCTCTCGCCCCTGTTCTTCGCCTTGTCCCTGTCCGTCGCGGTGTTCGCCCGTTACTTGATCTTGTTCTTGGGACGGGTCAGTGGGGTCCACCTCGGGCTGAGTGTCCACCTCTGCGTGGTCCTCTGCAGACGCGAACATAATGTCTTCGTCCTCTCCAGCCGACTCGTTTTCAGACGAGGACGAGGACGTCTCTGTCGCGCGCCGCTCTCGGAGCACCTTCCCCAGCTTAGCACAACCCTTGGCGCGGGCCGACCGGGCAGCACGCTGCACCTGAGTGGCAGTGGGTGAGAGCGTAAATAACGCTTCCCGCCGCCCCGCGGCGGTGAACGTGGGGCGAGGCCCCTTTGGACGAAACTTATCCTGCCGCTCGGCTTCCTTTTTGATGGGCAGCACGGCGGGTCGCAGGTCTGGCTCCATCCAGTGGCCGGTCCACTGGCGTGGCAAACGCAGTCCGGCGTAGTTGGTCCTCTCCTCTAAGCCATCCGCTTCCAACTCGATCAATGCACGAAGCTCGTCGCAAGATCGCGATGCTCTCGCGAGGACATCGCGATCCTCATCTCCGCGACCATTTTTAGCTGACTTCCGCTGCCCTGCTGTACCAGCATCGTGGCCACCATCGTCACCTTCGCTTTCGTTGTCCGATGACGAAAGCTGGGCCGTACTAGGGTCCAAGGCCGCCAGCAGATCGGGTTCTGTGATTGTGCGTGTGCCGAGCCGGTGGAGGCCCTCGTGCGATTCTTGTCCACCGCCGCCCCCCACGGCAAAAAGGGCCGACGGGCGCGCCGACGAGAACCCACTGTTGTTCTGGTGAGGATCCCGACCGGCGTGCAGTTGCAGGTCCGAGGCCGTTGCGTTTGCGCCGTTCCTTGTTGTTCCGGGGTGCTGGTTGAGGAGCGCTACTGGTGCAACTTGTTGTAGTTCTTGTTCCTCTAGAAGTACATCACCGCCACCACGTTGCTTGTTCTCGTCGTTGCACAATTTCGTGCGGAAACGGGCGTTTGTTTCCTTTTCTGCTTCAGATTTACTGCTCACGAAGTTGTTTGAGCGTGGTTGTACAGGAAGTGCGGCTGCTGCTGCTGCTGCGCCGGCTCTCGTTGCTGTTTCCGCCTCTGCCCGCGGGAACCCGAAAGTCGGTGCCATGCCCCCAAGGTGTTGAGGAGCAGCTGTCGAGGACAAAGAGGAAGAAGTCGAAGCCTGCGGGGCCGAACTGGTTGCAGAAGAGGTAACCCGACCACGCGCCAGAAAAAAGGCGGGTGTGTAGTATTGCTGTGCAGCAGCAAGAGGCGGCTGGGTTTCTACTTTATCCTTTGGCGCCGAAGATGATGCGCTGCTGCTTCCTAGGCACTGAGATGATGTGGTAGAGGTGGCCGCGGCCGCGATGCACAATACGCGCCCTAATGACGGTTCTCCGTCAACGTCGAGGCCCGACGGCGCCCGCGACATCAATGGTGAAGATGAACGCTTTTCACCAGCAGAATTCTTGTCCGCATAGCTTTGGCCGCGAGCCGTACTGTTGAACACGATCTTCGCCGGACAATTGGACGAAGGCACTGAGGACTGCCTATGCATTGCAAATGTGTATGATGGATCTGGAAGTAGAAGGCAGGATTTGTCATGCATCACGCGGACATGCAACATTTACATTTTGATTTTTTTGTTATATATTTTTCTGGTCGAGAGGACTTCGCATGACAAGCTAGAGCTACATGCTACTACTTCCAGACCCACACATTGTAACTAGCAACGCATAATGCCCGGTAAACGGCGACGCGGAGATGTTGAAAACTTCCTTAGCGGGGGCACAACCTTCGCACTCCGCCTCGGTTGACGAGCTTGGCGAAGACGCGCTGGAGCGCGGCAGGGCTTCTCCTTCCCCTCGAAAAGCAGGAGCTCCTACGCGGGTAAAAAGAAGAGGCTGCTCGTGCAGCTCCTCCCCAGGGGCGGCAGCCACCCCGCGCGCGGCCATGCTGCCAAAGCGGGGCGGCGCCTCGTTCTGGCGGCGCTGCAGCTGCTGTGCCTCTCCTTTGTTCCCAGACATTGCTGCTCCGTCCTCGTTTGCTGAAGAGGTGGACACCCAATGCCGCTCACTTGCAGAGTCTTTCTCGCTTGTCTCGGCCAGAGTCTGCAGGTTGTGCTGTTCTGCGTTTCCGTTTTCTGTCCCGGCGCTCTCTGTCGGGGACACTTTAGAGGAGGATCTCGGGCTCGGTATGCTGTTGGAAAAAATTGTACTTACCCAGCGAGGACCCATTTTTGGGCTGCGCTGCTCCATATAGAAAGTCGAGGGCTTATTTTGGCTATGGCTGTTGCGCATGATGAGCATGACGCTCTTTCTAAATCCGCAGCGTGCGTCAACTCGTGCCTGTTTATGTTTATGTTTGATAGCTCGCGCAGCCGCATTAATGCGAATCCAGGATCTCTCTCAACTTCCTGATTTGAGTATATGGCTCTGATGGCAGAATGATCCTTGCCCCGAGGATGAAAGCAGAGACCTTCTGAATATCATGCAAGGTCAGCATGACAGCAAGTCTGGGAAGATGGGCAGCACGCTCTATTTTCACATGGGATACTCGCCATGTTCTCTGGGGTGCACCCCGTGCTCGGCCGAGAGAGCAACGACCCCGGGTCTGCGGTCGAGCCCGTTTGCACGCGGTGCTTCATTGAGTCCTCACCCGTGTTGATCAAACTCTCCGCTTTGCCGCCCGACGAGTCCTGCGATCCGGCCGCCATTTCGCCAGCAGAGGTGGACAACTGAGAACAAGCCGCTCCTTCCTCTTGTCCGGCCAAAGTCGTGTCGTCCATGTGGAAAAATAAACCTGGCGCGGCCCCGCCGCCACTTGATGGTGCTCTTGGTGTTTTGATTTGATTTGATTTGATTTGATTTGATTTGATTTGCAATGAATTGCGGAACAATCGCCCGTCTTCAAATAAGCGGAGGTGTTATTCAAACCTCCTGCGCCCAGGTAGTTGTTCTCGGGGCTCGTGAAAATGTCCGCGCGGCCAAGGCCAACAGCTGCTGGATCTACTACAACTGGCGTCGAAATAAAAACCGATGAAGTTCCCGCCTCGGGCGTGTGCTGGCGGCTGAAACAGTGCAGAGATGATTCATCTCCGACGTGGTCAGGCACTAGGGAGGTGAAGGACGAAGTTGTATTTAAAGGGGTGCGTATCAAATGTAAAAATGTCTGGGTCTGGAAGAGTGCGCGATTTGTCATGCATACCCGACTGCACCACATCAAAAACCTTTGCAGGCGCGATTTGTCATGCAGCTTTTCCATGACCCATGAGGCCTGGAATGCAGGACCTAGCATCACAGATTCTGTGCGATCTCTCTCATGCCTATCCTGCATGAGACACTCCCTCGCGACTTGGTCAAAACTGGACGACTTTTGGTAATCATGCAACACAGATTTTTGCATGCTTCAGATTTAGCATGACAAGTTGCATTCTTCCAGACCCAGACATTTTTACATTTGATAGTGCGAGCAGTTGTAGTACTCCCGCTCCGGAGGGCGTCCTGGTCTTGATGCAACGGTCCATTGTTCGCGGGAGCTGGTGCGATTCTGTGTTTCTTCCGTAGTTTGAAGATGGAGAAGCTGCCAGTGGCCGCAGTCATCTTGTTCATGAGGCCGCTTCTTCTACTCCGCGCAGCACCCTTGTGGTCAACATCTCGTTGCCCTGCTGCTTCTTGTTCAGGCTTTGGTCGTCGAAGATGAAGATCAGTACTGTTCGTAGGATAAGGATTAGAGAACGGATCAGATGAATTATAAACTCCCGTACCGGACGATCGACTGGAGTTCATCGTCGCGTTTCCCCGCGAAGTCGTGCTGGTGGCGCTGCTAGCCGACGACCTCGTGCTGGTCCTCGTCCAGTGAAAGAGACGACTCTTGTTCTTCGGCTCGGCTTTGGGGGTAGTCGTCCTCGCGGGGGCGGCCCTCGTGCTGGGCTGCTCTTGTGCTGGTACTGCAGAAACGTGATCTTGTCGTGGTCCCCCACCGGAACTAGATGAGCTCGTCGCGGCTGACGGGTCCTTCGAAGATGCAGCCGACGAGGTGGACCAGGACGAGGCAGTGGAAGCTCTGCAACAACTTTGTCCGGCCGTGTGGAGCCACTGCGCAGCGTTCGAAAACGCCCGAGCAGGGGCCCCGATCGCGGGCAAACCAGAGGGAGCTGCTGCTGCGGGCGGCCACACGACCGGCTGCACGACCGGGGAAAAGGCCGGCAGATGGATGCGTCTTGACCGGTTCGAAGTAGCAGTTGTTCCTGGTTCGTTGGAGGTCGAGGATGCCGCGCCTCGCAAGGCCACAAAGTCCGCGCTGAAGATGAGGAGAAACAGATGGAAAAGCGCAAACATCTCCGGAGAGCACGCCCGGGTAGTAGTTGCCGTAGACCTCATCGAGCGGGAAGCTCGCAACATCCGAACGGGAGCGAAGTTACGGAGGGCACCCCGCATGGTTCGTTTTTTTATATGCTTCCCGCACCATGCATCTCTGGCTTCGGTCGTGTTTCCCGCTGGGTTTTTCAAACGCGGGTTTGCAAAGCCCGTTTGCATAGGGCGTTCCCAGTATCCGCGTTTACACAGATCCCGATTAGCGCGCACTAGGCGCAACTATCTCCATAGACAGTGGCTCCTCCCTATCTTTACTACCGTCAGGTGCAGCGGCTTTCTGCACATAGCGCCTAGTCTCGACCCATATCAAACCCCCTTGCTATTCGTCCCACAGCATAGCAACGTCCGCCGCGGCTTACGGCTATAGACGTTAACTATATCGTGGGGATTTTCTATGCGTGTGTCCGGTCCGAGTTCGAAAAAGGGTTCAGGGGTGACCCCCCTGCATGCATGCGCGGATTTATGTTTCCGAAGGGTTTAGGGTTTTGATTTGTATGGACCAATGCGGCGCGCACATCGATTTTCCTGGCAGTGTCGACCTGCTGTACACGGCGTAACCCCCGCAAAACACGAGCGGAAAGCGCATCTGAAACTGAAACTGAAACTTACGGATGTTAAGGCACATTCAAAAAAAAAAAAACGAAGTGAAATTTTTATTTCTCAGAAAAAAGAGAAAGCCATAAGCCAAAGCTAATTGTTTGTCGAGCGAAAACGTTCTCACACCCAACGCCTCCTGGGCCGATAACGTCCCTACTGTCGAAAATGAAATAGGCATAATCATTCCACAAGTGATTCAGTTGTCGTACCTACAAACCACAGTCGAAAAAAGGTGGTTGAACCCCAACAACTGCACAGAGGGGAAACCACTCACAAAGAAAAATTTATGTATGATCCTGTTTTGCTTTTGTGCTGCTTCTGCTCCTTCATCCGCTTGAAGTTCTTTCAAATAATGCACAGTGCGCTAACGTGAATCAAACACTATGTGGCAATAACGCACGTGATTCTAAATCTCGACGCTGTAAAGGATCTCTTCTTCCTTACCGCAATCGCTTTGACGCTGCTTCGAACAACTTCAGCGTGCTTCACGACGCTGCTGCTGCTTTATCTAGTCAATGCAGAAACAAGTAGATTGGGAATCGAACAGAAACGGGAACACTAGTAGTGGTCCGTATACTACAATAAGACGCATCTTCGATCATTTGAGATCCGCCGCGCAATCAATTCATCGATATTTTTCTTCGCTTTCTTTTTCTCGTCAAGGCACTGCAGAGCGGACGAGCAGTGCTCTTATTGCATGCTCGAAGTGGTCGAAGGGATCTTCAATGCCATGACAATGAATGGCTGTAACAAGCAAGCGGTTTTCGTCTTATTTGTCCATCCGCAATTCCTTTGTACAAAGATAAGAATCGAAGCGCTTTGACAAACAAACCTTCTTTCTAGTTTTGCCAAAAGCTGCTCCCACAAGCGCGCAACGAGGACAAGAGATGGCTGCTGCAGCTGCCCGGAGTAGAACGTACAAAACTTACTTCTGTCCGGATTTCAAAAATTCCTGCTCGAGGTCCTTGAGCACGGAGGCTTTCAGCTTGATGCCCAGCGCGGTCTGGATGAGCAGCTCCGTTTCCGTCTGGGCCGGGGCGAGCTTGAGTACCTGCAGAATGCTATCCCAAGAAAAAAGTGTTGCACTTACACATTTGTTGGAGTTTGTTCATCTGCATCACAAATTTTCTCAGTGTGGCAGAGTAAGGCAAAGATCATACATAAGGGAAAATACGAAGGAAACGAGGCTTGCAGGTATTTCCTGCATGACAAAGGTCGTCTGTCTTGCGGCCCCCGCAACACAATGTGTAAAAACTGTAAACACTTTTTTCTTGCGATAAATGTCCTCGAACCCGCACTGCAGCAGGCTCTCCTGGTTCAGCTTCAGCAGCGCCAGCGCCACCTATCCGAGTGCACAACTCCCCACCCCTGCTCTCGTCCCTCATTTATATTTATAGTGTGAACAGCAATGGCAATACCAGCGTTGGCAAGAGTTGAGCAGGTTTCGCATGACAAATTCATCAGGATTGTAGTGCTGCCAGCAGAACCTGTCATGCTAAGAGTGCGAAGAGGCAAAAAACAAAAAGAAAAATGGTCGGCCTGGCATTTTGCATGAGAAATGAGGGCGAGGGGAAGTTCTACTTGTGCACTCTGATACCACCCGGAAAATGATCTTCACGCCCTCGGCCAGGAAGATGTCCCACACGCGACAAACCGTCGAGTACCGAAACTGGTAGATGCAGACCGTCATGAACCACTGTGAGGCATACATGGTGGGCTCCACCGAGTTCAGCTGCAGGTGGTCGTGCAGTTTGGGCAGGTGCATCCGGATCAGCAGGTTGAGCTGGAAAAAGTACTTGCTCAACAGGGGAAGGTTGGGTTTGTATCCTGAGTAACAACGTCCCCACCCAGAGTGGATGCCATGCAAATCTGCATGCCGAAAAGGTTTCTCATGCGGAGCCCCAAGAGAGCCATTTTCTATTCGTGCTTTGGAATTTGTAATGCTACAAGCAGCATGATGCGCTAGATCTGTGATGCTTCAGAACCAGGACAAGCTTGTCATGCGACACAACCAATGCTGGTTGATTTGTCTAGCAGATTTCCTATCTTGACCCTGGTGTGGAGCCATTTTTACTCAGGATAGTTTGAACAGGCCGCTCATGCGGTAGTTCTCCAGCAACGACACGAGCATGAAGAAGGCCGCCTCCTCGGGCAGGTAGCAGAGCAGGAGCCCCGCGATGAAGCCCATTCCCTGGCAGTACCCCACCTCCGGATTGAAAATGCTGTAGGCCCGGAGCACGTGGAGCAGCTGCTGCTGCCCCACCCCCTGCCGGTCGCAGTACAGCACGTGCTTGGGGAAGGTGCGGTTCGTGTCCCGCCGGATGTCGGGTTCGCACGGCGCGCTCGGGACCTGCTTCAGGTACTCGTACAGGTTCCGGGGGTACTTCCACTGCAACTCGCGGCTCTGCGCCAGCTTCTGCCAAATGCTGCCCCGCAGGCACTCCGGCAGCCCGCGGCGGACCAGCTCTTTCACTTTCTCGGGGTTCTTGTGCCGGAACCGGAAAAAGTCAATCAGCAGCATCCGCCAGACCTCCAAATTTCGGTTGTATTCCGCGTACAGCTGCGCCGCATTGTACAGATTGCTCATCTTGTTGCTTGTTCCCTCTTGTTCTTCATCCTGTGATCTGTCGTGGTCTCCTTGTTGGTCAGACGACTTCTGCAAAGGACCCGCAAAAAGATTGTTGTTGTCCAGAAGAAGACCACTTTCTTGATGATTTTCATTTTGTTCCGCCGTCGACGTCCCCAAAAATCCGTCTCTGCTTGCTGCGGTGGTTTGCTCGCCCAAAGAGGCAGCTGCACCTCCCGGCACCACGCCGGAGGGGAACACTAAACTCGGCTGCAGCGGCCCCTGCTCTTCCTCGAGCATGGGATCGTCGGCCAGGATCCACAGCTGCTCTTCCGCTTGTAGTTCGTCCACTCGCTGATCTTTATTCATGAGATCACCTTTGCCGGCGCGAATAAAATCTTGTTCTTCACTGGTATAGTGTTTCGTGCGCAATGTTGTAGTTGATGTTGAAGTTGCGGACAACATCGCGTGGTCACTATACTGCTCTATCTGCTGCTCAAAGGTCGCTGAAGCTGGGCGGGCTCCAACTGTTGCTGGGTTCAACAGGATCGGAGATAGAGTTGTCCTTGTCTTGTCAGCAGTTGATGCACGTTGTTCGCTAAATGTAGTTGCGCCGGTCGTCCGGGCTGCCACTCCTGTATGTGTGCGTTGTACACTCGAGTGTAGTTGTCCCCTGTCGTCGAGGAGGTCGTGCTGCTGCATTTCTGATCCTCCTTTCGGCACGACATCCACATCAGCGGCGTGCTCTTCATGTGTCAGTGTTTTTTCGTTCCTGTTCGCATCCAGAGCTACTTGCTGCAACTCCCCCCGGTGCTGGTGACCTCCTGATTCTGCTGTTGCCATTTTTACACCTGCCGATCCCTTCCGGGCATGGCCAGGAGATATTTCGTCTCTTGCTGACCCTGTCGGCGTGCCGTTTCCGCCGTGATTTTGGCTTGGATCCAGTAGAGCGGGTTGCTCCTGTAGTCCTCTTCCTTTCTCAACATAATTTCTTTTCTCCCCAGCAACCTCGATCGACTCATCATTTTCTCGACGGCTCAAAAACACTGCGTCGAGCGCCTTGGTATCCGCTTCGCGGCGGGACTTCTGCACAGCAGGAATTGCCCTTGTGGTTCCGCCGGCTGATGTGAGGATGGCTGGATTGTCCGACCGTGGCGGCTGTGCTGATTTGGAAGAATTTGAATGCGATTTATTTCGCCCGCGCGCAGAACTACCTGCGGCGTCAAACATGTCGTCAATATTGAAGCTGGAAGACGTTACTAGGCCACTCATAGAGGAAGCAGCACCACCAGCGGGGCTAGACGATATTATGCTATCCTTTCGAGAGGTGGCCAAGACGTCGTTCGGTCTGTCCCAGGAAGTCGCTCTTTTGCTAGCACTCGTTTGGTACTCCACTTCTTGCGTAGGCGTAGCGCCGTGCAGAGTTTGACCTTGACGTTGTTCCTGCGCTTCTCTCTGCAATGAAGCCGCTTGCGACGTCGGCGTTGCAGGATAATCGGGACCCCAGTTCATGTCATATTCTGCCGTCGAAGACGAAGCTGGGCCGCCACGGCCGAAGGAATTTTGACTATTTTGCGCTGTTCCCAATGAAGCTGGTGTCCCGACATCATAATCGCGCACTTTTTGCACGACCTCCACGGGCTCGGGCGAGTCGAGTTGTACCTCGCCCGCCTCCACCACCCAATCTTGCAACTCCGCATTCTTCTTCGCAGTGCTGCTCATCCTCGTGTTATCTTCTTCTGCTGCCTTTCAATTATAGGGGCGCTGCGCAGCTCCTTGCGAGCGCGACGGGTCGTTGTGATCTCCTTCTGCCCTAGTAGTACTGCTGCCTCGGTAGTCTGTCCCCCTCGCGACTAAGCGCACGTGTCGCCGGGGCCGGGGCACCTGCTGTCGCATTCCTGCCGCTCGTGTTGCTTTGCCGACAAGGCGACGAGGAAAAATTCGTCCCGCATGTCGTGGTGCTTCTGTATGACGTAATAGACTTTGACTTTCTTTTAAAAGACGAAGGAGTAAGTAATTGGATCGAAAGCAGAATCGAGACACGACACCGAGGTTGGTAGGAGCGATGATTTCAAGAAAGCACTAGCACCCAAAACTCCCAACATATTAGATGCTTGGACATCAACCGACCAATGTCAGTCTACTCGGTCTGTTGCTGTGCACTACAAGAAATTGTGGCGAGGGGGCGGTGTTGTAAATTGGAACACTCGAATGAATGACAGTACGAAACGAAACATCAAGCAGCACCAGCGCTTCGTTTGCCGCTGCATTAGGTCTCAATGTGACGCTTTAACGTCGATCCTTGCATGGATTCAAACTTCTTCCTTTCGGATTCATTTGTAGAGATGAAGCAGTTTTGTAGGAAAAGCAACAACTCACCAGTTGCCTCAACTGCGAGAGAGAATTGTCGTGGTCGCTGTACTCATGAAACATTTCGAGAATGATACTAGGTCTTGTGGTCACTACAACTCGTTGAAGAAAGGTGTTTGAGAGTGACCACACCACCCGGTACTAATTTTTTAAACTTGAACTTCCGAGATACTTCTCCTTCTCCAAGATTGATCTTAGTCTTTATTTGCAAGCTCCGGTCCTCGCCCTGCTTCCATCCTCCACCCGTCCGATTATCTTTGTTCTCCACCTTTCATCTTCTTCATCACTCGGAATACCACGCACCCCATGCCGTAGTTGAATTCCTTGAGCGTTTCCACCTCGTAGTCGCACAACCATCCCTCTTCCGCCACAAACTCCGCGACCTCCCCGCTTTTCGTGCCGTCCCGGGGGTCGAAGGTCACGGCCAGGATGCTGAGCCTCGCCGGGTAGCCGTACCGGAAGTAGCGGGAAATGTCCTTGCCGGGACACAGCCGTTTCTCCTTGTGCCCAAGGAGAGAGCTCTCCATGTCCGCGAAGAACAACACGCAGTCGTACCCGACAGTGCGGTTCGCAATCAGCCAGTGGTCCATGCGTTGGCACCGGACGTTGCACATGGCGGAGACGGCGATGGTTTCGGCATTGTGGATCATCTTCAAGTAGTCGCGCTGGTCGTACTGGGGAATGTGGATCTGCCCGGGATGGAGTGGGGGAAGGAGGTGATGTAGCATGCTGTTGCGTGAAGATGAGGTTCTTGTACCGGTAGTATCGTTGTCGCATTGTGCAGCTGTACTTTCGCAGCTGGTGTCGCTGGAACCATTATAGGAGTTTGAGTTTGTGTTCCTTCTCCCACCACAGTTGAACTTTTTCAGCACAGCTTGCGCCGAAAGAAACTGAGGACTGTCAATTAATAGGACAATGCTCTTCTTGTTTCGCTTGTGGTGGTCTTCTTGTTGAGAACGGCCGCAAGGATAGTAATTCTCCTCCTGGATAGTACTCTGATGTAAAAAAGCTTGGTCAACATCAGGCTCAGCTGCGTCAGATGAACTACAAGTCTTCAGAGGTTCAGTTGCGTCATCGAAACTTCTTCGACCCGCCCGTGCTGGGACCAGAAGCGATTTTTCTTCTTGAGCTACAACAACTCGTGAAGATGCGGTGGAGCTGCGGGATCTACAAGTACTCAGCGTGCTGCCCGCGCTGCTGCCGTGTTCTTGTTTCATCTCCTGCTTTTTATCACTAGGAGAACCTCCGTAAAAATTTTCGTACAAGTCGAAGAGCGCGTCGACCATGAATTGGTTGACTTCTGCTTTCACTCTTCGCTGCACGTCGACCTTCGTCGCTTGCAGGTAGTCAGATTGGCGGAACAGTGGGGGCGGGCGGCTATAGCTACTTGACGCGGATGATCCGCCCGATGAAGATTGTAGTCGTGGTGGTCCTCCTTGGAACAATTTCTTCCCAATCCTCGATTTCCTTTCCACAAGCCCACAGCCGTCGTCGTTTCCTCGGCCTGCTCTGAATAGCGGTGCTGAGGACGGCGACGGAACAACATCATGAAGTAGGCACGACCTCTGAGGGCCGTATCCCTGGAAGAAGGTGTCGTCTTCCAGAGGCGTGGCAACCTCCTTTGCTTCGATGAGCGCATTTTTTCCCATCCGCTCCTTCTCTTTCCGCAGGAACTGCAACTGCTTCTCCGCCTGCGCCAGACGCTGCTTGAGAGAGTCGTAGCTTTCTGCTGTTCTTTCCGCGGGAGCAGTGGTTATACATCTTGTACCCCCCTCGCGGCCCGTGGCACAGTCGTGTGCAGCTTGGGTTGTTGCAGCATCTACTTCCTCCAGGCCGCCGTGGAGTCGTGACCTTATATCTTGTTTCGGATCATTCTTATCATACTCGACGCTACTAAAATCAGCTCCTCTACTCTGGAGCTGGTGCCCCTCTTGTTCTTCGCGTGCACATGTTTGTCCTTCTTGTTCGCCCACTACACAAGACCGACCTGCATCTGCAGCGAAGCTCGGGGCGAGCGTGTGCTGGCCTTCGATCAGTAGATGAAGCTGCTGTGGAACGAGAGGGGTTGTGGTCGTTGTGGTCGTGATGGGAGTGGCAATAGCGACTGCGGACTCGCTTTGGTCACAAGCACTATCGTCGTTAGACATGATTCAAAATAATTGTATGCCGTCGTACTCGTAGCTGCTAGAGAGGAGTAGAACAAGTAGTGTCAAAATCACAATCACGCTGTTTCACTCAATACACGACGACACCAAAAATTTATCGTGGAAAACAAGACATCCTGCTTGATCTTTTCATTTCTGGTCGGCACGTTGCTGCAGATGACATCAACATCATTTCCATTTATTTTTACCTCCACAGCACGCGGCTTTTGAAAATTCCTGCCAAACACGGTTTTTACCTTTTCTGTCGAGACCGCTAGAACATGCCTAGACCGTAGTCTACGTTCTATGCTCTATTTTTACGCCATATCATTTTTGATGAGAATGCGCCACGCTGATTCAAAAGTGAACTTTTGTCCTGCTGATCATTATGGTTTCGTCCGTACGGAGTCCATCTTCAAAAAATGTTTCTGGATCGAATATTCCAACACCAACAGGAGCCACGACTGTCTTTCATATAAAGAACCTCCTCCTTCACCATCCTATTTATTTCTCCGGATCGGGGGGCGAACGGAATTGCAAGAACCCAGAGCACAAAACTACACAGCTTTCGTTATCTTTTCCTTTAGCCTTTCTTGTTCGTATATGTTCCGCATGATTTATGCTTCCAGTGCTTCGTTTGCACGAAAAAAAAAACCTCCGCGCGATTCGCTTTCCTTTGCTAAAAGTCCGTCTTTTCTTTAGTAAATCCGTCCGTTCAAAAAAGTACACCGTCCTCACCGAGGGTCGAAGCCCTAAATGCTGTACGCGCTAGCAATAAAGTGCTCTTATTTCACAACATACCTAACATTTCTTTGTTCACGAGTGGCAATACGTACAATGAAAATACTTACGTTCATTTCAAGTATAGTTTCAAAACGCGTTAATTTCCTTTTGCACTGTTTCAACACCTACAGATATTTCTGTAGCTTGCTCTGTACGTAGTTGTCAAGCCGTCGCAACCACGGGCGCAGTGAGCATCTACCACCTTGAATTGCACTTATTGTATTCAAGTACATCTACATGTAGAAACGAGCCGGATGTTTTTGTTGTCTGATATACATATATGCCTGTTCGTCGATTCTTAATTAGGACGTCTACTGTACAAAATCAAAAAACCGCCCCTTGTATATATGATAGACAAGCTTAAAGTGCCACTACGTCTACGACTGATCTCAACACTTTCAATCAGAGCAGAAACCTATGGTCAATCATGGCGGTGTCTGCCAGGCGCGACTCGCCCAACGAGGTATGAGCTGCACAAGTATCGTACTCGTATAAATGCATTACAAATTTGTTCAGCATGATGTAATGCGGATTTTACCTTTTTAACGAAAGGATTTGTAATGCATGACTGCAATACGAGTACGACACTTTTGCACAGGATACGAGGCCCGGACCGACAAAACCAATTGGCCGACCAGGAAGCCCAGGAAGATCCCCAGCCACAGGTTCTCGCTGAAGCGGAAACAGACGGCGAAGTATCCAAGAATAAGGAAAAAACTGTTTTAGTGTAAGTCTTTTGGGAAAACAGCATCACAAGTTTGTCTGCCATGACAAGAAAAACTTGCTATGCGCAGATAGGAAGGGAAAACACATAGGAAGCGAGCCGATCACGCATGTCGAGCATGACAAGTGTAACTGTTTTGCATTTTCTGCATCACAGATTTACACTGACACAGTTTTTTTCTTGGATACGAAGATGAGGTACTCCAATACCAAAACCTGCCATTCGAATCCGGTCGGCACGCCGAGGAGCTCCGGCCCGTAAGCTATCCCGTGCAAAAGTACCGTACTCGTACTATTGATTGCAGTCATGCATTACAGATGTACTTTCTAATACCTACTTCTGCATGACAAGTTTCAATTTTCCTCTTGACGAAATTTGTCATGTGATCTCTATTTAGTACGCTGCTTTTGCAATGCATACACGCCATCGCGTTGGTCCACCGCAAGTGCGACGGATCTTCGTAGAACGTCGGGGGGAACGTGGGCACAGACACGTCGGGCGTCGCGCCAAACATCGAACCCATCTTATGACGAGAGCGCAACTCCTCCTCCGCCTCATTTGGATGGCATCCACAGCAACACAAGTGCTGGCAAAGATGCAGCTTTTGCATGACAAATTCACTGCAAATTCTAGTGCTGTTGCGGCTTCGGCAACCTGTCATGCAACCGGTGCCAGAGGGCAAAGGGTAGACGTGGCATTTTGCATGACAAATGAGGGGAAGGGGGAGTTGGGCACTCTGATACATCTCCTCCTTGATGCACATCGACTGGTCCCGCACTACCCCGTCCACCAACTGCAGCAGCATTTCCTGCATTTGGTACCGGAGCTGGGCCAGTTTCCGCACGCTGCTGCTCGCGCCGCCACCGAGCCCACCGCCCATCGACATGCTCGCCCCCATTCCGCCGGGGTTGAACTGGTTTATCACGAAGAAAAAAGTTCGTCAGAGTCACTACATAAAGTACTTGATTGCAGGTTTATTTGCATGACAAATTTTTCTTGCGTCCCAGCTTTTGCTCTTTCTTGTCAATTGCGTAGGCACAAAGGAAGTAGCGGCCTTCTGGAATTTGACTGTGATGCATTTTTGCGCATGACAGACAATTTTGTCTTGCGAAAATGCGCATGAGTGATGATCGTGACGAACTTCTCTATCGGTTTGAATTTCATATGGTTGTGCATAGCGTTCCCTCCGCCGAGCATCATCGAGTTCTGCATTTGATTTCCCCCGCCGAACGCATTTGGCATGGACTGTTGCGAGCCGATCTGCATTGACCCCTGGGACGGCCGCGGCCCCCCGGACATGGACATCGTGTTCTGACCGCCGAAAGCCGACATCTGCGAACCCCGCCCGGAATTTTGCGGCATCATGCCTTGGTTGTTCAGGTTGCCGAGGTTCAGCGAGCCTTGGAACTGATTCATGCCGGAGTTCCGATTGTTATTGTCCATCATCATCGAATGGGCGCCCTCTACTTGGAGATGTTGGTCATGATGAAGATGATCCTCATCGGTTTTAGTACTTCCTACCACGTGGAGATCCTCGGGCTGCGGCAGCTCGTAGTCGATGAGTTCACCTGCTGCAGTTCGTGGCTCTACGCCGTTTGCAGAAGCTTCTACTATCGCTACTTTCTCGTCTGATATTTTGCGCTTCTTTTCGACGTGGGATGATCTTCTGTCGTACTGGCCCTCTTCATGTGTATCTTCGTTATTTGCAGCCGGTTCATCGTGTTGTAGATCGGCTTGGTGCAATATTCGCTCCAACTCGATTATTTCGCTTTTTGCCGTGTGTGACCAGACAAGTTGGCAACTACTACCGGTCTCGTCTTCGCCGGACCGCGACGGCAGGAGTTCTGGAGACGAATCCAACTCCGCGACGTCGACACCCACAGGAGATTCTACTCCACCAGTCATCTCGCCTTCGTCTCGTATCCTTGGGCGTGCGTGCGGGTTTCGTACACTGGAAAAGTTTCCGTGCTGTAGCTCGTCTACTTGGTACGCTGGAGAAATGACAGTGTCTGTCTGGGCATGGAGCTCGTGGTTCAACATCGTTGTTCCTGCCGCACATGTATTTGCGTTGGCTGCTATGTTGCTCCCCGTCAACACTGTTGCTGGCGGAGCAGAAAAACCTCTCGCATCAACTCCGCCAGAAAAAAACCTGCTTCGTTTCCGGCCAGGAAGCCAGTTCCCGGGGTGGTACCACGGCGCCGCTGCTCTCCTTCCAGTACTAGTTGTCCCGAAAGTAGAACGACTACTGCTGCGATAAAACGTGGAGCTACTGCTCCCGCCTTTCTGCTCGAACCGGCAAGTTGGTGTCGGAGCAGGTATTTCGGCCCGATGTGCCCCTTCAAATCCCCCGCCGAACGCCGATCCGGGAGTTCCAAACGCCTGCGGCTGCTGCCCGAACGACGACTGCTGGCCAAACGCTTGCGGTTGCTGCTGCTGTTGCCCGAAAGCGGAGCCTGGTTGTGCACCGAATGACTGCTGCTGCTGCTGCCCGAACGCATTTTGCTGCTGCTGCTGCCCGAAAGTAGAGTTGTTGCTGCCGCTGGAGCCGCCAAATTGCTGCTGCGGCTGGCCGCCCATGCTGTTCATCAGCTGGGACTGTCGGCCGCTGCTCATCGGGTCCATACCCCCCAGCTGCTGCTGCCCGAGCATCTGGGATCCGCGCGGCGTCTGCCCGATGCCCATCTGGTGCTGGCCTCCGCCTAAGTGGCCCGGAAAGTGCATACCCATGTGGTGGCCGCCGAATTGGTCGTGCTCACCGTGCCAGTGCGACGCAAACATGCCGGGGACGCCGCGCTCGGCCAGGATCTGCCGGTACAGACCGAAAAGCTGCTCCTTGAACCCGCCCGGGGTAAACACCTCGAAGGTCTGCAACTCGCCCCGCGAAGGGTGGTCCGGAGTGAGGCCGCGCTTGGGGAGAAGCCCGCGTGCCTCCTCATCGAGCGTGTAGGACATCTCGGTGGCGCAGCAGTCACCCTTACCCCCGGGACAACGACCTGGAAGATTTTTAGAGTGAATAGAATATCAATATTTTGCCTGTGATGTTCGTTTATGTTTATCATTACCACAGTGTTTGAAAAATCATGAACACTGTGACGACATCAATCAATGTCGACTTGCTCCTTCAAAGCAGCTGCCACAAGCACAACACGGTCGCGCAAGGAAATAAAAGGATCTTCAAGACACCGTGTATGTAGTAGCCGTGATGGGGTTCGTCCATGATGAAGACGGACACGTTTGCCAGACTGCAGATATCGACGAAGTTGATCAGGTCCAGCCCCTATCAAATGCAAATATGTCTGGATCTGGAAATTTGTGATGCTAAAATGTGCATGATGAAAACGCTTCCTCATGCAAGGAGCCATGACAAAGGTCTTGCGGAACGCTTTCTCATACGCACTCCGCATCAGAAACTGCGGTTTTGTATGACAAGAGAGGCTACACCTTTTGCCGGTCATGATGCAATACAGATTTCACAGGAATGTAAGGCTAGCATTACAAGTTCCAACCTTCCAGACATATTTGCCATGCATAGCCCCTCCCGCATGGCGATCAAATGGCGCCCGACAAGCTGGATCGCGACGGAGAGCAACCAGGTCCCGCCGGTGACTCCGTACATCAAAAAGGGATTAAAGGGGCTCTGCTCGCTGCCCGACCAGCGACAGCTGTCAACCCAATTGAAGCCCTGGAGGAACAGGATCATCAGGATCCAGGTGGCGTATATCAAACCAAAGACGTTCGTCACGATTACTAACTTCTCATGCGCATTTTTGCAATCTTAATATCGAAAGGAATGGTTTAGAAAACCATGAGATGTTTGTCATGCGTAACCATGCATGACAGTGAAACTTCATACGGGATTTCCCTAGTGTTTCTGCAATACAACAAAGCTGTGACGCTAGAAACATTTGTCACGCGACTATGCAGCTTAGTGACTGTCACTGTGACAAACTCTTTTCCCTCCATAGCGTATCCCGACGTTCTAGTAGCGGCGATCCGCTCCGAAAGTTCGTTCCCTGGAAGTGTAGTATATTTGGGAAGTCGAGCTATAGGTGGATTTTCTGTATAACAAACCCGTAAAATAGCTGTTTGTTCCGTTTCTCCGATCCCGATGGTGCACGGCAGGTCATGAGAAAATAAACACATTGATCACCAGGCTCCGAAGTAGGAAAAACAGAAAACAAGGTCCATCAAGGCCGCCGATATGGACAACAAGAACTGTGTTTTGTACCGACAAACAGCGACCGCCAGATCGAGATCCCCTTGTCCGGCGCGTGCTCGCGATCGAAATCTGCGCCCCCGGCTGGGTTGTTCTGCTGTGCCTTGTTTCCGTTCTGGTCTTTGTTAGCCCCGCCGGAGGCGCCGTCCTGCAGCGGCTTCGGCTCGCGATCTATGAGGAAAATGAAACAGGAAGCCTGCTTGTACAGGAAGAGGAGGATCACGACGGTGGTATGGAAGACGAAAGCATCGTATTTTTATCGTACTACACGTAACTAATAATTGTTGCAATTATACCATGGAGGAAAAACTACAGTACCGGACGTGCTTTGCAAGTACTTGCTCTCACACGACGACAACAAAACACTTGTGCCGTTTTCGCTTCTGCAAAAATTTGTCATGCCATGGAACAATTACTTGTAGAAGTACGAGAAAAATTTTTTTCTTACGCATAGGAGGCCATCACGAGCAAGACCGTCATCATGACGTCGTGGTGATTGTACTGGTCGCCATCCAGCGAACCGGGTAAGAGGTAGGCGTCGGACACCACCCAGTAGAGCACCATGAAAAAGTGGAACCAGAACAAAACGCCAAACGAGATCTTCACCACCGTCAACAGCATCAGCAGGCTCTTTCCCATGAACAGGCCCGGATCCGCCGCGAAACCGGATTCCCACGGGTAGCGCAATTCAATGGAGCGGTAACGGAGGTAGATCAGCCCAAGGAGGAGGATCAGCGTGAGGATCAGAAACACCGTGACGGCGCTCCAGAATCCGGCGGTATCCTCGGAGAACCTTCAATTCATTTATAGGGAACAATGTCGCTTTGTCAGCTTTCGTTCGTACAAAGATCCTAAATATCAGCACCTGCTCCTGCACACGTAGAGTTAATATTCTACACAAACAGAAACAATAGCGAAAAGTTCGCAACGACGTTCTCATGAACAACAACAAGAAGGTAACGCAGATACCACGCTCAGCATAATTGATAGATTTGATACTCAGCCTTGAAGATGCAGGGTAGCGACGCGTCCTTTCCCCCGGCCACTGTGCTTTCCAGGTAGACGATGTTCAAGACCGGCACCTGCAGACTCCCACTGTCCACCCGTAACTGCAAAAACAGCTGTATCCTGAGTAAAAGCGTCCCCACCCCAGTGTTGTAATGCAAATGCGCATGCTGAAAATATTTCTCATGCGGAGCACCATGAGAGGCATTTTCTAGTCGTGTTTCGAAGTTTGTCACTCTCCAGCCAGCATGATGTCCTAGATCTGTGACGCTGCTCAGCTAGCTAAACAGGATTACACTACGAGGCCAAATCTGTCATGCGCTACACCCAAAGCTTGCTGAGTGATTTGTCTAGCAGATTTCGCAATATCTTGACTATGGGGTGGGGACGTTTTTACATAGGATAACCTGGGCCGCGTACCGGACATACGCCGGGTCGCTCATCCCCAAAAAGTCGCTGGTCCGCCCGAGGGCGGAGTCGCACAGAAAAAACCGCTTGGCGAGGAAGCCACTGTAGCCGTCGACGTAAAACTGGTCCTCGGCAAAGTTCACGTTCGGCTTGGTCGACCCCCTGACCGTGTTCAGCATGCGCACCGGGACCGGCGTCTTGGCGCCACTGGAGGTGACCGCGAAGAGGTCGTAGAGCACTGGGTCTTGGCACAAGCCGTGGTTCAGAAACGTGCTGGCGGGAATACGGCACTCTTGGACGACTGTGTTCTTCTTCGTCCAAAGGTACTCCTGAAGTGGATGTTAAGAGTTGTTGCGTTCTTCTTTCGGACTTGTGATTAAGTATATTCATCGCGGCAATTGAATTTTATCTCGAAAGAACACAGATGAAGCGCCGTCAAGAGTTCTCGAAAGTGGTCAAGGAGGAGTGTTCTCGAATCTAATACACTTGCGCTGGCACTGGTGCGAAAGAACCAACCTACCTTTGCATCATCCTCAAATCCCGGCGCGGATCCGCCAAATCGGTCGCAAAGTTGCAGGTGATTTGTTACCGTCTCTTCACCGAGATACCGCCCTTCAAAGGAATACTTTGCAACGACGAAGGAGGGGGAGCTGTTGTATTTTTGATGCGACAACGTTAGTAGAACACAGCTTCATCTTTACAATTTGTCGTTGCGAAAAATCGTGCGGAGTTCTTGGGCCTGACGTATTCAACAAAAGACGGAAAGGGAAAGCATTGATGCTGTAGAATACTTGTTCATGCACATCGTTCTTTGGTACTGCATAGATATGTACTCAGTTCCAGAACAACACCTTTCCGGGAGCGTGAGGCCAGTTTTGGTGTAACCTCCCGCTGGGAACATGATCCAGGGCAGAGTTCCATACATGCCGGGCGACGAGTCGCTGGCGGGGTAGTTCGTCGCATCGGTGTAGAACCAGGTTTCCAACAGCTGGCACACCGTCGCGTCTTGGTTATCAACTGCAAAAATGTCTGGGTCTGGAAACTTGTGATACAATGAAGGGAATAGTGAGCTCACTATAATGCGCTGCCAAGCATGACAAGTTTTTTTCCTGGTTCTGAGTTGCGTATTCCGCTTGAGAAACTGCGTTTTTGCATGACAGGGAGGAGGAGGTCTTCGCGGCCATGCAATACAGAGATCAGAGTCATGCCAGACTAGCATGACAAATCTCGCGATCTCCCAGACCCAGACATATTTGCAATCCATATTGGTGGTACATCTGCAACGCGCAGAGGTTGCTCAAACACTCGCAGCCCTCGTTCACCTTCCGGGCACACTGAATGGCGCACCCCTGGTACAGGTAGTCCAAGGTTGCGGAGTCGACCGTGGCCTCCGAGGCCAGCCCGGAGGTGAGGATCTCCTGCGCTTTGGAGTCGGTCTTCTGGAAGCCGAGAAGAGAACCCTGTCCTGAGTAAAAACTTCCCCGACCAATAGTTCTCATGCAAATGCGCAATGAGAGGAATCGATTTGTAATGCGCAATCTCCATGAGAGACATTTCCTACCGTGTTTTGGCATTGATTTGTCATGCTGTAAACAGGATAGGAAAGTAGCTTTGTCATGCGGCTTCCCTTGCTAACCACAACTATACTGCAGATGGAAACTTGTCATGCGCAACTCCCAAAACTTGGGGATCGATTTGTGTTGCAGATTTACCAACTTGACTATGGAGTGGGGACGTTTTTCCTCACCATAAGCCCACTGCGTCTGTCATCCACCACTCCGGTTTGGCGGGACTGGCAATCACCGCGGAAAACTTCACGCGCTTTATCCTGCGTAAAAACCTCCCAACCCCAGAGTCATCAACAAGATCGTGATTCTGCAACACAACTCCACAAGTTTTCGACGTCGCGCATGACAAGTTTGGTCTCTCTGCATTGTAGTGCTGGTTAGCAAGGGCAGCCGCATCACAAAGACGCGCGCTCATCCTGTTTACAGCATCACAAGTACCGAAACACGACTAGAAATGCTTCTCATCATGCGAAGGCGCATTACAAATGTTCCTGTCATTGTAAATCTGCATGACAACTCTCGGATGGGGACGTTGTTACACAAGGTACGCTTCGCGCTCTGCACCCCGAAGGAGGACAGCGCGGTGCCAGCCGTGTTGGCCTTCCCGGTCCAGTCGGAGGCGGGGGTGTAGCAGAGCCCCGAGGTGGTGGTGGAAGAAGGACAGGCGGTGGAAGCGGCGCAAGTCGCTTGGCCGGCGGCCACGGTCAAACTGGAGTCGCACGCCTAATAATGTGCGACGTAATTTTGAATGATCCGGCTTCGTAACTTGTGGAAGTGGTAGTGTTAACTCTATTTGCAGCCCTTATTCTTAGTACATGACTGCACACCAAAGAAAACTTCAGAGATGACCTTGAGCGTAGGTACGTACAGTTCTAGAATTATACCTGGCAAACTTTCTCTGTTAAGTAGGCTCCGGTGGCGCTTTTTTCCAGAATTGCCTGGTTCGTGCCACAGTTACAGTCTTTGCGCGCCGGTGAGGTAGACACGGATACCAGGGTCGCGGCTGCACTGGGACAAGGCAAGCACCGGGACTGGTCCGCCGTGGCAACCATCTGCTCAAAGCCGCGGGCTGGTGTGAAATTGCTGCTGTTTCGAAAAGAACGCAGTAGTTCGTGACGTGTTGAGGACAAGAACTTACTACACACGACTCGGTCACGCTCTGACAACTCAGGTTGAGATCATAACCTTCGGAGCAGGTACACCCTAATCTGACAGAATCGTACGAGTACGACTACAACGACACTAACATGATATGAATATAAGTACTTACCCGTGCAACTCTGTCCCGATACTTGGTCGGGGTACGCACTGGCGGTGCTGTTGCTGCGATCGAAGCAGCCGCATTCGATGCACTGGATGCCCGAGGTGGTCGTGACCGCGGTCGCGCCGGGGTGCTTGATACAGTCTTGCCCCGGATAACACGACATCTGCGGATTGCCTGTTGTGGTGAATGATAGATTGCCCTTTTAGCTACTTCCGAGGAAACAAGAAACCAAGTAGACATTCAAAAGTAGATACCCTTGTCGGTCATGTTCAACCGATGCTGCTTTTTACACGACCAGTCATTATGCCTCCTAAAATTATCAAGCGTCTATTCCTCGAAAAAAAAGCAGCTTGAAACCACTCGCGCTCAGGGGTGCGCAAACGCAAGCGGTTCCGTCCGCATTGGGCATCTGGCCGCTCGGACAGGCTTCGCAGACGCGACTCCGGGAGTTAACGAACTCGGTCGTGGCGCTGCAGGTCGGCAGAGTGCCGCCCACCTTGTAGTGGCCCGGGACGCTGGCGCTGACATCTCCAAAAGCCAGGCGTACCGCAGACAGGTGTGCGGAAAGAAGAAGCAGCCGCATCGATGGGCCTCGACCTCGTCCCGTCCTCCTAGCGATGGGTTTTGTTTAATGTGTTGGAAACGGTCTTCACATGGCGGTCTTGACACAAAATAAACGCATCCTCTTTTTTCCGCCAGGTGGGCCCCCTAGAACCGCACCTGTCTGGTAATGGTATGTATCTCAAATTTCATCACCGTCTAACAGAAGGATAAACACAGCTGACCTCACGAGGGACTCACGATAGCCTCCCCGCTGCAGACTCGTTCTCAAATGGAAGAGATTGATTGAAAGTGACAACATCTTGGTGGTGGGATTTCTCCTCTCATTGTCATTGTTTATGTTCTTCTTCTTGCAAGAACACGTTTTGCACAGAGTCTACTCATTTGCCACCAGCAACCCTCATACTCGTACTGACCTTCGCTCCGGATAATTGCGAACCTAGACAAGAACTCTCGGCTCCTGGGCTACAAGATCATGATACGTAGAACACGATAGAAAGTGCAAAAGACTTCTCTTCGCACTACTTCATCTTGCAGTACTTACGTACCGGACAGCACGCCCCCCGCCGCTTACGCTTGATATATTTTTCCTCGCGTTTTTACTCTCCGTCTTTTCTGTCGTGTTTGCAATTTGGAATGTTGATCCTCTTGAGTCGCAGTCGCTTGAAAAAGTCGTGTTGATGTTGTGTCGTCTTTGTACTGGCAGCGCGCGCGCATGTCGTGGTGGTCTAAAGCAGCCCTAGAAGTTGTAGGCACTACTATCCCTGATTTTTTCAACATCAGAGCCGCTGCGTTTTGACCAACAGGTCCTGCAGCGGGGTACGCAACTCGGGTTGCAGGGAATCCAGCCGGTGGATGTTGAAAAACTCTGCCAAGCACTCATCCACCTTCCGCAGCCGCTCCTCGGCCGCAAGGTCTGGCTTCGCTACCCCGCGCTTGCGGTGCGTTTCCACAATGACCTGATGAAAAAATTTTTGTTGTGTTTGCAGTTTTTTGTCTTTCGGTATGCAGAAAGGTCGCGGTGGCAGGCATCATGATCTCTTTGCAACTGCATCGTTTCTTGTTCTTCCACCTGTGAACAAGTAATGCAGATATAGTGCCAGCGTAGCTATGATCAGAATCTATCAGTATCAGATGAAAACAAGTATAAAGAAATATACCGCCGAGAAATGCGACAGCATTGCGCGCACGAATTGCGTGCCCACTTTCCGAAAGTCCTCGTACTTGGAGCTGAGCAGCACATCCCTGGCGGACGGCAGCAGCCTCGTGCAGGCCGTGAGCGTGAGCGCTTTTGACGCGCGGTTGCGCAGCAGGGCGCGCGCAAAGTCGCAGAAGACCGCCCCGTCGCAGTGGCTGAGAAAATCCAGCACGTCGCTGGTCCGATTTGTGTTCCACAGCTGCAGCACGTGGTGTGCCTGTTCCAGCCGCCGTTTGTAGCACAGAGCAATCTCGTTGTGCTGCTTCCCGAAGTGCTCGACGAGAAGTTGTAGGTCGCTTTGCTTGTTCTTCCTGTCGCTGTGCTGTTGATTTGCTGCACCACGAGCCGGGGACGTGCGGTTCGACGCCGAAGCGCTATTGATATTACCGCGTCCACCTCGGGAGGAAGTCGGTCTGCTCGCACCATTACTAGGTCCTGCTCCACCGGCAGTAGAAGTGGTTCTTGCCAAATTCCTGCCCGCACTCGCCGCTGGCTTTTCGGGCGAGGGCAGCCCGGCAGCCTGCGCAGTGATCCGGCGGTCGCGCGGATGGGCACCCGTACCCGAAGTAGAAGACCCTGGCCGCGGCGGTTCTTGCTCTGCGGATGCTCTTTGTTCCTTGTTCTGCAACGAGGATATTACCGCTGGCTGCTGCTGCACCCTATCCGGCGAAAGCGAAGTGGTTGTATCCTCTTCCGAGCGCGCACTCAAGTAACTCGCTTGGTCCACCAGAGTCGGCGTCGTCCGATTATTGTTGTTTATGGTTCTACTCCCCGAAGGACCTCCGTGCTGCGCACCACCACCCAGTTCTTTCGTGGGACTGCGACTCGAACTCGATTTCGACTCTGTATCCCTATCCGCCGCCGCCGCGGCGCTCACAGCCCCCGCTCCGAAAATGTGGTTCGAGCAGCGGTGTTGGTCCACGATCCCCGCCACGGCACCGCGGGCGCGCCGGGTGGGTAGCTTCTTGGCTTCCGGGATGGGGACGTGGTCTTCGTGGGGAATTACAGTGTTGGAGTCCTCAGGTACTAGAGGAGGGGGCGGCGACGACCCCTCTTTCGCTACAGAGAAGATGTGTGTCCCCGGCGCGGGTGCAGCTCCTGCACCGGCGATTTTTTCAACCGCTGCTCTGGAGGCTTGTGTAGTACCTCCATCTTCCTGTCGTTTTATCTTTGCGCGGGCGGGTCTTTGTTGTTCCTGCTGCGGTAACAAGTTCAGTCCGTCGATGGTACCACAACCGCGCGCCACGGCCAGCTCATCCTCAAGCGAAAAATCTCCCCTGCTAGGCGGATGTAGTACCTGATCCACTGCTCCGACACCGACACCACCACCGCCATTCCCCTTCGGCTCAAACAGCATGCGCGTCTTCCGCACCGCACCCACGGCTGGCTGCGGACTCAGGTCTAAATCCCGAAAAGCAGTATTAGCTGGATCCTGCTCTACTTCTTGCGGCGAAGCAGCAGCTCCTCCTGTGGTGAACGGATTTATTCGCCCTCCTCGCGCCGAATTCGACGTGCTTCCCTCCACAACCGGGGCGGACTCCAGGGGCGAGGAGGAGGCGGAACAGGAATTTTCCTGCAGCGTTGTGGAGACCGAGTGGTTTTGGTGACCGTGCAACAGTTCTTTCGACCCGACGCGCGAGCTCGAGGCGGTAGAAACGGTCGTTCCCGTTCCGGTCTTGTCGTGCTGTTTCTGATTCGTCATTAGGATGAAATCGGGTTTCGTCATCTTAGACACCCCAGCGGTGGACGAAGGTTTGATGTCGGGCTTCTCGACGTTGCTACTTGTCGGCGCTGGCGGGTGTATTGCAGCTGAACCTGCACCTCCTGGCATATCCTCGACGTCGTTTGCGAGAAGCAAGCTCTTCGGAAGCCTTGCCTTCGGCAGCACGTCCTGCAGGTAGTCCGCAAAGGCCATCGCTTTCTTGGACTGCGCAGGAAGAGGGTTATTCGTCGTCGCAGCAGGAGGTTTATTTGAAGCACTAGTAGAAACAAGGTCAGCTGCTGGAGGACTCCTTGTAGACGAACTTCCTGCTGGAACTACAGTCGCCGCGCTGGACACCAGGGCGACATCTTCGGCATGCGGGGGCTCTCGTCCGCTAACCCCGATAGAATTTCCATCACTCTTAGGCTGATCGAAGTCCTCCCCCGGCGGCGCGATGGGCGAGCAGGCACTAGAAGTTGTGTGGCCCCCCGTTGCAGAAAGAACAGCCCCAGAATGCGCAGCTAGGACAGGCTTGTTGATGCTGCCAAGCACTTGTGGCGCGCTGTTCCGACCAGCAACTGCCCCTCGGGTTGATGTAGATGAAGTAGAACTACTACTACCTGAATTACCTCCCGACTTTTTTGGGGACGATGATGAACCGGAGGACTTGTTCATCGCATGGGTGGAACTTGTCTGAAATTTCCCCAGCGCAACAGCGCTATCGCTTCTACGGGATGGCGGTGATGGAGAGGGAGACGCTCGACCAAAAAAATCTTCGTCCCGATATTGTAATTCACCGGGGCGATGACTGGGAGCGGGGGCAGAAGGAAGAGGCTCCAGATGTTGCAGTTCCTGCTGCCCTTGTAGTTCATCTTCCTTCGGACGGTCAACATCTGCCGCCGTAATACTAATTGCCACTGTACCTCCTGACGACTGTCTCGCAACAGCAGCAGCAGCGGCTGCGTTGTTCTTGTCGAGGACACCGTGGCTGCTGCGTGGCCGTGAAGACGAGGACGAGCTGGAGGATGTTCCGGGTTGTATACTACCGGATGTCGAGTAGGCCAATTTCCCAACGACCCTTCTGTGCTATGATTGCAATACAAGAAAAAAAAAATGGCTGTCGAATCTGGAGCGAGTGCTGAATTGTCGCCCTGCATCGTGGCACGCCCCCGGGTCATTAGAACTTCCACGGCTGCAGTGTAGAGCTCCTCGCTGTTCGCTGGATAAGCGGCTGCTCCCGTTGGGTCCCCTGGCACCCTAATCCTACTGCGGCCGCGCCCCCGCCTGCTGCGCGCAGTCACGCAGAGAATCGGCTCAATGCCCACTCGTTGCTATGCGTACTATGCGTGCTATGCTTGCTATGTTTGCTGTGTCGGGGGTGCCACAGCACACATAGCACACAATTTTGGCCCGCGCACGGTGCTGTGCGTGCTATGCGTGCTGTGCGTGCTATGCGTGCTATCGTTGCTGTGGGCCGCTCGCTAATGCGACCACAGCAACGAGTGGCTCGGCCCTGCACCCCCCAGCAACGGCTCCAGGGAATGCCGCCGGAGCGCTGGGCCAAGTGCGAATGGTGTGGCGCGGGCCGCCGCAACGCGGCCGCCAACGGAAATCCCTAGCGCGCCTGCCTCTGGTGGTGGGCGGCTTTGCTTCTGGTTACCATCCGAATCGCCCGGCACAATCTGCGCCGACTCTTTTTTCTTTTTGTGAATGCGATCATAGTGATTTAGGGTCGTTGGGAATTGACCTACATAACGGATGCTGAAGCGCTGTTCGGCTTCGTCACATCAATCCCCAGACTCCTGTAGTACGCTGCCGCGTTCCTGTATGCAAAGAAAAAAGTGTAGCTACAGTTGCACATTTATTGTGTTGCGGAACGAGCAAGACAGACCACCTCTGTTATGCCGGATAAGCATAGGAGCCTTGTTTCAGTTTTGTTTTCCCTTATGATCTCTGCATTGCAAGTTTTGTCTCATGCAGAGAAAATTTGTGTTGCTAAATTCACTACAAATGTGAAACTGTATGCACTTTTTTCCTGTGATATCCCGCTCCCAGGCCTTGGGACCGCGTCCTCGTTGTGCCTTTTCCCGGGACCCCCGGGCGGCACCAGGTCCGCCAGGTCTTCCGACAGCGCGCGGCGCGGCCGCGACGACGTCCCCGCGAGCAAAGCGTTTAAGGAATTATTGTCTTGATGTTCGCGGGTTGATGATGATGATGATGATGATGATGATGCGTGTGGGTAGTAGAGGTGCATCTTCTCCTGAGAGCTGCTGTTGCTGCTGCTGCTCGACGTCGCTGGGTTCATTACTTTCGTTGAAGCAGACCCAGTAGACGAACTTTTGCTCTGTGGCTGGGACGAGGAACTGGAGCTGCTGGAAGACGACGAGGATCCACCTCCGGAACTTGTCACGCCACCAGCGGTCGTGGTCCGGCGCAACCCGGTGTCCGTTGGCGCTTTCAGTCGCGGCAGCTGCTGCTTTGTGGCGGAGGAGGGTTGCTGCACTTCGGGTTTGGACTCCGATTTCTTCATTGGCCGGGCCGTGGAGCTCGTGGTGGTGCTGGTCCGAGAAGAACCTTGCTTCGCTCCAAACGCAGCTCCACCTTGTTGGCTATCAGAAGATTCGCGACTGACGACCTGAAATTGTACAAAGGAACGAGTCATTGAAAGCGAAATCCGGTCTGCTATTTCGCAGCGGGGCATCCTTTGTAGCCCCCTGCGTGACAAACTGGCCACCTGGCCAGGAAGGTATGTGGAAAACCGCAAACCCGCGAACCCTGCTGGGCCACCAAAATCGGCCATTTCAGACCCGGGGAAGATGCTGAATTTCTGCCCACAACCCAGGGCAAATGGGGAATTTGTGACATACCCCCGCCCGCTTCTAGTGCGTTTTTTTTTTCCCAATCGCGATGGTACGGCGCAAGCGCGCGCCCGCCGGACCGCCCTTGGCGGCCAGTTTGTAAGCCTGCCGGGGGTTCTCGATTTTTTTCAATTTTCGCTCTTTTTTCTGGTTCTTAGGTGGCCGAAGGGCTCCGGACATTTTCACCGACCGCAGCTGACTGGCAGTTTCGAAGCCTGCGGAGGGATTGCGCTTTTGCGAAATTTTTCTGCTTTTCCTGATTTCCAAGTGGCCCGGGCGACCTGGACATTTTCACCGCCCCCACCTGGGTGGCAGTTTCGAAGCCTGCGGAGGGATTGCGCTTTTGCGAAATTTTTCTGCTTTTCCTGATTTCCAAGTGGCCCGGGCGACCTGGGCATTTTCACCGCCCCCACCTGGGTGGCAGTTTTGAAGCCTGCGGGGGGATTGCGCTTTTGCAAGATTTTTCTTCTTTTCCCATTTTCCAAGTGGCCCGGGTGATCTGCACAAAATCCGACGATTGCTTCCCCCCACGTTATAAAGCAATTTTTTGCCATTTTTTTCCAACTTTTTCCAGTTACGAAGCGGCCCAAGGCTTCCGGACAGGTCGCGTGCCTGCTGCTCCAACGCAGCTGGCCAGCGGGCGGAGCAAAAAATAGTCCGCCTCTTTTTCAGATACTAAGTGGGCCAGACCGCAAAAATGCTCTTTTTTCACCTTCTCCCGCTTGGTTTCTGCCGTTTTTGCGTCATTTTTGACCTCCTGGCCATTTTCCCATCTGGTCCGCTTTTTTTCCCTTCTCCCGCTTCCTTTCTGGCCATTTCCCTGACCTTCACGCCTCCCGGCGGTTGCCCTATATGGTAACGGCAACTGCCTTCGCGCTGCGTTTGCTAAGCAATATCGCAAGCGCGCAGAGCGCGCGCGCCGGCTTCGTGGGCCGGCGCGCGCTCTGCGCGCGCGCGCGCACGCATTTGGTTACCAGATCAGAAGATTCGCGACTGACGACCTGAAATTGTACAAAGGACCGAGTTGATAGTTCTACTCTGTCTTTTTTTAAACCGAGGAATAAAGTTGAAATAACAAGTTGTAGAACTACAACATACGATTACGAAGACAAAATTCATTGCGTCTGAGTGGTCATGCTCATGGTCTGCGTCTGCCACCTTATTTGCATTAAAATACTTGCATGTAGTAGTACCGAGCTTTTATAATTCATCAGCGGGACGCCGGCATTTGCTCCGCTTGGCAGAATGTTGTTCTCCTCCTTCTTATTCAGGGTCCCTACCCACACGTTCACTTTGCTGCTCTCGACGGAAATTCCGGTCATTTTGCAGTGCGTATCGGAGATCCGAAGGTCATGCAATTTCCCGCCCCACTCGGCTTCGTAGCAGGTCGGCGCAGCCTGGAGGTTATGGAACTGTCAGGTTTGAAATCGTCAAAGTTGAAATAGTTTGTCATGCATAAAATGCAACGCAGAAAGTGCCTGTCTTGCAGAGTAGGCAAGGGGGGCAGATTGCAAGCCTGTTTCGGGGTAGAAATAGAGCTGCTAAAGTAGAATGACAAAAGGCGTCTTCCTTACCCGAACAGCATGACAAGCTGGGCTTCGGCTCTACCCAAATTTGTCATGCGCCACTTGGCAACTGGGATGCAACTTTCATCCATTTTCTGCATTACAAGTTATTTCAACTTTGTCGATTTCAATCCTGACACATCCATAGAGGTTACTGATGGAGTACGAACGGAGACCGTCAGCGAACCCAGCAACAACCGCTTTGTGCTCCGGGTGAAAGATCACTTGCTGCAGGAGTGCATAAAATTCGATTTTTGCGGAATCTTCAACTTCACACTTCAATTGTCAAGCAGCAACAGTTTGGCGCCAGTTTCCTTATAATAATAATTCAGTTGTCGTGGCCAAGTTGCATCTTCAAAATAAAGCCAAACCTCTAGACTTTTAGGTAGAAAAATAAGTACCTGCACGGGTCCCGACCCCATATCCGTGGTGGAGACGTTTTTGAAGCTTTCCAGGTTCCACAACTTGCAAGTCCGGTCCACCGAGCCGGTGACCAGGTAAAATTCATCCGGGTGGAAGTCCATGCTGGTGATGCCGGCCTTGTGCAAGGAAAATTCCTTCATCAACTTGCCCGCCGTCAGGTCCCACAGCTTGACCGTCGCGTCCTGCCCCGCCGTCGCGACCCAGCGGCCGTGCGGCGAAAACCGCACACAGCTGATGCCCATCGAGTGCCCCTTGTAGGTCTGGATGCAGCTTTTCCGGCGCAGGTCCCAAATCTTCATGTTGGTATCCAGCGAGCCGGACGCGAAAAAATCGCCGTAAGGGTGGAACTCGACACCTGATGTAGAAGTAGGTGTGCTTACTTTCTATCGATTCACTGCTGCATGCGCATCCACGACATGGTTGCTGGTGCTGGTCGTATATTTCTATTTGATCGCATCATACATGGAAAAACCGAAGGTCATCGCAGTTAGAAATAAATTTCAAGTCCTTTACTCCGACACAAACTCTACTACCTCCTAGTGACACACAAACAACAAACAAAACTCCGCAAAAAAAGTACATTCGCAACTGGTCCTGTGGCCGGTAAAGCTGGCGTGCACTTTCTGCTGGTCCAGATTCCAGACCTGCAGACTTCCCCCCGCGCAGCCGACCACCAGACTTTCCTCCGCTTGGTCAAACACGAGGCTCTGCGGTACGCTCGCGTGCCCCGTGAGTGACACCAACGGCTGCGGTTGCCCGATTTGCCACACGCAGACCCGCTTGTCCGCACCGCCGGTGGCAAGAATTTTTGTGCCCGACTTTTGGCCGAGCCGACAGGACCGAACCTCGTCCAAGTGGCCGATGTACTCCTGCAGCTTCCAGATGGGTTTCACCATGGTGAAGATGATTATCGGGGTTGGTGGTACTGGGAATTATGTTCAAGTGCGGCAAGAACTTCAGGATCTTCAGGGTCGTTCTCGGTAGGCTTGGTTCATTTTCACGCCGTCGAACCGCCACTGAAGCAGGGAGCACGAGCAGTACAGGAGCACTACATTTCATCGAAAGATGCCACGATATTAAGAAGGCAGGTTCATAAGTAAATCTGAGCTTCTACACACAAAAGCTGATGCCACCACGACCATACCGTCAGTCTCACGCTCACAGCATGAGCTTAAGCGAACCGGAAGCAGCACTTTTGGAAGTATCCTGTACTTGATGTAGCTCTACACACACTGCAAAGGCCTGAGCGCTTCTACTAGTACACCTACACATGAAACTTTATCACACAGCAGCGATGGATTCTGAAAGAAGGAACGACAACATACATGGACGTGAAAAAAAATCTGACAAAGCTGGTACTTAACTAGCACTTTTGTTCCTCAAAATTGCAATTTTTTGTTCTGCCACAACGACAAAAAACAACACAACTAATACCGATGAACATTTTTCAAACGAGTTTTACCATTTGATGAATGCGTTTTTTTTGTACCCGGTCTCGTCACACTCGTAACACCACAAACACCTACAGCAGCAGCTGTAGGTCTAGCTTGCAACACTGCAAGCACGATATTGCTACACGGAGCAACAGGAACAGCATCAGCGAGTGTATGTAGCCACACATGATAGCTTGATACGCAGCGCCACTCAAGACGGTGAGACGTTCACGACGTCTGTAGCAGTTTTTGTATTTTTATACGTTTTTCCTCATAGCGTGCGCAAAGAATACAACGACCGTGATAGATGGTGCAGAAGGTTCTTGTTCTTTCCGCGACATCTTTATTCTTGGAAGCTGCTAGTGCAACAACTACAGCGTTTTCTTCGATCATAATTGCAGGCAGAGATGATTCCTCGTCAGAAGATCCAAATTCATGATCTTCTGATGAATTGGATGCGAAAATCATGAGCGTGTTTAGCTTTAGTCTCGTCCAGGTTCTATGAGTACATGCAGCACAAAACCTAAGCCGACTTCTTTTTCATCACCTTCTTCTTCGACCCAACGACCTTTTTTGCTCCCGAACCACCAGTCGCTTTGTTTTTATCCTCGGAGGATGCAGTGGTTGTTTTCATCGTCTTTTCAACATCTTTTTCCACGGCTTTTTCTTGCGGCACCACCTCGATTTTTTCCTCCTTCTTCGGCTCAAACTCCCCCTTCGGGTTCAATTCCGAGACCTTTTGCGCGACGACGCTCGCCTTGGATAAAACCTCGACGTTTTTCTTCAAAGTCGCTTCGTTAGTGTTTATCAACTGTAAAAATGTCTGGGTCTGGAAGATTCTGACACTTGTCATGCACGTTTTGCATGAGCCATCATGTCTGTGAACGATACCCTAGCAATACAGATTTTTTGAGGGCTTCTTGATGCCTATTCCGCATGACAAATGCCTTCTCAGCGTAGCAACAATTGCATTCCCTTTGGTACTCATGCAATACAGATTTTTTTGGAATCCACACGCAGCATCACAAGTTGCATCCTTCCAGACCCAGACATTTTTACATTTGATAGTGTTTTCCAACCCGCAGTTCTTCAATTGCTCCATCTTCCACAGCTTCGTCTTCGCGCGGCGCTGCTGCCGGGTGGACAGAATGGTTTTCTTCCCGTCCTCCGTCTTTTTGACCTTGTGCTGCTCCTTCTGCTTCTTCTGGTTCGTCCGGGCCACCGGCACGATGTTCTGCTTCCAGTTCTTCCAGAAGCCTCTACCGATCATCTTGATTTTCTCAGCATCCACCAACGCGACTTCCAACTTCCGTCCGTACAATAAATAGTTGTTCATGGTGCTCGCCACAATCTCCGCGACCTCCTTCAACTCAAACTCGATGAACGCGTACCCCTTCGGGCGGCCGGTTTGTTTCGATCGGGAGAGCTTCAGGCGGCAGATTTCGCCAAACTGGCTGAAGAAAATCTTCAGCTGCGGTTCGAAGAAGCCCATCGGTAGGTGGCCAATGTAGAGCACGCCGCGGGCGTTTCGCTCTTCTTTAGTGGAGGTTTTATGCACGCGGTTCTTCAGGTCGGACTTGGAGTTCGGGTGTTTCTGCAAGGCGGATTGGATCGCAATTTTATCCTCCTCGTCGGAAACAGATTCGTCATCCTCATCGTTGTTTTCCTCTTCGTCAACGCTTTGTTCTTCCGAATTTTCATCCTGCGCAACAGCTGCATCGACCTTCGCGAGCGGAGGAGGCGCTTGGATTTTCACCTTCTGGTTTTCGCCGGCTGGATGTTCTTTCTCTTTCTTCAGCGGCTGCTTATTTTTCATGGACTTCTTCATCCCTTTGATGTTTTTCGCTTGTTCAGAGGTGGCCTTCTTTTCGGTGGTTTCTTCGGAAGCAGCTGCAATGGGGGTGACGGTTTTGTTTTCGACGGCTTTCTTCTTCTCTGCAGCAGAGTCCGCCTTGCTAGCTGCGCCTTGCTTCTTCACCAAATTCTTCATCACTGGCTTGCCCATTTTGACGCCTACAACTTGGTGTGAACTGCTGGCTTTACAAATAAAACTTCGTGTAATGTTCTGATAAGTTTGTCTTTACTTTGGCTTTCTCACAGCTAGATGTATAGCAATGAAAAACCTCAAATCTAGTGGTAGTTCACTTAGAGTAGATTCCGAACCAGCAAATAATGCACCTGCTTTTGTTTTGATGAAGTTATCGATTGTACGTGGCCTACCAGGGCTAAATCTGTGTCGAGCTACGCACGATCACGTTCAGAAGCTTTGATCATATGCAAATACGGACTTTCAGATCTCTTTGCATCAATTCTTTAAGTCGATCCACGATGAGAGAAGTACACCGTATTGATTTGTTCGGATCAGACACTTCAAGCAACCAGGCAGGATCAGGATCCAATGTGCGCTATTCGCTGACAGGCGGATCTCAGTCGGTTTTCTTTCTTGTACTTCGATCATCCAGACATTGGGTGGTTTCAGAGAACAGAAATCATGATTCCGATCAAGCAGGACAAGGATCTTTATACTTGCGCACTTAGATTCATTTTTAGGTGGTAGTGATACGGTCGGTGATATAATTAAGAGATGGTTCTGCTTATGGCTGCATTCCTTATCACAGCGAAAAAGTTGACCACTGCAACTTGGACTGATCTTACGTTCCTTTTCACACACTAGGGCTGCACCTCTATGAAGATCTCAAAGTGCAAAGTGGAGCGGTAAAAATTTCTTCAGCGTAGATTCTTTCTCTGTCGTTATATTTTTTCCAAGAGCATCCTGGTGCCCCTGTGATTCGTCCCTTATTAAAATTCGAAGTCTTGTTGTATGACCGCTCCGCCTCATCCTTTAAGAGGCGGCTGGAACTGTATATCGAACTTGATGGAGGATTCTTGGTATTACACACGGCGCTTTGATACTTCTGATGTGGGAATTCCTTTTCGGCACACGGTATGGAAAATCATAGTAATCAAGTTTCTTGGCTATAATCCCTTTTTCCCACCCGCTCCTTTTTCGTCGTGGTTCCTACTTCCGAGACGACACTAATCCCGAAGTGGAAGTTCTTGGTCGAAAAAAGTAAATAACAAAAAAATTATCTGCAGAAAGAATTCATATCGTAATTCGATTTCCGTGTCGTGTTTGGCATGATGTTCAGCATATACTTGTAACCGCATAGTATTTGCGTGCCGTTGTAGGTCGTGCTAGTAGTGCTTATCGGACCGGAGTGGGAAGATAAAGAAGCGATCTTCCCGCCGGCATGACAGCAGGGCGGCGCGGCTTTAGCCGCGGTTAATATCCTGCATGAGAAGTTGTACTATCGCAAAAAGAAATTATACGACCAGCGTGTACTGAGAGTACCTTTAGTACTGGCGCTCACAGTTATTCAGATTCTTTGCTACTTGTGGGTCGTTGTGAAAAAATATATAAGTACTTATCAGTCGTGCCTACGCGCCGATGCTCTGCCAGAATTTCTTCACCTTGTCCTGGGCGATGAGCGTGATCATCGCGTGGGGCGCGATACGGAAGTAGTAGGTCGGGAATCCGGCGTAGAACCGCAGTGGACCGCCCTCGGCCAACATCTTCATGGCGCAGTCAATGGGGCCGTTGAAGGGCATCTTGCCGTTCGCATCCGGCTTGGCCTTCTGGACTTGCGTCTTCACGAAATCTGGATTTAAATTTAATTGACATTGCAGTCAGGCACAATACAAATCTTGTTGCCATGGAAATCAGCATGCTAAGCGAATTTTTATTGCAATTACTACGTAGTACGATACAACTTCTTTTGCAATTCATAGAATCATTGAAATTTTACAACTTAGTACCAAACGGCAATGAGAATGCCGACGCGAAGAAGCCTGCGATCGCCGATGCCCCGAACACGCATGCTGTCCCTGACTTTTCCAGTCCAAACGATCCGGACAAAAAATCTTTTGCCGCGGAGTTTCCGCCGAGCATTCCCAAGTTCAACGCCATCGCGCGGACGCTCGTGGGCACAGAGCCCTTGAAAAGACCAACGAAGCCCTCGCCTTTCAGAATACCTTGTTTGAAGAGGTAATTCCATTGCAATAAAATTTTTTTTAAACTTGAACTGGTCACAACGGCATGCAAAAATGTTGGATCTACGGATAATCTAGGAGGTGGAGGTGGTACTCATCTGCATGCAATAGATCACAGGTATTTAATATTGTGTCGATCTTCACGTGGAAAAAATACATCTGAGTAGAACCAGCAAAGCAATACTTGACATAGCGTGTCCCGCGTGTCTGTAGCCCACCTGTTCGGCTTTTGGGAGCATGCTGTCCGTCTGCATGCGGATCAACGACAGGTCTGCTGGGTTACCAATTACCGCTGCTATCCCAGTATCCAAGAAAAAAACTGTGTTAGTGTAACTTTCTTTGGCCGAGAGCATTACAAATTTGCTCTACACAACAGACAAAATCTGTCATGCGTGGCCTGTAAGGGAAGACACACAGGAACCGAGAAGTTCATGGCTGTGTCGCACGACAAGTGCGACTCTGTTGCATGTTCTGCATTACAAAGTTACACTATACACAGTTTTTCTTGCATAACCACCGGCAGACAGGGCGCACGCGGCGGTTTTCCACATGGGAAAGGTTTTCTCACCCGGAGTTTTTGCCTGAAGTATAGAACAGTTTTTAAAATAGTACACATTCACACATGCTGCATATCGAAACATCAATGACGACGTCCCACGCATGCATTTCGAAACCTCAGAACGACCTAGAACTACTTACATACTTATATGTTCATCTCGAATCATGTTGAGCAGAATCACTTCGTCGCAAAAAAATCAGTACCATGTCTGTGAAAATGTCGTAGAGTCCCAGTCGCGCCCCGGTATATATGACTTGCCTTGTCAACCCTGCCGAGAGACCCTGTTGACGTTGAGGTTTTCTTCTTGTTGTACAGTGATGAACAAAATTCGACTTCGGGTATTGTGAAGACTGTTCGATTGCTTTGCATTTTTTCCCTTCAGCACCATCAAGAACCAGGAAGCAAAACTAAAGCCATAGCCATCGATCCTGAAGTTGTATTATTACCGAGTACATCGCCAGGAAGCCCTCTTCCTTCACCAGCGTGGTTGCAATCGTTACCGGTGAGGTTGGTTTTCCCTCGGCCGCGGCAACTTGGATCCTTACCTTCACCATGTCCATCGGCTGGATGCAGCATGTCGCAACGGAACCGGAGATAGAACCGGTCACGAACGGCTTAAAAGCCTTCCACACGGGATTATCCGACATTTTGTTGAGAATTTATAAGCTCAAGTAAAACTACTTGAGGCTGGGCAGTAGAGCAATGTTGGGAGGCTTGTTCTTAGTATGGTTCCTGTAGCTCCTTTACTTTACTAGAAGTACAGAGCTTCGTTTTTTACGTTTGGGTCTGTTCCTTCAATCGATTAGATTTATCTCGTTACAGTGCTGGTCTACTGCGGAGTTCTGCCATAATTACGAGAAAGAAGAAGCTTCTGGAAAGCTGCCCTCGAAGTAACTTGGTGCCCTGCTCTTATTCCTTACCACAGATTGTTCTGGAGCTGCTGTAATTTGGTGAAATTAGTAGAGAAAAAAATGTTGGTGACGAGTGAGGCTCTCTCATCCTCATCTCGAGGTAGTGCTGCTAAACAATGACAATGAGTTGTGGCGCGCTGTTTCTGCTTCAATTCTAGTACTTCTCCTGTTCCACTCTCCTGTGTCTCCTGTGAGTGACATTTCTTATTCTTGATTACAGTGTCAGATGTCACGAGACAACCACGGAAAAAAAAAACCGATTTTTCACATTCGCTGCTGAATGAAGATGGAAATCTTTTACATGCGGACTGCTTCACAACAATCCTTTTATGCTTGCTCTTTCTGCACTTCGTGCTTTTTGCTTTCCGTTCTTGCTTCGCTCGACATGATAGATGCCTACATGAAGTTGTCCAAGTGCAAGTTGATGCCATCGAAGTGCAAGGTGAAGGTGTTAATAGTACAACTTAATATTTATAAGACATTTCGATTTCTGTGTGAATTATTTATGCATGAGCAGAATTACGTCGTAGCTGCAAAACGCAGTCCGCGAAAATGTGGTGTTCCAGGTCTGGATTCTCGTACTGTAAACGCAAAATATTTCTCCACAGACCTCGCAGCAGCTGTGGAGCTGGAGCTGCGGCACTATTACTAGCACCTCCAGGAGGCCAGTCGTCGGTTCTGGGAGGTGTTGACTCTGACTCAGAGCCGCAATACAGCGAGGAGACGGCGAATTCATAGCGTGCAATGCCTACTGTACCAGTGAAAACTTTCGGTGGACCTGCTAACGTGTCGTCGATTAGCGCTGGAAAGGTGCTTTTTGACGCCGTTCGTGGTGACAACCTCTTCTGGTCTGATTCGGAGGTGTATTGGCTACCTGAAAGAAGGCGATTCGCTTTCACCTTGTCACAGTATGCCTCCAAAGTTTGGGCTTCCCTCCTGCTCTCGATGGTTTCCCCACTGGGCGTCAAATTATTCCGACACGACATGAGAAAAAACGCGACCTCTTGGACTGTGTCTTCTGGGAAACGCGGCAGGCTGAGAAACGGCCGGAAGAGCACGTCTTCGTTGAAGCGAAGCAAGCTTTTTTTCTTCTGCGTGGACATCACAACCCTCGATTGCTCAACCACCTGCAGTGCCTGTACCGCTTCTTGCTGGGCAGCAGCGCTGAGCCTCTCGAAGGGGAGAAGGCCCCGCAATTCTCCGGACAGTGTCCGCCGCAGCACCGGGCGGGCGGAGGTCTGGATACGATAAGTCTCGAGAAAATCGTGAAGACGCTCCTCGGAGCTAGTTGTGGGGTCGTCAAGTTGTCCAGAATTCGTGTCATCCTCATCGGATGAAACAGTGTACCTTACCTCTTTCCGCAAAAACTCATCGGCGTGCAGGTCCTTCAGCAATTGCAAAAAATTCGCGGCCGTGCAGGTAGAGAACCCGAGTTGTGTCTTGTGGTGCCGCGCCTTTTTGTTGCCGATTGACCCAGCTGATGAAGTGGCGGAGGAGAGAAAAAAGTCCCACACCTCCGAAGCTAAAGGAGTTGTTGTACTAGCAGACAGCCCATTAGGAGTTGCGGAGAGAAAGGGTGCAGCATCGTGAGCAGTCGATCTTGAAGACGATCTGACTGCGATCACTTTCCGCAACACGAACAGCAACAGCGCTGCTAAATAAGCTTCGAGAAAAGACGCGAGAAGGTAGTTTTGATTCGTTCTCGTCCTGAAAATCAGTTTCCACGCGACGGCAATCTGGTCGAGCATGTAAACGCTGGTTTCGATGGGTAGACCGTTTCGGAAGAACAGATTTTGTGCCCATCCAGACAAATTGCCGCAGCAGCCGAAGATTGAGGATGATGATGTCGCGATCCGATCTTGGTCCTGTTCGGCGGATGTTGACGACGAGTTGGAAATTACGACTCGTCGGCAAAACGCCGTCAACGCTGTTTCCAGATCTACCACTTCTGAAGTAGTGGTGGGAATCCGGCTTTTCTTGCAGTTTTTGTTTTTTCGATCTTCGGAAATGAATTCTGCCAGGCAGGCCAGCAACTCCTCTTCGTGCTCTAAGATTTCGTCCGCGGCAAGTAAGTATTGCACAACACAAGAGAACTATCGCGCCAAAAAACTGTCTCATGCTCAACTGTTATAATCTAATGCGCAAACAACTCGTTGATAGAAGCTTCTGGCATGCATGACAGGCAAGAGATAGAGAAACACCTTGTCCGTATACGCGTTTATTTCTACTCTTGTTCCTGTTAAAAAACTGCGCATCGTGTCATGCTGAGCGAATCTGCAGCGCTGTCCCTCCTGAGACAGAGACAGTTTTTTCCTTAATCATAGGACGCGAACCGAAGCGGCCGATTTCAAAATACCGCCGAGCTGTGCTAGCGATTCCGCAGCTTCACGCTTCGCTGAGCCACCGTGTGCTGGGCTCCTCGTCGGGCTGCCGATCAGCACCGCGGCTAGTGCAGACACGACTAGACCTTGTGCTTGTTGCTGGTCAACAAGCAGGGGCGATGATGATGAACTATGCTCGCGAAGAAAAGCAGGATTACCCGCATATGACGGCTCACGATTTCTTGCTGCTGCCCCAGCACTGCCGAACAGCTCCTGTTTCCTGGTTCGCCTCTCCAGAACTTCCCAGTAGCCCTGCTCCATAGCCACAAGCTGCGAGTCGTCAAGCTGCTCCGAGAGCTGGTAGCGAACGATGGTGGTGTGCAGGATGTCGTCGTACGAAAAAGAAGTAGATGTCAGATTGATTTCATCCTCGCTTATTCCTGAGACCAAAGTTTTCATCGCACCACCGCGATTACTACTGCTGCTTCTCAAGGCAGCAATCTTCGGCGTGGCAGGTACATCGCTGTAGCTGTCTTTGAGCAGCTTTCTCATATGACCTGCTCAAGCGTTACAATCTCAAACGTTACAATAGAATCTGGAATTTGTGTTGCATGATGGGCATGACAGACTCGCACAGCGTTCCACCTTTTGCAATACAAATTTTCCCAGATTGTAGTGGGGTTTGGAGCTCCGGAACTTGTCATGCGCAATCCTATGAGAGTTGGCTAGCTCATGCACTCTTGCATCACAGATTTCCATATTCTATTGTAACGTTTGAGATTGTAACACCTGAGCAGATTATATCTCACAAGTCGCGTTTCTGTCTCCCCCTCCTCTTCCTCCTCATAAAGTAAAAGGTCCGATCGCAGATTCTCGTAAACGCGCTGTCGCACAGCGACTCGGGTCTGGTGTTGCTGCTGTTCTTGTGCCGCGGCGGCGGCGCCGGTTTTATTGCCGGCTGTAGCTCTGGTGGAAGACGCCGTGCTGGCAGTTGACGCCGAAAATGATACTGGGTGTTTGAACAAGCAGTGCTGCAGCAGTAGCTTCTCCTCGGCAGGCCTCCCGCCGCCGAGTTGCGCGAAAAGCCAGGCGATGACATCTTCGGACAAGCATGAAGATCCACCCGTCAGCTCTGCGCCGGAAGCGACAAACCGAGGAGAGGAAGGAACTTGTGTAGCTTTCTTGTTCCCGTGCAACGTCTGCAGCAAGGTTTTCCGAAGCCCGGCCACGAACTGTGCGCGCTCGTTGTGGTCGTCTACAACTCCTGGAAGATGCCGCGTAGTTATAGTTCCCAGCACATGCTCGCGGAGGGCGCACAGAGCTTGCGGCTCATCCTCCTGCGCAACCACCACTGGCGACCGATGTGCCACCAGGTGTTTTTGTCTATTAGGCATGATCTTTGCGCATTGATCTCTTGTATGTGAAAATGATCCTTTCAGAAAGAACAAAGGTGGTCCGAAGCTGACTCAACTTCTACGCGGCCAATTCTGCCTCGTGAATATCCTATCCATTTTGCCGATCCTACGAATACGGATCATCTTGTCAGGGAAAAACTTGCGCGAACACACCGCTGCTTTCTCGGCCTCGCAACCTCCTTGCCCCAGCGATTCGCGGTGCCTCTTGTCCCTTGGTAGAAAGCTGAAGTTTCCAAAACCAACGTCTCTACAGATGTTAGCAATCGAGCGGAAAAATTCTTCGCTTGTATCTCCCCGCTACCGCTCCTTGAAGATGAACATGAAGAAGAACGTACTGCATAATTACAAACAAGAAGTGTAAGTTGTAGTATTGCTTTTTTTTCCAAACTCCCGTGCTAGTTTGTGTTGAAAAGAAAAAGTTCCAAGTTCTGTCTAAATTCATTCTTTGTCTTTCTGGATTCATCGTAAACAGGGAAAAAAGCAATACCGGAGAAGATTTGCTCCAAATAGACGGACGAGGAGATACACTTTAGCTAAAGCCGCTCCTCCCATGAAAAGAGAAAGATCAGATGGTAATCAAAGACAGCAAGAAGTGCCTGTCCAAATAAAGGTGCTTACAAAAAGCACAATGGGCGGTTGAAAAAGTCTCTGTACACGGGTAGGGTAGCGCTTAGAAGAGTTGCTTTTAGTCGAGCGGGAAAAACGGTATAGAATAGCGAGGAAGAAGCTTTGATATGTTAAAGACTACAATTACGCAAAATCATGTGTGAAACTCTGCAGTCTACTGTGCTTGCCGCGCATCGACATGCAGCAATTTTACAGATGATCCTGAAGAACATTCTTTGACTAAATTTTTACAAGATTAGGATAAGAAAACACACAACCTATTGAACCAGTTCGTTGGTACTTCTGGTCGTCGTGGTCGGAGTGTAGCAAAAACCGCATAAGAAAGTAGATGAAATCGAAACCCCGTAGTTGCAGATCTATCAAGACGACGTGATCTCGCAATTTTCCATCACTTGCAGTTGCTTCAGCAACTCGTTCTTCCGCGGTGCCGGGGTGAACACCTGCAACTTCGCCTCCGACTGCTCGCGCACGTTGTCCCCCAACCGCAAACTGAGCATCCGCGCCGAGCCCTCGGTCTTTTCCACCTTGTTGAGCACCTCGTTGATGATGTTCTCGTCGAACAGGTGCCCTTTGAGCTGCAGCTATCCTGAGTAAAAACGTACCCACACCAGAGTTGTAATGCAGATTTGCAAAGACAGGAAGACTTGTAATGCGCATCCGCATGAGAGCCATTTCCAATCGTGTTTTGGAATTTGTGATGCTGTGAACAGGATCAGCAGGTCGATTTGTGATGCGGCCTTCCTTGCTAACTTGCACTACCTTACGGACTGCAACTTGTCATGCGTGACTCACAAAGCTTCTAGGTTTGTGTTGCAAAATCCCCATCCTGACTCTGGTGTGGGTACGTTTTTACTCAGGATAGCAGCTGAATTGACTTCATCGGGGGCTTATTACTGTCCCCACTGTCCGGCAAGGCGCCGAAGGTTTCCTCGCCGGAAGAGGCCCCGGTGGACGACCCCGCCGCGGTGGAGGAAATGTCGCGCAACGACGCGATTCGCAAATTCTGCAACCTCGGTGCCAACAGCCGCACCGCCTCGCTGTCCATCCGCTTCAAAAACGCGCGGACCAGCTTCTATGCATTGCAAATCTTTCTGGGTCTGGCACCAGATTGGGGGAGTTTGTCATGCACAATAGTACATGCGACACGACCCCTGTAATGCATGCTCTAGCGTCACAGCTCTCGCAAAGGCTTGCTAATGCCTGTCCCGCATGAGAAATGCACTCCCCGGGTGGCAAAAATCTACGCAAATCTTTTGCTATTCATGCAATACAGGTTCTTGTATCATTCAAAGTTAGCATCACATGTCCCATTCTTTTCAGATCCAAACATATTTGCAATGCGTAGCTCCACCTGCAAGTCGATTTCGGCCTTGGTGATCCAGAACCGCGGGGTGAACCGCAACGCGTTGTGTCCGCCGTGGATCACGCCCAGGCCCTGCTGTCGCAGCCAGTACTCCGCCCCGTCCCGGGCGACCACCGCGAAAATTGCCTCGTTCAACTGGACCGCGTAGAGTAGTCCGGTGCCGGTCACGTTTGTGATCAGATTTGGGAACTCCTTTTGCAGTTCCTTGTACTTTTCCACTGCATATTTGCCCATCTGCACGATGTTCTTGCGCATCGGCTCCGTGATGCTGTTCAGCACCGCCGCGGCGACCAAGCACGCCCGCGGGTTCCCCGTCATCGTGTTTCCGTACACCCCGTGCTTGTAGAACGCCTGCGCGCGGGGGGAGATGGCGAGGCAGGAGACCGTATGCATTGCAAAAATGTCTGGGTCTGGAACCATGGACCTTGTAATGCAGTTCTACATTCCTGTAAGATCTGTATTGCATGACCAACGATGAAACGCCCTCTTGTGTCATATAAAAGCGCAGCTTGTCATGCGGACTGCGCATGGCAAAGTGTTCGGCAGCCTTGTCATGCTTGGCTGCCTTGGGAAGTATTTCAGTCGTGCACAGTTCAGCATCACAAGTTTCCAGACCTAGACATATTCGCAATGCATAGACCGGGTATTGGCCCGCGTTAATCGCCTTGCTGTACACCTCGAAGTCCGGATATGCAAGAAAAAAACTGCGTAAGTGTAACTCTGTAATGCAGAATATGCAACAGAGTTACATCTGTCATGCCCGACAGCCATGAAGTCCTCTTTTCATGTGTGTTTTCCCTTACAAGCCGCGCATGACAGGTTTTCTCGGTCATGTAGAGCAAATTTGTGATGCTGGCAACCAAAGAAAGTTACACTAACACAGTTTTTTTCTTGGATATCGGGCCGGGAATCTTTTCGAAGCCCGGGTAGTCCACGATGGAAAGATTTCCCGTCGTGCGGATGCCGGCCTGAATGTTGTCCACAAGCAGCATGGAGTTGTGTTTCAGGGTTAAGTCCCGTGCCTTCGCGAAAAATTCCGCCGTGATGGCCACGCCGGGATTTCCCTCCCCCATGACGGACTCGACAAACATCGCCTCGATGAAGCAATTCTCCTTCACCGCCTTGTCAAACAGCCGCTGCAGGTCGTATCACAATGAAAAACGCCCCCACCCCCGAACTTGGGAGCATTTGTATTGCAAACCTTTCCAACAGAAACACTCGCCCTCTTGCATCTAGCAGCATCACAGATTTCCAATCGTCAATAGCGAAGATTTGTATTGCAACAGATCCCAGCAAGAGCGGCGCTTGCCATGCGCATGCAAGCAATGCTATATACGCCTAGACTCTGCACCAAAAAGATAAGATTAAGAAAAGACTCATATTCCTTTGATGCATGACAAAAAGTTTTCATTTGGAAACTTCGCATCACAAATTATTGCAACTTTTATTGGGGTGGGGGCATTTTTCATGGTAATAGGTCGGCGCAGTCGTTCACCTCGCAGATCCAGCAGTACTCCTCTTCGTAGGACTTCTATGCAAGAAAAAAACTGTGTAAGTGTAAGTCTGTGATGCAAAGCATGCAACACTGTTAGACTTGTCATGCTAGCCAACCATGAAGTCCTATTTCATTTGTGTTTTCACTTAGTAGCTGCGCATGACATGCTTTTTCTGTCATGCAGAACAGATTTCTCATGCTGTCACCTCACGCCACCTACACTAACACAGTTTTTTTCTCGGATAACTTCATGATCGAGTACACCCCCGCCGAGCTGTACCGCTCGTGGCAGGCGTCCGTCCACAGGGCGGGGCGGTAGGTCCGGCCGTGGAAGCAGCCCTTCAGCGCGACGCACTTCACCTTCTTATTTCGGTTTTCCGGCTCGGCCATCACGGTCCCCGTGTGGATGTCGATCAACCGGTCCGCGACGGAATTCCCTTCCGAACCGGAGTTCATGAGAAGAAACCCACTGAAGGGGCACCCGTCCGGGCGGTTGTGCCCGATATCAAATGCAAAAGTGTCTGGGTCTGGAAGAATGCGCGATTTGTCATGCAGCTTTTCCATGACCCATGAGGTCTGGAATGCAGGACCTAGCATGACAGATTCTGCGCGATCTCTCTCATGCCTATCCTGCATGAGAAAGTCCTTCCCGACTTGGTCAAAACTGGACGACGTTTGGTAATCATGCAACACAGATTTTCGCATGCTTCAGATTTAGCATGACAAGTTGCATTCTTCCAGACCCAGACACTTTTACATTTGGTACCCGATCTCCTTGTGCAACGCGTCGATGAACTGTTTCTGCCCCAGGGTATCAAATGTAAAAATGTCTGCGTCTGGAAGATTTCCAGGTTTGTCATGCACATTTTGCATGGCTCCTGATGTCTGTGATGCATGCCCTAGCATCACAGATTTTGTGAGGGCTTCCTGATGCCTATACCGCATGACAAATGCTCTTTCCGTGTAGCAAAACTTGGACTCGCTTTGCTGCTCATGCAATACAGATTTTTTTGGAATCCAAAATCAGCATGACAAGTTGGATTCTTCCAGACCCAGACATTTTTACAGTTGATACAGGGCTATGCATTGCAAAAGTATCGCCGTCGCAGTACGAGGTTTTTGCAATCAAAATCATGCATCACAAACCCGATCTTCTACCTGGACTAGCATGCCAAATTGTAGCAGTTACCTTTGTGTTTGTTCTTAAGAAAATTTGTCATGCAAGTCATACTACAATACGATTCTTTTGCAATGCATAAGGGCCGGGGTCATGATGTTGGCCATCACCACGTCCTCGGACATGGCCTTCATCACCGCGTCCGGGGAGTGGCCGAATCCGAGCATGCCGTAGCCGCCGTTATCGTGCAGCACGGCCCCATACATGGTGACGATCCAGGGCCCCTTGGCGGCCAGCGGGACGTAGGGGTTCCGCGTGTCCTCGGGGTACAGGTGGCACCACCCCTGTTGCAGTTCCGCGATCAGCTGCCCCTCCGGCTTCCGGTACGTCTGCGCGGGATCTAATTGTTTCCATTTCTCGTGCGCGTGCTGGATCGCCAGCACGAGTTGGTGGTCTTCCACGAGAAATTTCTTGATGTACTCCTGGGGCAAGCTATGACAATGCACAACTCCCCCTCGTTCTCATTTCTCATGCAGAATACCAAATCCACGCTTTCCCTCCTTTCACTATTATGCATCACAAGTTCATCTAATGCCCCAAATAGCACTACACTCCAGTGCAAATCTGTCATGCAAAACCGGCACTCTTGCTGATGCTCGTAAAGCCGTTCGTACTATACTTACAGATGGGGGGGGAGGGGGAGTAGTTGTGCACTGTCATACAAGCCCACGGTCAGCCGCGGCCCCGCGTGCTTGCGCATCTCGTGAAGCAGATCCATGGTGCTTGTTTTTGATTGATTCTTTTAACGGTAAAAACGCTTTAATATTCGATTGAAAAAGTTTATGGAGAAGATGAGAGTCGTCGATGTTGTAGTTGTTAGAAGTTGTGTTACTACATATATTAGGTTTATTAGTGTCTGGCGCCAGCCAAGGGAGTACAGCGCAACTTTTCAAGGGAGTCAAGGGAGTAAGTTAAAAAAGCAGTCGCGCGCGCCAATGCGATGGCCATATAGCAAAAATTTTTCGCGGCGCGCGCTGCGCGCGCGCGAGTCGACATGTGTGCGCACACCACAAAAATTTTTCGGGCCGCGCGCTGCGCGCGCGCGCGGCGAGGCACGTGCAACATGTAGGACATACGCCCACATGTGGGAATGTTGCGAAGCATCAATGCGAAGCAGGCTGCATATGCTACGCGTGTGGGCCTCACACTTGCGGCGCGCTCCGACGGCCGCTGCAACTCTTTCCCGATTGAAGAAAGTCGAAGTGGCCGCTGCAACATTTCCACTTCATTCGTATTCTCTGCTCGGCATGACGTTGAATCTGGTCACGCAGAACCTCGCGCGAAAGATCTCGATAAGCAAATTGCTGAGGTGGCTGCCTCAACTTCCCCTGGACAGCGGAAACTTGACATGGCCACGGCAACAGTTTACGCGGTCCTTCGGCTCCACGCTCTATGTTGCCAGGCAGAGGCCAGGCCGCCCCGGCGACTTCTGTTTACGGGGGCTACTCTAGAAGCCCTCACCTTCTTCAAGAGGCCAGGACCTTCGGCAGCGAGCCAAAGCCTAAACGCGGCCAAAACTGGGGCCGCAGCGGGGGGGGCAGCAGGGCCCAAACCGGTGGCCGGTAAATGCGCCCATAGCATGGATTTTTGCGATGATTTTAGGGGAGGCAATTTGTACAAGTTTTATCTTCCTCCCTTGGCTCCCTTGACTCCCTTCGAAGTTTCACTCCCTTGCCTATAAAATACTCTAATATATATGTGATTTGATACACTAGAGCAAACAGCGATAAAAATTCTAGCTCCGTTTAGTTACACAAAACAGCAAAACCCAAGATCGTTGACTTCAATCTAGGAAAGCACAAATCTTCTATGATTGTTTCAAAAAAGGGCTGAAATTGTTGAGGGCAAAAGTTCAAGCTTATCGGGACTCCCGGGTGGTGCAAGAATTAATATCGTAGCCACTTCTCAGCAGCACCTGTGAGGACGTCGAAGGGAAGCAGAATTGTGTTTCCGAAAGCGTCGAAAAGCAGTACTATCACTTTTTGTGAGTCAACTCTTTTTCTCATCTTTCTCTATCTCTCACGACGCCAAAATCCTCGTTTAGTTTCTCTCTACTCATGACGCTCGTGTACTCGTGAAGGACTTAAATTAAACAAGGCTCGCAAGAGCAGCGCTCGATAGGGATACATAGTACCGATAATTGCAGGAAAAAAATGACCGGTGGTAGTTCTTGTCGTTTACACAAGGACGAGACTCGAATCGACAAATTCTACACAGATGAGGACCGTGAAAACAGAAATGGTCTTGGGAGGTGGGTCCGATTTGCTACAAGTTGCTTTGAGGTGATTTCCTTTTCCGTTTCGTTACAAGGTGGTACTTAGTAGTTTAACAATGCGCGGCTTGTTCCGTTCCGGCGCAGCTCTTCGTTAAAGAGGTACGTGTAAATGGCTGGTACATTTTTGACTCTGTTGCCTGCTAGCTTGCTACCGGCGCAACTTTATTCACGTAATTTCATCCTACAAGGGGGGGTGGGAAGCGGGCAAATTCGTAATAAATGCTACTACATCAACATCAAAATTCTATTTCGCGGGCACCAGACAGGTCGCGTGTCGATACGTTCCCGGCCCCACACTCCGTCCGGTAGAGCTCTTCGCTGTCAGCGACTTGCCTTTCTGCTCTGTGCCGAATTTCCATTTCGGAAAGACGCGGAGAAGGATGTCTGTGTGAAGGAGGTCAAAAACAAGTATCGTAAAGTAAGTACTTATGAGCCTTCTCTCTCGGCTTCAAGAACAACTGGCATGTATTGTAAGTACAACAAAGAACGTGCGCAACACAACAGAGAAATCGTTAGACTCATGGTAGGAACTACGGCGGAAAATGCGACAGCAACAAAAAAAAATTGACCGAATTCAGGAAAACTATCTTACTGTGCGCGTTCTCCTTCCTGTAGTCCACTGGACTGGGGTTTGGCCTCGTCCAGTACCCCTTGGCTTCGGGTCTCCGGTGCCCGTGCGAGTACAGTGGTGCGGTTTTTTTCATCACTTTGTTGCCCACGGCACCCTCCTCGTACTGCCCTGGCCCGGGCGTGGTGAAATGCTTGTAGGAGATGTAGGTGAGCTTCGACTTGTCGCGCAATTGCACCGGTATGCTGTACTTGGGCATGTTCCTCTGCTCCGGGCGAATCAGGTCGGTTTCGTACGTGCCCGGACCGGGCGTGTCAATCACGCCGAGGTACGCCGATCTGGGACTTGCGCGGGTTTTGCAGTAGCTGTTTATGGTTTGGAAAAAAAATTTGGCCGTCAGTCATGCTATGTCATGGGTTCATTGGTTCGCCGCGTGGGAAGGAGACTGAAGCGACCCAATGGACGAATAAAGACATCAAAACGGCTAGTATTTTAGCGTGAAATCATAAATGCTGAACGCTTCTTGCGCCATGTGAATCTATCATTCAAAGGAAACTTCAGATAATACACTTCCGCTCCGAAACTATAGCGAGGTGCGCCTTGATGTATCATGTTGGAAAGGGCCCCTACTACCCCAGAACGAATACGGGGCGGCAGCTATGTTTACTACTAGCGCTGCAAAGTCAGTTTCGTGTCATGGTCGGGATGCATGCTACGTAAAAATGCAATGCAAAGTACTGGAAAAATGCAATACAAAGTACTTGGCATGACAGTTCTGGGGAAGTAGGTGAAGCACTTTTCATTTTGATATGAAAGCCCGACGGTATCTGTTTTCCGGCGGAACCGACCGGAAAGGCCGGCATGGACGAGCTTGTCGTTAGTTTACCCATGCTGTAGTCACGCGACGAGATGATGTAGACGACGTCAGTTTAGAAGTCCGGCCACCGCACTTAGCTGCTTCCGTGTTCTTGGTGCTTCAATAGTAAGTAACGCTGATAGCTTACGCGAAGGCCGTTAGTATTCTTTTCGCAGCAATATCAGCAGCAGTTGTACATTTGTTTTTCTTTTTCTTTTTCAACATCGAGTTTCGTTGTTCATTAATTTACTTCTCTGTCTGTTGTACCATTCGTCAAAAGTGAATATCAGGATGGTATGGCAGAAGTAAATATTTCGCATGTTGCAGTTGTTGCACAAAGCATAAGTAACACCAATATAATCAAAACAACAAAATGACCACCACCGAGTTACTGCTCTCAAGCTCAACTCGTCTCTCCTCGACGTGGTCTCCAAGACTTCTATGCGATTGGTTCACGCGGTGCCGAATCAATGCATCAACGACCTAACGCCAACGAATACGAATTCATCGGTAACGACCACGATTACAACTATTAACGCGAGCCCGCAGCAACAGCGAGCAGGGCGTCAACTGAAACACAGAAATTTCTTGAAAGTCTTCTACTTCTTGCCGAATGAAAATGAGTAAATTGGAACAACCTGAAGCAGCTCTGGAATAGACGGTGCACTTTTTTGAAGATTTTGCAGGGGGATAGAGTATCTGTACTCCTTACGCCGAGATTACTTGGTGCGCGGGCGGTACAGGAGATTCGATATCGATTACATTGTGCTCGTTGTACATTCGCAGGGTAACAAAAACAGTCAGTTGGGCACGGCCAACGCCAGCTAGCAGAGCATTTTGACTTCGCTCGGTGGATGAAACAAGAATCATACAAGAATTATTTTTTGCGGGACTTTTGCGCGTCTGGACCCTCGCGGGTGAAGAACCAGCGTTATTCAAAAAGTGAAACCTAAACACAGCAAATACACCAATTATCCGGAGCAGTAGCAAATTGCAGCTACTTCCACTTCTAGTCCCCTTCCTCGTCCAAATTCACGGCTTTCTGCGCATCCACCGCCGGGGCCACGGGTAGAGCTTCGTAGTGCGACCTCGTATCGCGAGGAAAAATGCCATCACCCCCGAAGTTGCAAAATTTTGTGATGCAAAGTTTAAGTTTCCAAATTAAATAAACTTTTTGTCATGCATGAAAGGAGTATGAATCTTTCTGATGCTGATTCTAGGCGTGTATCGCATCGCTTACATGACAAGCGCCGCTCTTGCTGGGATCTTTTGCAATACAAATTTTTGCTACTCACGATCGGAAATCTGTGATGCTGCTAGATGCAAGCGGGCGAGTGTTTCATTTGGAAAGGTTTGCAATACAAATGCTCCCAAGTTCGGGGGTGGGAGCATTTTTCATTGTAATACCTCGCGGGAAATGTTTCTTTGTCCACCAGCTCGGCCAACCCCTTCCGCGGCCCGAACAGTTTGTTCTGTTGATACAGCTGCATGCTACGCAAGTGGTCATTCGCATCGTCCAGTCGGTTTTGCAGGAGCTCGTCGATTTTCAGATTCGCCTCCTTGTGCCGTCGCGGGTCCACGTGCGTGTGCTCATCGATTTGATTCTTCAAGTCCACTGTCTCCTCCTTTGTCAAGTGGTACGTCTTTGTCCCGTCGGAATTTTTCGTTACGCCTGATAGAACAAGTTTTTGCTGGTGCTTTATCGATATTACGGCGATATTTAACGAGTACACCTTTCATGGACAAACAAGCATGAGCATCAGAAAAACACCTCTTCATCGCGAAAATCTGCACTACGTACGAGAACGAAATCCTGCTCTTCGATAGAATCATCAACCTGACATAGAAGTACGTTCCTCCAACCCTTCATCCGCCTTCCGCATCCTGGTGCCTCGCCCAGCCAGAGTGTCCTTCAGACCAGCGCTGAGCACGTGCTCGGCCAAGTGCGAGCTCCGGTCCAGCTCCTTTTCCAGTTTGTCTCGCCGCTGGTCCAGCTTTTGCTGGACATCCGACACTATGAATTGCAAAAGTGCATCGATCGTACTAGTAGTAATTGCAATAAACTGCAATACAAATTTAACATCAGCATGACAAAGAGAAGTTGTGACGCTGATTTACCTTGGCAAGAACAAGAAGCATATTTGTCACGCATGACTGCAATTCATACGCGTACGGTTGTACTTTTGCAGTACATAGCCACCATCTTCGAGTAGGGTATATCCTAGGTAAAAACGTACCCACACCAGAGTCAGGATGCGGATTGTGCAGCACAAGCCTAGGAGTTTTGTGAGTCACGCATGACAAGTTGCACTCTGCAGTGTAGTGCAGGTTAGCAAGTGCAGCCGCATCACAGATTCATCTGCTCATCCTGTTCACAGCATCACAAATTCCAAAACACGATTGGAAATGGCTCTCATGGGGATGCGCATTACAAGTCTTCCTGTCTTTGCAAATCCCATCACAACTCTGGTCGTGTGTGTACGTTTTTACTCAGGATAGGGTAAATCGTTTCCTTTGTCGTCCACGCCGAGCTCGTCCAGCTCGGCCGACGCCATATTCCCGTAGCTCATCGCGGCTCGGAACTGCGAGTCCGCGGTTATCCCGGCAGAGAAAAGCTAACATAGCCACATTTGTAATGCAGAAATAACTAGCCAAATAAATTTGTCATGCGCAGAGGCCCATAGCACGGTTTTTAGGCCACGCATCGCAAGACAGAATCCAAATCCTTGCCTTCATGTATTTGTTTTTGCATTACAAATATTCCCTGCTAGCTTTTCTCTGTCTCATAGCGGTCTCCGCCTGCTTGGAAAGCACGTCCAGATTGTCCACGTAAAGCTTCAGCGCCGGATTCTGCACGATTTGGATCGGCTCTTGTTCTTTCGTTTGTAAGGCGCTAGTCGTAGTACCTCCCGCAGACACCGAGTCCCCTCGGTTTGATGTAGTTGCACCAGAGGACGTTCTTGTGGTCTTCTCGGATACACCACCCCTCGCCCTCTCCTCCTCGTCCCGGAGTTCCGTGATCACCGTGTCGAGGTGCTGCTCCAAAACGGCGTCCGGGTGCTCGCCCGGTTTGCTTCGCGCGTACAGCTTCGCGAGCACTTTGCGGCCATTTTTCGTTCGTGTGAGCATGCGCATCCAGTTGTCGTGCTGGTCGACTTCGGGTCGTTGTTCATCTTCCAGGGTAGACGCGGTTCTGAGGTTTTTCCGCGCCACGTCGAGCTCGGAAGTAGTTGTAGAAGTTGTACTTCTTCTGGTCTTTATTCCAGGTACTAGTTCTTGTCTCTTCTTGATCTTGTCCCGAAACAAAGCGGTCCCATGCAGCGCTCCGACGGGTACGAGGGACTCTATGAGGGGGCGGTCGTCGTCGCCATGTCTTTGCCACTCCAGCTCTTGCTGATCCAGCCAAGAGAACAAAGGACTACTACGTGAAGAAGATGACGCTCGGTCGTTGTGATCATACTCCTGGGCGAGAACGAAATGGCTCCGGCTCGGAAAAGAGGATAGTGTTGACGAGAGGCCGCGCTGTATTGTTCCTCCTAGAAGTGCCGACGCAACAACGAAGACTTTGGACGCTACTGCCTTCGACGGCTTGCCGAATTTTGTCGTCGTCCCAGGGCTCGCCATGATGAGTTGTATGGCTATGGCCGGTTTATTCCTCTTCAATGAAGCTAATTCTAATGTCGTCGGGAAAATGTTGCGTAGCTGCCACTTGAACTTGAAGTATGAATGTTATCTCGAATCTCACATCAACTCGGCCTCAAATTCAATGAATACTAAGTAGTACTGATGCGCTCCTTGTACTGCTAATCTCGAGAAATTACGACTCACGCCCATGGAGACGTCGGTCCGGCAGCTCACTGGTAAAACACTCTCCGAGGAACGACGGGGCACTCACAACTCCGATAAAGTCTTCACTGGCGGAAAACACAGCCTGCAGGCAGTAGCACAGGGCACAGGAGCGCCTGCGCCGCCACGAACACTTACAACTCGATTATAGAAGTCATCGCCCAGAGCCGTCCGTAGAACACAGATTTTGAAAGAGTTCTTCTTCTATAAGAAACACAAGAAAACCTTGCGCTTTGGCCGATCGATGAAGGCTCCAAAATTCGCCTAAGATTCATCATTCGCAAGAAATCGTTTTCTTTAAATATCGGTGGAATGGACAACGTGATAGATTGAGATTCTGGTAGTCGTAGTGGTCGTGGTCCGTTCGAATCTTACAAAACAGGGTGGAACAAGATCTGCAAAAGACTCGGCGCGTTTTCTCGTCCACCTCGCGCCTCCACTACTCCTCGGCACCTCGTCCACACAGATCCGCATACAAGCAGTCGATTACGTCAAGCTGCATCGGAAAAGCGGTCGCCAAAGTCGCGCGGTGCGTTGCTAGCCACTGCTGCCACGTCTGGCACATTTTCGGGGGCAGCTTTGGTGCGACGGTATTGTTGATGAGCGCCGGATGGCAGAACAGCCAGGACGACACGAGGCGCTCGTTCGCGGTCTCGTTGCCTTCTGTGTATTTATGTAGGAGCTTATGCAAAGAAAAAAGTTCTGCAGCTACAGTAAAGAATACATTATTGATGTCGTGTTGCAGGCCAAGCCAAACAGACAGGCTCTGGTGTCGACATGCCGGATACGCGGCGTGGTAGAAGCCTGGTTCATTCATATCTTTTTTTTGTTCTCCAGTTATAAGCAAATGTGTACGTAAAATAACTGTATATCGCCACATTTCTTTTCTTGGGATACTTGCTCCAGTCAGGATGGTATGCGAGTCCTGCGCTCACACGAAGCTGGTCGGTGAGCGTTTTCGGGGCCCAATAATTTAACAAAAGTTCTTCCCCGGGCAAAATGGTTCGAGTGGCCCGAACGGCTTCGATGCCCGACAGAGGCGAGCCGTATGTTTTGCAAATATCGATCTGGGTCGGAAATAAACGTGGAACTTGTATTGCTTGTCCGGCATTCCTGTAAAATCTGTGTTGCCGGACCCACAAAAGCACGAGAGGACCTTTTGATGCGTAATACAAGTGGAAATTCAGTTTGCATTGCGCGCTATACATGAAAGAGCGCCGAAAACATCTTTTCCTGGCTGCACCGGCATGGCTGTTCAACTATCTATGACCAGTCAGCATCACAAGTTTCCAGACCCAAACATTTAATTTGCATTTGATAAGCCGCGGGTCTCCGCAAACCCCGCCCACACCACGTTCGGGTCATTCCAGTGGTGGTTGATCAGGTCCAAAAAGGGGACCAGCGCAGCCCTCTTCGGGTCGGAAAACATGGGCTGGCTGCGCTTCGTCTGGAGAAAGTGCGCGTGGTGCAGAACCTCCGCACTAAAGACCGCCTTGTTGCCCCCGCGGCCCAATTCGTTCGAGACCAGAGCGTCGTGCTCCTGCGCATCGGCACGTAGTTTCGCTGTGCTGCGCGCATGTTCCAGCGCCCTCGCAAAAGTGGTCGAAAAGGGTTCAAGGTCCTGGAGAATCGGCTCGGGCAGTCGGGACAAGGACGGGTTCTCGTCTGGCGTTGGGAGAAATTTCACGTAGTCGAGAAACGAGGCCATCTTCTGTGGGTTGAAGACAGCACCGCCGTGGTCGCTGCTTGTGGTCTTATTTATTTCCAATTCGGACATCAACAACAATAAAGCATCGTCTCGCCTTTTTGCTGCTAACATGACTCTGACGAAGTCGTAGGTGCACTGTTTCATTCCTTCCGCCGGATCCACATCGCGAAGCTGGCAGCGAAACATCAATGGCTGCGGAATTTGCATTACGAGTTCGTCTCTCTTTATTTTCACCTTTGCAAACACTCCGCGAATTCTACTTTTTCTTCCCCCGCCGTCCTTGTCCTTCCTGAGGCCCACGTAAACTTTGCTCAAGTCTGTCTGGGGATAATCGCGCTCGTATCTCCGCGCTAGCTCCTCCAATGCGGGAAGCGGTTCTCCTGCCTGAAGATGTTCTCTCATCTTCACGGATCGTGCAGCAACGATGTCCTCGGTGTTGGACGAAGCAGTAGTCGTAGTGCGCGATACAGGCTGCACGACCTGGGCCGAGGTTCTAGTCGTGAATGCTCTACAGGTCGCAATGAAGCGCAAGGTGGACGAGTAAACATCGGCGGCGAAAATGAAGAAAGGCGCCTTCATTTTGTGATTCCAAATTCTTCTTTGGCGAATGTTGTTGAGAGCAAGATCAAGAATTATTGGCGGGACCCATACGGCGGAAGCGGACCGCAAAACTTTTGAACAAATATGCAGAATTTATTGAATTCACTACTGAGGGCCCCCTCGTAATAATTTGCATTCTACTCTCTGTGCTGGTACGATTCATCGCGCGGCCCATGAAAACAAAACCCGGCAGTGCACAACTCTCCAAGCAACGATAGGGAAACATTCACTCCAACGAAGGGGCTCGTGGCAGTACTACTTAGGCACAGACTTCCTAAAACCGGGCACAAGAGGAGCGCCATGATGTAAGTACTGTGTTGAATCGAAGAAATAGAAAAAAGACAAACACCAATACAAAATTGAAAAGCCTGTATGCGCTTTAAAAATTCGCCTGCGTCACTTCGCCTTCCGGAAAACGTTTGTTTTTCGGAAACGTTTGTTTTTCGGAATCTTGGACCACAATCAGTGATTTCATGGTAAGTACTTCTGTTCGTTTGAATTTTACACAACATCTTTGAAGCCGATCTGTGGTGGGTTATGTCGCTTTGAGTCGCATTCTTTGGTCTTCGAGCCCTGTTGCATTGTGCTCTATCTATCGCATCGATTGCAAAAAGAAACCGAAGTAGCAGCCCGGCGCTCTCCAACGAGCAGCGAAGAAGTCTGCACACGGCTCCTGTCCATGTAGCCGCGGTCGTATGGTTGTATCCTCAGAAACCGCTGGAGACGGAGAAACTGGCACCGCAACCGCAGCCCGCTTCCGCGCTACTGTTCTTGACCACCTGGAAACTCGCTCGAATCATCTCCTGTGTGTAGTCGATCTCGCAGCTACCCAGAAAATCCAAACTCAACTCGTCCACTAGCAGCGTCACGCCGTCTTGCTCGACAACGCTGTTATAGTAGATTTTGATTTTTTTTTCGAAATTCTTTTCAGTGTGCAGCTTCGTCGCAGGAGAACTTAGCATACAATACCACGTCCACGACTTTTGTGTAGCAGCAGAAATACATCAGGGAAGGTAAGCAACATCTTCAAGGAATCACACTCATGTTTTATATGTACATGTCATCCGGTTTTCTGGTTTTGTCCATTTTGAATTCGTACTGGTAGCCGGAGCAGCCTCCGCTGTTGACGGTTAATCGTAGGTACCGGTCGGGCTCCTTTTTCAACAGTTTCCGCAGCTGCGCGACCCCGTTCGGGAGAATGGTGATATCGGCAGCGGTCGCGGTCGCCGCGGCCGCACTGCTGAAGGACCTGTGGAACGTCCTGGTGATCCTGGTCGCAACTGGAAAATAAGAATTCCTCGAAGATGGTACCAAGGCTGTAGAGCTGCTTTCTGCCGGTCGTGTTACGAATGACCCACTGGTCGCAGGCACGGTCGCGAAATCGCCAGTTCGAGGACCGTGTCGAGGTGCGGCTACCGTGGAAAATAGTAGGTGCTGCCTATTTGTTCTTCTACACACAGGTTCATTTCTTGCTCGAAAGTCTGTGTCTACTCCTGCTACCGTCAACACCGAAGTGGGGGTAGGCCCCCCTGCAGGATGAAAACTATAAAGTGCTCGACTGCCTGACGCGCTACTGCTGCCCATGCGAAGCCCGCGGTGCAGGGCGCACAATGCGGAGGTGGTGGAGGTCATTTGATTTTTTCACGTTTGTCAACAAAACTTTGATAAATAACCAGATTTATTGTTGTGTAAGAAAGTGGTTTTAACGATTATCCGTTCGTTTTATGACTACACAAAAAATTGGGCGCCTTTTGATCCTGAAAGGTGACGGCCACCCCGGGGGCTAGGGGGAAAAACAAGGGAGCAGGTCGCTACTACGTTTAAGGGCAGCACCGAAAATGGATCACTTTTTATTCGGCGTACTTTGACTTTTCCAGTGTTCGCCTACTTTTCCGTGCTACTATGTGTATGTCTATGTTCGAAACGGAACTAAAAAATAAATCTCTGTTCTACTACGGGAGACTTCGTCCGTCGCAGTTCAAATCTTACATTTTTTTGTAAATCGGCTGAGAGGTGATGCTTCTACTTTTTGTGCCAGGAACTTCTTGCCGCACGTCAGTACGAGACAAGAAGTTAGGTCCAGCACAGCTACATCCAAAAGGGCCCTGTATCCAATGTCGAAATAAATCGAGACTGGTCCATGTGAAGTTCTGCATAAACCAACAGTACCGCGCTGCTACGAAAAACACTTATACGTCCTTCATCTGCTTCAGCATCGCTCCTCGTGCAAAATAAGAGCAACTGAGCTCATTAACATCTTCGGACAGAACTGGTACAGACACAGACACCTGAGCCGTGCAAACTTTTTCTACATTCATCAGCAGCCCGAGTGTCGTTCCCGGCTCATATTTGGATCAGCGATTTTCAAAAAAGCATGCCTGCACCGAAAAAATACCCTGTTACGCTCCAAAACTCTCTATTAATTTCTTGTTGGCATGGAGCTATCGTGTCTGCTTGTCATGTACTATGTGGAACACGAACAACTTATTTTTTTACATACGAATACGTCTATGGATTCACGTGCACCCACGAGTATTTGCCTTGTGTCTTTACAGTTTACAGTGTTCGCGTCTTACGCGAGAATCCACTCTTTCTACTCTTGCCTTCACAGATTCTTCTCTACCGCTGCGTTTTGTTTTTTCAAAAAAAAATAAATAGGATGCGTGATATGAATGTTGAAAAGCTTTTGACGAACAAACTAGTAGTCTCATGAACTTCACGGACTTAGCAGTGCTTCGCAAGTATCAAGGAGAATCTACAGACGGCAACTTCTCAGAAGTTGTCGGTTGGAATGCAACATCTTCAAACAACATGTGCGAAAGTACATGCCGCAATCCAATAATTGGATTGCGATAGGATTTTTATTGGCTTGTATGTATGTTACGCCTCACAAAACCGGCACTGGTGCTCCTGCAGCCAGGTAGCGCGGTCTCGAAAATTATGTTTTGCGCAATTATTACATACTCGGTGCTTTCCACAGCGCAGCCGGCCGGCGTTTTCCAGGATGGTCGCCCGATTGTACCCACAAATACCGCAGTGAGAGGTGTTGCGTAACGGGAGTGGAACAAGCAATTCGGGATCAAATAAATTGCTAGGCGCGATGGCGGACTGCCCTGCTCCCTCGCCACCAGGGTTGTGTAGTGGCGGCTGCGCTTGAAAGGAACATGATCCAAGGACGAAATTATCGACTCCTGCCATCAAAATCTATTAGAGAAGGAAACTCACGCTCAGCTCTGCAGGTAAGTACTACTCCCGAGCCAGAATCCTTGACCAATGAAGAATAAGAAAGCAGTCGAAGCAAGGCTCAGGAACATGGCAACAAGCGCCACAGCGCGCAGCCTCGTAGAAAGCTCCCCGATAGACGAAGAACGAAACTGCAAATGCAATACGCTGGCCACGAGGGGGTTGTCAATACGAGTTCGGATTTCGTCGCGTGAGATTACTTTCATATGGCCGGCTGCTTGCTTCCTTGCGCTTGGTTCGTCAGGTAAAGGTCTTCGCTTTGCGTGTTGTGCTCTTGCGTAACTGGTTTATTGTTATTTGTGCAGAAGGTGTTGCGCAAAAATAAATGCATCAACTGTGCTGGCGCTACATCTGCAATCAGCTCCGGAAACGAAATTGATTATGATTTAAGTACTTCAACATTCTACTACTTAACGAAGAAAAATCTCAATACATCCATCCGGCAGCTCGGCCACTGGACAGAGGTCTCCTGCGGCTTCTTGCGGGTCGGAGACGCCTAGCGATCCTAGCGGGTTGCTGTTCGCAAGAACCTTGTCGCCGAACTGCTTCTTCCCGCGGCTGAGCAACTGTCTCTGCGCGTCAGGGACCGCCCGCAGATGCGAGGCCGCGGCCGCATTTTTCATCCCACTAGTTCTACCAGCACCACTGCTGCTCGCCTTGCTCGTCGTGGTTGCTTGCTCCGGAGCAGCTGCGTTCTGATTCTGTCTGAAGCTCGAAGATGAACCCACTGCCGATGATGAAGATGCTGCATTGTTTAATACATTTTTTCCGCCCTTTGAGGTCGGTCCCTGTTTCCCTTGTTTTTTGCTCTTTTTCATCGCGGGAGAACAAGAGTCTGGTGCGGGAGGATCACTGCCTAGAAGCTCGGCTTTCTTGCTCGGCCCAGGTGCTTGTTGTACACTAGTACTTCCTCCCTTTAGTACCTCGTCGAGGCTGCTGCTAGAAGAAGAAGTTAAAGTCGTGGGGGCTTCCTTCGATTTCTTCGCTTTCTGTTTCGGCCCAGCTGCTGATGACTTTGCTGCGTTTTCATTTTTCTCCCGATTTGCTGTTTTCTTCACCGGCGGCGGGGTCGCTTTTGACTTTGCTGCAGCTGCTGACTTATTGTTTTTCTTCCCGCCGGAACTAGGTAGTTGTGAAGCTGCTTTACTGCTCTTCTTTTCGTTTTCCTTCTTTTTCGCTTCTGGAACAGAAGAAGAAGACGCCGCTGCGGCACCAGTAACAGCTTCTGCCTTCATCGCTTTTGTCTTCGGGGCAGCGTCCGGCTTTGCCTTCGCTTTATTGGAAGCCTTGTTTTTCGCCTTTTTTTCTGCAGACCCTTTCTCCAGTTTCGGAACTTTCGCCTGCTTTTCGATTTCCTCCTCGCTAGGGTTCGGGTCTTCCGAGTCGCGGTTTGGTTGTTCACGACCAATATCCACCTTTTTTGTTGACAAAAATCCGTTAGAATTTTCCGGCTTCGCAGATGATATTTTTCCGGGTAGTAGTACCTCCTGTCCCTCTCCGGCTAACAAATCAGGCACAGCTCCTTCTCGTGGGCTGTAGCAGCTGACGCCGCTTCTTTTATTGCCCAAATTGCGCTTTCGCGAAGACGAGCCTTCGTCTCTGAAAGTTTGCTTTTCCTGCAGGTCTACTCCATCGTCTTGCCGACCTTTATTTTTCCTCCCGCTGCTCGAGCAAGATCGGCTAACACTGCTCCCAGGAGGAGGTCGTTCTCGCTGCTGCTGCTCACGCTCACCTCCTGCAGCTGCTCCACTCAATACAGATGATGACACCGTCGGCGGATTCGGCTTCAGCAGGCTGTTGTTGCTAGAAAGAGCTTCCTGATTCGCCGGCGGCGGCCGGTCACCGCCGGTAGCAGGTGAAGCATGTGCAATACAGTCGTGGTTTTGCTCTTGCTCCTCCATGTCTAACACCTCCTCGCTGTCACGACTTTCCTTGGCCGATACGAAACTTGATGAAGGGCTGCTCGAGCTGCTCGGAAGCAGCTTGATGTTACCACAACTTTCCGACGACTCTTGACCACAGCTCGCGTTTTTCTTCCCGTTAACGTTATTTTCTTGTTGCACTATTGCTCGTGATTGTTCCACGTTTGCCCCTGGTTGCAGTTTTTCATCTACTTCTGCGTTGTTTTCATCTTCCACACTCGGCGGACGACCCAAATCGAAGGGGGACGGCAAATAGAATGCCTGTTCACCATGGTCCTCGTTGCCGTTCTTCCGCCGCCCTAGGTCCTCCTCGTGAGGAAGGTTTCTTTCCGAACTACCTGGTGCAGCGTGTAGTGCCGAGTTAGTACCCAGTGCATTGGCCGCGTTCTGTGACATTTGCGACGGCGCGGAGCCTGGACAAGAACTGGAACTCGACGGGAAAGTGCAACTAAACGGAGGTCCTCCGGCACCAGAGCCACCGTCCAAGATCCCGGACATGTTGAAGCCCTGACTGCCGGGATTTTGGCGTACCGAGCTTGCGCCACCCCAGGAGCCTTCATGCTGATGGTCCTGGGAGTTGTTCTTGAGAAGTTGTTCCTCGTCGTTATGAAACAACTGCGGTACAACCCGCTCGTCGTCTTCATTGCTCCTATGGCCATCAATTTTAGGCGACATCACCTCTTGCTGACGCTCAGCCAGCACAGGCGTGCTGCACCCCAACGCGGCTCCTGCCGCAGCTGCGCTGCTAGAGTTGCGTAGTACTTGTGCAGCTCCCGCGCCAACATCTACTTCCATGTAGTTGTAACAATCTACGTCTACTTCTTGACCAAGTTCTTCGACGTTCTGACTCATGTGCGGCGCAGCACCCGGGAAGGGTGTGTCCTGCATAAACCGGTCTGCGGCCATTTGGTGCGGGTACGGCGAGGAAGCCCGAGCCGCGAAGGAATAATTTATTCTAGAAGAGGACAGGGGGGAACTAGGTGCCGGTCCTCCTTGTTCATCATCTGCTTGAACGACGACGTTCATCTCTACTTCACCAAGCTTGTTCTCGAGCTGCGCCGCGTTCATGTTACTGGTCCTGCCGTGCGAGGGCTCCTGCATCACAACTTCATCCTCGTAGTTTTTGTTTTGTTCCTGGTCCGGGTGCAAATTTTTCTGGCCGCGGCGTGTGACAGAAATGTAGTTCTCGACCTGCGAAAGTTTTGGTGAACGGTCGTGCTGTGCATTTTGGGCACGGACTTCGGCTTGCGGTCTCTCCAGGGCAATCGCATCCTCGATCTCAACCATCCGCTGTGCTAGCAACTCAGTGGTTGGCTTCGCGCATCCATCCCTCGCCGGGATTGTTTTCCTGATCCGCCAAAGCCGACCATCTGTCGTCCGCTGGACCACTTCATCATTGTGCCACCCGCGCACAAACTGCTGCTCGTGTAGTTCTTCTTGTAGTAGTGCCGGGTCTTCTTTGATATTCGACTGGGTCGCCCCGGCTCGACCTTGTTCTCGGGGTAGGTGGGATGATGCCGCGGCCCCGTTGTTCTGTATCAAAGTTGCAAAGAATAACGCACTGTGCTCCTACTGTTGCCATTTCTACACAATTTTTTTTTTTCTCGCCGAACCGTCTTTTGCTTTTCCAGATAAACGCGAGACCAAGTGCAAACGTTCTATTACCAAGCTCCACATGTAAAACGGTACTTTATCGCCGGTTCATCCGGTCGACCGACCTACTTAATGAGTCAGTTCTTGTGTCGTCACGTAGAAGCTCTTGCACGACCTTGACTGCAAGGTAGAAAATGAAAATGGGTAGGGGTAGCACGAGCGCGATATTACTTTTGCACAGGATAACACAAAAATTCTGCTCCGGCTGCCAGCAGCCACTTCTCTTCCACCCTTTTTTCTCGCGCTCGTCTGCCTTTTTCTATCAACTGCAAATACGTCTTGGTTTGGAAACTTGTGATGCTGGTTGGCGAATCTTGACGAGGACGCCACAATTGACGCTCCAGCACATTGCCTAGTTTGTGAGGTGCTAGGTGTTGTCTTTTCTGTATGAGAAACTGCGTTTTTGAATGACAGAAAAGAAAGGCTCCTTCTGGGTGACGTGCATGACAGGCTTGAGAGCACTCATGCTAGCTGAGCATGAGAAATCGCGCATTCTTCGTCTTCCAGAGGACCACCCAGACATATTTGCAATGGATATCCAAAAATTGCATTCGATTCGCAGAAGCATTCGCGGCGGGAGCGCCTTCACGTCTCGGATGTCGACGAGCTCTCGTCCGAAAGCCACACCTTGGCACCCCTCGACAACCCGGTACTTGTCTGCAAAGCCACATTTTGGCACGAGAAGATCGTTCCAAAAAACGGAGCCCGGTGTGGTCAACAGTTGCGTCCGCCAAACGGGATCGAGGCTGCCGATCACCCTTGCCCGCTCTCGCTCATAATCGTCGAAAAAGCTCTGCTATGCATTGCAAAAGCACCGTACTCGTCTCGCACTTCACTAATCATCCTAGTCATGCATGCCAAGTCTGGTTTTCTACCTAAATCAGCATGACAAATGATGCCAATTTTCTTGTTGCTAAAATTTCAATTTGTCATGCGATTAATACAACGATGCTTCTTTTGCAATGCCTATCTGCTTGGCGCGCTCCCGCTCCGCCAGGACCGCTAGTTCGTAGACGTCGCGCCGCCGCCGGGTCTCCTTGTGCCGCTCTATCCTATCCCGGTTTATCTCCCGTTTTACCCTTTGGCGCTCCCGTTCCTCTCGCCGTTGCTGCCGCCGCAAAGTGCGTCGAGAGGTGGACTGGGCGCGCGCCTCCTGTGGTCGTCGCTCTCCTGAGACTTCTTGCAGCTTCTTGGCGTCCACGCGGAGGTCCACCTCGCGGTCGCTAGGCAGGGCCGCATGACGAAGCGCAAGCTTGTTGTGCTTTTCTTCATCATTTTTGGCTATTATGCTACTGCATCCAGCCTGTAATTGTTCCTGGACGTCGTCGGGTGCCTTCCCTTCTTGAACCCCTTCGGGTCCTCCACCTCGTAAGCTCTCTCCATCAGCATCTACTCCTTTGGCACTACAAGATGAACCAGCTCCGGGTGCTGGTATGGAGGCGATGTTGGTCATCATCTTGGACTCGAAGTCGCCCTGCTGCACGACGTGGTCGAGACCACAATCTACTCCAACCTCCTCCTCATCCTCCTCGTCGGAGTACGTTTCCTCGGCAATGTCGTACAGTGATGGGTCCTCCAGAAGGCCACAAAATTCGTACGATTCAGTAATTTCTATTTCATCATCACCGTACTCAGGATCATCCACATATCGATATTTGTATTGGTGCTTGTGCATACCCTGTTGCAAAAGTGACGCCCTATTCAGTCGCCGCCGCCTCACGGTGGAAACACGAGGATCGCTTTTGTAGTTACACGAAGTTCTACTTCTACTTGCTCCACCCGAGGACGACGACGAGGAGCCAGCTGACAGATGAGAGGAAGCCTCCTGTTCTTCCCACGGAGACGAGGACGCGGAAGAATTTGACGAGGACGGCGACGAAGATGCGGAGGAAGACGAGAGCAGGCCGTCCTTTGGTTGTGCAACAGGCATTGGAGCAAGTGTAGAAGTGGCTCTCCTGATGTGCTTCTTGTTCGCTACTCCTACTGGTGCAGAGGAGTGTGGTACACCAGAAGTAGTACTGAACTTGGCTGGCTGACTCAAATACTGCAACTTCCGGTCCCGCCGCGCCTCGAGAAATTCCATGCCACCCGAAACCATCACAGGCGGACTTGCTTTATTTTCGACGTGATCATTGATCACCACCGCGTCCATCGCAATAGCGAAGTCCGCCTTGTTTGTTCCAAGGGCCGCGGGCTGCTCTTGCAGCTCTTCAACTACTACAACATCTCGCAACCGTTCGAGTTTTGGCGAAATTATTCCCGATGTGGACACGACAGCAGCTGGTCTCTTGTGGGACGTCGAGCACGATGCAGCCGCTGCGGTGCGCTCTGTGTAGTCGTGCCGTTGCACCTTGATGTTGCCAGAGAGAAAGTTTCTTCCGACTTGCTGCACCAGTTCCTCTTCCGAGCAGTCATCCTCTTCTAGACCATTCTGATCGGGCACATGCAGCGGCGTGGCTACTTTCGGCTCGTCTTCGCAACTCATCCGGGCGCTGGGCTGCGAGCAAGCGATGTCAGCCTCTTCCCCGTTCGCTATGCCCATGAGCCGCGCGTCCTCGTCTAGCAAAATTTCCTCCTGCACCTCTTCCGCAGATACTACAGCAACACCGGCCTTGGTTGATGTACTGCGTTCATTTGCTACCGCTTCGCCTGCGAGAACAAGCGCAGCAGCGGTGGAGGGCTGCTCTTCGTCAACTAATACAGCCGGAGCTGGTACAAGAACTTCGTGTGCAGCTGGGCTAAGAGCGCCGCCGTCCTGCTCTAGCACGCCTGGTTCTTCGTAGTTTGCTTCACTATTGTCCTTCATCTCGACGTCCTTCATCTCAACGTCTTCTGCCGGTTCTTGTAAAACTTCTCTCTGTTCCGACGTGGCTCCTCTACTTGATATTCCACCGGTGTTGTGCTGGACTACCTCATCGAGCAGACCTGCCGGTGGCTCTACAGCTGCTGCCTCTCCCATTTGTCCTCGTAGCTGCTGATTTATTTCAGAACCAGCCGCAGGGGACGACGACGAAGAGTCACGAAATTCACCGCGCCGCGCATCTTCCATGAGTTCGTCGACAGCCCGGCGCTGAACACGTTCGGATAACGGGCTGGAATGAGCACTTTCGAGTTGTTCTCCGGAATCTGCAATCTGCATCTGGTTCTCCCCTACTTGTGCAGCTACTACTGGCGACGGAGCTTCGTCTTCGCTAGGATTTAGATTTTTGTACCTCATCACAACTTCATCCTGGTTTGGTGCTTCTGATTCTTCAACTCTCTCGTGCTTTTGCAGTTGCTGCGATTTTTGGCCTTCACCAACATGAGCATCGACCGCAAGATTATGATTAAAAAGTCTCCCGGCCTGCACGACGGCATCATCATCATCATCATCTGCAGCAGGGTTGTCCTTGTGCCCTGGTGCCACCTTCTGAGCAGGAGGGTTGTTCTTGTTCTCTCCCGCGCCACGAGTGCCACTTGGGGAAGAAGCTGCACAGCTGTCGTGCTGTTGTACTTCGTTTTCTTCATGTTCCGCCGGCGCCAAGACCCGCTCTTCTGAATCTACATTTTGCGCCGCAGGACAAAAGTCGTTGTCACTCGAACGACGAGGTTTCCCGCTGGTACGTCGACGAGGGCCGCTGGGAGGGGCGCTGGAAGCGAAATCGTCGCGCATCGCTCCTTGCTGTGGCGACACCGAAGAGTTGTCAACAGGTTTGTTGATGCCGTTGTTGCTTCCTTCGACTTCTTGGCCTTCTTGTTCTCCGCCACGTGAAGAAGCCTGCTCGTCCAGCTGCAGTACGTTTTCTCTTCCGTCCCTCCTGCCGTCTTGCTCCGCTACCTGTTGTTCTATCCGCCCTGGGGACGGTTGCCCAGGGGGCGGCGGGTTTCGACTTGGCGAACTACAAAGGACGATTCGGGGACCAAGCTCCGCGTCCTTCTCACTTCCGTCAACTGCCTGGCTCACGTTTACTTCACGCTCTCCGGATGATAAGGGCGGCCTAGCGGCCGGACTATCAACCGGAGCTTGATCACGGACAGTGGCAGGATGTTCTGGGATATCAGGAAGGAACTCCTGGTGCTGCACACCACTATTTTGCATATCGTCACGAAGTTGTTGTAGCGGTTGCACATCATGATTCGCAGCTACGCTTGCACGGCTGTTCCCGTTCTCATTATCTTCTCGGCCTTCCTCCGACGCGGAGATCTCTAGTGCGGAGTGAAAAATTTGGGAAGACGAGGCGTGGTCCTCTACTTGAGCAGGAGAGTGTGGGAGGACCGGGGGCTCGATTTCGTTTTCCTCTTCGTTGACAACTCCCGCTACGGGGAGCTTCCCTTGGTCCTCTTCCTGTACACCTTCTTCTCCAAACTCGACGCAACTGCCAGGTGTTGCTCCTTCTCCGTCTTCGCCGCCGTCGTGTATGTCGTCTGGGGCGGCAACGCGGTCGACGTTTTTTTCTGCTTCATCTGCACCATCGAGAAGTTGTCCCTCTTTTGCGGAAGATGAATTATGATCAGGTGTGCTCGCAGGATAAAGATGCTGATCCAAAGCATCTTCGTCCTCGTCCTCGAGCTCTTCGGTCACCTTGCGCGAGGAAGCTGCTGGCGCGGACGATTTGCGCCCTGACCGTGGAGTGCCTTCCACCATGATGTCCTGATCGACAATATCACGCTTTTGGTCGTCAAGCAAAGCAGCAAACGCGGCTCGTTCTCGCTGCTGTTGTTCTTTCTGGAAATTATTGTCTTTGTCACGCACGGGCTGCATTATGCCCTGTCGTTCTGGCTCTTTGCCAGCACCTGGACCAGGAGGGGATTTGGGCTCCTCGTGCAGAAGCTCCTGCTCATCCTGCTGTAGCTGCTGCTGCTCTTGGTCTAACTGTAGCTCCACGACATCTTCACTCACAGTCTTCATCTTGTTGTTCATCTTCATGAGCAAGTTTGTTGAAAATGTCATATCAACTCCTCGCTGCCGTTCTTGTTTGCCTTCGCTTTTCTCGATCACGTCCGCCACATAATTCCCCACCTCCGACGGCGCGGCCGAGCTGTCACAGAGCAGCTGCTGTCCATGCTTATCAAATGTAAAAATGTCTGGGTCTGAAAGAATGGTGCATGTTTGTCATGCTTGTCTGGCATGACGCTTAAATCTGTCATGCACGTTACCCAAGAGCTCCATTTTTCTGTGATGCTGTCCTGCAGAATAGGCAACACCTATAATCTCAGAAACTTGTCATGCCGAGCCAGCATTTGTGGCCTCATCATGAGACGCCACCCAGCATCACAAGTTTCCAGACCCAGACATCCTTACATTTGATAATGCTCCCCGATGAGCGATTCCTCCAGCTTCGGGCGCTTGATCCCACTGGATTCCTCCACGTCCTCGTCGTCATCCTGATCCTCGCCATTGGATGATGGGACTCGCTTCTCGTCTTGTTCACGCGGACCTCCATCCCCAGATTTTTGATCCACCTCATCTTTGTTCCACTCTACTTTCTCCTGTCGACCACCAGCACCACTTGCCGGTCTTTTCTTGTTGTTCGACTTCCCGTCCTGTTCCTTGGCACTGGTGGTTGTACCGGCAGCGGCCTTTGCAGAAATCATCATGTTTATTCCCTCCTTCTCGCCCTTCTTGATCGCAGCCGCAATTTTGTCCGTCTTCGCATCCACGAAAATCGCGTTCGGGTCGTTGCGCATGTGGGGATCCGCGAGAAAAGAGTCTTCGCTACTGTTTCCAAAACTTTCAATCGGGTCCTCGGAAATCGCGCCAAAGTCCTCAATTGGGTCGATGTTGGATATTCCAGCTTGATTCCCGAGTTTGAGTGCCGGTCCACCCATGTTGCCCGAAGGTAGTTGGTTCTTATTGCTTTTATTCACACGACCGAGCAAGAACGCGGATGAGGAGGAGGAAGAGCTTTTCTGATTGATCGTCTGCTGGAGGTTGGTTCTCGTCTCGGGTAGCTTGGAAGAAGAAGACGAGGACGATGCTGGCTGCAAGAGAAGGCCAGCTTGATCCGCCTGGCGTTGCTGCTTCTGCAGTAGTTGGCGTCGCTGAAGCTCGACAGAGGCGAGCCGGCTACTGGTTGCTCCGCCCTGCGGTTCGTCATCTCGCACTTGCTGCAGATCTACTGGAGCAGACGCTCCATCCAGAACATCTTGCTGTTGCCTTGCTGGTGCGAGCGAGCTCTCCCATCCCGCCCTGCCCGGTGCTCTCCGAGGGACCATCAACGGACTCGATTTCGCATCTTTAATATTCCCTGTATTTGCGAAAGGACCAGAAGCGTGGGATTGCGGACCGAACAGGCTTTTAAAAGCGTTTGGAGCTTTGGAGCTATTCTGGCCACGACCATGCTGGGCATTGGGATTCATGTGTGCCGGACTGGCTGATTCCTGCTGTAGCGGTGCCGGAGATCTCTGTTGCCGCTGCAGCAGATTGTTAAAGGAAGACGAAGAGCTTGCGGCCTTCGCAAACGCCTGGACAGCAGCTGCCTTTCCTGATCTAGCACCGCCGCGAGGACCTGCAGGTGGATGTTGTTGACCGGCAGGGCGAGCCCCAACTCCTGCATCGCCCCCTCTCACGACCAATTGTCCTGCGGGGCTCCAGTGCAGTTGCCGCATCTGCTTTGCCGCCTGAATGCGCCGGTCCAGTCGGGCCCGCGCCAGCTTGGCCTGGTCCAGATCCACTTTCGCCTTGTTTTTGCAGAAATCGCACCGCTGGGCCCGCGTGCTCCACGGGGGCTTGGCGCCATGGTAATTCGTGCCGTGGACGTGATCGTAAAACTTCTGGCAGCCGTGGTCCCAGGTGTGCGCGGCCTTCGGGTACCCATGCGCAAATTTGCTGTTCGGGTCGTCAGACAGGCATTTTTTGCAGGCGATCTTCTCGTCGTGACGACTCAGCCAAATCATGTTTTCGTGCAGCGTGGGCCCGTTGAGATCTTGCGGCGCGGCACCGCCCGCGGCCGCAGGTGCAGCAGCTGCGCCAGCATTTCTCACGGCTTCCCTTCCTGCTGCAGCTTGCTTTGGCGCTGCCGCTTTCGCCTTGATATTACCTGCGGGGGGACAGTACAGATTCAGATCCTCGTCCTCCTGGTCTTGATCATTCAAATTTATTTGTTGCTGCGGGGGTCGCTTGTTGCTCCTATTACTTCGACCTCCAGCTGCTGCTCCGAGAAGGTCTCGATTCGGAGCAAACAGGTCCTCTGCCGAAAGACCCTCGTTGTAGTTGTAGAAATGGTCCGCATTGCCATTGGCGTTCAGTTCATCACTTTCATCTTCATCGCCTGCACCACCAAACGCTTCTCGTATGTCTGCCGCCAGCTGCAGTTTGTTGTGGTCATACCTGCTCTTTTTGGCAGCAGCTCCATTCCGACCTCCACGGGGGCCCTGTTTCTGCCTTTTGAGGTTCTGTGCCGGAACAGAATTTTTCACGACCCGTTGAGCTTGTTCAAAATCGTCGTCGTAATCGTAGATATCGTCGTCGTACATATCGTCACCGTACAAATCCTGATCCTGTTCACCTTGTCCAAGAGCACGTTTTTTAGAAAACGACGAGGCTCCTCCGCGATCAAAAACCAATGTCGAATTATTGTCTTCGAGATTTGGGTCTGGTTGTGTTGCCACTCGCTGTCGACTCGAAGCTGCACCCCCAGGAGCTGGACTGTTCCCGAGAACCAGATCGGTTGTGTTGAACGGATCGCTCAGGAGCGAAGAGGTTTGGCCCCCTTGGCCTTGCAAAACCTGTTTCGCGGCGTGGTTTTCTGTGAAATTATTGCCCATCTGCGGGGCAAATTTGTTCTCAAGTACCATCATGTCGTCCATTCCGGAGAATTCTTCTTCACTTTGCTCGTGGAGGCTCATCTTATTTTTGTTCGACCGCTGATTTCTATTTCGGCCTTGATTTTGCACGACCATCTTCCCCTTATTTGCTACGTCCCTGCCAGTACCCTTGGGTGGTGGAAGTTGCTGCTGGCCTACTAGATCACCTGCCGCAATAGCTAGATCTTCTTTGGAGATTTTTACCACTTGTGATAGTGCAGCCTGCTTGCTGCTTTTCTTCTTGGTGTCATTGGCTTGTAGTTGTTGTTTCCTCGTCATGATATTGTGCGCCTCTACTGCGTCGGCGAGAAAAGCATTTTTCGATGAACCAAAGGCAGCAGACGAAGAAGAGGATGAAGCGCCGATCCTGGGTGGTCTCATGCTGGACGGTGCAGCTGGTGCACCAGCAGACGAAGCAGCGTTATTTGCTCGCACATTTAGAAAGCCCACCTGCATCATGTGGCCTTCGTCGATTTGCTGTTGCTGCTTTGCTGCTAAGAACTCCTGCTCGCCAACCAAGTTCGTCCCATCTTGTTCTTCTTGTACTACAGATGCTCCTTCTACTACACCAGCAAGAAAACCGCCACCCGCAGAGGGAGCGGATGTCGTCGGAAAGCCACGAGGACCTGTTGTCGCACTAGATGTAGTTGGAAGAATCCTTTCATAGGGGAGCTTCCGAAACCTTGCATTCGGCAACGCAGCACGACTGCTCTGCTCCGCGTTGGGATTGCGTCTCATAGGGTTGCCGAGACGCGGCCCAGCGGCGTTCTTCACAGGCGAGTGCGAGGCAGCAGCTTGTCCTTCGGCAGCTAGGTGTACCAATTGTCTGCTCTCTTCTCCTACAACTTGTTCTACTGCCGCTGCGTCTACTTCACTACCTTCATCATCCGGCGGAGGTCCTCGTGCACCTAAAGGAATGGCGTTTTCATCTTGCCTTTCCGCCCTGGAAGAAGATGCAGCCACGGCCGCCTGGGAGGAGGAGCTAGTTACTGCGGCCGCTAGTAGCTTGCCCTTCAGAAGGTCCTCTGGAGGAGGTCGTGCGTTTTTTGTACTATCTTGTTCCCACGAAAGACCACGACCTGGAGCAGGGGATTGTTCCCTATCAAGAAGACCATTTACTTCACTGCGAGCAGCACCCTCTTCGTCCTCTACTTCCTCGCTCTTGATCTGCTGCTGGTCACCGCCACGTTGCCGCTGCGATAAAATTTCTCTGCGGTTTTGTGCGCTGTTTGGAGGCCTCCTGCTACTTCGGGACGACGACAACGAAGACGAGGAGTTGTCCCCCCCGCTGCTAACTTTTGAAGATCCAGCACCGGGCGCACCTTGTTTCCGTTTCATTTCCTCGTACTGTTTGCGTGTGTACTTGACAATCACCTCCTCTTCGTCTTCCTTCAGTATGATTTCATCATCTCCTTGCCCTTCTTTCTTCTCGCTAATATTTTTCTCAAAGAAAGCGGGGGCAACATCGGGCGACAATGGCTGTAGGTTTTGCTGTTCATCCTGGACATCATCAATCTGCTCCGACGAGTCGAACAATCCGGACGGCAGCCTTGGCGTTTCGGCAAAACCCGCACGGCGTGGATGGCTGGTGTTAAGAACCGCCTGCGAACTAGAAACATCACCCAACTTCTTACCCCCGCTCCCCGTCGCGCCACTACTGCTCGGCATCAGGTCACTTGGACGCAGAAGTCTTTCCGGCACCGAGGATGGTGCTGGAGCATCGAGTGGTGGACCACGAACCCCCTGTTGCTGAGAAGACACTTCTGCAGAAGATGGCCGCGCTGCACCCGCGAATGGACCTTCGAGAAGTGGTGAACTTCTGTTATTACCATAGTTCGTCGAGTGCAACAATTCGCTGGGAAATGACATAGTTTCCGGAGGAGCTCCCATATGCATTGCAAAGGTGCCGTACGTGTAGGTGTACTAGTATGAATCGCATGACAAATTTTCTCAACAGGAAAAGTGGCACTTGTCATGCGGATTCAGGTAGACGTAGAAAGCCACGATTGTGATGCATGAATGAGTATGAGATTCGTACGAGTACGATACTTTTGCCATGCATATCCCGGCTGTTGCGCGAGGTCCGTTGCGAGGTTGTCGTACTCGGAGGGAGGAAAAACGGCGGTTTGCGCACCCGCATTGTCAAGATCGTTTTCTTGCTCGTTTGCTTTTTGTTCCTGCATTTTTTCATCTGACTTGTCCTCGTCCTTCTCGTCTCTGTCTTCGGGATAAAACGCGAAAACTGGAGGATGTTGTTGTCCACGCTGCCCTTCCTGCTCCAACAGGTAGTTTTTCCTTCGCTCCTCAAAGTCAATATCGCCATCAGGAACAAATGAAGCCGGCGTTTCCGCCGCACCGGGAGCACCGGCAGATATTTGATCTTTTGCAGCAGCTATGCTGCGCAAATGCGATTGCTCTCCTGCTTCAACATTTTCGCCATCCTCTGTGCCACGACCCTCGCGATTCATTTCACCGCGAGCACCAGAGCCACTCTGCTTCTCCGGGTCTTCAATATCATGTTCCTCCATTTCCTCGAGTGCGTCATTCTGACGTCTAGTTTCCGGCACCAATTTCTGTTCCTGTCCTTCCAGGTCCATCGGGAAGATGACCGGGCGTGCATCGCCGCTCTGTGGCAATGAAGCGCCGGAAGAAACAACTTCTCGTTGGTTTCGTACAAGGACCACAGAAGCTTCAAAATCCGCGACGTTGCTTTCTGCACTTTTCCCATCCTCGAAAACAGCTTCTGGAGGCCCTGCGTCCGCTCTTTTCTCCGACGGCAAGCCAGCTTCGTCCTCTTCGTTTCGTAGAAAAACCTCGCCAGACTCTGGAATTTCTTCCGTTTCGAAAATGGTAACCGGAACAACATTTCCTGAAGCGGGTAGTTGTTCATGTTCATGTTGAGCTTGTTCCGCAAGAACTCCTGCGCCGCCAAAATCATCCTCCTCCTCCTCTCCTATCTCTTGCGCAAACGGTGTGTAAGCCGACGCCGGTAAAAGAGCAGTTCCTTGGCTGGTACCGACGGAAGCGGACGGCAACCGGCGATTATTCGGATCTCCGCGATGAATTGAGGCCGCGAATAAAACATCGGCTCGCTGCGACGAAGAAGATGCACCGGGCTGTTGGGATGGAATGAGGCCGGCTCTGGTAACTGCATTTTGATGATGTCGAAGATCATTTTGGTCGGGGTCTTCTTCTTTTTCCGATTCTACGTCGACCTTTGCCGCTGAATGTGGCTCCACGTGCTGCACAGCGTCTTCGATGTCTGGTGCTCCATGAAGATCATGCTGGAGAGCCAAATCACCACCTTCCTCCACCTCCATGGCATCAAGATAAACTTCTTTTTGTTCTTCATTTTCTACTTCGGCCGCTTGCGACGGCGGGGGTCTTTCTTCCTTCTGGGAAGCTGCAGGAAATGCGCCACGACCGGAGCAAACTTGATGGCTATTCTTCAAAACTGGTTGACTCATCTTCTCTCCAGCGAGTGTATCTTTTTTATCACCCAGGAGTGCCTGCAGCTTCCTGTCATTCGCGGAGAACACGCTCCGACTGATGTCCTTCACGAGGCCGGGATTCGGCAACTTCATCTCCGGAGTCTTGCTGATATGATTCCGCGATTCTTCGTCTGACGTCTTTACTTTTCGTTCGCGCTGTGAAGCTTCTTTTCCCACATCTTGCTCGACCGCTTGTTGGCCTTTCCAAGCATCCTCTTGTTCATCTTGTTCTCTACGCAAATTTTTATCGTCAACACCACCAGGCACGGGCAGGCGGTTGCTGTAGGCCTCTCCTGGAATATTCAAGATGTCATTGCTACTCCTGCTCCCGTCGTCTTTCTTGGATGGTGCGTCGAAAGGGTTTTTCTTATCGGTAGCAACTTGTTCCGCAGATTTGTTTTTTATTCCAGCGTTGTCGCCAGAAGAGGGGGAAGATCTCGTCTCGGCAGGTCGTGCGGGTCTCGAGGATGATGAAGATGATGCTGATCCGCTAGAAGAGGAGGAGGACAAGGACGGAGTAACAAGTTCTACAGATGCTTTTCCAGCATCTACAACTTTGTCAACCTTTAATATTCCCGAAGATGCTCCTCCTGTTCCCTCCTCAAGAACTTTGTCCGCGGCTGCAGATTTTTCTTTATTTTGTCGCTTTTTGTCTTTCTTTTTCTGCTTCTTCTCCGCTTTCTTTTTTTCATGTTCCATTTCATGCGCCTTCTTTTTCTCTTCGTGCTGCCCTTTCCGCTCTTCTCGGCGCCTGCTGGTCTCGGGGTCGAGCAGCAGGCTCTTCTGGTTTTCGATCGCGGGCTTCAAACCTTTGTTCGGACGACAAGAAACCTTCACTTGCTCCTTTAGTCCACTTTCGCCCGCAGCAGGAGCTCCACTTGAGGTTCCGGCAGATGGGTTTTTGCTGTTGTTGATGTTCTCCGGGGCTAATTTATTCCCTAGAGATGAACGTTGATCAACATCATCCTCTACGACGTCCACCTCACGCTCCACTTCCTGCCGCTCCACCCGATCTTCCGACTTCATCTGTTTCCGCCCCTCCAGTTTTTTCTTGTCGTTCTCCGTTCTTTTCTCCAGTTGCTGTCTATCTTCCGACTTCATTTACAGCTTTAACACCCGTTAGCATGAGAAGTGGCGAATTTGTAGTGAATTTTGCATGACAGATTGCAGATGAGTCCGCCGGGGCATTATCCCTCTTGCCCTTCTGGGAAGTGGGTTCTGCACACCGCAGAAGTCAAGGCTTAATTATGCGGCGGGCAGCTTCTAGGCATGGCCTGGGTGCCGTTCTTTGGCCATGTCTATTCGTCTCCCTGTGCTCGCATAGAGCACTGCAGCAGCCGCGGCAAAGACGCTAAAAAGAAAGGCTGCGAAGCACATGCAATGAGGGAAGAAGGCGCAAAAAAACGAGTGAAAGGACCAGGCCGAGAGCTTTGACGCCTCTACCCGGCAGGCGCGTGAACTCCCCAGGCCTTTTCGGCAGAATATAGACGGGCTGAGGGCAACAGAGGGCGCTTGTCTTTTCCCCTCGGCCCCACCCCCCAGGGCCTACCTGTGCACATTTTTGAGCACTTCTCTATTTTGACAATCCAAGCCGAGGCACTTCTCTATTTTTGAGCACTTCTCTATTTTGAGCACTTCTGATATCCAAGCCGAGGCAGCCACAACCCGTGACGCGACTTCTCTATTTTGACATGTTGAGCTAGTACCTTTGACCCCCTTTACAGGCATAGCCCTCGTCCCGGTCGATCCGCCACTATCGAGTCTGCGGATCATGCAGCGTCGTGTTGTAAGACCGCCCTAAGCCACCTGCGTTGCTTCGCAGTCCACCAGGTGCGCCTCTTTGGGCAACAAGCGGCAAGCGTCCACAGGAGGGAAGCGCCACCAGCCAAGCAGCCCATCAACGCGGCGCGCTGGCTTCTTGTATGTTGTCCTCGTGTTCTAGTTCTTCGCATGCACCTGAAGATTAATTCATGCATCATGCCACGCAATACAAATTCACTGGAAATTCACCCTTCTGTATGCTAACGACCGTTGAAGACATAAGACTTCATCTGTTTCCGCCCCTCCAGTTTTTTCTTGTCGTTCTCCGTTCTTTTGTTCTCCGTTCTTTTCTCCAGTTTTTTCTTGCCTTTCTCCGTTCTTTTCTCCAATTGCTCCTTAATTTTCTCCAGTCTCTCCAGCGCCCGCTTGTCTTTCTCATGCTGCTTTTCCAGTTGCTGGGTGCTCACGAACGGAGTTTGAGCGTGGGAAGCGTCCGCGTCGTCCGCGTTTGGGTCTTCCGCATATGACTGTGCGCAACTCCCCGTGGTCCCCCTCATTTGTATAGCACGAACGGCAATACACGCATCAGCAAGAATGCCGGTTCTGCATGACAAATTTGTTCTGGAGTATAGTGCTATTTGGGCTACCAGAACTTGACATGCAAACAGTCGTGCCAAGAGGCAAAGGGTGGATATGGATTGGGTATTTTGCATGACAAATGCGGGGGAGGGGGAGTTGTGCACCGTCATACCGCACCAGCAGCTCCCTGAACGTACTCCATGAGCAGGCCGACGGTGGAACTTCCAAAATTATTCGCATGTTCTTGATCAGCATGGCCTGATAGACCAGCTTGGAGGTGGTCCTCGACGTCTTGGTGTGCAGGGGTGATGTGGTCAAGGTCAGCGGCCTGCTGCCCTCCATCGTTCAGGACCGGCGGTAAGGGTGAAGATCCGAGTTGGTTTTCGTCTTCGCGAGATTCTTGGGACGGAGTTGTCATTTTGTTCCCTTCTGGTGAGTGAGAGCCGCTTGGACGCGCAAGGCGCGCGGAACAGGAAGAGGAGGATTTATTTCCAGGAACTACAGGGGGGTGGTCCATTTTGAAGCTTCAACTTGTTTCAATCAATTATGGGGCTAATGTCAAGGGGATCACATACATTCAAAACTCGCACTTTAAATTTTTGGGTACTCCTTAAGCTTCACTAACAACCGATAATTATAGGCAAACTTTTGAAAGCAGAAACACATCAACTATATCAACTACTGACAGATATACTTACTTCACTGCGTCTTCCTAGAGCTGTTCCAGATTTCTGAAAGGCCAATCAAGTCCGTGTCTTGTCAGTCCTTCTAGCTCTCACTGTAGCAAGTGATAAAAAACTTAACCAGACTGCTACCTTTCCATCACGGACTGCAATATGCTTATTTTCTACGTGGTTTGACTTCGTGAGAAAGCAGGCTCGCCTGCAACGGTTCAACGGCAAGCAGCAAACAGCAAACAAGTGGGCGAGCGCAGTGCTAGATCATCTTCCGCGAAGTTGTACATCATGAAGCGGCTACGTAGAAAGACAGGATCTCGTATACTTAAGTACTCCGTCTCTCATCTTGATACACCTGTGCCTAAAATCTTAAGCGCATGCTTTCTAGCAGATCGCCAAAGCATGTAAGCGCGCCAAACTCGTAGACGTTACCTCATCATAGCTCCTTTCTTTATTCCACGGATGGAAAGACTTCCAACAGCAACAGAGTAGCGGCCGGAATGAGAAGTTGTAGCCCTCCAGTTTTTTCTTGTCTTTCTCCGTTCTTTTCTCCAATTGCTCCTTAATTTTCTCCAGTCTCTCCAGCGCCCGCTTGTCTTTCTCATGCTGCTTTTCCAGTTGCTGGGTGCTCACGAACGGGGTTTGGGCGTGGGAAGCGTCCGCGTCGTCCGCGTTTGGATCTTCCGCAGCACCAGCTCCCTGAACGTACTCCATGAGCAGGCCGACGGTCGAACTTCCAAAATTATTCGCATGTTCTTGATCAGCATTGCTTGATAGACCAGCTTGGAGGTGGTCCTCGACGTCCTGTTGGTCAGGGACGTGGTCAAGGTCTTCAGCGACCTGCTGTCCTCCATCGTTCGGGACCGGTGGTAGGGGTGAAGATCCGAGTTGGTTTTTGTCTTCACGAGATTCTTGGGACGGAATTTTCAACATGTTCCCGGCCGGTGAGCGAGGGCCGCTTTGATGCACAGGGCGCGCGGAAGAAGAGGAGGAGGATTTATCTCCAGGATTTACAGGGGGGCAGTCCATTCTCGAGGTTGTTTCATGAATTATGGGATTAATATGAAAGGGAGGACATTCAAAAACTCGTATTTTTTGGGTACTACTTAAGCTTAACAAACGGCCGATAATGGGCACGCGTGCAACTCGTTTACTTTATTACTTTTGAAAGCAGAAACACAACTACATGCATCAACTACTGAAAGATATACTTACTTCGCTGTGTCTTCCTAGTGCTGTTCCGGATTTCTGAAAGGCCAGTCACACCTTATCTTGTTACTCCTTCTAGCTCTCACTCTAGTACTTGATAAAAAACTCAACCAGAATCACGGCCTGCAATCTTGTTTTAAACGTGGTTTGACTTCGTGAGAAAGCAGGCCCGCCCCTTGCAACGGTCAAAGGGAAAGAAGCACACAGCAAACAAGTGGGCGAGCGCAGTGCTAGATCATCTTCCGGGAAGTTCTACTTGAACCGGCTACGTAGAAAGACAGGATCTCGTATACTGCGTCTCTCATCTTTATTACCTGTACCTCAAACCTTCACCGCATGCTTTCTGGCATATTCATATTGCCAAAGCTAGCCCGTGAGCACGGCAAACTCGTAAAGGTAATCGTAAACTCATTCTTCAACATAGCTCCACCTAATCCTTTCTTTCTTACACGGATGGAAAGGCTTCCAACAGAGATGCTGGAGTGACAGTGAGTTGTAGCAGCAGTAACTTTATTTTTTTGCAACGCAGTTACGGGTTCGAAGGCCGGCTGATAGATAGTGATTTTTGCCTTCTTCACTTGCTAAAACTTTTACCGCTGACAAGAATGAGTAAGACACAACTTGATTCCGCACGACGCTCCGACGCCGACAGCAACTTCTCGATGACAAACTTTTTTGAGCAGAAGCTGGCCTTATTGTTATTTTCATCTTTCGGAACAAGCATGAGTGTCTCCACTGGGTTATGAACACCATCACGCACCTCCAGGTGCCGACGCTCCTCCAGCGTATTCACGCTAAATGTGAAGTACAAGTACGGGTAGAAACGAAAACACCGTGGAACGACACAGATCTAGGATGTCTGAATGCCTTTACAACTCGGGCACAGACGACTTGTACCTATGTATATCTTTCCACTATTGCACAGTCGATTGAAAAAATCAGCTTCTTGCTCTGTACAAGCGACGTGTATTCAGCGAGAAAACCCATCTCCCCCTCCGATTCTTCGTACTAGCCCGTGTTGATGTAGTTTCTGGACTAAAGAGACACGGTGTTGCGGCCGGCGGACGCGGAAAACTTCGGCGTTGGGGCCGACTCTTTTCCCGGATGAACCTTCGGCGTTTGGTACGGCGGAAATGGAAAACCGCCCGAGTACGCTGAATCGCTAGAGCTTGCGCCGCTTCTCGGTGATAGTTGTGCACCGGCGGAAGTCGCTTCTTCATCATCATCACCATCACCCGTGCCTTGCTGACGCGTCACTACCTCTCCATCAGCGTCCAAGTAGAGCGGGCCCCTCGCGGGTGTACGCAGTCCTGTCATGCAACGACAAAGATTCCTCAAACCCGACAAAAACCTCGGCTCCAGAAAACTCGACTGTTCCTCCAACCCCGTCAAATCGCCCAAGTGTTTCTCGTCCACCGCCTCACCTCCGGCCTCCACGACTTGTGCGAACGATTTGTCGCCGGAACGCGAGGGCAACTCGGCGTCGCAAGTCGCAGCGCAAAACTCGTCACTCTCCTGGTCCGAGACCGCGCCGCTGTTGTCGGCATCCGCACCCAACCGCAAAAGCAACGTCTGCTGCGCCTGTTTGAAGATTTCCAGCACGCTGGCGACCGGGGTCTGCGGATCATTCACCACCTGCAACGCAAGCGTCACGTTTGCCGAAAATAACGCACGCTCGTCTGCCGCATCCTGAGCGGCGGCGAGGACCTGCTTCTTCTGCGTGAAGGAACGCGGGACGGGGTACTTAATTCTCGACCGAGCCCGCGTCTTCTTTCTCGACCGGCGCTGCGGGGGTGTGCATCTCGCCGAAGGCGAGGGCTGCACCCGACAACAAAGCCGGGATCATCTTGGACGAGATGCCGCGGATCATTTTCTGGGCCTTTCCGTTCTTCGTTTTCAACACGAAGGAACGCAACGATAAAAAAAACTCTGTGTTGTATCAGTTTTGCAATAATATCGGAAAACACAATGGAGATAAGGAGGCATGATACGAAAGAAAAAGAGTGAAACTCAGAGCTGGTAAGAAAACGACTTTAACGAAGAAATTCAAATTTCGTGCGGAAAAATTATGTTATTGTGTACGTGCTTCGGTGTGTCTTTTGAGCTTGTGCTACGACGACGCACTACGACGACGCACTACGACTTCTGTAGCCCTCTGACTCACGAGTCACGACCCGTTGTGCTTGTTTCTCGTGCCATGGACTGCAAACACAGACATCACAAATAGATACGATCATACGCCCAGCGTATGTTTCTTCCCCAATATATCATTGCCCTTCAAACGAGCGGGTACGACAGCGCTTCATATGACGATTATAGGAACGAAGCCTACTCTTTCACCGATAAGAACATTGAAACATCTATATTTTCTTCGAAAAACGCCATGCACATCCAGGTGCCGATGCCCCGACGAATTAACGATCCTCCCGTGCGCGTGGAGGTGCTTGCTTTATTTTCTGTCACTTCTTTTTAATGTGGACACAAGCGTTTTTCTGCGTTTTCAACTTTCTACTTCTCGACATGTAGCATCTGGTGCACCTACTGTGTCGAATTTTTCCCCACACAATGGAAAAGCAAAAATCTTCTACGTACAAGTTCTGTCACCGGAGCTACCCGCAGCTCCTCTTAAGATAATCATAGGACATAATTAGCTTTGCTGGAACGACCGGACCTAAAAAAGCCCAAAATTCCAATTGCATTTACAGCCAACAATGAAGATCGATCTGATCAGATAAATGTTTGTTTGTTTGCATGGAATCGCGCAATCCGTGCAAAAGTTTGTTTGTTTGTGTAACGCTAACGCGGCGTACGTAGACACGCCATTTTTTGGTCTGGCGCTACTTAAATAAAAACGACAACGCTAAGCCCTGTACCACCAGAGCGCAAGCGATGTGTTTCTTGTCTGTACAGGAAAGTAAGCACAGATTTTCTGGCAAAGTAAGCAAAAGAAATGAAAAAAAACGTACTTATAACTTTCCTAGGCGTGAAATAGAAATTTCTCTATCGTCTACTGTACAAAAAACTCCCCTGCGCTAAGCGGCCCTTATTCACAAGCCTCTTGCAAAATCTCCTACCGCGACGGTTTTTTACTCCACACGATAAAGCAAGTACAGTACTTCTATCACACCAACAAGTGCATGATTTCCTGTGCCACCGGTCGGTCGACGGACTGCACGTCATCCACGATGTCCTCCAGCCGTGCGAACAAAGAGCTTTGCTTCACCAACGGCAGGATTCGCTGGTTCTGGTAGCACAGCATCCAGAGCATGTGCAAGGCGGTGTGGACCACCGCGGATTTCTGCAGCTGCGACAGGCGGTAGTTCGGGTTTTGGTTCGCGTCGGTCAGCATTGTTGTCGTCCGATTCATGGTGACGTTGAAAGAAGTCGTCATGTTGACGTCCATTTTCGACCCGTTCTGGCCACCTTGCTGCGCGTTATTCAACATCGAGTTCAATCCGCTCGCAATGCACTTTTCCAAGATCGGCAGGGTTCGGGGCGAGTTGCAGAAAAAGGATTTTGCGTAGCCGGACACCATCACCGCGAGAAGGACGCGCAAAGCCGCCGCCCGAAGCTTCTCCTTCGATTCCACCAGATCGAACCAGAAATCCAGCTGCGGCGGCCCGGTCGCCACGCCCGTCGCTGCGCCGGCCGCGTTGGCGCTCGCGCGGCTGTCCGCCGCGGCGGAGGACCGCTGCTGGCAGGAAGACAGGATTGCGGCGGTGGCCTTGCAGATGTGGAGCGACGCAATGAAGTGGAGCACCGCGAGACAGCGACGCAGCGTCCACTCGGAGAGAACCCGCCCCTTCTCGCAATGCTTCACAAATTCGATCAGAAAGGACACGAATTTCAGCAGCGACGCCTTGTTCGTGGTCAAGCCCGGGGCGGAAAGGCTGAGCACCTCCAATAGCCGGCAAAAAACCACGGGCGAAATCGGACTGGATTTCGCGGAAGCCGTCGCGTACAGCCGGCTGGCGTGGTGACTCGGGAGGGCCCGGGTCATGGTCACGTCGTTGTGCGGGTCCAGACGGTGGTAGGTGGAACCATATTAAATGCAAAAATGTCTGAGTCTGGAAGGATGCAAGGTTTGTCATGCACACTTTGCATGACTTCTGAAGTCAGTGACGCATGCTCTAGCATCACAGATTTTGCTTCCTGATGCCTACACCGCATAATAAATGCCCTCTCGCCGTGGCGAAAACTGGACCTCTTTTGCTGTTCACGCAATACAGATTCTTGTACTTAGAATCCAAATTCAGCACCACAAGTTGCATCCTTCCAGACCCAGACACTTTTGCATTTGATAAACTATTATGGTCCACCATACTCCGGTCACCGTGGAAAGTCGTGTGATTGCCGCCCACCGCGAAGGAGTGCCCGGGCTGGAAAAGCTGTGGAGGTGAAGCAGGGTGCTGAGATCAGGACTCATTCATTGAGCTTTAGCACGATGGCAGCTATCAGCATAACATATGCGTAAAGCATAAGTAATTCAGAAGCACCTCGTCGTGTGAGATTCGTTCACTACGACAAACACTCATATAGAAAAACATCACGTCGAGAATCAGTACTTATACCTGTGACGCCGTTGCCGACACGCCCTGCAATTTACTTCCGCTCGCGTTCGAGACCATGCAGCATCCCCGCATGGCGTGCGGTAGCAGCATTTTGTTGAACACGATGTTGTTAGAGTGCGGGCCGAGCAGGTGACACACCCGGTTGCGGTCTCCGTCCGCGTGCAAAACCCGTCGGAGGAAGTCCAACACCTCCATGCAAAACGCGTCGTGCGCCTCCGCCAGCGGCCACACCGCCCGCAACACGGAGGTGAGGAACGCGGAGGTGTTGTGCGCGCCGAGGGTGGACGCGGCGACGGTTCTTCGGGACGTTTGTTTCGAGGGCGAAGATGATCCTCCGTGCGCGGGCGTCACCGCGGTGGACGCGTCGAGGACACAGCTTATCCCACGAAAAAACTGCTTCACTGTGATGATTTTGCAAGATCTGCATCACAAGTTTGTTACACATGACATTTATGAAATGTGTCGTGCGTGCTTCCCAAGGGAAAACATGCTTGAAAATCCAATGTCTTGCAGGTGTAGCAAGACAAATAGTTCTGTGTTCCATTTTCTGCATCACAAGTTCACAGTGAAACAGTTTTTTCTTGCGATACAGCTGGACCAGTCGTTGATCGCCATCCCTCCCGGCGTCAACCCGCCGGACCGATCGGGCATTGCTGCTGCTTATGAAATGCAAAAATGTCTGAGTCTGGAAACTTGTGATGCTAACATGTGCATGATGAAAACACTTCCGAATGCAGTCCGGCATGGCAACTTCCAAAAACGCTTTCTCATAGGCAATCCGCATGAGAAACTGCGTTCTTGCATGACAAAAGTGGCTGCGACTTTTGTTGGGTATGCAATACAGATTTTCTAGGTATGGAAAGCTAGCATTACAAGTTCCAACCTTCCAGAGGACCCAGACATTTTTACAATCCATACTGCTGTTGTCCAGGCGATGGCTGGCGGACCGCGGGGGAAGGAAGTGTCTTGCTGTGCTCCTGGATTTATTGTTTGTCCCCCGTTCATCATTGCCGGCGCATTGAGTTGTGTAGTTCCAGGAGAGGATTTGTCGACTAGAATGTCCAAGCCGATGTCGTCAACGGAGCAGAGCGCGGTCAAAAGCCGGAGATGGAGGGTCAACCGCTGGAGCCTTTCGCCATCCACCTGCCCACCGGCGGTGGCGGTGCTGAGACTCGCGACCGTGCTGTTTAGGCACACTTTGGAGGCATTATTTTCGGGCCGGGGGTCGGTCGCATCTGATGTTTTTTTTATCAGGATTTTTGGTCTTGTAATGTTGGTTTATTTGATTTTGTAATGGAAATCACGGCGCAGTGTCTTGCACGATCAACATATGCAAGCCGATTTTTTTGGTAGCGCTCTGCAAACTCTTCTCAATCAGAAAAAATCCAATTCTACCCCCCGGCTCCCCCAGTATTCTGGACATTCCCCTTTGTTCGGACCGCACAATCGCGGAGATCTTGATGTCCCGTGGCGCCGTCTCGATGATCTGCACCAATTTGGGCAGAAATTTGACATTCTTCACACACACCAGCGTCGCGGAGGGGTGTGAAGTTGCTAAATGGATCAATGCGGAGTGCAGGGAGGACAGGTGCGTGCTGTCCGGAACGCACGCTTGCAAGTACAAATTGCACAAATGCTGCGTCGAGGGTCGCACCTCCTCCACGTGCGGGATCGACCAGGGGGACACTGGGTTCAAACTTGCCACCGCGTCCAGCGTTTCCGCGGCGCGCCTCCGCAGCGCCAGCGGCTTCTCCTCGCTGAGCGCCTGCGCACAGACACTCGCGACGCAACGGGACGCAAAAAATTCAAAGATTGCGTCGTCGTCCTTCTGTTGCGCCGTTAATGCGCTGCTTCCGGTCTGATTCACTCCCGCGCCGAAAAATTCCGGACCAGTTGGAGAAGCAGCAGCAGCAGCTCCCGCGCCGCCGCCGGGTGAACCTCCGCTGTACAACGTCGACAGCCTCTCGCCGACACAGATGGCGAGGCGCTGCACGGCGACGAGATGCTGCTCCAGGACTCGGGGCTCAACGCGATCGCGGAGCCGGGTAACGAGGTTCTCAAGAACACTCCGCCATTGCGACAGGAAATGCGTACTGACGCAGATGTAGCGGAGAATCTGCGCGTCCCAGAACCCACAGACCACGGAAATGAGCTGCACCGCCTCGCCGCAGATCTTCGCGCTGTCGTACGCAATGCGGTCGGACAGTGGCGTGTTAGTACTAAGATCTGGATAATTCTGATGCTCATTTCCCCGTTTGGAGGTTGAGGAGGAAGCGAAAACCGTAGTTCCGGACAAATCTGCGAAAACAAGTGAACTATTTGCGTTGTTCATCTTCGGCGTCGTAAGGTCTGCGACCACGGGGGTTGTGTCGGAGAGAATTGCTCGCTTGTTCGTCCCCTTTTTCGTATCCGAACTGGAAGAGGAACTTGAACTTCTGGACGTCGTTCCCACCATCCAACTGTCGACCACCTGCACCCAGAAATTCCTTTGCATCAGCTGTGCCTGCATTCGCTTCGCAGTTTCCGCGGAGGTGCACCTCACGTCGATGATGGTCCGGAGGAAGAACAGCGTGAGCGCGCGAAGCCCCCGGTCCGGGGACTGCAAAAGCTGTGGCATTTGGTCGAACACCGCTTTGTCCTGGCTCTGGCCCAGCACGTTCTCGAGTTTCACCGGCAGCTTCGTGAAGGCGGAGCAAAGGAAGTGCAGGGCGGCGCGCCGCGGGAACTCCGACGTGGATGAGGAGGAGGAAGGGCTACTTCCAGTGGCCGGTTGCATTTGCGATTGCGATGCCGAGGACCCGTTCGCAGCAGTAGACAAAGCTGTTGCACTTGATTTACAATTCCCGCTATTGTTGAAGAACACCGTCTTTATCGCTTTCCGGCACGCGTCCTCGAGGAACGCGAGTTGCTGTGCGTATTGGTCGGCGGTCATGGAATTCGAGGTGAAGCTGTTAGGCGAACCGGATACCGCCTTGAAATCCGTCGGGCTCACCGCGTTGGCAGCGTCCACCGCCGTATCAAATGCAAAAATGTCTGGGTCTGGGAGATTCTGAGACTTGTCATGCACGTTTTGCATGAGCCATGATGTCTGTGATGCATGCCGTATCATCACAGATTTTTCGAGGGGTTCTTGATGCCTATTTCGCATAACAAGTGCCCTATTCGCGTAGCAAAAATTGCGTTCCCTTTGCTGCTCATGCAATGCAAATTTGTTTGGAATCCAAATGCAGCATCACAAGTTGCATTCTCCCAGACCCAGATATTTTTGCCTTTGATACGCCGCACTCGCGACGAACACCGCCTCGAGACAGCGCCAGCACGCCCCTTGAACCAGGCCAGACGGGTGCGACAGGTACCCGAAAGCTTGGTTCAGCAGAACAGTCGCTTTGTTTATCCCTCCGCTATTTGCCAAGTAGGCCGGAGACGAAGCGGAACTTCTCGTTTTCAGCTGCTGTTGTTGAAGGTGCTGTGCCGCACCCGAAGAAAATGCGCTGCTATTGACCGCGAGACTAGCGCTGCGCAGTTTGGACACCAAATGCAAGCTGGCGACGATGTCGACGGATTCCTGGTAGCTGTTGGCAATCAAACAGGTGCTGGCGCCGAGGAACTCGGCCGCGGCGGCCGTCAGGTCAATGTTGTACAGTGCGGCCACGCGCAAGCCGTACCGTCTGACCTCCACATCTAGCCGAGACCTGCGTAACAAATCGTCGAGCGCCGGGCCGAGCAGGTCGGATACGACCGGCACTATTAAAGGCGACGATGCCTGCGGCTGCTGCTGGACCACGTCCTGCAAAGGGCTCCCAGCCGCCGGCGTGGTTCGCGCAATTACAGCGGATCCTGTGGTAGCTCTACTTGATGTCGCGGACGAAACCAAAGACCTGACGTGACCCAAGGCGGTCAATAGCCTGAGCAGAGACAGAATGAACTTCTCGTCAAAGTCCACATTCGACATGTCCCCCGCCATCCGCCGGAAGACCGGCATGGCGTGCAAGGCCAACACGTCCCACAACGCGCTGGTTTGGGCCTCGAGGAAGTTGGAAGACAAGTAGCTGCGGCCGCAGACGCAGGCTTCCAGCAGAGACCGGACGTGATCCATGCAGGAGACGTGTTGCTCGTTGCTGTCGGTGGTGGTCTGGCTCAGGATGCTGCGTAACCGAGCGCCGTAGACCGGGTCTTCAAGCACGCGGAGGGCGAAATCCGGGGAAGAAACGCACTCGACTTCGCGGAAAACCTAAAGAATGATGATGATACTATTAATTTCTCGTGCAACGCTGCATAATTTAGTACCAGCATTCAGCATGCATCGTTTCCGCGGAAGCTGCTCATCTTGTACTACTTTCTTTAAGCGGTGAAATTATTACCAGAAAACGCGGAAGATTCAGCACGCAGTGAAGAAAACGTGTTCATTTACAAAATTCTACCTTCTCCGTCGCGAATGATTCCGGTGAGTCCAGCGCGAGTTTGTTCCACACCGGCGATTCCGCACCGAGTCCCTCCTGCAGCTGGTACACCTGACACAGGGCCAGCACGCGCGGACTGGGGCGCGCTTGCCAAAACTGCACGCCGGAAGACACCACCGGTTCGCACACTTCGATCTGCACTGGCACCTGAAACCTCTCTTGGAACCAGGGCGGGATGGACAGCGACGCCGGCGTGTTGGTCTTACTTGCTTTCATCTCCGCAGTTCTCGTACTAGCTTCGGTTGTCGTGCGAGGAACTACTAGTACACTCTTCTCGTCCGCGCCCGCCGACGCCAGGCGCCCCTGCGGGAACAGGAAACTCTCGTCGAAAAGCAACGCGGCTAAGACCTGCAGACTCCGCAGGCGCGTGAGCGGCTCCTTGTGGAAGGCGCGGGCCAGCGCAACGGGAAACGCGTGCTGTACTAGCGTTTTGTCGCGGAGCAACGCCCCGATGAAGTGGTCCTTGTTGAAGTTCAGCAGTAACACTGCCAACGCTTCGCAGAGCTGGTTGTAGAAGTCCAGATTTTCCGTGTCCCGAAAATTCTGCACCAGGCAGGACAAAACCGACCCGCCGCGCTCCTTCAGCATGTTCACGACCCTTTTGTCGGAGACGAGAAACGTCACAAACTGGCTGGCGGCCGCCTTGCGAATGTTCGCATCCAGATTGTCGTTTTCAAGGACCTCGGCCACGTGGGAGAACTCGGATTCCCGGACGGAAAGTTTGTCGAGGAAGTACTGTTCGAAGCAGTACAGCTGGCGGAGAGACAGCGTGTCCCCGTCTTGCGAGGAGAGCGAAGAGACCGTGGCGTCGAGCGGGTCGGTGATGAATTCCAGCGAGTTTTTGTCGTACTCCGGTGCGGCGAGAATTTGACACTGCCAGATCATCTGTGGTGCGGGTTTACGTGTGGACAAAAAAAATTCGTGTCGATATAGTAGTTGCATGGCCTACTTTTGGGAAGGAGATTCAAATAAAGCCAAATATGAGTCTTTGTGCACGACAGAGCATTTACGTGCAAAACCAGTACAGCATCCCTTAGTACCAGCGCCTGCTTTTTCCGCTGCGCCGCGTCGCGCAGAAACAGCCGTCTCGCGGACGCCTGTGCGGACCCCGCGGCGCAGCTGTTTTGTCCCATGAACAGGTCCGCAAAGTCCAACAACTTCGGCGATTGAATCTTCCCTGCGTGCTCTTGAATCAAGGCGCAGAACCGCCCGAAACAGTCCTCGCCCCGTTGCATGTGCAGCAGCGCGTCTACGAGAAACTTCTCGTTGGTGAACAGGGCGGGGAGCAGTGCGGTGGTTTTTTCCAGCATTTCCAAAAAACTCTTGTGCACATCGGGGACGGGGCAGACGGCGAGCTGCGTGCAGAGTTCCACGGCGGACTTCCACAGGGCGACGGCTGACAAGAGAGGTGATAATGGCAGTTGTTCGCTCCAAGGTGGAGGGAAAAAAAAAGTGATTTTCATTTTTCCGAAAGTTATTACCAATGTAGTATTTCTATTTTATCTTTTGTAAAAAAAAAATACATCACATGCGAAATCCAACGAAAATAAAGAAGTACATGCATCCGTCAGGTCCAGTTCCTGCATTTGCATCAACTCCAGGGCAATCGGCAACAACTCCGCCGGTACGTCCACCAGTGGTTTGTGTCCGTCTTTCGTCAACAGCGACAGGTAAATCCTTCGTGACAGGAAGTTCAACTTTGTGGCGTAATTGTCCAAATCGTCCGCCTGAGAGCTCCCATTCACCCCCGCAAGCACGTCCGCGGAAAGCGCCCGCTGCTGCAGTTCGCCGGTCGTGTTGAGTTCTTGACCACCAGGTGACAAATTGTTTCCGCTACCGCGGGCGACACTTCGATTGACATTTCCGCGCGGCCGTACTGAAGTCGTACAACTTCTGGAGTTATTATTGTTGTAAAAATCTTCCGGATCTACGATGGTTGTCACGTAGGAGGAAACGTGCTCCCGAAAGCTGCTGACCACGTCTCCGGTGTGCGAAATAGCGACGCGATTCCCCCTGGACGCCACCCGGCCCATGGGGAGCAGCTCGACGGCGGGCGGGGGTTTGTTGTGACTGGTTGTGCGTTTCTGGAGAGAAGATGCTCCTGCCGTCGGTGCACCACCTCCGCCTGGTGCGGCCCCCCCTCCGACCTCGTCCAAAGGTTTCGTGTTGAACTTCAACACCGCATCGAGTAGAGATTCCAGCGCCCGGTACTCGTCACCCTCGGTCGGCCAGATCTTCGACACGATGGCAAACAGCAGCCCGAACTTTTCCGGCCGCTCGAAATATAAGCGGTGGTCGAAGAGCCAGATCTTCAAGAATTCCGCCATATGCAATGCAAAAGTATGGCACTCGTACTAATAAATTGCAGTTATGCATTACAAATCCAGATGCTCAGGCAAATCCGCATTACAAATTCCATTTCTAATGCTGAGAAAATTTGTATTGCAATCACTACGCACTAGTACGAAGATGCTGCATCTATAACAAGGTCCGAGCACGGGGACAGAGTCCCCGTGCGACGACCTTCCGGCATTTGTCTGGGACGAGTTCCGGGGTTGCGGTGGCACTGGGCAGGCAGGCCCCTGCAGCCCGGTGTCTCTGTGTGGCCTGTGTCCCCTGATCCGCGACAGATCTGCGGACGGAGCCCCTCTGCTTGCCCACACTAGACCCGTTGACCTACCGCGAACAAAGAGAACAGAAAGGAGGAAGCTGGCGCCGGATCTGTAGCTGGCCCGTAGGTCATGACGCGGGGACCAAGTCCCCGCGCTGACCTAGGGCTTTGGCCCCTGGGCCGTGCGGACGGTTAGTTAGTTTCCGGGAAGCGCCCAAAGCTGGCCCCTAGGTCATGACGCGGGGACCGAGTCCCCGCGCTGACCTAGGGCTTTTGCCCCTGGGCCGTGCGGTTAGTTTCCGGGAAGCGCCCAAAGCTGGCCCCTAGGTCATGACGCGGGGACCGAGTCCCCGCGCTGACCTAGGGCTTTTGCCCCTGGGCCGTGCGGTTAGTTTCCGGGAAGCGCCCAAAGCTGGCCCCTAGGTCATGACGCGGGGACCGAGTCCCCGCGCTGACCTAGGGCTTTTGCCCCTGGGCCGTGCGGTTAGTTTCCGGGAAGCGCCCAAAGCTGGCCCCTAGGTCATGACGCGGGGACCGAGTCCCCGCGCTGACCTAGGGCTTTTGCCCCTGGGCCGTGCGGTTAGTTTCCGGGAAGCGCCCAAAGCTGGCCCCTAGGTCATGACGCGGGGACCGAGTCCCCGCGCTGACCTAGGGCTTTTGCCCCTGGGCCGTGCGGTTAGTTTCCGGGAAGCGCCCAAAGCTGGCCCCTAGGTCATGACGCGGGGACCGAGTCCCCGCGCTGACCTAGGGCTTTTGCCCCTGGGCCGTGCGGTTAGTTTCCGGGAAGCGCCCAAAGCTGGCCCCTAGGTCATGACGCGGGGACCGAGTCCCCGCGCTGACCTAGGGCTTTTGCCCCTGGGCCGTGCGGTTAGTTTCCGGGAAGCGCCCAAAGCTGGCCCCTAGGTCATGACGCGGGGACCGAGTCCCCGCGCTGACCTAGGGCTTTTGCCCCTGGGCCGTGCGGTTAGTTTCCGGGAAGCGCCCAAAGCTGGCCCCTAGGTCATGACGCGGGGACCGAGTCCCCGCGCTGACCTAGGGCTTTTGCCCCTGGGCCGTGCGGTTAGTTTCCGGGAAGCGCCCAAAGCTGGCCCCTAGGTCATGACGCGGGGACCGAGTCCCCGCGCTGACCTAGGGCTTTTGCCCCTCGGCCGCGCGGTTAGTTTCCATCCGGGAAGCGCCCAAAGCTGGCCCCTAGGTCATGACGCGGGGACCGAGTCCCCGCGCTGACCTAGGGCTTTTGCCCCTCGGCCGCGCGGTTAGTTTCCATCCGGGAAGCGCCCAAAGCTGGCCCCTAGGTCATGACGCGGGGACCGAGTCCCCGCGCTGACCTAGGGCTTTTGCCCCTGAGCCGTACGGTGTCCGGGAAGCGCCCATGCCCAAAGCTGGCCCCCAGGTCATGACGCGGGGACCGGGTCCCCGCGCTGCCCGAGGGCGCCTTTCGCCCGCCCCTGGGCCTTGCCCATGGGGCCCGGGAAGCTCCACAGGCTCCCTCGCGGCTCGCGTGACAATCTGGAGCCCGGCGTTGCACATCTCGCGCGGCGAAGTCCGAAAATGTGTCCGGGGTGTGTCCGAAAGTCTGCCCGGGGTGTGTCGGAAAGTCTGCCCGGGGTGTATCCGGGGTGTGTCTGGGGTATGTTCGGACTTTTTGCCTGGGGTGTGTTCGGGGGTCTGTCTGGGGTATGTCTGGGGTGTGTCTGGGGTGTGTCTGGGGTATGTTTATACCCCACCTGTTGCTTTTTCGCCAAAAAATTGTAGTCCGCCCGTGATTGACGGCCGTTTGCATACCCCTGTCATACCCCCGAACATACCCCAGAACATACCCCTCGCATGCATTTTTCACCAGCTGCTGCAGTTTAGATAGTAATACTAATTCAAAAATTCTGGCGGGCGCGGGGTTGCAAGCTACTAGTAGGAATCCTGCTAGTAGAATCGTGCTAGCAGAAAAACGGGCACTAGTAGAAATCCTGCTAGTGTTTTTAGCGTCACAAAAAAACGGGGAAGGTACTAGTGACAGGCGCCACTAGTGAAGGCGCCCACTAGTGGAGCCACTAGTGACAAAAAAACCGATTTTGGGGAAAGCGAAAACACTAGTGAGAAAACCCGCCAAATTGGGAAACTCGCTCGGGGGGGGGGCAAAATAAAAGAGCCTCGGTGGGGCCGCAGCCAGGCGGCAGCGCGCTACCCGGCCCTCGTGTGGACTCCGGACCTGCCGGCCGTGGGCTGGGCCCTTGGCCTTGGCTTAGATGCGTTGCGGTTCGCGCTTGGCTGCCCCGGGCTGGAGTCGATCTTCATTCTGGCGCCCCTTCCCCTTCCACCCCTGTTGCGAGGGATGTGGCGCCAGTTTGCGCCTTTCTCCGCCGCCTGTGGCTCTACAGGCCGGGCTTGGTCGCGTGCGCACTGCCGACCACGGGGGCTCTTCGGCCGCGCCGGGGCTGCCTGATTTTGCCTTGTTTCCTTGCTTTGGGTTTCCCGGCGTGTTTTCGGTTTCTTTGCGGCCCGCCCCCTTCTCCTTTCGCTTCCAACGCTTTTTGCCTCGTCCCCGGCAGTGGGTGGGCTTTCACTTTGGCCTGCTTGCTCTTTTCTTTTGGTCTGTCTCGCTTCTGGCAAGAGCCACACGCAGCGCCCCCCCTGCCTTTCCGCCGCGGCCCTGCCTGCTGTGCTTTATTTTTGCTTGGTGCTGGCCGGGTTCGGTTTCTTGTCTTTCGGCCCTCGGCGCGCTCCTTTCGTTCTGCTTCGGGTGGCTAGCCCCCCGAGCCTTCGCAAAGGGTCTGCGCACGCTCTCCGCCGGGCCTGTTTGTGGAGGCTTGGACAGGGGCCGCGCTGTGCGCTCCCTACCGCCCCTCCCGCCTCGCGGCCTTCTCTCTACCTACACTCCTGTCGCTCCCGCCGGGGGGGAAGCCCGGGGGCGCTGCCGTTTCTCCTTTTCGCTTATCGCGCTAACATAGTTTGAGCATGTGGCGTTGGCCACTGGCCGCCTGGCTCTTTTCCCGTCGCTCCCCCTTGCACCCCCTCGTCGCCGGGCCGGCGGGCGCGGAGCGCCCGCCCGTTGTAGATACGTACTAGTACGAAGATGCTTTTGCAGTTCATACGCCATCCGGCCGACCGACTCGATGAAGGGAAGCGCCGTTTTCTTCTTCGCGGTGGAGGACTGCGCTTTCGTGATGTGCACCTCCTTCAAAAACACTTTCCGGAAGGTCTGGAGGTACAGACACGCCGTGTCGAACAGAATCAGGTGCAGCGGAGTCCAGTCGAAGGTCCGCAGCTGCACGTCGCTCCAATCCAGCCGCCCGTCGTCGATACTGGCGGGTTGCCCGAACCACGCCCGCACCTGGCTCATCTCCTTCACATCGCGGCCACACCCCCGGAAATGGGATTTTAGCATATCGGCGATCAGGTTGGAGTACCTGGTTTTGATGTTGTTCGATTTGAACAAGGAGATGCGCTGGACTAACGATGTTGCAGCAGTTCTTTTTCATGAACGCTCTTCAAAATACACAATGTGACGTGATTTTCTTGAAAAAAACAAACTGAAACTACATCAATCCCTCTATACTGCAGCAGATGCTGCTCCGCGTGCGCGTTGCTCGCGTACAGGGGCAACAGCCAGAACAGCAGGCGCGAACAGTAGGGCACCGCTTCCGCGTACTTGACCCCGGCCTCCAACACCGGCACCAGCACCCGGTGGAGGTGCGCGAACGGCACGTCGTACTGCACCCCCTCCCCCGCACGGTGCAACCACATCGCGGGGAACGTGCTGTCCGGGAGCCACAGGTCCTCGAATCCCAGCAGAAAATCGCCGTAGAGCTCGAGAAGGAGGTACCGGTGGAAAGTGAGGTAGCAATCGAAGATAGCGGGGAGGAAGCTGCGAGGGATTTTTTCCAAAATGTAAACTGTCCGATCTGTCTATACATTCTTTCCTTCCAGCACATCATCGAAAGTCAACAGGGGTGCGACTCCTGGTCCTGGCAAATGCAATTGCAATAGAAAAACAAAAGCACACCTCCGACAGTCCACGTTTCCCGACAATACGGCTCCTAGCGCGTCGAAGATGTGCGGTCTAGTGAGGAACACCTGGGGCGGGTAATCGCACAGGCGGCACCGCAGCTCGCGACAAGTTTCTGCCACCTGCCGTAGATCCGCAAACTTCAACCGCACGGAAAGGTCGAACAACTGCTTCTCATCCTGTTCAGAAAGAAAGATGTAGGGGAGCTCGTTACTGCTGCTCGAAGAGGTTGCATTAGTATTGTTCCTGCTCCTGCCGTTTATCATCGTTGTCGCTGGATCAGCAGGTTTATTTCTTCCAGGTTGAAGATGCGCATCATGCGGCTGCCTGCTCCCACTACTGAACAGTAGATCGTCCGCAATTTGTTCCGCTGTAGCGGTTCCGTTATTTGTGGGCGATAGTGACATCAACACACCTGCCGGCTGTAGATGATCGCCTGGTGGCGAATTATTCGTCATCTCGTCTGCCGCCGGGCTCTTGCTGTGGCTGTAGTTCCGCGATCCACAGCGGTAGCTGCTCGGATAGGACTGCGCCCAGCCGGCTTCTGGCTCCTCTTTCGGCCTAGTGCTGCTGGAAGACGTGCCAGCAGCTCTGTGGTTTTTCACCAGCCCTGCGCCCCCAGCCCCGGGGACGCGCAACAAGGTGTCGATGGTCGTCTGGATCTGGGTGGCCATTGTTTTGCTGGCCTGCGATTGGTCCGCAAAGTCCTCGAGAAATTGCAGTGCGCCCGCCTGGAGGCACACGTCCAGGTTCACGGGGGAACTGGCAGCGAGCACCGCGATGAGCTTCAGCGCCTTCTGAATCAGCTCCGGGTCCGCGCCGCCCTGTCGCTCGTTGATCCAGTGCAAAATACATTGCACACTGCCCGGCACCTCCTGACATATCAGGTCCGGGGTCAAAAGCCCGACTTCGACCTGCGTGTAGTTTCATGGTGAAGTACACGAAGTAGATATCGTGATGTAAAAAAATGGTCGTATAATTGACTTGCAGAATTGCAGAATGCGTCCTCGACGTTTGAACGTGCAGACGCAGGAGCAAGGGATATACTTACCTTTGACGCCAGATTTCGTAGCGCGCGATCGCGCACCTCGGGCAGGTTGTGTGCGAGCTTGTGAACCAGCTCCTCCGTCATGGTGGACCGACGCGACGCTTGGGACGATTCGGTCGCCGTGTTGTGCTATCGTGACCCACCTTCTGCGCCCATCGCTTGTTATAGCAGCAGGGACCACTGCTGCTTTTCAGCCTCTTTCCCGCACGCTATTTTCTCGGCATCGCAATGCCGGCGCAGACGGAAATAGCACTCATGGTTGTCCATTACAAAACAACATTTACATATCACTTCAAGTTCTTGTTCGACTGTAAACCGCCACATGGCATGAATGTGATTCAGGGGTGGAAAATTTGCTATGGAGGCCCACTTCAATCTTCAACGACCGATTTTTGATTTCTTTTTTGAATCCGTATCCAGTGGAAGCTTAAGCTATTTATTATTCTCGTCATAGTGGGTACCAGTGTCGGCAACTACCGCCCTACGAGGCAAATGACCGCTTGATTACAAGCAAGATCCATCTTAGCAGTGGCAGTAGAGATGACACTCCATGGATTGAGTCAAGTAAGTAGAATCTAGGTGCGACACATCCTAGACGCCTCAACAGACGAAACTGCCAAGAAACATCAGAGACACAGATGGTACTAGAGACAGACTACCTACTCAGAACATCACTCCGCCAGTCGCCCGCCGATACCACTTTGCAACTGCAGTACGACCTTTGATTGCCTCGTGGGCACGAGAAAATACGACATCGGTTTCGTTTTCCAACCGGACGATGATTGTTGAATAAACACAGGCTCATGGATGAGGTGGTCAGGAGGTCGTGAATGCCAACTGAGGAAGGGTCCTCAGAAAAATTCTGTAGTTTTTTCCTGTTGCGCTGTTGATTCTTGATATTCCTACAAGACCACTAAGTATCAGACGGTGATGAAAATAGCTGCCTTCCAAGAATCGCTTTATTCATTCAGTGAAACAAAGAAAAGAAAAAACCCTGCGTTATTTGGCAATCCGACGTGTTGGGCACTCACAACGACGATGATGCTCTTGCTCGGTGCAGAAAACAGAAATACGATGTACAGAAACAACTGCTCCGTGTCGGAATAAAGCTGGCAGACTTACTAATCTTCGTCCTTTCGAAACAACACGGCTGGCACCAGAGTTCTTCTCGGTTCACCGACGTCGGTTTTGCTTCTTCAACCCGCAGCAGCACTCGCAGCACTGCCTCCAGCTGCTACGTTCGCATCCCCACTCGTCCCCGCGGCAGCGCCCAGTGGTGCCGCCCCAGCGCTTGTTTCTCCGGCAGAGCTGTGTCCGCCGCCTCCCTGGCGCGCGCTCGCCCCCGCTTGGTCCACGTCCGGTAGTGCTGATGTGTCTGGCCCCGCCTGCAGGGCCACTTGTTTGCGCTCCGCCTGGGCCTGTACCGCGGCGTTGAGGGCGAAGCCGTCCCGCGCCGACCGAACAGGTTGCTCCAGAACTGGGTATATGCAGTGGAAAAGTATAATGGTGTACAACAGTAAAAATTTCATAAATACAATTTTTTTTCAGCATGAGTACGGGAGCTTATTGTCATGCTGGTTTACCTTTTTAGGAAGCAGATTTGTCATCATGCATAACCGCTCCAAGTAGTTGTACGACGGGTGCGATATTACTTTTGCGATGCATACGATAGCAGAGAACGGGCCGCTGCAGCTGCATTTTCATCTGCAGGGGGTCTGAGACGTTCGGAAATTGCGGATGACCCTTTTCCGGCACGAGGGGTTCCAGCTGGTCAAACGATGTTGATGGTGAAACGAGTTTGATGTGATGAAGACGAGCACTGGCGTCGTGAGAAGAAGCGGTCGAGGCTCGATTGTGTGGGGAGAACAGTGGCGAAACGGGGAGATGACTTGATGCAGGGGTGAAACTTGTGGAGAACACCGCCGCCCACAGATCTTGCAGCAGGCCCTCGAGGTGATGTGTTGACGCAGTCATGTTAATAGTTTTGAAACTCGCCTCCACTTTATTTGATGACTTTCAATTTCACATGATCCGTAAAAAAATCTAGAATCCTAAGCGTCATGAATGGATGCTGCTGGCCGTCGAAAGCCTTCTCACCGGATATGAAGTGCCTCCATCTATTACGGGACAGGGAGTGGGAGTCCAACAAGTATTACAAACGTGTCACGAAGACGACGGTCACGCGTCGTGAATAGAGTACGTGCATCGAAAAATAGTAGTGTATTCCTCGAGAACCGTGAACGAAATTCCCTCTCGTCACTTTCGCACGAATCCCAAGCCAAACCACTTATCGACTAGCATGGTTCCACCCTCGCTCCTCACCCTCGAAGCCAAAGGCACGGAACGTCAGTCTGATGACAGTGCAGTAACACGGCCACCTGCGCCACAAGGAATGAAGAACACGCTTGCCCGTAGTCTGTCTCGGAGTGCTCCGTCGCGACGCAAGTGATTCTATACCTGTTTCAACTGCTACATTTATAGAGTTGCGCCGCAATGTGCATTCGACATTTCCATTGTACACTTTCCGTTCCACAATGCTCTTGTTCCCTGTTTCTGGCTTTCAAGGCGCTCCGGCAAAACTTGACTCAGAAAAAGGAGCAGTAATGTTAATGACATTCCTTGGAATGCGAAAACAAATATAAAGAATCAAACAGTTTCCGATATACGATGACGATGATGATGTTACCCAGTAAAGGGTTTGAAAGAGAACTGTTTTAGTTGTTCGGCACAGCAGCAACTAGGGCTGCTTCTTCGGCATTGACACCCTCCAGGACCACCTCCTCGCTTTCTTCCGGCCGTTTTTTGTTCTTCTTCTCCTTGCACCGCTCTTCGTGTTTTCGCGTCGCGCCCACAATCCACCCAAGTTGATGCAGTTGCTGGCTGGTTTCAGGAACTTGTATACAGTTGCCGTCATGTTGAAATCGGTACTTGTGCTGCTTGCAGTGTCTACACCGAATAAATTCCTCTCCTGCTCTACTCACAAAGAGACTACTCGCCGGGATTTGCGTTCTCCATGCAGCTGCATCAGCTCCACAAAAATATCGTACAATGTGTGCTACGCCACGCGTGGTACTCTGGCCTGCAAACTTCAAATTGGCACTTCTTTTTTTCAATTGTCAGGCACACGAAAACTACTGAACCCGACCACTAATACTAGTTGCGCTTGTATAGTAAAGCGAACTACCTTTATTTTAGCATAGCTACAGTTAGGATAGGAGTTGTCAGGTCAGGTCAGGCGGGTGGCGGAGGGTGGTTGCATTCCGGAACTTTGAGAGTGCAGCCGGAGCTATTCATGGGCTAAAACTTGGCCACGCTTAGGAATTTTTAGTAGGGGCGCTAGCAGTGAACTTGTCCTCCCCCCGCGATGATACAAATCCCCGGCCTAGTTGTCAGTCTGGGCTCGGCGCAGCAGTGAGGCAACCCTAGCCACCACGTCGGCCTTAAAACAGGTTTGCGTTCGTCAGGCATGATTAGTGTAAGTAGAGATAACTGAAATTTTTTACCAAAAACCTTTTTGCAAACGCTAAACGCTTTACCAAAAACCTTTCTTCTTACCAAAACTTTTTACCAAAAACCTTTTTACCAAAAACCTCATTGAGACCCTGCGCTGCCTGTATGGAATAGCTACTAGCCTCCACTATCTAGCCTGCGTCTTGAGGTGGAGCCTCTATCCTGCTCCAGATACACAATTAATACGATGAATACTGATTTCTCTACGTCAAGTCGAACTACTGATGCTTCAGATGTTGAGGCGCAACAAGGTGCGGCGTTGTTGATCGCAACACTTCTCGCGAACCTCCTCATACGACCATTCTTTTTTTCCGGACAGAATCATTTGCGGCCCCGCATGTGCGAGCTCGTAATTTCTGATGATCAACACGGTGCCCGGGGGGCCCGGAACCAGAACCATGCGAGGGTCGCAGGAGGAGGGCGTCTTGAGTAGTTTCTGCTTCACATCACGCACCGGAAGATAGCTCTCCGCCGCTGCTGGTCCTTGTCGCGTGTCGGTGCCCCTCATGCCAGTGTCAGAGAGCGGCTTGGCATCTTCGTACGGGCCTACGAGCTGGAAGTGAGCTTCTTGATCTAGCTCAGGATCGCCCGCTATCAAGGGCGGACGAGCCTTGGAGCCGAAGATCTTTTTTCTGTTGTGGCACTTGTTCATCGGCCCCGACAATGCCACCGCTTCTTGTGCCGCCGCATCGCCAGTTTGCTCGCCATTTTCCGGAAACGAGATCCACGCTTCTGAACCGGAAAGCAAGTCGCTGGTGCCAATCCATGTGCCGGTTTTTTGCGTGTCCAGACCGTCCGGTGTGTTTACCGTGATGAGAACCAGGTACTGCCCGCCCTGGGGCATACCGTCTTGGTGCCACGGCTGTGGCGTATTGAACGAATGACGTATCCTGGACAAATTTTGAGTCATGCAATGCTCGCCATGTAGTAATGCTTATGCTTATGGGTAATCAGTCTATGATGTATATGCAACAGCAGCTTCACGTCGCTAAAGCCCGTGCCTCGCTGTAGAGCGGGCAAGGGCAATATAACTAAATTGCGCACGGCATTACTTAGCGCATCTGCTCTCAGGAAAGCCGGTCCTTGTGAACTCACCCCCACAAGTGGTGGTCTTTTTTGTGAAAACAGCACACGTTATTCTCTAGTAGGACAATTTCCAATCCTGTTGCTTGATGACCCAAAATCGGTAGCTTTGGATATTGGCATTCGCTTCGAAATTCGCAGAGTTTTTGGGTCCGGGGCCTACCCAATTACCAGCGCCGCAGTCACCAAACTGGTCTAAAAACTCACGAGCGAGTCTTGCACCATCTGAATTAGAATTGAGTGTTTGGTCAAGCGTGCTCGGCGTCCCACTGACTTCTGAGTCCAAGAATTGAGCGCGGAAGAAGTCATTTTTTGCGCTCATTTTTTTTTCAACGCGCTCGATTTCCGAAGACTCGCCGCCGATACGAGAAGACTCCATCTCTATCATTTTCGCGAAAAGCAAGGTTTTCACCCCTTCCAAGCACTCCCGGAACTCCTCATCTGCGTCATCCAATAAATATTGCAAACTTTGCACCTCCCTCGTCGGCGCACCCTCTCCAAGCTCCGCGTACTCAGCTTCCACCTTTTGCAGCTGTGCTAGTAATTCGCCCGGAAGCCGGAAAGCCGCCACTTTGCCCTTTGCCTCCGGATTCCGGCCAACAAACTCTTCTACAGCAGCCTCTGGGTTTTCGAATCCAGTCACACGGGGGCAAAAATTCTGTTTTCGCAAAGCAGCCTTCTTCAATCTCCTCCGCCTTCCACGACCTCCACCGCGCTTGTGGGGGGTAACGAGCGCGAAACCCTCGCCGGCAAGGAGCAACGCGGGAAGGAATAAAATTGTGATTTTCATTTTCAGTCGCTGAAACATTTTTCGAATAACTTTTGATTCGTTGTACCACCACCTGGTGGGTGTTCAATTTGGATTTACTGTTGAGGCACTGGCGTGCGTTGAATTCGCAGCTTAGTTCTGCGACACAATAACTATCAAAACTCTAGAAACCAAACCTGCTGCCGAGGAGTTGTTGAGTTATGATGTACTACATGTCAACAAGTGACGGAACCGACATGGTACGGATCGACTTGACTACAGCAATTCCAGCTCCAGTCGAGCTTCAGACAGTGCGGGCCTCGTGTTGAAGACGCCTTGCCTTCGTGCACGAGGACCACAGCAATATCAATTTACATTTAGTACATGCCAGACGACTCAGTTGAATAATTTTTGTAGAAGTTCACCAGCTACGGATCGGCAGCGGACCACGGAAAGAGGAATTTCAAGACGGATCAAGCCTCCGCATGTATTTTCATTTTTGTGGCAGAGAAAGAGTGGTTGAGGTCGATCGTTATTTGGCATTTACATTTACATCATGATGTCACCGATAGACTGCGCTTTCGTGATGTGCAGGAGGACTGCGCTTTCGTGATGTGCTTAGCGGTGGAGGACTGCGCTTTCGTGATGTGCACCTCCTTCAGAAACACTTTCCGGAAGGTCTGCAGGTACAGACACGCCGTGTCGAACAGAATCAGGTGCAGCGGGGTCCAGTCAAAGGTCCGCAGCTGCACGTCACTCCAGTCCAGCCGCCCGTCGCCGATACTGGCGGGCTGCCCGAACCACGCCCGCACCTGGCTCATCTCCTTCACATCGCGGCCACACCCCCGGAAATGGGATTTTAGCATATCGGCAATCAGGTTGGAGTAACTGGTTTTGATGTCGTTCGATTTGAACAAGGAGATGCGCTAGACTAACGAAGTTGCAGCAGTTCTTTTTCATCAACGCTCTTCAAAATACACAATGTGATTTGATTTTCTTGAAAAAACACAAACAAACTACAAAGGGGGACCCGAGCCCGGGTCGGGGATCCAATGCCCCCCCTCCGCCTGTGGAGCACGAATTTTCCATCGGCAGCCTCCGCCTGTGAAGCAGGCCGCCGCACTTAGCAAGCCTGTTTACCGGAAAGCGCCTGGGAACTCCAGGTCCGGAGCCATCTTTCTACCGGGACTCTCCCGTGCCCTTTAGGCACAAACCCCACGGAATCCCAGCAATGCCGCCTGATTCCTGTTTCCGCCCCGGTAGGACCGCCTTTTAGCGCATTTCCCCCCGTTTTCGCCTGCTTTTATAGCGTTTTTCCCTGTTTCCATCTCCTTGCCCCTCTGCGCCCTTTCCTTTTCGCCCGTTCTTGCGGCTTTCTCTCCTTCTATTTGGCACCTCCACCCCGGCTGCCTCCTCCCCTTCGGGCTTCCACCCTCCCCTCCCTGTTCCCCTTCCCCGGTCCCTCCCTTCCCCTTTCCCTCCTTTCCCCCCCCCCCTTCCCCTGCACTAGAGTCTGTGGCCCTTGCTACAGCAAGCGGCACGGCTGCGCTCAAGTACAAATACTGCGGTCACACGGATAACAGCTAGTTTGGCATTTACATTTACATCATGATGTCACCGATAGACGAAGAATAATCGAAGGCATTTACATTTACATCATGATCGATGAATAATTCGAAGAGACGAGAAGACGAAGAACTGCAAAGTATCCAAAAAAAAAAGCGCAGGGTGCTAGGAAAGGCACTGAACCCTGTCTCTGTGTCACGACCATATTTTGTCGTACGTCTTTTTCTTTGTTGTTGGTCTTGACAAGCACGGATACTTCATTCGTGAAAGCGGCACTCGCTTCGTATTCGAAATATGATTCGACAGTGTGTGCACAAGTTTTCTCAACACGACCACACAGTATCATATTCATAAAATGAATATTTTGGCCCGGTGGTTCAGGTCGTTCGCCTACCTGCTCGAGCCCTTGAAGGCAGACGTGCAACGTATGATTATGATTATGTTTTTCTCTCCAACAAAATCAATAAAAGACACATAGGTGTAGGCATATCCTAGTATTTCAATTTCTATTCCGTTTCTGACAAGTTTCTTCTTGCTATCCAGTACGAGAAACGTTTATGCAACACATTTGTGAAACGAAAGTCCAACAAGCAGCGCGATGCTATTCTTCGTACAATGAAGCTGATGTTGAAAATAACACGGTACTAAGTGAAGCTTGGTCAAAGCAGGAAAAGGACGCAGAATCAAATCAGGTGTTGATGTGTACATATTCAAAAACTCATCACTGCAGAGTATCCCATCTTTCACTGCTGCACAAGGCTCCCAGAAAAGGAAAGCACACGTGACATGTTCTCTGAAGTGCCTGCGCCAAGTCTTGCAACTTGATGATCTAAACAGGGAGGACTTTGACTTTGAACTCAACTATTAGACTCAACTACTCGAGCTCCAGTTGAGTACTTACTCAACGGGCCTTCACAAAAAAAGCGGCGAACACTCCCCGGCACACGATCGCAATGTACGACGTTACATCCTCTGGTTTGGCACATCGTTGTTGCACTCGCTGGTAATTTCATTGTACACGATCATCATCATCAGACGTTGACGAAAAGACATACGACCCCCCGAGGTTAGAACTACTTGAACGTCATTCCTTAACCAGTGTAGAGTGGGAGGCCAGAGAGCGATGTAAGTAAGTACTTAGATCATCTTCATACAGCTTCGCGAGTATTTGGCATTTACATTTACATCATGATGTCACCGATAGACGTTTTGGTGAGCCAATGCGACGGAGAGTCTGCGCATCTGCTTCTGTCACCGCCCATGTCTCAGCATTGTATAACGCAATGCTGAGACACAGGGACCGGTAGAGGCTCGCCCGGAGGTGGCGCTCTATTTCTTTGTCTCTCCAGACTCTCCCCAGTGCTTTGACCGCTGCCATCGCGATCGCGCATCTTCTTTGGACTTCGTGGTGTGTGGTGCCGCGGTGGTCTATCTCCGTGCCGAGGTATGTGAAGCTTTTCACCGTGGCGATCTGCTGGCCTCCATGCCAAACATCCGCCCGCTCCACCTCTACCTCTTTCTCTTGCTTCTTCTTCGCCTCGACTTGTCTCGCCACCCGCAATGTTCGCTGCTCGTGGATGCTTTTGTTCACCCGACAGAAACCCGTCGTCTGGTGAAAAAGTAGCGCCCGCTCGTCCTCTAGCACGTCGCCACATCGCGAGCATCGAAACCGGTTGTGCTCTTCTAGTATGTACTGCCGGTTTCCCAGCCCTGACAGGCGTATGCACCGCCCCGTGTCTAGCACTGCCCATCCCGATTTCTTCATTGCGATGACATTCGCATGCCCGGAGTCCCACAGCAGCAGGTGTGTGGGCACTAGGTCGCCCAGATTCAACTTGCAAACTGCCTGCTCCGTTTGTCTCCATGCCTTCGAGTGGTCTATTCCGCCCCACTCGATGAGCGTCCCCTTTACTGCGTCCGCGTCTTCTGTTTGCCCCGGGTCGCTTAGCATGCAGCCCACGATGGCTGCGGTCGCTTCAATCTCCGGCCGTTGTCGGACCGGTGCACGAAGTCCGGTGTTAGGCCGCACGGGCCTACCGTGTACGGTAGGCCCGCGCGCATGGGTTCCCACTGCGGCTCTCCCATCTCCGCGTTGTAGTCGCCCACTACCATCACTATGTCTCGCGCGGGGTGGTCAGAAATTTTCTTTGTTGCTTTTGCCCAAAACTTGTCTTTGTCGTTTCCGTCCGCAGCGTCGGTGGGTGCGTAGATTCCGTGTAGATGCATCTTGCGCCCGCAACGCGTAGCCAGGGTTATCCGGGCGTGCCGGCCCCACTGCTCTGCGTCTACATCCTGCACTTCTATTCCGTCCCGAACTAGAAATAATTATTTGGCATTTACATTTACATCATGATGTCACCGATAGACGTTTTGGTGAGCCAATGCTTCATTTTATTGTTTGACCTTCGTTCCCCCCCCTGTTACTTCGTTCTTTGCTCTCAGATTAGATTGCAATCTATTTCTGGTTCGTTTTAACATGTACACACCCCGCAACTCAGAATAGTTTTTGTCAGCGCCCTCCTAACTATCTGCTTTGCCATGTGATGCTAAACATAAACTAGTATAGATTGAAGCTCTTTCTAATCTGTCTACTGTTCCGGTCCCCCCGTCCGTGTCCTCTATTTTTGCTTACTGTACCGACCTTCCTTTTACTGTGTTTTTTCATGAAAAAGAGAGGCAAGTGAGTCAAAATCGGAATCAGCTACCTGCCTAGAATACGAGAAATCACAGAGAACAGCTAGAACCACAGATGACACTAGATAACATGCTATGTGATTAGGTCCTGCGTATTGCTTATTAGGCTTCGAATGATCTTCAACATGTTCATAACTGCACATGACAAATTAATTTACATTCTGTCAGCATGAAACCGCATGCAAAGCAAGAACTTGTCATGCAGTTTGATGTTGTAGCTTCATCCGTAGATCACTAATATTCAACATGCTCCTGATCACATCGCGTTGCTATCAGTATACTATTTCTACCTTCCCGCTTTTAACTCTTGTTCCCTGTCTCCTTGTTCAGCTATGACTCCGCCGGCCTATCCCTCGAACTTCCCTTTATCTGCCCCTTATGCTTGTTTTTTGTTTTTTGATTTTTAACTATTATTCAGCATCTGAAAAGTAGGAAGGATCTTACCTGTTTCTTCATCCGACCCCGAAAACCCAAGAGATGTATGATAGGAAAAAAGATAGTATGTTCATGCATAGTCAACACCTTGCGCTAACGACGGGAACCGCGATACGCATACATCACTCAACTATCTCTAGTCCTACGATACGATCGAGATCTCCGCGATGCGAGCCCTCCCACCTCAATACAATACGATTACGATACGATAGAACACATTCCATATGTTGGATTACTTCTCCGACAACTTGGACCGACTGACCACGCTTCCAAATCGACGTAGAAGTGAGACGAGCCTTCGCGTATTGGTTACAAATACAAGTTACAAGAGCCTCCCTGCAGTAGTGGATAGTACCAGCCACCAAAAAGAAGAAGTGGCATCTTCACTGAGCCTAAGGCGAATTTCGAAGCGGAACCGGCTGCCAGCGCGAAATCTTCGCGTTTGGACAAATCAAAATCTTCCACTTTTTCATTTCATACTGCGGAAACGAAACAATCACTGACGAAATCTTGATCAGGAGGTAGTTCCGTGTGTCGACGCTTTTCCTTCTGACAGGTGCGTCGGCCCTACCTCATCGTACAAGCAGGAGATACCTTACTGAATCGTCTTCACTGTCATCGTGTGTTCACCACGACTAGGACTACAGCAACATATTATAAGTATTCCAATACCAGTTCAACATTTTCATTTTGCCAAAAAATTACAGCAATAAACACTCTACGACTACCAAAAGCGTTTTCCATTCTTCCAAAATCCAAAACCTAGCTGCCTGCTCCATCGCATTGACCACGTCCGATTATTCCGCGACAAACGGGGTTCCACGAGCATCTTCCAGAATTGCATGTCGTCGAAAGTCTTCTTTTACAATTTCGTACTTGTGCCCCGGCGGATTTTCGTCTGCCGTATCCCTGACGTACTCGGGCATCGGAAAAGCGGGCAGTCTCCGACCACTACTACTTTGGAGCCACTTCACCACCACTTCTTCCTGTTCCAGCCATGCACTGAGCTTGTTGTCGTCGAGGGAGCCCGGCAAGAGTCTTTGGATCTCCGGAAACAATCTCGCAGCGGTGATGATTGAGCACACCGCGTCTTCCAGCATGACCGCATGGTACCGCACTTCGTGGTAATCCGGTGGTGCTTCCCGGTGCAGCTTGACGATCCGGCAAAATGCAGGAAAAATTCGCAAGCAAACCGCGGGAAAGTCATCGGCCGCCAGTAGCTTCATGACCTTCTCCAGATCCAGGACCTCGGAAAGTTCTGACGCGACCAGGAATAACCGCTCCGTGACAAGGTCAAACCATTCCTCGGAAACATGAAGTTGATTCAGAAAAAACTCCCGGAGGCTCATGCGTTGTGAAAGCCGCCCGTTCAGCTTCTGACGCGCCAACTCCTCCTGAAGTGTCCATGAATGTGAAGACAAGAATTTTATAAACAGATCAGCGACGCATATCAAAAACAGGATCATGATGCGGATACGCGCACCAACATGCAAAGAAAAATACTAAAAATCATCTTCTGCTGGAATTACCTCTTGCTTTCTACGATTTCTCCATGCTCGCATGAGAGCACGAATCCGTGGTTCCCTCGAATGCAGGTCGACAAACTTGGTTGCAGCTGATAGCGGATCGACGTGTTCGCCCTTGTTTCGCTTCGGATTCGGCGGAGACGAATACTGGATCGGGTGGTAGAGATCGCGCTCGGGCATAATTTGCAGGGGAACCAATCCGTTGTCAAGAACCGTCTTGGGTAAGTACTTCTTCCAGAAGTTCGTCAGCGGAATCTTCGTGTGCGTCCGAATGCTCACGGTGAAGGCAAGCCCCCCGCGAAACCGACCCACCGAAGGATCGAAAAGCACCTCTGCTCCCTCGTTCGGAAGGACGAACAGGTTGTGCGAGGCACGGTGACCGTTCGCGCTTGCTAGGTAATTTTCCGCGTCGAAGGCACTGCAGGCGGACAGGCTCTCCCGGGTGGTCCCCACCACTGCCTTCCAATGCTCGTCGCCGAACATGGCTCGCAGCGTCGCCGCATCCATACGGCCGGCAGGAGACTCATCTACTAATGCAGTCCCGAACATTCCGGCTGCCACACGCAGCTGCGGGAGCTCCCAGGGTTTGTAATAAACAAGACTTCTGCTAGAAGTACCGTCTGGCTCCTGGCGCTGTCGCGGCCGGGCGCGCGACTCCAAAATCTCACGCACGTCGCCCACGATGGAGCTATTTTTCGATGACCTTGCGGCGAACATCCCCGATGTATCTTGGACGGCAGTCGTGTCCCAGGCAACCAGGTTTGAAATCGCGAAGTCCGTGCACATGCAAAACATGTCGGCAAAGTCGTCTACATTGCGGAGGTCCCAGCCGTTGAGCTCCTGGTTGAACTTGCAGCAGTCACGAAACATGCTGCAGGTTATTTCGGCGCATCCCATATTCCAGGCGCCAATGGGCTGGTTAAACTGTTCGCACCCGGAAAACATGCCGTAGAAGTCCTTGACTCCTGCGACGTTCCATCCCGAGATGTCTAAGTTGAATCTGTTTGTGCCATGAAGGCAAAACAAAAGCGCCAAGCTTTCGAGTTGGGACACATCCCATACTCGCGCCGGCCCGTAAATCTCCTCCACATCGGCGATGGTCTTACACTGTTCCATGATAGCCCCCGACGCGGTGTTGATCTCCGCTAGTGCTGGAACCGGCATTCGCGCGGCTTCATACCGGCGCCTTTCGGCGATAGTCATTGGAAACAACGTATCGTACGTATCTATTTCCATCCGCGCCTCCAAGAGCAGGTTGACCGCGTGATTCAGCGCACCGCGGTCTTCAAACGGCTTAAAATCGATGTAGCAGTACAGGATGTCGGCTTCAAGAAATTCGCGACTGCGCTCAAACGTTTTCTCGTCATCCGTTACGGGTTCTAAGTTGAGACCGCGACTAGCTGACGGAGACCGACACGGGCTGTTTTCATTCTCGTCCTCATTTCCAACTACAATGTCTTCACCTCCGGAGGTGGCATCGGTCTGCGGGTCCGCGCTGTTATTGTCTTCCACTTTTTGCGCAAGCCGGATGTGCTCCCAGTGCACTGGTGGACGGGTCGAAGCACAGCACTGCTTCTTCGTTTTGTCGGCCGCATTCATCCCAGCCGCGATGGCCCGCTTCAGCTCCTTCGCTGTAATAAATGCGCCGTCAGTGTTGCAATTTTCGATGAGTGCAACAACATCGAGGTCGCCGTCCGCGTGGTTGGCCAGGTTTCGGATGGTGACCGGGAGAGATGTTGTACTGCGGTTTTCTGGTCGTTCACCAGGTGCCACGTTCCCGTTGTCGTCGCCAGCCGCGGCTGCAGCCACGCTGGAACTGCAACCGCCCTTCCCTGCACTTGACATGTTTTGCTTTCTTGATATTTATAGATACGATGCCTTCAAACTTAAAACTGCGTTGGATCGATTCCTAGGCGCCTTCTTCTCTATTCTTGATGTAAACCATTGCACACGGGGAAGCGTCCTGTTGTACGTTAGCTCGAGCTAGGAATGGTACTGACTGCTACCTCCGCTCGATTTCAAATCGACACAAGAAATGCGAGGAAAAAGTAGACATAGAGGAGCAACAAAAAAACACACGCTAGAAAACGACAATGCGACTGCACTACGACAAAACCAACACCTATGGTTTGCTTCGTGTTCGTTCAACGAATTGAAAAAAGACCAGCAACAAAACGATAGCGATCGAAGCGGGAATATAACAAAATATACCTAACTACCCATCTCTACTCATTATAACACCGATCGCGCGCTTTCTCTCGAATACACTCTCGTGTGCGAGAAGGTCAAGTAGAGTTAAAGCGAGACGCGACCACGACAGAGCTGGAGACCCCGCGAGAGTGCATCTCCCATTCAACAGGAGCGGAAAAAACACTCGGCCGGGGGCGCGGCTCCGTACATCCCGTACAAAGCTCAGCAGTGCCCATCCGGCACTGCGCATCGATTTCGATACCACACTCATGTTCCAACAGCGGGCCAGCTTTTTCTGGCTCCACGACTCCATCCTTCCGGTACCTCTTGCTGCATGCAAAGAACAGCATCGGAAATAGATGTCCGTACAGGCAGGCCCCAAACTTCCCTGCCGCTAAGAAGATGTGTCTGCAAGTTCGCTCATAAAAATAAAATTTTGAAGTTTCGCGGTTTTCTCGTTGGAATAAAAACGAAATTTTGAAATCTCGGTGCGGATTGACAGCCCAAAGTGGTGACTTGGCAATAATTGCCGGTCCGCCGGGAATTACTGCCGAGGTCACCCCCGAAACCCAGAAGCACGGTGCGGACTGGCTACTCAAACTGGCGGCTTGGCAAGAATTGCCGGTCAGCCGGGAATTATTGCCAAGGTCACCCCCGAAACCCAGAATCACGGTGCGGATTGGCCACCCAAACTGGTGACTTGGCAATAATTGCCGGTCAGCCGGGAATTATTGCCAAGGTAACCTCTGAAGCACAGAATCTCCGCGCGGACTGGCCACCCAAACTGGTGACTTGGCAAGAATTGCCGGTCGGCCGGGAAGTCGGTTCACCGACGTCGGTTTTGCTTCTTTAACCCGCAGCAGCACCTTCAGCACTGCCTCCAGCTGCTACGTTCGCATCCCCACTCGTCCCCGCGGCAGCACCCAGTGGTGCCGCCCCAGCGCTTGTTTCTCCGGCAGAGCTGTGTCCGCCGCCTCCCTGGCGCGCGCTCGCCCCCGCTTGGTCCACGTCCGGTAGGGCTGATGGGACAGGCCCCGCCTGCAGGGCCACTTGTTTGCGCTCCGCCTGGGCCTGGACCGCGGCGTTGAGGGCGAAGCCGTCCCGCGCCGACCGAACAGGTTGCTCCAGAACTGGGTATATGAAATTGCAAAAAGTACTGTGGTGCATAATAGTACAAATTGCAATACAATTTTTTTTCAGCATGAGTACGGCAGTCTATTGTCATGCTGGTTTACCTTTTTAGGAAGCAGATTAGTCATCATGATGCATATACCGCTGTAATTAGTAGTACAGCGAGTGCGATATTACTTTTGCAGAGCATAGGGTAGCAAAGAACGGGTCGCTGCAGCTGCATTTTCATCTGCAAGGGGTCTGAGACGTTCGGAAATTGCGGATGACCCTTTTCCGGCACGAGGGGTTCCAGCTGGTCAAACGATGTGGATGGTGAAAGGAATTTGCGATGAAGAGCACTGGCGTCGTGAGACGAAGCGGGGTGGTGACTTGGTGCCGGGCTGAAACTTGTGGAGAACACCGCCGCCCACAGATCTTGCAGCAGGCCCTCGAGGTGGTGTGTTGACGCAGTCATGTTAATAGTTTTGAAACTCGCCTCCAATTTACTTGGCTTTCAATTTGAAGATCCTAGCGTCACGAATGGATGCTGCTGGCCGTCGAAAGCCTTCTCACCGGGAGTGAAGTGCCTCCATCTATTACGGGAGAGGGAGTCCAGCAAGTATTAGTACAAACGTGTCACGACGACGACGACCGCCAGGCGTGGACGCAGTACGTACATCGAGACACAGTATATGTATTCAGCGAGGACTGTGGACGAAATTCCTTGTCACTTTCGCACGGATCTATAGCCAAACCACTTGTCGACTTGCATGGTTCCACCCTCTCGCCCCTCACTCTCGAAGCCAAAGGCACGGACCGTCAGTCTAATAACAGTGCAGTTACACGGCCACCTGCGCCAGAAGCAATGAAGAACAAGCTTGCCCGTAGTCTGTCTCGGAGCGCTCCACCACGAGGACAGAAGTGATTCTATTACCTGTTTCAACTGCTACATTTATATATAGAGTTGCACGTCAATGTGCATTCGACATTTTCATTGTACACTTTCCGTTTCACAACGCTCTTGTTCCCTGTTTCTGGTTTTGATGAAAGCGCTCCGGCAAAACTTGACTCAGCAAAAGGAGCAGTAATGACATTCCTTGGAATGCGAAAACAAATAAAAGAATCAAACAGTTTCCGATATTACATGTACTTCAAATTGGCACATCTTTTTTTCAATTGTCAGGCACAAGAAAACTACTGAACCCGACCACTAGTACTAGTTGCGCTTGTTCAGTAAAGCGAACTACCTTTATTTTAGCATAAGTACTTAGCTACAGCTAGGATAAGTACTTAGGAGTTGTCAGGTCAGGTCAGTCGGGTGGCGGAGGGTAGTGGCGTTCCAGAACTTTGAGAGTGCAGCCGGAGCTACATATTCATGAGCTAAAACTTGACCACCATTACGAATTTTTAGTAGGGGCAGCTAGCAGTGAACTTGCCCCTCCCCCGCGATAAATACCAGTTGTCAGTTTACGTTACGCCGTCACGCTGACTGGGCTCGGCGCAACAGTCAGGTTTGCGTTCGCCAGACGTTATTTATTAGAGGAAATAGAGATAATTGAACCGTTTTACCAAAAACCTTTTTGCAAACGACAAGCGCTTTACCAAAAACCTTCCTTCTTACCAAAACTTTTTACCAAAAACCTCACTCAGACCCTGCCTGTATGGGATAGCTACTAAGTAGCCTCCACTATCTAGCCTGCGTCTTGAGGTGGAGGTGGAGCCTCTATCCTGCTCCAGATACACAATTAATACGATGAATACTGATTTTTCTCAAGTGCTTCAAGTCGAACTACTGTTGCTTCAGATATTGAGGCGCAACAACGTGCGGCGTTGTCGGTCCCAACACTTCTCGCGAACCTCCTCATACGTCCATTCTTCCTTTCCGGACAGAATCATCTGCGGCCCCGCATGTACGAGAGCGTCATTTTTGATGACCAGCACGGTGCCCGGGGGGCCCGGAACCAGAACCATGCGAGAGTCGCAGGAAGGCGCCTTGACTAGTTTCTGCTTCACATCATCAACCGGAAGAACGTTCTCCGCCACTGCTGGTCCTTGTCGTGTGTCGGTGTCCCTCATGCCACCCTCAGAAGTGTCAGAGAGCGGCTTGGCATCTTCGTAAGGGCGTAAAAGCTGGTAATGAGCTTTTTGATCTAGCTCAGGATCGCCCGCTAACAGAGGCGGGCGAGCCGCGGAGCCAAAGATCCTTTTTTTGTCCTGGCACTTGTTCATCGTCCCCGACGGTGCCACCACTTCTTGTGCCGCCGCGGCTCCAGTTTGCTCGCCATTTTCCGGAAACGAGATCCAGGGTTCTGAACCGCAAAGTAAGTCGTTAGTGCCAATCCAGGTGCCGGTTTTTTGCGTGTCCAGACCGGCCGGTGTGTTTACCGTGATAAGAACCAGGTACTTCGAGCCAAAGGGCTGCATACCGTCTTGGTGCCACGCCTGTGGCGCATTGAAAGAATGACGTATCCTAGACAAATTTTGAGTCTTGTAGCTACTGCGATATAATTCACTTTAATGCAGCATTTTCACGCGAATGCCCGTACCTAGTGCGGGCAAGGGCAATCATGTACTTGTCTGCGGCATTTGACAGCATGATCTGCACTCAGAAAAATCGGCCCTGGGTCTTGTGGACTCCCCCCAAGGGCCTCATTACTGAATTACAACACGGGTTGTAGCAGGACAGTTGTAGTTTACTTTTACTACAAGAACTTCTATTTACTACGAGAACTACTTTACTTGTAGCTTACTACAAGTAATTTAGAATCTTGTGGCTTGATGACCCAAAATCAGTAGCTTTGGATATTGGCATTCGTTTCGAAATTGACAGCATATTGGGGGCTGGGACCAACCCAATCACCAGTGCCGGGCGTTGAATTTGCGTACTCACGAAACTGGTGTAAAAACCCAGCAACCACTCGACCATCTGCAACGCCCCCTATCACTTCGTGAAGCGTGCTCGGCGTCCCACGGACTTGCGAGTCCAAGAATTGAGCGCGGAGGAGGTCATCTTTTGCACTCATTCTTTCGTCAACACGCTCCATTTCCGAAGATGAATCGCCGCCAATAAGACAAGACTCCTCTTCCATTTTCTCGAAAAGCCAGGCTTTCACTTCTGCCAAGCGCTCCCAGAACTCCGCTGCGCCGTCCGATAACATCTGCACGTCCCTCCGCGGCTTCCGTCGCGTGCTTCCACCTCTCCGTGCGCGCTCCGCGTACTCAGCTTCCACTTCTTGCAGCTGTTTTAGTAATTCGTCCGGGAGCCGGAAAGCCGCCACTTTGCCCTTTGCCTCCGGATTCCGGCGAACAAACTCTTCTACAGCAGCCTCTGGGGTTTCGAATCCAGTCACACGGCCAAAATTCTCTTCTGGCAAAGCAGCCTTCTTCTCGTCCATATAATTCTCCTTCCGTTTCTTCTCCGCCTTACCCGCCGAGCCAATACCACTACGACCGCGCCGCTTGCGGGTGGGTGCAAGAAGCGCGGAACCCACGCCGGCAAGGAGCAACGCGGGAAGGAATAACATTTTGATTTTCAGTTGCTGAAACATTTTTGGAATAACGTCTAGTTCGTTGTAGCACCACCTGGCGGTCGGCGTCGGTGTCCAGTTTGTTAGTTTACTGTTGAGGCAGTGGCGTGCGTTGAATTCGGCGCTTAGTTCAGTTCTGCAATACAATGATATATCAAAACTCTAGATGAAACCAAAATCGCTGCCAAGGAGGTGTTGAGGAATGTACTACATGTCAACAAATTCGTGATATGAAGGAGCAGAAATGGTACGGATCGACTTGACTACAGCAATTCCAGCTACAGTCGAGCTTCAGAGGACAATACGGGCCTCGTGCTGAAAACGCCTTGCCTTCGTGCACGGGGACCACAGCAATATCAATTTAGTACATGCCAGACGTCGACTCAGTTGAAGAGGAATTTCAAGACGGATCGAGCCTTAGCTTGTATCTTCATTTTTCTGGCAGAGAAAGAGTGGTTGAGGTCGATCGTTATTTGGCATTTACATTTACATCATGATGTCACCGATAGACGTAGCGTAGCCCTCCGGGGGTAGTGCGTTCTTGTGGTCGATCTAAATGTTACAGCTCTTCTTGCACCAAAAAACTAATATCTCCATCTTGTTGCAGGTTGTTCTTTCGTCATTGCAAATATATCTTTAGGGCTTTCTGGAACTCTGTTGCATGTATGCAGGTCGTGCTTCGTCGATTTAATTAATTCCGGTTTTTGATTGTTTTGTTGGTTCACTCCATGGTAGGCTTGTTGGTCCCCAGCACCTACTTGTTTTCCGCAGTTCGCGCTAAGCGTCTTCCCCGAAGACGGTGGATCGCCCTCGTCCTCCACCCGTCGTCGATCTGCCGCTCCTGTTGAAGAAACCTGTCACCACCCGTTTCTGCTTTTCCGGTTTTGCCACCCCGGAATCGCCTCCGGCGGCGCCGGTCTCCTTCTTGTCCTTCAGTTTGTTCTGGTTTTTGCCCGAATTCTTCTTTTTGAGCTTCAGCACCGTGCTTGCGGTTTTGTTCTTGGACTGGCTCGCCGCGCGCGCCGGGTCCACGTTCTGTTGCTGCTGCACATGCTGCTGCTTTTGGTTCGGGGGGAGGGCAGCCGAGCTACCCGAGCTCGCAGCTGCGCCTGTACCTGCTCCCGCACCCGTATTAACCGTCGACGAGGCCGGCATCGGCTCCTTGTCCGACATCTCGCCGCCCTCCTCGCCGCTGCTACCGCCCTCGTACTCGTCGTCCGGGTGGTCTTTTGCAGCGTCTTCGAGCCTCTTCGTACTTGTCGCCATCTTCTTCTGAAATTTTTCTGACGATGTACTCCTTGACCTGCAGGTCGGTGAGGAACATCCGCGTGACGTTCCTCTCCTCCGCCTGCACGATGCTGTTGAGCTCCATCAGCTCCATGTTGCTCTTAAAATTTATCTCGATCCACCCATTTTTCTGCACCCGCACGTGCCGGATGAAGCTGTGCCGCATCCTCGAGAAAAGCTGTGATCGTTATTTGGCATTTACATTTACATCATGATGTCACCGATAGACGTTTTGGTGAGCCAATGCGACGTCGTCGTGCAGAATTGGAAAACACCCAGATCATCTAGCAGCGGTCTCTCGAAGTGGTGTGAACGTGAAGCCGACCTTTATAAGCCATATTGTTCCAGAACCTCCGAGGAAAAAAGTACACAGAAATCCGATGTCGATCTGGAAATTCAAACAATCAGGCGGATTGGATTGGAATTCTGATACAGGGCCAGTACGTACGCCACGCCAATGATCTAGACCTGTGGTGTGATTCCCGAGACGCAGAATGCGGTGACTCGTTCACCCTCGTCTGCCTTTCTTCATCAGCATCTCAGATTTCTCCGACAACTTGGACCGACCGACCACGCTTTCAAATCGACGTAGGGGTGAGAGCCTACTTCGCGTATTCGTTACAACTACAAGTTACAAGAGCCTCCCTGCAGGAGTGGAAAAAAAGTCCCAGGCACCAAAAAGAAGAAGTGGCATCTTTCTTCACTGAGCCTAAGGCGAATTTCGAAGCGGAACCGGCTGCCAGCGCGAAATCTTCGCGTTTGGACAAATCAAAATCTTCCACTTTTTCATTTCATACTGCGGAAACGAAACAATCACTGACGAAATCTTGATCAGGAGGTAGTTCCGTGTGTCGACGCTTTTCCTTCTGACAGGTGCGTCGGCCCTACCTCATCGTACAAGCAGGAGATACCTTACTGAATCGTCTTCACTGTCATCGTGTGTTCACCACGACTAGGACTACAGCAACATATTATAAGTATTCCAATACCAGTTCAACATTTTCATTTTGCCAAAAAATTACAGCAATAAACACTCTACGACTACCAAAAGCGTTTTCCATTCTTCCAAAATCCAAAACCTAGCTGCCTGCTCCATCGCATTGACCACGTCCGATTATTCCGCGACAAACGGGGTTCCACGAGCATCTTCCAGAATTGCATGTCGTCGAAAGTCTTCTTTTACAATTTCGTACTTGTGCCCCGGCGGATTTTCGTCTGCCGTATCCCTGACGTACTCGGGCATCGGAAAAGCGGGCAGTCTCCGACCACTACTACTTTGGAGCCACTTCACCACCACTTCTTCCTGTTCCAGCCATGCACTGAGCTTGTTGTCGTCGAGGGAGCCCGGCAAGAGTCTTTGGATCTCCGGAAACAATCTCGCAGCGGTGATGATTGAGCACACCGCGTCTTCCAGCATGACCGCATGGTACCGCACTTCGTGGTAATCCGGTGGTGCTTCCCGGTGCAGCTTGACGATCCGGCAAAATGCAGGAAAAATTCGCAAGCAAACCGCGGGAAAGTCATCGGCCGCCAGTAGCTTCATGACCTTCTCCAGATCCAGGACCTCGGAAAGTTCTGACGCGACCAGGAATAACCGCTCCGTGACAAGGTCAAACCATTCCTCGGAAACATGAAGTTGATTCAGAAAAAACTCCCGGAGGCTCATGCGTTGTGAAAGCCGCCCGTTCAGCTTCTGACGCGCCAACTCCTCCTGAAGTGTCCATGAATGTGAAGACAAGAATTTTATAAACAGATCAGCGACGCATATCAAAAACAGGATCATGATGCGGATACGCGCACCAACATGCAAAGAAAAATACTAAAAATCATCTTCTGCTGGAATTACCTCTTGCTTTCTACGATTTCTCCATGCTCGCATGAGAGCACGAATCCGTGGTTCCCTCGAATGCAGGTCGACAAACTTGGTTGCAGCTGATAGCGGATCGACGTGTTCGCCCTTGTTTCGCTTCGGATTCGGCGGAGACGAATACTGGATCGGGTGGTAGAGATCGCGCTCGGGCATAATTTGCAGGGGAACCAATCCGTTGTCAAGAACCGTCTTGGGTAAGTACTTCTTCCAGAAGTTCGTCAGCGGAATCTTCGTGTGCGTCCGAATGCTCACGGTGAAGGCAAGCCCCCCGCGAAACCGACCCACCGAAGGATCGAAAAGCACCTCTGCTCCCTCGTTCGGAAGGACGAACAGGTTGTGCGAGGCACGGTGACCGTTCGCGCTTGCTAGGTAATTTTCCGCGTCGAAGGCACTGCAGGCGGACAGGCTCTCCCGGGTGGTCCCCACCACTGCCTTCCAATGCTCGTCGCCGAACATGGCTCGCAGCGTCGCCGCATCCATACGGCCGGCAGGAGACTCATCTACTAATGCAGTCCCGAACATTCCGGCTGCCACACGCAGCTGCGGGAGCTCCCAGGGTTTGTAATAAACAAGACTTCTGCTAGAAGTACCGTCTGGCTCCTGGCGCTGTCGCGGCCGGGCGCGCGACTCCAAAATCTCACGCACGTCGCCCACGATGGAGCTATTTTTCGATGACCTTGCGGCGAACATCCCCGATGTATCTTGGACGGCAGTCGTGTCCCAGGCAACCAGGTTTGAAATCGCGAAGTCCGTGCACATGCAAAACATGTCGGCAAAGTCGTCTACATTGCGGAGGTCCCAGCCGTTGAGCTCCTGGTTGAACTTGCAGCAGTCACGAAACATGCTGCAGGTTATTTCGGCGCATCCCATATTCCAGGCGCCAATGGGCTGGTTAAACTGTTCGCACCCGGAAAACATGCCGTAGAAGTCCTTGACTCCTGCGACGTTCCATCCCGAGATGTCTAAGTTGAATCTGTTTGTGCCATGAAGGCAAAACAAAAGCGCCAAGCTTTCGAGTTGGGACACATCCCATACTCGCGCCGGCCCGTAAATCTCCTCCACATCGGCGATGGTCTTACACTGTTCCATGATAGCCCCCGACGCGGTGTTGATCTCCGCTAGTGCTGGAACCGGCATTCGCGCGGCTTCATACCGGCGCCTTTCGGCGATAGTCATTGGAAACAACGTATCGTACGTATCTATTTCCATCCGCGCCTCCAAGAGCAGGTTGACCGCGTGATTCAGCGCACCGCGGTCTTCAAACGGCTTAAAATCGATGTAGCAGTACAGGATGTCGGCTTCAAGAAATTCGCGACTGCGCTCAAACGTTTTCTCGTCATCCGTTACGGGTTCTAAGTTGAGACCGCGACTAGCTGACGGAGACCGACACGGGCTGTTTTCATTCTCGTCCTCATTTCCAACTACAATGTCTTCACCTCCGGAGGTGGCATCGGTCTGCGGGTCCGCGCTGTTATTGTCTTCCACTTTTTGCGCAAGCCGGATGTGCTCCCAGTGCACTGGTGGACGGGTCGAAGCACAGCACTGCTTCTTCGTTTTGTCGGCCGCATTCATCCCAGCCGCGATGGCCCGCTTCAGCTCCTTCGCTGTAATAAATGCGCCGTCAGTGTTGCAATTTTCGATGAGTGCAACAACATCGAGGTCGCCGTCCGCGTGGTTGGCCAGGTTTCGGATGGTGACCGGGAGAGATGTTGTACTGCGGTTTTCTGGTCGTTCACCAGGTGCCACGTTCCCGTTGTCGTCGCCAGCCGCGGCTGCAGCCACGCTGGAACTGCAACCGCCCTTCCCTGCACTTGACATGTTTTGCTTTCTTGATATTTATAGATACGATGCCTTCAAACTTAAAACTGCGTTGGATCGATTCCTAGGCGCCTTCTTCTCTATTCTTGATGTAAACCATTGCACACGGGGAAGCGTCCTGTTGTACGTTAGCTCGAGCTAGGAATGGTACTGACTGCTACCTCCGCTCGATTTCAAATCGACACAAGAAATGCGAGGAAAAAGTAGACATAGAGGAGCAACAAAAAAACACACGCTAGAAAACGACAATGCGACTGCACTACGACAAAACCAACACCTATGGTTTGCTTCGTGTTCGTTCAACGAATTGAAAAAAGACCAGCAACAAAACGATAGCGATCGAAGCGGGAATATAACAAAATATACCTAACTACCCATCTCTACTCATTATAACACCGATCGCGCGCTTTCTCTCGAATACACTCTCGTGTGCGAGAAGGTCAAGTAGAGTTAAAGCGAGACGCGACCACGACAGAGCTGGAGACCCCGCGAGAGTGCATCTCCCATTCAACAGGAGCGGAAAAAACACTCGGCCGGGGGCGCGGCTCCGTACATCCCGTACAAAGCTCAGCAGTGCCCATCCGGCACTGCGCATCGATTTCGATACCACACTCATGTTCCAACAGCGGGCCAGCTTTTTCTGGCTCCACGACTCCATCCTTCCGGTACCTCTTGCTGCATGCAAAGAACAGCATCGGAAATAGATGTCCGTACAGGCAGGCCCCAAACTTCCCTGCCGCTAAGAAGATGTGTCTGCAAGTTCGCTCATAAAAATAAAATTTTGAAGTTTCGCGGTTTTCTCGTTGGAATAAAAACGAAATTTTGAAATCTCGGTGCGGATTGACAGCCCAAAGTGGTGACTTGGCAATAATTGCCGGTCCGCCGGGAATTACTGCCGAGGTCACCCCCGAAACCCAGAAGCACGGTGCGGACTGGCTACTCAAACTGGCGGCTTGGCAAGAATTGCCGGTCAGCCGGGAATTATTGCCAAGATCATCCCCGAAACCCAGAAGCACGGTGCGGACTGGCCACCCAAACTGGCGACTTGGCAATAATTGCCGGCCAGCCGGGAATTATTGCCAAGGTCACCCCTGAAACCCAGAATCACGGTGCGGATTGACCCCCCAAACTGGCGGCTTGGCAAGAATTGCCGGTCAGCCGGGAATTATTGCCAGAGTCACCCCGGAGACCCAGAATCACAGTGCGGATTGGCCACACAAACTGGTGCGTTGGCAATAATTGCCGGTCAGCCGGGAATTATTGCCAAAGTCACCCCTGAGACCCAGAATCTCCGTGCGGATTGGCCACCCAAACTGGTGACTTGGCAAGAATTGCCGGTCAGCCGGGAATTATTGCCAAAGTCACCTGGGAAACCCAGAATCACAGTGCGGATTGGTCACCAAAACTGGCGACTTGGCAATAATTGCCGGTCAGCCGGGAACTATTGCCAAGGTAATCTCTGAAACCCAGAATCTCGGTGCGGATTGGCGTCCCAAACTGGTGCCTTGGCAATAATTGCCGGTCAGCCGGGGATTATTGCCGAGGTCATCTCTGAAGCACAGAATCTCGGCGCGGACTGGCCACCCAAACTGGTGACTTGGCAAGAATTGCCGGTCGGCCGGGAATTATTGCCAAGGTCACGCCTGAAACCCAGAATCACAGTGCGGATTGGCCACCCAAACTGGTGACTTGGCAATAATTGCCGGTCGGCCGGGAATTATTGCCAAGATCACCTCTGAAACCCAGAATCTCGGCGCGGACTGGCCACCCAAACTGGTGACTTGGCAAGAATTGCCGGTCGGCCGGGAATTATTGCCAAGGTCATCCCTGAAACCCAGAATCACAGTGCGGATTGGCCACCCAAACTGGTGACTTGGCAATAATTGCCGGTCGGCCGGGAATTATTGCCAAGATCACCTCTGAAACCCAGAATCTCGGCGCGGACTGGCCACCCAAACTGGTGACTTGGCAAGAATTGCCGGTCGGCCGGGAATTATTGCCAAGGTCATCTCTGAACACCATAGTTTCCCTAAATTATGGAAACTATGGCAGAGCGCCTCTTTCTGCAGGCGAACAGCGCCGGAAATTGGGGTCCCGCCAGTGTCTCTGCCATAGTTTCCCTAAATTATGGAAACTATGGCAGAGAGCCTCTTTCTGCAGGCGAATAGCACCGGAAATTGGCGCCCCGCCCATGCCTCTGCCATAGTTTCCCTAAATTATGGAAACTATGGCAGAGCGCCTCTTGCGGCAGGCCAACAGCATCGGAAATTGGCGCTGGTCCAGTGCCTCTGCCATAGTTTCCATAATTTATGGAAACTATGGCAGAGTGCCTCTTGCTGCAGGCCAACAGCATCGGAAATTGGCGCTGGTCCAGTGCCTCTGCCATAGTTTCCCTAAATCATGGAAACTATGGCAGAGCGCCTCTTGCGGCAGGCCAACAGCATCGGAAATTGGTGCCGGTCCAGTGCCTCTGCCATAGTTTCCATAATTTATAGAAACTTCTATGGCAGAGCGCTTCTTGCGGCAGGCCAACAGCATCGGAAATCGGTGCCCGAGCAGTCTGGCCCCAAACCTCCCTGCCGCAAAGAAGGCGAAACAGACAAAGAGGCTGCAGCCTCGCTCATAAAGATAAAATTTTGAACTTTCGCGGTTTTCCGTTTCCCGCTTCATTAAAAATAAAATTTTGAAATTTATTAGGAACGCTTGTCTGGCAAAATTCAAGGCGCTCTCCCTCCCTGCCATAATTTCCCTGAATTATGGAAACTATGGCAGAGCTCCCAACTCAGATGGCAAATAGCATCGGAAATTGGTGCTCTACCAGTGCCTCTTCCATAGTTTCCCTAAATTATGGAAACTATGGCAGAGAGCCTCTTTCTGCAGGCGAACAGCGCCGGAAATCGGCGTCCCGCCCATGCCTCTGCCATAGTTTCCCTAAATTATGGAAACTATGGCAGAGCGCCTGTGGCTGCAGGCAAACAGAGTCGGAAATTGGCGCTGGTCCAGTGCCTCTGCCATAGTTTCCCTAAATTATGGAAACTATGGCAGAGCGCCTCTTGCTGCAGGCCAACAGCATCGGAAATTGGTGCTGGTCCAGTGCCGCTGCCATAGTTTCCCTAAATTATGGAAACTATGGCAGAGCGCCTCTTGCGGCAGGCCAACAGCATCGGAAATTGGTGCTGGTCCAGTGCCTCTGCCATAGTTTCCATAATTTATGGAAACTATGGCAGAGCGCCTCTTGCTGCAGGCAAACAGCGCCCGAAATTGGCGCTCTACCAGTGCCTCTGCCATAGTTTCCCTAAATTATGGAAACTATGGCAGAGCGCCCCTTGCTGCAGGCCAACAGCATCGGAAATCGGTGCCCGAGCAGTCTGGCCCCAAACCTCCCTTCCGCAAAAAAGGCGAAACAGACAAAGAGGCTGCAGCCTCGCTCATAAAAATAAAATTTTGAACTTTCGCGGTTTTCCCGCTTCATTAAAAATAAAATTTTGAAATTAGGAACGCTTGTCTGGCAAAAATCAAGGCGCTCTCCTTCCCTGCCATAATTTCCCTGAATTATGGAAACTATGGCAGAGCTCCCAACTCAGATG